GATAGCATCACGAAGCCGGGGGGTGATTCTTGCGGAAGGAGACCTTCTCAACAGCCACATTTTCTACCCCATTGGCATCGGTCTTCAGCTGATAGACGTATAAGACAAGAACATCACCTTGGATCTGTTCAGGGTCAGCATATATACTATTCTCCAAATCAACCTGGGCAACTCACGTCCATCAGGCAGAAACTCGGTGTAGGCTCCTCGCCATCTGGCCAAAAGCCTGAGCTCATGGCACCTGTTGCGCTTCCCGGATTGATAAAGAACCGACCCTCCATCTCAAACGCCTCAAAACGGTGGGTACCACCCCACAGCAGGACATCTACATCCATCTGGCGGGCTGCGATAAGCAGTGCGTCGGCGTCGGCGGGTGGCACGATAGTATGGCCATGGGTAAAACCAATCCGTAGACTGCCATGGTTCACAATTTTGGAGAGAGGGAGATTGGGAGAGTCGACATCATAATCCCCCTTGACCATCTGTAGGTCTGGGGCTACCTCGCGGAGGAAATCATAGGTCTCGCGGTCAGTCAGGTTTCCCAGACAAAGGGTCTGGCCGATCTTGCCGGGGGTTAGGAGTTTGCGGAACTAGAATCGACGGACAGTGTCAGCGGGCTGGAAGGAAGTGTGGCACTGGAGAAAGACGGACCTTGGCTGGAAGATCCTAGACGATGTGTTAGCGGAGATAGTGAAGCTGAGCTGAGGACAGCTTACAGGAGCTCGGTCAGGGATGAACAGGTCACCAATGACCAAGACCAATCGGGCGGTCATCCTGGATGGTGTGTGGGGGGGTAAATGGAGGTCAATGGTCCATCCACGATGATCGGAAATTGGAGCAAGCTAGATAGAATCAACGCCGGTTGGCTTCAGCCTGATGGAGCTTCGCGGGGAAGAGCAACTAAACTATGCCCTAAGCCCTATTTTATATCCGGATACGGCTTAGCGTTATCTGCTCTATGAAGCCATCAAGATCTTTTTATTTCGCATTGGCTCACCAAGCCGAGTGTCTCGCTTTCGGTTTGATGAGACCAATCCATGGGCATGATTTATACCCCATGTTTTCTTCGAAGGTTTCCTAAATTTTTTGCGGAGGTCACCGGAGATTAGGAAGGGGGCATATGTACATACTACGTTGGGATCGAATGGAGTACAGTAGAGCAATTGCCGGCAGACATCGGCATTGAGATATCTAATATATAAAGTAGTATATAAAATTGATGGGATAGTATACACCTATTCTAAGAGAGCAAGTATATATAGCATTTGAATATACCTCCAACATATAAATCCATACGGTATAACCTATATAAACCTCAATTTTTCCAACAGAATATAAAATGACCTACAGATAAATCACAAATAGAACAACTTGTACAGCGTAGGACATAGAATGTTGGGAGATCGGTAGGGTCCGCCCGGATTTCTCTTTCTCCGACATCCAAAAACCCCCCAAAACAACATGTCCCTTCGGAGAACAAGAGCGTGACTCAATTCATAAATAGCCCTCCATCTCACCTTCACATGCCCTCGGTACAACCATCCGAGTGAACAAATCATCGAATCCCAATCGGTATCTTGGCCAATCCACTCGGCGGCGATCCCCGAAAACCCCAGTTACCCTCGGGAACTCCTCCAATCCCCTTTCACGCGAAATACCCCGCGGCGCGCCGCAATCGGAAAGCTGGCGTCCAAATCTACGGAGCGTTTGAGCCTGATTTCCAGACACCTGGATCAGCGCCTCCCCTTACCTAACCTCAATACTCCCTTCTCGACCGAGAGAGATTCACTATTTCCTGACGACGTCGAATATAAACCTATTGATCGTTCAGTTCCTCCTGCCCCTCTCATAGAATCATCTCCCACCATGTCTGCTCAAGCCCCTCACAACACCCTCCTGATCCCAGGACCAATCGAATTCGACGATGCCGTCCTTCAGTCTATGTCCCACTATGCGTGAGTTGTCTAGGTTATGTCTCGTTTTTTATGAGCCAACTAACTCCCCTAGTGAGAGCCACGTCGCTCCCGGCTTCGTCAAGGTCTTCGGCGAGACCCTAACCCTCGTTCGCAAGCTTTTCCAATCTACCAACCCCGCTGCGCAGCCCTTCATCATCTCCGGAAGCGGTACCCTAGGCTGGGATCTTGTCTCCGCCAACCTTATCGAGCGCGGTGAGAACGCCCTCGTTCTCAACACCGGTTACTTTGGCGACTCCTTCGGTCAGTGCCTCGAGACATACGGTGCCAACGTGACGCACCTCAAGGCGCCCATTGGTGATCGCTCCTCGCTCGAGGAAGTGGAGCAAGCCCTGAAGCAGAAGGCATACAAGCTCATCACCCTCACCCACGTCGACACCTCGACCGGTGTGCTCTCGGACGTCAAGGGCGTGGCCCAATTGGTTCGTCGCGTCAGCCCAGACACCCTGGTTATCGTCGACGGTGTGTGCAGCGTTGGCTCTGAGGAAATTGCCTTCGACGAGTGGGACCTTGATGCGGTCGTCACAGCTTCGCAGAAGGCCATCGGCTGCCCGCCCGGTCTAAGCATCGTCATGACCTCCGGTCGTGCCATCCAGGTCGCTCAGTCGCGCAAGACCCCTCCCGGCGCTTACTACGCCTCCATCGCCAACTGGCTTCCCATCATGCAGAACTACGAGAACAACAAGCCCTCATACTTCGCTACCCCGCCCACCCAGCTCATTCACGCCCTGCACACTACCCTCCGCCAGATCACCGCTGATGTCCCCGGCCGCTTCGCTGCCCACACCGAGGTGTCGGATAAGGTGAAGGCTGCTGCTGCTGAGCTTGGCCTCAAGCAGCTCGCTTCTCGCCCTGAATGCCAGGCTCATGGTATGACTGCCATGTACTTGCCCGAGGGTCTGTCCCCACCTGATGTCCTGCCTGGTCTGCTTAAGCGCGGTGTCATCTTCGCAGCTGGCCTGCACAAGGAGATTGCTACCAAGTACATCCGGTTTGGCCACATGGGTGTCAGTGTCACTGACCCCAAGCGGGGTGATGTTGACAAAGCTCTCGCGGCTCTCAAGGAGGCTTTGGCCGAGGCCAAGCAGGCCAAGGGTCTTTAACTTTAAGGGCAATACTCATGTAGGTTCGATGTAAATAGGAACACTTTAACTTGCCTAGAGTAAGTCTTGTGGATTATCATTTGGGTAAAACTACAGCAATGAATTATTGATTATAGACAATGTTTGTTGTGTTCCAGTTGTAAACCTGCCTGGATTCGTAGGATAATGTCATGAGTTGGTAAAAGTATTATCTACATACAAAAGCCATAATCTTGCTGCTCACTTTTCCTTTCCTGTCATCAAGAGCATTCAATCCTATAGAATCTACTATGTAGAACTACCTTCCCCCCAAATAACAAACTAACCTGCAGGTACCCGCCGATCCTCCACATTCTGGAATCCTCCCTATTGGCGCGTCTATCCAGAGCCCCAAGACCATAATCGAATGCAATAGACTCGTAGGAATGTAATATCAAGGTGTAGCGTGGATTTTAAACAGTGAGTCGTGGAGTGGAATGTAATATTTGGACAGTTTTCTACCTCCCCCTACCAGCTCCTAGTTGCTGGAAGTATGTCATGGCCCTGCCACACCCCTAGATAAGAACGCATTGACCAAAAGTCTCTTGCATATATGTGGCTGACCTTCAATGTTTCAATTATAGCACTATGGTGTAGATATGCATGCTCAAGAAGGCTTTCTACATCGTTAACCGACCTGGGACTATATTTCGACATGGGATGCCCTCGTCCGATTTTCAATGGGGTTTCGCCATAGATGAAGACAATAGGAGTGGAATGTTTTGTCTTTGCTAGAAATGTAGCAGGGGATTTTATTTTGCTTATATCTATATGCCCATTCGTCCTGTAGACGCCTGTCTTTTCTTACGTCCATTCATATTATAAAATCACATCAGAATGCATTACTCGAAATCCGCCCTCCAATTTATCCTAGTAGCCGCTACTCTCGCCTCTGCGGACACAACTACATCAGCAGATAGTGCAGTGAGTAATACATGTACCTCAGAAAGGTAGGAAAAGTCAACCTACGTATACACATCTGAGTGCAGCTATACTCAGTGCAAGTTGAGCACAAATACTGACTATTTAACCCAATAGCATCTTACAGCAATGTATTCAATCAATACAATCCAACCTGGAGAACTGCGCACCGGACGACTGGAGCTGTCAGTGTGCTATTAGTGCAAATATGGTGCAGTATGTCCTGTCCAACACCAAATCAATTCCCAAGACTTACCTTATATACAACCCTACACATCCAAATAATAAATTGACACTAATACCACCCTAGCTGCTATAAGAACTGTCCCGGCGACTCATTTAAAAACGATGTCGAGTCCACACGTCAGCAAAACTGCGCTAATGCCGAAGCGTACGCGCCGACATCAACAGCCGCACTTGATATAAGCTCTAGCATAAGCTCTGCGTCTACCATCTCTCCTACTGCTCGAGATGTGGCTATGATGAGCACTGATATTGATGACGGAACGGATATGTCCGACTCTGAGGGGAATGATTTCCAGGAGGGACATCCGACGAAATTGTATAGTGGGTTGGAGGCTAATACCATCCTCCGTACGGAACAGGGGACTGCTTCTGGCTTGAGGGTGACAGGTTGGTTTGGCTTTCTAGTGCTCGCATTGGGAGTTATTTTTTAGATATGGTGTTGAGTTGAAGTTCTGCTGTCTTGACATGAAAAAATATCACCATATGATATCTATATCCCATATAAAGGTCGTGCTAGGAAGTGATCCCAGTAGCATTATCCATAGCCAATGACTGACTTTATTGACGGCTTTACTCTAACAAAGTCCTCTCTCATCTCTGCACATAATGTACTTGATTCATTTCTCTGAAGGTTTCATCCAGTAACGCAAGAACCAGAAAACAAAAGAAATAAGAAACCCTTGCACCAAACCGTGTAATCGTAAAAGAGCCAAACTCCGCCCAGTCCCATAATAATACGCTATGCACCAGATTGACTGACTCGAACGACTTCAGTCCCATGTTTTGTATCCCCGATAGGCTCTCCTGCCATCCAGCACAGAATGGTGACCCAGTCATCCAAGTTACTTTGGATACCATCCGTAAAATCCATGATCCGTGAGGAGCGAACTTGGAGAGCCTCTGGGTTCTGTTTGTCGTGCCATATCTGAAGGATGCGGACTTGGAAATCCGACGCAGAAACGAAGGTGATAGGAATGTATCGGTGGTCATTGTATCCATCTTCAATTCGGCGCTTGGCGATCAAGCCATAGGCAAGAGATACCTCACCCGAGCGGAGGCGACCAAGATGGTGGGGCTGCGCATCAACCACGAAGGCGGTGATATGGGGCTGAGATAGATCCTTTGCATTTGTCCAGCCGAGGATTGCCCATTGATTTTGGGACGCATACACGGAGCCGAGATGGTTGCTGTGTAAGGATGGTTAGGAATAAAGATGTTGTAGATGGTGTAGGAACTCAACAACTTACCCATCATCAAATATCTTTTCCGGCATATCATCGTCGAAAATATAGCGCATAGAATGGTCCAAACCGATGAGCACCTGAGACGCATTAACCCATCGCCGGTACCTACGTAATTTCGGGCTATCGTCGATATTCGCTCCGTGTATGTTGAATTTATTCCAAGGCTGTTCACGGTTCACATCTTCTCTCATTTGATCATGGGGAAATGGCCTCGTAAAGCATGGGCCATAATCGTTGGCACCACCAGAGATAAGATTTAGTTCAGTGGTGGTGATGTGCAATTTTCGCTCGTTGTTGGGAGGGAAGCTGCAGGCGAGGAGCTTCCTAGTAACGGCATGGTAAATTTTGACATAAAGCTGACCTTTGTCCAACTTTGGACTTTTGAACTCATACTCTGACGTGGTGTGCTCCATACTGCGAGACGGTCACGATAGTGAGGTATGTTGAAGTTTGCTGAAGCGAGAATGGAAAGAGGGATGATAGCTTGGGGTTTAGGACAGCTTTTATGGCTAATGTGCAAGTCTAGAACCTGCTGGTATCAGTCATTCCTCTATACGCGCCTTGTTGTTGGTGTAATGTGGTTAGTGGTTGATGGTTGATGGTTGATGTGGTGTGATAGGTGGTGTTGGTTGTATCGCTTACCGTAGTTGGCCCCGCAACAGTGCACCAACGCGGTTAATACGCAACGTCGATTGCTCGATATTATTAGCTCTATCCACCTATGGACTTGATCACACTTCTATACAACTATCGCCAGCGTATCGCTATGTATATCCCTATTATGTGATTAGCCTCGCATTAGAAACTATGCGCTACACCAGCGCGATTAATCACCAACCTCAATCGCTTGGTATTATTCGCTCTACCCACTCAATCACACTCATGTCTATGAACCTATTTTGTGATAGTGGCGCTATATTATTCAATTTTGTCTGTTCATTCGCAGCCCTTGAGCGCCTACTAAAACCTCCAATTGTTTTAAGTTAACATAATGATTCAAATATCCTCCGATTCCGAGGCCGTCACTACTTATACCCTGCCTCGAAAGACATCCTGCTCAGCCTGGTTCCCAGATTACAACTGTCCCTATATCATCTGAATATAGATCTACCTACTTCTACGTTTGCTGAAAAATGGCCTTCCTACCAGATAGTCAAAGATCCTGGCTCAAACGGATCGAGACCGCGAAGCTTCAGACCACCAAAACAATTCATTCGTTCGAGTCTGCTGCCTCTGGGTCAAAAATTACCTTGCAACAATTCCTCCTTCTCCGAGTGTTGTGGGTGAAAAATGAGGCCAACGAATTATCAGACCTATCCAAGCTTAGCAAATGGAACATCCCACAGCAAAATATCGAAGCCGCCCGGAAACATCTCAAAGCATTACCTAACTGGGTGCAATATATATCAACTATATCGAAAAATCTGTCATGGCATCAGGAGAAAGGCTTTTCATCCCTTGGCACTTTCTCCCTGGTTCGTCTCTACCAGCTCAATTCTAAATCCCTCGATATATCTCAGAGGTTGTTTATCCCCAAGCTTGAGTTCTCGCCAATGAGAACTAGAAGCCATGGTCTAGCCGGTAGTGCTCAAGCAAGGGACGGCAATCCTGTTACACCAACACGTTCTAAGAAGAAAGCGACGGCATCCGATTATTCCAGCCTAGTTGACGAGGCAACGGCCGACTTTGAGGGCATTCACATCGATGACGATGAAAGCCCAGAGTCCCTTTTGCATATTTCCCCATTCAGTCCGCCTACTGGGGACCTTGGTCCCGCTTTCAAGAGCATCAGTGACGAACAAATTGTCAACACGGCACTGCTTCTTTATCTTCAAGCACTGCTGATCAACATTTGTGAAATTGGGGCAGATTGGACGCCCGAACGCCGCGCCTTAGTGGTGAAGAAGAAAGATGGACAAAAGGTCTACGAGGCTCGAGTAGATGGGTTTCTTCGCTATCAGCATGATGAAAATAGCCCAATAATGGCTATCGTCGAGGTCAAGCCCTCTATTCGTGAGCAAACACTCGAGACCGACGCCATCCGAATGCAGGAGGGCGCTCAGATGGCTGCGTGGATTTCCCAGCATCCACCAACACCTTCTGAGCTTACCCCGGGTGGTATATTCAGGTATGTTATTTTGGTCCACGGCCCGTTTTCCATTTTTCGATCATCAGGAGGAAATAAAGGGGATAAATGTGCCGAAACTGATGTCTTCATAGTCGCCTACTCGTCTCTCAGGACCGTCACCAGATTTATCTGACATTCGCAGAATTTGATACGGATTATGTACACTATATTTGTGATACCACCTCGAGCCCTAAGCTATCGACCCCTTTGGGCAAGAAACCGTCGACTCCCCCAAGCCAGATCCCGCCGCCTAAGTTGAGCTTTCTTAAAATGAACGAATATGGGCCTTTCGACATTGGAATTGAAAGCCATATGAGCTCACTTGGGCAGATTGTACTGGCTTTCTCCTGTCGGGCATGTGAGATCAGAAAGAAGGCGCTTTCAAAAGCACAGAGGCAGAAGTAAAGCGATGTATGCAAGGTGCCATCTCTATTGGAATGACAGGAAGAGAAGCTAACTGGCCAGCAGAACAAACTTGGGCTTTTTGTTACTTTGTGATAGACTCAGCAACTACATAGCTGATATATCTTTTTGTATGCTTTCTGCTTCTTCTTTTCTTTTCGATGATGGCATGTCCCAAGAGATATATGAGTGCAGTAGAAATACCATGCATCATAGAATATATATAGCTAATCTCAAATGGAAGCAACAACCGCTTGTAGAAAAATTCCCGCAATTTGCTTTGCTTCTATGTGCTATGATATGACCCCAGTGGTTTACGTAGTAGGAGTTATGTCCACGGGTTCACCAAAATCACCTTTGCTATATATAAGTTCTGTTTTATCTGCCCTCCTGAATTTATAGCTCGATCAAATAATTCTATGTAGCCAAATTCTTATAGAATCTATATTAATGAACATCTCGCTATCATATCACTTATCAGTCCATCACACGCTACGCTTACAGAGACACAGAGGTCTGCTTTATTTGACCGATTATTTCAGATAATATCAATAATAAACGCTTGGATAGAGAGCTGTGAACAGTATATTAGAAAGTCAGAGGTAGACTATGTCAAGGACAACGTCAAAGCCAAAGTGATTATCAGGGAGAGCAAGCTAGATATAGAAATTGGAGATGCTTTCAATGTAACCTAGAATTATGAAGGTGAAGCCCAAGAATAATTGGAGTCATAACTGCTCAAAATACTGATATGATTATTAAAAAGTAGATTTGACAAAAAATTGAAGATTGACAGGTTCCAGTTCAGAGATCATCCAAGCGGCCCGTGGGCGGGCCGAGGGTAGACACGTGGACCTCAACGTGTTACAGATAGGAAGGGTATTAGGTACCTACCTACTCCGTAAGTATGTACATACTATATTCAACCCCAAAGAAAATTAATATACGGAATTTACTATTCAATTTTCCCTGATGCTTTTCGTAGTGAATTTGTGGGGCTCATCGGAAGGCTCGGGAGAATATGATGGCCCTGGGGTATCCACTGTTAGACTCGCTATCAAAGTGTGAAGAGGAAAGGGTGAATTATAAAACTCATGGTATATCTGCGTTGCCAGAAGTAGCACAGAGGTAAGACTTATTTATGAAGTACAATAAGATTCTATGGAGTAAATCCCCCGTATCCGTATACCAAGCTACCTAAGTAAATGCATTTTGTTTAATTTGAGGGGAATTTGGCCCCATTTGAGTGGTCCCACTTCTTGTAGTTACTCCAATGAAATCAACTGACATTAATGCTTCGCCTCGTTCGCTTCTAGGCTGACATTTCCTTGTCTAGGCTCCAAGAAAAATCTTGTCTTTAACAATACACCCTGGCCAAGAAACTTATTCTCTTGGGTACTCTGGGCTATCTGAGGATGAGGTTTAAAGGTGCGGGGCGTATCGCTATAGCGGCCTTACAAATCCTACCATTTACCAATGTCTACGCGCTTGACTTGGATGTTAATAGTGAGGGTAAGAGATGGAATTAGGATATAGATTTTCCTTCCAAAAGACTGGATTTGCTAATTGCATTGTTTTTCAATGACTAGAATCAATAAAAAATGCCGGGAGCACCGCCGCCTTCAATATGATGACATGGTACAAAGAAAATGGAACAGACAATCCCGGTTTTATCTCAAGATCCTGGTGGACAGGAGCTGCTTTATTTCTGGCATGTCTCAATTATTGGCATGCTACGAACGACACAACATATAATGAACAAGTCAGCATCGGAATGCAACATCAGGGAGGTTCGGGCTCAGATTACATCCCTTCATGGGCGATAGGTGTAGTAAGTATCTATTTCAAGATATGTACTTCGTAGTTACCATTCTAACCATTCCTATAGGGAAATGATGATCAAATGTTCTGGGGCCTCGCAGCAATCACCGCAGCAGAATATAATTTCCCAAACCGTCCAAGTGGTGACACGTGGCTCACCCTTGCGGAGGGTGTTTTCAATAGCCAGACAGCGCCGGATGGAAAAGGCTGGGATACGACTATCTGCGGAGGTGGCCTTCGCTGGCAGAAGGAAATGTGGCAGAGTGGTTATACATTGAAGAACGCAGTGTCCAACGGTGGCTTTTTTATGCTCGCAGCACGTATCGCGTGGTTTACCCAAAAGGAGAAGTTCGCGACGTGGGCCGAAAAAGTCTGGGATTGGTCTACCTCTGTGAATTTGGTCAATAATAACACCTGGGCAGTGGCAGATAGTGTCAGTGAAGGCACTGGGGGGCCCAATGGATGCAGCCTTCCTGATCACACCCGGTGGACCTATAACTACGGTACCTATCTGTCTGGCGCTGCTTATATGTATGCCTATGTGAGTACTACTCTCATATATCCCACCTCTTGTTTTAAATATGCTAATAACAAAAATTGTAGACCAACGATACTAAATGGCTTAATATCACAAACAATCTAATGGACGCATTGTTTACTACATTTTTCCTACCTGAACACGGGGGTGTGATCACAGACTGGACTTGTGAAGGTGTGGGCCAATGCTATAAAGATGCGAATGGCCCACTTTTCAAAGGCCTTACAGTGTCGTGGCTTTCAGATGTTGCATTGATCATCCCTTCTCTCCGAGACAAGATCATACCAAGACTCCAAATCTCTGCTGAGGGTGCGGCAAAGTCATGCACCGGGGATGGCAAAAACCTCTGTGGTAACCGCTGGTATGGCGGTTATGACGGACAAAATTCAATGGAGAATGCCATCAGTGGTAGTCAGATGATGAGTGCTATCATGGTGAAATTTCAAGACTCATCCTCAAAGCCAGTCACAACAGCGACAGGAGGAAATGGAACAAGCGATCCGAGTGCTGGTACTAGGGAAGGTACGGAGCCTCCACAGTCGGCCCCTATCACAACAGCAGATAAAGCAGGAGCTGGTATCCTGACAGCGGTCTTTGTGGCCAGTATGATTGGGGGAGTGGTCTTTTTGTTTTTTGGTGGCTAAGACATCGAACAAGAGTCTATCTGGATAGTTTCTTTCATATTTTTTCAAATTATTATATTGTATATTGCCATTTTTATGCACAATGCTAAAGCTGTTACTTTTAATTGCCCAGATGGTTATACCACGTAGTGATTTGTTGATAATCTATAACTCGGAGTGCCCCATGATTTCTAACTCTGACGGGCTTTCTAATTCTGAATCGCTTCCCGAGTCTGATGGACTTTCTAATTTCGACTGTCTACCCATAGAATCAACAGACCCTTCGCGTGACCCTCGGGAGACTAGCGGGGTCTCAGGTTTGAAGATTTCAAAGCTGCAAAGGAGAGTTTCCGACACAGACATAACAGCCCCCCAGTTATCAAACTCCCCACAATACTGTCATTGGTTAATCTGACAGCCCAAAAACTGTGCGAAGGAAGTGGATAGTACTTGCATTTGTCGCAGAAAAAATAGTCACTAGGAGCCGATCGATGTGGAACTCATACCCATCTTCGACCACCATATGCGCCCGGCATATCAAGTCAAAATTATGGCGTTCAAGAAAATCCTTGATAACACGAGTGCTGAAACAATAGCTCACACCTCGTTCATTCGGTTCCCAATCCACTTCCATTTCAGCAGGGTCGCTCCAAGCAAGGTCATTGAGCAAGCCATAATCAGGGATATCAGTTGGACGTTGAAGCTGGCGAATATCATCCATATTTGTGAGGGAGGGGGATAAGCCACCATGCACACAAAAGATCTTGTCCGCGACGATACACGCAATAGGTAAGCAGTTGAACACATCAATAAACGTCTTCCAGATTTTGACATTGCACCGACGTTTGCACTCGTCGTAGAAGCCGTAGACACGGGTAACATTGACACATTCATGGTTTCCACGGAGCAACCACATGTTGTCTGGGTCTTTGAGTTTGTAGCATAAAAGTAGAAGGATTGTTTCAAGACTCTGCTTCCCTCGGTCCACATAGTCACCCAGAAATAAATACGGGGTAGTCGCTGGGGGGCCGCAATGCTCAAGGATCCTGAGCAGGTCCATGTACTGGCCATGAATGTCACCAACAATCTTCACGGGCGCCTTCACCTCTAGAAGCATAGGCTGGGAAAGTAAAATTTCCCGCGATGCAGTGCATATAGCAAAGATCTCCTTGTGACTAACGGGTAGGCGTCGTTTGACGGGTTGGGGGGAATCCAGTAACCGCGAGATTATATCGTCCAAGTCAATATCTTTTACGGCATCCATGTTCAGCGGCACTCGGAGTCTGTCCTGGCCCGCTGAAGTACCTGGATTATCATTTTCAACCAGTGTAGGTTCATGTGTCTCTTCCTGCTCCGTTACACTGGATGTCTGAGATCCATCACTGGCACCATCCAGATAATGGCTAACTTCTTCCATGCCATGCGCCACGGGGTTGAGTCTTGGCGAAGCTGGTGGGGACCGTAGTGAGTGGGGTACTGTTGATGTGGAAATATCCCTTGGTATATCCGGAACTGATACAGAATCAAGACTCTCCTGCTCAATGGTCTCAAGGTTGCCGATATGCACCTTCGGGGAGCTACTGATAGGTTCCTCCCCACCTACAGGTAAGTCACTTATTTTTTCAATCTTGGAGATATCCTCTGAAGACCCCTTCCAAACAGAAGAGGGATCCTGGTCTCTTTGGTGATCCGGGCCAACATTGGGTTGCGTACCATGTTCGCCATGAGCGTGACCCTTATTTACAGAGCGAGCATTGGGATCATCTTGATTGGCACTGACAGTCAATGTAGCAGAGACTAGCTGCTCCGATGCCAGGTGTTGAAGGATAGGATCACTCCCGACATGTGCGAATGGTTCGATACGGTCGATGACAAGACCCCATTCAGCTTGTCTTTGGTCACTGGATGAGATGTCTTTGATTGAGGGCCCTTCAGCAGGGATCTCTGACAGCGGTCCTAAATGTAAGGCTTTGTAGGACTCCATCAAACCATCACTTTCGGAAAGGGTGAAAATCGAGGTATCAATGTCACCAGACACTTCAGCGGTGGCATATTCCCCGTTGTCTTCAAAATATGGTTCGACAGACCTATCGGGGTCGTTGTAAATTGTACTTCTCTTATGAGGCTTCGAGGCGCGCGAGCTAGCACTCTCCGTATCCGAGAACTCTGCTACCTCGTCTTCATAGGGGGGTAGAGACTTCAAAGCTAGAAATCTCAAATGTCCAACAATATGATCCTCGAGATTTCCGTTGGTAACTTCGGTGACACCGCACAGTGGACATGATTCAAAAAGGGGCTTAATCGGTCGCGCATTTTTGTCAGCAAGGACCCGGACCTGTGCTTCGCTGAATTTTGCTCCATGAGCATCTCGTATATGATTGGAATATGTCTCTCTTGAGTCAAATATCAGCGGTATATGGGACTTGGAGTTGCAGCGCCAGCGCAATGCATGTTCGCGCATATGTTTTAACCACTCTTCACTGTGACGATACAACATATCTGGGCTGTCGCATTCTGTGAATAGACAAACATAGGCGTCAAGGTCATTGCGGACATGTGCTCTAATAAATATAAGTATATATCGCATAGACAATTCAAGCTCTTTCACTCTTGGGAATAGCTTACTTCCATTTCATATTGTCATTTGCCTCTAGTGCCGGGATGGTGTATAAACAGAATGGACATGCCACCTCTCCTACGGCCTGAAGACATTCGTACCAATCTCGCTGCATAGCCTGCTTCAGGGTGACTTCGGCCTGGCTTTTGATGCTCACAAGGTCTGTGGGCGACATGGAATCATTGGATAGGATATCGAGTGATGTTCGATACTCTTCCTCCCTTGCACGTTTCATTTTCTTGTACCTCCGCCTTACGTCACCTAGAGGCGCAAGTGGGAATGGTAGATCCTCGTGACTATTCAAAGCAACTGTCTTCGTAGCTGAAACTCTTGAAGGGGCTGAGGCTTTTTTGAAATTATCCACGACTAAGGTGGTCGCGCTAACCGCTGTATGCGATTTAGCACTCGGTTTGGTCCTGGTGCCTGAAGCGTCTTCAGGTCCATCATGGCGTTTTAGCGGTTCCTTCTCGACAGCAAACTGTGTGTGATGATTTGTTGGAGGTTTAACAATTGGCGCAGGGTCTGTCTGCTCAACACGGAGTGAACCTTTTCCGAACCGCTGCCTTCTGTAGAGGACTCTTTTCCGCCGCAGGACCATCGCCGACCCAAGCCGCTGCAAGAGAACTTCATCAATTTCGCGAAACTTATCACGGATATAGTTGGCAAAAACGGCCTCTAGCAACGGCTCTGCATCGTTTCCTTCCTCGTCCAAAATTCGAGATGAGGTGGCCGCTTTATCATTTCGAGCATTGCTGCTAGCTCTTCGAATGGTGTTTGAAAGGCGATGGAGCAGAGCTATTCGGCTGGAAATATCATTCATAATTGTGCCAATCTGGTCGACTGCGTCTTTTTCGACGGCATCTTGCTGGGTTCTAATGCAAGCCTCGAGAGAGGAGGAGCCTATTTGTCTTAGCAAGCCCAATAATCGGTATTGCGGGAGTTTATCTCATATCTGGGAGTTAACGCACTCTCCTGTATTCGATCACCTAACACCTCCAAAAGATCGGCTATAACTTCATGAACCTCTAATGCTTCGCGTAGGCGGTGATCCAAGGACGCTCGCCCTGAGGCAAAAACTCCGATATTGGCCGTCCATAGAGAGAACCTGGCCAGTTGATCTTCTACTAGCGATATTACTCGCGGTGAGATACATGCCGACTGCTGCAGACATTGCTGGAACGAAGCGAGACAGAGCCTAGCTGCGTCTGCGATTGTTGTCTTGGTCATTGCATTGACACCCTCTGCCAACACTCGATAAACTGACTTCAAGATGACCAAGAATCGTATAAGCCTTTATGGTTGAAATGGGAAGAGATGATGCGATCAGTTCCCGGGTTAATGTACGGGGTACCATGAGCAAATTGCTTTGCACTAAGTCAGCATCAGCCTAACCCGCATCGGCAACCCCGCCAACCTTCTCGTAAGCATAAAAACCCGACCCATGGATCCGACCTCGGGAGGCTATTACGTCCCATGGTTGGATGCATCGCCTACTATGGCTGGGATGACTAAATCAGACCACGACACAAATGTCGCTCTACTTCTGAGGACAACCGAGACGATTAGAGAGATCCTACGCGATCTTCGGAGCGATGGGGCAACCAGAGAGTCCAGACACTTCTACAGCAGCATCATGGCGCATTGTCTGGTGATTCGCGACCATATAAACCGAATAAGGCTCATTATCCTAGATGACAGTCCTCTGGTGGCCAGTATCTTGGTTCGGTTTGAGGCGACCGTGAACGCACGTATTCTGGAAGCCCAACCAGGAGTACCACAGACCGTATATCCTCGGCTGTGGGCACTGAACAAGACATGGGAAAGAGCACGGTACGATAGTAATGCGACAGAGAGAGACTTGCTTCTGCGGGCGGTCGATCTTCCCAGCGACCCAGACGAATCTGACCAATTGATTGAATTCTTTGAGAGCTGGGAAGATAATATCAACCACCAATATCCAGACGACCCTGCATCATGGCCTCAGGATGATAGTTCCGTGCCGAAAAGGCGGAATGGTCAACCCTCGTATGCCGCCTGCAACGCGTCTCAATCACTATTTCGCGCTTTCCACGAATTGAAGGACTGTGAGTGCCAGCCTATGCACGACTTCGGCGTTCGACTTTGTCTGGGAACATTCCAATATCTTTCCAATGGCGGCGAAGAAGCGACCGACCCCCTCTGTGGGTTTGAGATGTTTCTCTCTATGCAAAAAGAGTGGCACGAGGCTGATGTGCATTTTGCCAAGCACGCAACGGTAACGTTCACTGAAAGCAACGTCGTGGGCACTCGGAAGCCCAAGGCCCATGCGATGAAAGTGAAAAAGCTATGCGAGCCTATCAAGAAGCGAAAGCCCTTTGACCGAATCAAGTTAAAGATCGATGAAGATGGACTCTTGTGGAAGCTGCGGTCCGAGAAAAGTTGCTTCACTATTGACGAGACCAAAGCTCCAGTTTCTCTACAGCAATTGATCCAGGGCCAATATCGATCGCTTACAGACAAGACAAAACGTATCCTGGCGGTGCTACTTAGCTATGCGGTTCTTTATCTGCATGAGACTCCGTGGCTCCCCCCGACATGGGGACCTTCTAGTATTTTATTTTTCCATACCACATCCGCGGCCATTCCCTTGAAACCTTTCATCCAGACGCAGCTTGCACAACATGTTGCTAGCAATGGCCAAGCAAGTTATCCCATGGATTGCGACGCTGGGACTCTGAGTCCAGATGATCTTGACCCAGATGATCTTGATCCGGACGACATGGACCCGGATGACATTGACCCCGATGATATAATGCTTCATCAGTGCCCACAGCTGGTCACTTTAGGAATCATGCTGATGGAGCTTTACCTCGCAACTACATTCGATAATCTGGCGGAAAAATTTAACGTTCCTGTATCAGAGCATACTAGTCTCGACGCAGAGTTGGTCTTTCAACAATGCAAATCTGAGATCCCAGAGAATTCTCAGTTCTATTATGCTGTTGAAAAATGCCTGGATTCCAAGGTCTGGGAAGATGACAATGGAGTCAAGCTTGATGGTCAGACATTGAGGACAACAATATACCAACAAGTAGTACGACCATTAGAAGATGAGTTAAGTCAGGCATTTAGCTACATCTCCATCGAAGACTTGGATCGCATCGCACAGACCTTGGATCTCGGTAGCTGGGGGCAGGTCATCCAAAATCAACAAAGAGGCAGTCGACACTCCGACAACCCTAGGGATGACGTGCCCAAGCCCCCATTTGAGTTCACTTCGCATTACGATGTAAAAGACGCCTATCGCCAACAACAGCAATACTTTCCACTATCTCCAGATCTTTCCAAAATGATTCTATCACCTGTCCCCCACATGACTACATTGCCATATAAACAACACCCCGGGACATTGGAATACAAAGCTATGAGATTTTTTGATGATGAAACAGTCTCCGAGAAGCACTTTATGGAAGGGTGAGTGCTCCAAGGTGACAAACCAGGCCAGCTACGTCAACATAAAGACCAGCACTAACCCTCATGTCCAAGCAGAGAGAGCAACTACCATCATTGGCGTCAACGGTTCAAGGACGTGTACAATAAGTATATAACACGGCCTCCTAAGGATCAGGTCAAAATCGCCATTTTGGACACAGGTATTGATTATACTCACCCTGACGTGGATGCATGCGTTGAGCAAGTCAAGGGTGAGTATAACTGGACGAACGAGAAATTTGTCCAGCGGGTCGACGACCACAATGGACATGGCACTTTTATTGCTGGTCTACTCTTAGAGTACGCACCGGATGCAGAATTATACATATCGAAGGTATCGGACGGCAGACCATGCAGCCCCAGTATCATTGCCAAGGTGAGTGCTGCGAACTTTCTAAATCATGAAGGAAATTGACATCAGCGCACAGGCTATTGACTATGCCGTCACTGAGTGGCATGTTGATTTTATTTCGATGTCATTTGGATTCCCTTCTCGCGATATTGAAGGCTACGATGAGTTAGAGTCCGCCATTCAACGAGCGTATGCGGCAAACGTTATTCTATTTGCAGCGGCTTCCAACAGCGGCGCAAACTTGGACCGAGCTTTCCCTGCCCGTGACGAGAATGTCATATGTATTCATTCCACAGATGCCAACGGGAATCGATCCCCATTTAGCCCCACAGCTCTCGCCGACACGCTCAACCTTGCAACCGTGGGTGAGGGTGTGGAGTCTTCCTGGCCTAAGCATTTATGCGAGGACCTCTCGGGCATTAAACATAAATCTGGTACATCATATGCCACGCCAATCGCTGTTGCCATCGCGGCGTTTATTCTACAATACGCCCAATTATATCTCCCAGACAAGGCTTCCATGTTGAAGCGACAGTCAAAAATGAAGGCTGTGCTGAGGAGGATCTCCGAGAAGAGCCTAGATTCGCGAGTCCGGGACGACTATCACTTTGTTGCTTTGAATGGCTATTCCGATAACCTGTTTGGGAAAGACCAAGGATTTATCAATCATGTGTTGCGCGATATCCTAAGTCAATAGCTAGTCATCCCAGGTCAAATCAGCGTTGTAGCGACTGCATATTCAATCCACGACGTGGTATATACTAGCTACCATATCAGACCTCCAACCGACGAAGCACTCCAGATCGTGGCATCCCAACAACCAAAACCTCATCTCCCTCCGTCACCTCTACCCCTTCCCATTCCAAATCTTCAAACCCAACCTCATCATCTTCAACAACACCCACCCAGGCTTTCTCTTTCTCCTCAGCATCAGCTCCCAGCATCGCCCCTTTCCGATAATCATCCATCTTCGTCACATCCACATTCTTTCTCCCAACCTTGAATCGCTTCACCCGGAAAGCAAGCACAAAATCACCACCATTCTCCCACTGCAAATCCATCTTCCTCGATCTTGTCCCTTCAATCCCAGGTCCCGCACTTATAGGGACTGCACCTCCACTGAAAACCGTTCCATCGACACTAACCCCCAAATTCGCACTCGCCCCTTTCGCCGTCTCAGACTTCCCTGTTTTGGCTCCCATCACAACCTTTATCCCCGTAATGACATATAATGGCTTCCGGTACCGGGACCGTTCAAGCCACCGTCGCACCGCAGGAGAAGCATCAATGCAGTTCTCTTGAATGTAAGAAGTTTTCGGGACGAACTGTGTGGTGGTGATAGTATCAAAGGTCAATACCTCCTTAACACTATATATATGTCAGTTGTTCCGTACATAGTTTCGAATACGTGAAACATCGCTCCACAAAGCTACTACAAGTGACGTTCAAATCCACAAAATCAACTCCTAACCACGATAATCCAGCATTTACACATAAATCTATATAGTACATACCTACGCTCCATGCCGACTCCCGCATCAACCCCAATTCCCAAGACCATTGCCATAAATCGGGTCATGATTGACAAATTTCCTCCATTGTTTTTCTCCTGCGAGAAAGTGACGTTCTTCTTCTCAGAGGAAAAGACATCGGAGTCCGAGTTTGGTAAGCTGGCGGTATATATTGGTTGGTCGGGTGTTTGGAGCGAGGTGATGACATTTCCCAGCTGGATGGGGCCGGTAGGTGGGGGTGGGATGTCCCAGGTTGGTGCGTAGAAGTAGTAGGGAGTTTTGTTGGCCATTTCTACGAGTGTTATTGAGTTGAAAAAGGTATGTCTCTTTGGGATAGGTAGGGAAAGTCTTGATTATGGAGGTTTGTATATTATATTTGTTGCTACGAGAGGGGCATTGGTGCCCTGGAGGGGCTGTCAGCAACTAACGTAATCAGGATATACGAGTCGACATCGACAGATGAAGCATCTAACAAGATTTGTATGTATAATATATTTTGAATATAGAATTTACTTAAGGTGGGCAGTAGAGTACTGTAGGTTTTGAAAGGATACTATAGGATGGGGGTTGTCTTTTCTATTGAATATAAGATATAGTCTGAATGTGTACATAGCATTAAGATCCCCATAGATTGTATTGCGAACAAGATTATATATTTCATTAGATTCACAGTATACTACATAGATTTGAAATAGGGCTAGGCTCTATCCTACGTTCTTCCACTACCACTTCCTCCAAGCAAGCAGTCGCCTAGATCGTGGTATGCAACTCGGACAGTTGACCAAAGAGCGCTGTCTAATAACTGCTGAAAGAGGGCAAATGGGGCAGCCGCAGTGTCCAACGTTGGCTAAAAGTCTAAGGCAGCGTTGAGTGCAAGATAAATCAGAATAATGGAAAACCGAGAGAAAGGAAGAGCAGCGAAAATGGATGGATCTTTTTCAAGTCTGGAGGGCATTGATGGTTACGTGACGACGTATTGACTAAACCTAAAAAGGAAATTTACGGGCCATTTCCCAAGTAAAATACAAGTAGCTTTATCTTGCGATAACAGCTCATATCGATCTCCAGCAACCTTCATCCTTCCAACCTACATATCCTATAACGAATTGCCTTCCTTCAGTAATCTATCGCTATGGCCAAGGAAGCAAACACAAAATTACATGTCAACCAGTCCAATGAAGGAGAGGACAACAAACAAGCATCATTCCATCCACACCACATCACCCTTAAAACCTTCCACACCCTACTATCCCACTACCCAACAACGGTAGAGCGAGTTTACCGCGGTAAACTAACCCAGAAGCTGCAATCAAAAGCATTGAAAGGACCAAAGCGCAAAGCAGAGACAAATACCAGCACAGCACCGACAAAAACAGAACTCGATCCATCGCAGGAGAAGCACATTCTCGAAGAAATAGATAAGTTCCTCCAACTTGACCAGTGGCGATATGAAGAACTGCCGAAGATCATCGCGGAGCGGGCGAATGAATCCCATAAAGGAAGTGGGCTGGAGGGGACGCATTTGCTTAAGGAGGAGTTAATTGATATCATGGAATGGAAGACGTAAGTGATATTGTATTTATACATAATTCTCATGTCTAACTTACTTCTAGAAAACATGGAGTCTCTCGTCCCATGCTGATGGGAATGGTGAAAAGCAACCCAGTTGCTACGATCACCAAGTCTACATCTACTGCTTTCGCCGCCCTCCCAGATGCGGATACTGTGGCGCCGAATGATGCATTCCCTAAAGCCAGTCTGGATGCCCTTACTACGCTTATTCGTGGCGTCGGGCCGGCTACTGCATCTTTGATTTTGTCTATCGCTACGGTCTTGTATGCGAAGAAACAAGTCCCGTTTTACAGTGATGATGTATATCTTTGGTTATGTTTGATGGATTTCCCAGACGGTCGAGATGTCAAGGAGCAGACGACTTCTAAACACAAAAAGCCTAATGGGGAGTTGATTGTCAAGTACAATATGAATGAGTATCGAGATCTGTGGAATGCTGCACATGAGTTGCGGACACGGTTGAATGATGATGCTGGAAAGACTGGGGATGGACCTGTTTCTTTTGTTGATATTGAGAGGGCTGCTTATGTGCTCCGGAATATCGCTGTTTCGGATTACTATACCAGTCCAGATCCCGAGGCTAGTTGGGAGAGTGTGGAAGTTACGGAACAGGGGAATAGTCCGATATCACAGGAATCAAAGGTTGATTCTAGTGAGGTTGGCACGAGGCGGAGCAAGAGGGTGAAGCAAGGAGCTATGTGATGGAATCTGTATATTATCGAGGATCGTGACTCTCACCACACGCAGGAGCGGTCTCTTGTTTTCGCTAAAATGAGAAGGCGAGAAAATATCCAAAAAGCCATTGTATTACCCTAGATATGAGGTTACTACCTTGCCTTGCCTCCTAGCCCACCCGCTAAAATTTCATGAGTTATATTTAAAACTGCCTGTTTGAGCCTCATCACGGCTAGAGCCTAGTGGGGACGATTTGAGGATGGGATGATGCAGATCGATATCGCTAATTACGATATTTACAACATACAGTACTCTTACACATTCAGTAGGTATTCAGAACGATCTATCGCAAACCAGTCGCATTTTGTTTTTCAAATCATCGCTATGTACTCACGGCCGTCAAGTCTTGATTAAAAGCAGATATCAGATACAAGAGAGACGCATGCATCACAAGAATAAAATTGGGTAGGGGGGGTAGACAGAAGAAATTCGTCAGATCATCATGCAATCCATGCATTGCGGGCCATCGTCAAGATGGCCGGTTATTCCAGTGAATTGTGTTTGGACATGACGGGGGCTGGGGAGAAGTAGAAGTAATGGCGAGGAAATGGGAGGAGACGCAACGTCTACCGTTGAAGGGAGAACTGAGGAGAGGAGAAAGGTCAGAGCGGTAATGACACTGGGTAAGCAGTTGCAGTACAGATCGGATCAAGGCGCGTGTAATAATATTAGGGTGTTGGTACCCTGGGGTTTTTTTTGTTGTAAATTTGTCATACAGCGAATAATGATATCGTCAACACGCGATATCAACGCTTAGAGGAATTGGGCTTGCGCTCGGCAGCACGCTTGGCTTTGGCGGCATTCTCTGCGGAAGTAGAACGGAAAAAGCCCACGTGCTGGTCGTCGTTGTCACTGAATGGGACCATGGACGAGATTTTGTTAGAGCGGCCGCGCTTCAATGGCTGGGACAAGGGTGGCCCAGATTGAGGCGCAGGACTCGCCAGCGAAGGGCCAGGTTTGGCTTCGGCGGCAGCTGATGGGGCAGCGGCGCGCTCGTCGTCCTCGACCTGGATATGGCGGAACTCCTGTTCCTGCTCATCTGCTTCAGATGACGTAGAAGTGTCGGAGTCAGAAGCGGCCTCGTAGTCATCTTCGTCATCACTGACCAAGCTGGGGGCTTGATTGGATTCGACGGCGTGAGGGCTAAGAGTTTGATGATCTAGGCTGTCGGATTCCCGAGAGTGTAGTGATTGAGACTTGCCCGCCAGCGAAATGTCCAAAAAGGACTGCGGGCGGGACGGGGTGGCCTGCTCGAAGGGTGGGCTCTGTCCGCGGTCGAGGGCCTTTCGACTATCGGACGCGCCGTCGGTCTGATCAACAGGCATGCGCATGGGCTGGCGACCGGCGCGAGCACCAAGTGAGGCATGGCTGGCTCTCGCCGGCGGTCCTCGAACGTCATCCGTTTCAGAATCCTCTGAAATACCGAGATTCATAGGCTTTCGGGATTCTTCTACCAGCTTCTCCATGTTTAGACCAGCGCCACGTGATTGCATGAGAGCGGACAGATGCGGAGTAGCAGGGGAACCCAAAAACTGTGGGTTGGCAGGCTGTTGGATGTGCTCGGTTCGTGGTCGGTCGGTCGGTTCAGTAGCCAAGGGAGGCGAGGTAACGGACGTGGTAGCTGCAGCTGGTTTACCGGGGGTGCTAGCGTCCTTAGGCTTCCGAAGACGTTTCCAAGGGGTCGTAGCAACGTGGGTAGAGCGGATCAGAGGATGGACGTAGCCCGGGATTGTTGGATTGGTAGTGGGCTCAGCAGAGCCACCAACCACAGTCCCGGCGTCGTCCACCTGAACCGATTGACCACATGCCATGGCAGCAGCGTCGTGACTAGCAAAGTTGCGGTTGTGTGCAATGCGACAGTGGTTGATAAATCCCTGGGTGCTGGAGAAGTTATCGCGCCGGCAGTCTAGACAGACCAGCTTGACTAGAACACCATCCGACTTACGCCGGATGAGCATGGGCCCGGACTTCTCCTTGACCACAGGGTAACCAGCCGACAGTGCAGTATGCTTCGCGCCCGTTGAGCCTCGCTGGGGACGGGATTTGCCACCTAGCATACCAGCCTCACCAGGGTTCCCGCGTGTCGACCGACCTTCAACCGTCGAATTTGCTAGGATGCCGGAGTCGGTGTCACCGCCGTCAAAGCGAGGGTCGGGAATCAACCACCGTGCGTAGTGACGGGCGTAGGGGCCCTCCGTTACTCCCCACGGGGCAGGCGATATCGGCGCAGGACCATTTCCAGGTGCCAGCACTGACGCGCCAGTTCCGGAGCTCACATTCGACGAGACACCTGTAACACGAGATCCGGGATAAGGAATTTCGGCGCAGCGTCGCAGCTGCTCCAGAGCGACTTGACACTTGGCGATTTCCTGATCGATGAGACGAAGTTCGTTGTGCTTGAGCAATACCTCCAAGCTCAGTTGTGCGGTGATGGTATCCCGAAGTCGGGCCACACTAGGTCTGGCGGCGGCGTCCTGCGCCGGTTTCGCAGACGCGACCGGTGAGCTTGACGAGGCGGTTTGAGTAGAGGGGGGAAGAGCCGATTCAGCGATTAGGGTCGGGCGCGTAGGAACCGATTCTACGCAGACTTTCGTCGCGGGCGCATCGGTCACGTCGGAATCGGAACGTTTGCGCTTGAGCGGCAACAGAGGATTGGGATCTGTGTCGTTTGACGAGGCAGTTGGAGTAGAGGGGGGAAGAACCGATTCAGCGATCAGGGTTGGGCATGTAGAAACCGATTCCACGCAGACTTTCGTCGCGGGCGCCTCGGTCGCGTCGGAATCGGAATGTTTTCGCTCGAGCGGCAACAAAGGATTGAGATCTATGCCGTTTGACGAGATAGTTGGAGTAGAAGGGGGAAGGACCGATTCAGCGATCTGTGTCGTTGGGCGCGTAGAAATCGATTCCATACGGACTTTCGCCGCGGGCGCATCGGTCGCGTCGGAATCGGAACGTTTGCGTTTGACCGGCAACAGAGTATTGATATCTGTATTATTTGGGGCCAACATTTTGACCTCTTCCACCTTATTCCCTATAGCAGAGGGCCAAGGAAGCAGTCTGAACATGCCATGTGAGTGCATCTGGTTTTGAATTAGGTGGCAGGTGGTCCATGCGTTCCAAGTTTATTACGGAGGGAGAAAAAAAAGGAATGGACGTCGACTGCGCGACCGATTTACGGAAGGCGTAAAAATCTATTAATAAGGGAGAAGAATACAAAAAAAAAGGAGAATGGTGGGAAAGAGAATAGGTGAATAGAGAGAAGAATGGGAAAATGGGAAAGGTGAAAGGGGAGAATAAAGGGGAAAAAAAAGAAAAGAGCTGGGAAAAAGGGAGTGGAGTTATGATGTGATACTTGTTGTTCAAGTATAAATTATATGGGTAGATCATGTACCTGTCTTAAATATCTGCTTGACACGTCATTATTTATTTATTGTTATAACCATATTCACTTAACTATTCTATTCTTCTTTATTCTCTATTCAACCATTCAACAGTATTCTAATTTAACCATTCGGATGTTCACGGCTGATACCCAAGCAACTTTTGACCGATCCCATTGCATCTGCCAAGACAATAGCCCCCTGTTTCTGCCTAAGCCAACGATCTATCAATTCAATCCTAAAAACTTGAAAACCGGCTATAAACAGGTTCTACGGAGTACGGAGAACACTTCGAATACTCCGGCAAAAGTACATAGATGTGGCTGAGAAAGCAAATGGAAAGTTGTGGAACGTTATCGAATGGGCTTCCCCAGGATCTTGAACATCGCCACTATATATATTACCCCTATTTATAGTGCTTCTAGCCCTTTTGCCTTCAAATCGGGAACTCCGAGGCTCTCTGATCGACAACCCTAACTCTTCCCCGTCTTTTTAATTTATTTAATCTTTGCTTCTCTAGTATGTATATCCATTATTTTATAATCTAGAGTATGGAGTACTTACTTCCTAGTTTGTATACATATGCTAGGGGTTTCCACGTTTCCGTGGGCTATGCAGAGACTGTAAACAACTGTTTACGTGTTATCCCTTGAAAACACCGTTATCTCCCGAAGTTGACATTCCAAAATAATATCTGATAAAAAAAACCAAATCGCTTATTATCTCGATAACCTTCTACTGCGCCTCCTAACACCCGACTTCTTGGCACCCTACAATATATATATACAACATATATCATGACCAAACCCAAAATATGGATTCCAAGGTTGACCAAATACCCTTCATCAAATCACAATACAAATCTAACCGAGTGGCTTAAATACAAATATCAACCTAGTCTGGGTTTCTCGAGGGACATTGTGTGTTTACTCCGTAGTGCAACCATTATCTGGACCATTTGTGGACAATTATTTATCCTGATGCGAGGGATTGGAAATATTTTCTATTTTGGTGAGCTATCAACTTCTGGAGGTACTAATATGTTTGCCAGAGAACTTATAGTTCTGACTCGACAAAATCCTCCAGTAATATTTCTCTTAGTAAAAGGCTACGCAAGCTTATCGGAACTTTGAGTTTATCCGAGTTGCGACCCAGCGTGTCCACGGAGAGATATATATATATTGACAATTTCAATCATTTTCACTTATCACAGCAAAATCCCAACGCCAATATATTAACAGAAAAGACAGACGCTCGATTCGAGCACGTAAAAGGCATTCTGGCCTCATAAGCATAAAGCAGACCAACATACGCCGAATACATAAAACAGACATGGCCGAACAGAGAGCGAGAATGGGCCAAACGTAATGGTATAATGGATATTCAGATAGGCCAATCGGGAATCAAATCCCCGATCCAAGATAAAAAAAGAAAACAATCGTATCCATCCACACTCCTAGTTCATCTGTCCATCCCGAATACGCAAGATGAAGTTAACAACCACAGCGGCGAGTAGGGCAATGGCGAGGATGGTAGGACCGAAGCGATCATCGATACCGCTCTGCCCGCGCCGACGGATACTTTGTGCCCGCCAGTGGAATGTCACTAGCGCGTAGATCATTGCGCCCATTGCGATGACGGTAAAGAGGGCTGCGGAGATGCGACCGATGCGATCGCCGAAATTGAGGAGACCGACGGCTAGACCGCCCAGGATGACGGTGAAGTTCAGCCATGAGAGGAAGGTGCGCTCGTTTGCGAAGAAGACTTTGGGCTCGACGCGGGTTGGGAGGGCGATTCGCTTGCCTGGTGCATCGTTAGCTGTGCTCGAGGTGGAGACTGGTGTTGGTTGGGATGGGGGTGTGGTCGTTCTGCTTCTGGTTGGTGATGTTATCGCGGTGTTGGTCGGCGTAACGCTTGGGCGCCAACACTGCAATGACAGGCACAGTCTAGAAAAGCAGAATAACCACACAGCAACCAACACTGGGTGGGGGGTCTAGGTAAATTGACTCTCGGGCTGAGCTGTGGAGCTGCTGAGGTCGGAGGTCGTCGGACTTACCCGGAGCGGTTTGGAGGAGAGGTTGGCTAGACATTGGATGTGTAGATATTGGGATTGAAGATATTGTAAATTGAGGTATGGACAGTATCAGAAGAAAAATCCAATTTCAAACGAGGAGGGAGAGGCAAATTAGCGCGGGCAGGACAGTTGAGAGCTTCTTGTTCCGTACTGGGACTAGCGGATACAGCTCTCTCGCACGTGCGCCCACGATTTGCTGAGAGGATCAGGTGACTATATAGAATGGCCCTTTAGGTTTTTTTAATTTGTTTTTTTTTTTTTTTTATATGTTGTATAAGTAAGGAGTTTTAATCATATCATATTCCTATAAAGCTTGATCTTAAAACTCCATCTCTTGATACTCGAATGCCCCGAGAAATGAAGCACGCGACTAAATTACTATCAACACATATCATCCGAATATCCTCCGAATCAATAGGAAAATGCACTTATGACTCAAGATTGCATTTACAAGATCCTTTCTCACATCTTTTCCCGATGTCGCCCCGAGAAAAATGGGTCGGCAAGACTTTGTTAAGACTTCCGAGCCGATTTCACGAGGCCCGAGCACTGAAGGTCTAGAATAGGCCCACTTTTACTCGGATGGGATAATATTCGCGATATGTCTTGTTCAAGTATAAAACACGAGAGCTAGAATACTAACAAGACTAGGTCATAGTCGCCTTACCAGCCCTAAAATCCCAATCCTCGCGAATCAAATCCGCTGCTTTCTCCGCAACAGCGTAAACGCTACTAGCAATATTGCCAGAAACATTGTTTGGGAACACTGATGCATCCGCAACACGCAGTCCCTCGACACCCTTCACCCTCAGTCTACTATCCAACGCATCACCCATAGCAACAGACCCGCTAATATGGTACTCACCAGCAACGAGATCATGCACTGCTTGTCGGGCCGCATCCATATCCTGCAAGTTGACACTGGGCTCAGGGTACCTGCGCTGCAGGATGGAAGACTCCAAGTGCTTTGATTCGGCGACTTTATCGCCCCAGCGCAGGAACGCCGCCAGAAGGGAGATGTCGGCTGGGTGGCCGCCGTAGTTGGGGTTGATGACAGGGGGTTTGGTTGGGTCTGGATGTATTAGTATATCTTGATCTGGTATAAAGGTTTCGTGTTTAGTTCTAACTCACCTGCACTCTCAATATGGATAGTTCCTCTAGCCACAGGGTACTGGATACAAAGCGCCAAGGTCAAACCAGCCAGCTGATCAGCTGAACGCGGTTCAATTATCTTTGCTTGATGACCTATGGCTTGCGGATCCATGGAAGCTGTCACGGTAACAAGCTGCATATTGGCAGAGTGGTCACTCTCCAGGTGTGCAATAGTCTGCGCGAGCTGTTTCGCGTGGAACGCGCTAGTCGGTTTGATATCACGAATGCTCTGGATGATATCGGCCAACTCTGTCTCGGAGAGGATTTTCTTCGCTGGGAAGAAGCCCTGCATACTGCATATAGAGCTGAGTGGCCCACCGCTGGTTTCGGCATACTGCTTGCCGGCAGCTTCCATTGCCTCAGGCACTTGGGACAGAGTGTCAAGAGTGACAACGCCGGGGTGAACATCTAACACGCTGAGGGTGATGGCGTGGTCTAGAACATTTGCGCCGATGCCGCTATTGGCGACCTTGCACTCGACACCTGCGGCTTTGAGGATCTCCGGGTCGCCGATTCCCGATAGCTCGAGGATCTGGGGGGACTTGAGTGTCCCACCGCTGACAATTACCTCGCGCCGTGCAGAAACTTGGTACTCCACTCCGTCGTGTGTGAGGCTTACGCCGGTGGCTTTGTTACCGTCCAGTACGACACGGTTGACGAGGGCTTCACAGAGGACTTTTAGGTTCGGACGAGTCGCACGGTTCGCCTCATAGTATCCCCGTGCGGCGTAGCTGCGTTTGCCCTTGTTCGGACCGGTACGGGCCACTGCGCCGAGTGTGTGGTAGAAGCCGATGTGATCTCCGCTCCATGGGTCGATGGGCTTGCTCGTGATGCCGGTTACGTCCTCACAGGCTTTGATAATGTCATTCTCTACTGGTGGGATTGTATCATTGAAGCCGGTGCGGACGGGCCCACTGGTGCCGTGGAATTCGCCTACTAATGGCATTGTAGAGCGATCGGTGATGGATTCGTCGATTGGCTCGAGAGTCTTTCCATCTCGTTAGTTTGATGACCGGAAAGGAACCAGATGGAAAATGGAAATGCTGAGATCCTACCTGATGCTTTCGCATATATTGCTGCATATACTTTCCGGACCACCCATCGTCCTCTAATATCTCCGCCCAGTCGTCATAGTCTTGCGTGGATCCTCGCACGTACATCATATAATTGATGCCGCTGGATCCACCGAGGAGCTTTCCTCGTGGGATATGGTGGGTCAGGCCACGATTGCCTTCCTATATCCCCAGGAAAGCAGTTAGCGCATTGAAAACAGAGATGCAGTGGAGTTCAGAATAAACCTACCTGTGGTGTTGTATACATACACCAATCATACTCAGGATTCTCAAACATTTGTGAAAATGTAGCAGGAGTATCAACCAACGGATCTCCAATGAGATACTTGCCCGCCTCAATAACACCCACGGTTATATCAGGGTTCTCACTGAGGCGTGCTGCGAGGACGAGTCCTGCAGTCCCGCCGCCGCAGATGACATAGTCAAATATCGTGCGGGTGAATTCCTCGACGGGGCAGGTAGGATTTTCGGCCATTATGTCTATGGTTCAGACTTGTTAGAAGAGCGTTACGGTGATCTACAGGTTAAATAAGTACGAGAGGGGTAACGAATGCCAAATTCAGGTTGGATCAACAGCGGGGGTGAAGTTTCAGCTCCTATGTATACTAAAACAGACTAGGAGAGACTAAAATATACCAAGAGACACTAAAAGATCCTCTTAAGGCGCCCATCTAATGAGATTCAGTGAGGCTTAGACTCCGCAGCCATCGGGGAAATGCGGGGAAAAGCCCTATATTGTAACTTATATTGTGCATTCTGCAGACATGTCATACTCTCATACCAATTTAATATTTCTTCACCAAATTCCAGATCAAGAAAATCCATCCTAAATCCCCACATAGCTCCTGTTTCCACAAACCTGCAGCTGAAACGCCCACTATACCCTTTGGGTACAAGACTCTATCATCTATGGATATACTAGTGAAGTAATCCGTATGTTGTACTCCGTATTCACTCCGGATTTAAGCCGAATACTGAAACCCCTAATCGATTGAACTGGCCATGAATTCGCCACGTAACCTCCATAGGATCCGCCCAAGAAGAGAAGATAAAGATTGGTTAAAATCGCCAAGTTTTGTTGTCAGCCGCGTCCTGCAGCTGCGCGGAGGCCCCCCTAATTACCCACTAGAGCCAATTTGTTGTAGGATCAGCGGCAACTGCGTGCCCTCAGCACTGCAGATCGTCCCCGTTGGCAAAGCCATTTTTTTAGATCGCGCCGATCCTGCCAAAGCGCAAAATATCACTGGCCAGAAAACATACTTCTAAATGTGACAGGTCGCCGATCAACCGCCCATATAACGATAGTAGATGCTATTGGTGCTACGGTCGACGAAGGTGGGGGAATCTTTGAATCGTGCTGTTTGCGGCTGAATAAATTACTCCATAATCTGGTCCGTCTTGTTGTTTATCAGCCGCACAGTCTAGTTGCGTAGGGTATAAAGATTCCGCTCACTGCTCAGAGACCACCTCATCTAGGAAGGCTTGGCGGTTGACAAGAAAATCCACTGATGTACACGCTCATTGGCGGCAATTCTCAGTCCCGACCAGTCGAGAAGAAAGGGATCGTATATTTGTGTAAATCGCTTCAAAAATGCTATATGTGTAATGTATTAGTCCCACGAGTCATCCATGCGACTGCGTTCCAAAATCCTAGATGACCCAGTCACCACTTCAGTTCTCAAACTTTCATCTTCCGTTGCACCCAAGCAAGAGCCCTCTCCCACCTTGGATCTCCAGATCTCAAAGCAGCAAACAATTCCAATACCAGAGCTCTACCCGAATCTCGCGCCCACCACCGCTGCTCATCAAGCTCCCTCAACAACACCCCCCAATACATAAGAATCAGCAATGAAAACGGCTGCCGACACCGGAGGCTATCGACGAAGTCCTTGTCAACAGCCGCAAGCCAAGCAAGAACCGGCGCCGGATCTGCTGAGCGCGCAAACTTAGCATAACAATGCCTCAAATGTGCAATGACATTCTTATTAATGCCATGCTGATTGGAATAAATCCCAATCATGACCTGATCATTCAACGCCGCCAGATGCGTCAGCGCAGCCTCCGTATCTGGATCAAGCTCGGTAGGTGTCTTCTTCCAATACTCGCCCTGCGAGAATAACTCAAGTTTAATCCATGACTTGCTGACTTGCATGATTTTCTTCACGCCCTGCAACAGCTGGAATAGTATCACGATATTCTCTGTGATACTGGTGGATTCGTCTTTCGAGACAATTAATCGGGGTGACGCGATGCTAATCGCGATCATAACGATCGAATGCGCGAATACCGCATCGCAGTTTTGCGGGGTGATGGTATCGATCGCATTACGGAATGGTGTCAGGCTGCGGTTGTAGTACTGCAACCCTGTTTCGTAGTACTTGAGTGGTCCTTCTGATGGCTCGCATGTTGTTGCGATATGCATTGAGGCTAGCGCCAAGATCCCGCTCATCAGGTAGTTATGTTTGAAGGCGAGTTTTGGGACTGTTATTTGCCATATTTTTGTTTCTGACTTGCTGATGCAGAGACTTTCATATGTCTCTGTTGCGAACTTGTGTATTAGTTCTAGATTGTCGATACCGAATGAGTTTGTTTGGGTCGGCGTCGGGATTGTTGAACCGGCTGGACCCGGCATCGCTGATACGGGCGAGCCATGACCATCTAGAGACCGGGGCGCGGGTGTTGAGCTGGGTGGGGTAAGATGTGGTTTAGTGCGACGAGCGGCAGCGACTTTGAAGTATGTGCATTTTAACTCGCGGGTTGTGCAGTTTGAGCATGGTGGGCCCTGCTCGTCACATTTGACCCGCCGGGCTCTGCATTGATCGCACCCGTTGCGGGATTTGGTATGGGCGCGGAGAGGCATGTTTAAAGTTCATTCATGAGCCCAATCATGAAGACAAGTGTGTATTTCGCATGAATGGGAGAAATTACCCGGGACCTTTGGCATGTTCCCCCGTATCATGTGACCCGGGTCTAGAACAATTTGGGAAGTATATGGGTCGAGTTGGGACTTAGTATTTGTATTTTGTAGGATTTTGTGGGATCTTATGTGATCTATCCACATTCTCGGCAATATTGCTAGTACGGAGTACTGAAATTGCATTATTATATGCATGTGTTGTTGGTACGGACCAGATACCCTTGGAATATATATATCCGAAGGCTTAGCCGCTCATTGTCATAAAGCTATTATTAGACATATGATAAACATCAAATCCCAGCCGCTCTGATAATTCAACCGGAATTTGAAAAGAAACCGCACTCAAATCAGAACCGCAACAGCAACAAGACCAGCAGCCACAGCACCAATAATGCCACTGGACATCTTTTGAGCAGCGCCATCGTAAACAGGAGACGCGGAAGCAGACCCAGTAGCAGAAGAGCTACTCCAGGGGCTAGTCATAGACCGAGAAGGAGTAGGAGTAGGCATAGTCATATTCTTCTTGCCACCCATACCCATAGCGGCCATACCACTCGGGGTACCCAGAGCCGTTTTCTTTCCAATCTATCAATACAAGCAACATCAGCCCTGCGAAAAGGGGCGAGGAAGCACCCAACAAAAGATACCAAAGGCAATTTAATTTACCTCGATGATGGCAGGACCAGCAACAATATTGTCATCAGTCGCCTGCTTGTTGCCCTTGGTCAGGACGACATAGCTCTGTCCCGCAACACCCTTAGGAACAGTGACAGTGAACTTTCCATCACCCATAGACTTGAGAGGAGCCCAGACTGGACCAGTGACGGTGATGAAGGCGGCGTGGACGTCGCTGGTACTTGCGTCGAAGCTGCTGCCAGTCATAAGATGTACTTGCGAACCTGTCATGACGGCGTCCATCGAGGTCATCATGAGCGAGGGGAAAGCCTTCACGGGCAGTGCACCGTTGCTGGAGGGGCATGAGGCGATGAAAGGAGAGGCGACCGTGTACACCTCGTTGAAGCCGAGGGGGTTATCGAAGGCCTGGGCGAAGGGGACTTCGCCGACCGCGGCACGCAGGTACGCGCTGTGTCGTGCTTCTGTGGTAAGGATGCTGCCGGCGGCTGTTAGATAGGTATCGCTCATGATGGAGGCTGCGGCCCCGAGGTAGGCGCTGACTCCGACACCTGGAGAGGTAATTAGTGGTGATTGTTGGTATCGTTGGATGTATTCTTACCCTCAAGAACGCTGGCAAGGGCTAGGAACCCGCTGACATCGGTGGATGGGAAGTTGTAGGTGCATCGGGCAACAGGAGAGGCACCGGTAGCTAGAAAACGTTAGAGTAGTGTTCTTTAGTTTGCGGGTCGAGTAACAGGGACCTACCCTTGAGCGCGGAGGTCAAGAAATCAACATGCTCCTTCTCATCGGAAGCAACCTCCTTCAGGTTGGCGTAGAAAGGGTCCTTCATGCCGGCCTTGATGAAGTCCTCCTGTGTGTAGTTCTTGAGGCCCTCCGCGTAGAAAGATGCCTCAAGATGCTCAAGAGTGAGGGCGTAGTTGAGGACGTTGGCTAAAGAAGAAGAACATTAGAGGATGAAAAGCTGATTAGGTAGGGGGTGACATACCATCGCTGATAGCACGCTTCGAGACAGGGCTGGCGTTGGTAAGACCGATAGCAGCCCCGGTGAGAGCAAGATTAGTGAACTTCATTATGTGATGGTAAAACTTTGGAGATATTGTTGTGCCTGGATTGGAAGTATGACTGTAAATGAAGGACAGTCAAGCTCATTCTCAGGTAGAGGGACATGTCTTTTATAGCTGCCTCACCGGCAATTTGGAGATCCGAGGTATGAACCCTTATTCTGGGCTCAGCCATTGGAATCACCTAGCCAAGGAGAAACTAGTTATTCTTTTCCTTGTTTTGTAGGTTTCCTAGCTGATATATGGTTGACATCTCAGGTGCAAGACTGGGATCGGCGGTAGGGATTCCAGATCGAGAGAAAGGGTTGGCGGAAGATTCAGATCGATGTGAACAATAACTCCGACAGGGACAAGAGGAAGACCCAGGTTCCACAAAATATTATCTGCAGGAACCAGTGTGGATCAAATCTGGGGTACTTAGGGAACTGTCCCTGGGTAGATCATGCCTAAAGGGTAATATAAAGCCAGAGCTTTGCATACTAAAGAAGCTTATTGAGTTCTCGGGCTTATAAGTGCATGATGTGATGGCGATAGCGAGACCGAGATCGAGAGAGATATAAAAACTGGGGATAGCTAGAGCAAAGATCCTAAACGAGAACGAGACCGAGGGCGGGAGCGAGACCGAGGCGAGCCCAATTCACCAAATCACTTTTCTAAAAGAACATGTCCTATCGCATACTTGAGGTATATCATGTTGTTCCTTCCATATATTGGCTCCACGTAAATTCGCATACAACTTGAACCTCTCCTAGGCGACTCCTCTTAAACTGATTGTTGCTTCTTCAAAGGCTGCAAATTACCCTTAGCTGGCCCCTCAACACAAACTCCATCCTTGCTAAACCGACTCCCATGTACAGGGCAGTCCCAGCTCTTCTCGGTATTATTCCAACAAACAACACCCTTCATGTGAGGACAAAGTGCACTGCGCTCGTGTACCTCTCCATTTTCGTCTTTGTAGACCGCGATCGGCTGAGAAAAGCCTTTATTCAAGACCCCGCCTGTGCCGGGCGCCAGATCTTCAATATCCGTGATATCGGTTTGTAGGAAGCGCTTGTACTGCGAATTTATCTCAAGATCATGACCGAGCATCGATGGAAGCGATTTTGCCACGCTGGCCATGCGACGCGGGTCGTACAATTGACTCCATGGATTCGTCAACCCTCCGATTTCGTCGGCGATGAGCTTCCCAGCCAGAACACCATGCGTAAGTCCATTGCCACTATCACCGGTGACAATGTATGAGTGCTTAGAGCCTTGATTCTTTCCAATGTACGCCATGTAATCAACAGGCTCGAATATCTGGCCGCTCCATGCGTAGTCCACTGACCCAGCTCTAGTGAACCGGGCGCGTACCCATTGTTCCAACTCTGTAAAGCGACCGCCGGTATCTTCTTGGCCGACTTTATGGTCGCAGCCGCCAACGACGAGGTAGTCATCCTTATCGTCACACTCTGTAAGACGAAGATACTTGTACTGCTCGGCCTGATCGTAAAGTAGACAGTCCTGGATATATCCTTTAGGGACGCGGATTGCGATACAGTAGGTACGATTGTATTCCATCTGGGCAATGACAGCGAGCTTCTGCAAAGGAACACATGTTGCCTGGACGGCTTGTTTTGCGGTGACTTTGTGACCATTCTCTGTTTGGATAGTGACTCGTTCGTTTCCGAAACCCAAGACCTCGACTCCTTCTTCGGTGAGTGACATGACTCGGGTATCCGCGAAACATTTGAAGTTGGGCTGTTTCCTCAGCCACTTAACAACCCCGACGAGGTACTTTGTTGGGTGGAATGTGGCTTGATTCTCGAAAACAGCTCCGCCTCGCTGGTCCAGGCCGCCGTCCCAACCCTGGACTTTCAAGTCATCGTGGAAGCTCACTGGTAGGCCAAGATCCTTTGCCAATTTGACCTCCTCCCTCAAGGAGTCGATCTCCTTTTGGTAATCTGGATGGTCCACGGTGTATTGGGAAATTTCGTACGCTGGGAGATGGCGGAATTCACATTCGATGTTGAGGTTCCTGGCTATTTCTTCCACTCGGTTCAAGGCCCAGGTATGGCTTTCCGCGGCAATTCGCGCATTCTCCTTGCCGTGCTTCTTGGCTATTTCTGTGTATCCATCATCTAGAGCGTTGGACAAATGGCCACTGGTACGCCCGGACTCTCCAGAAAGTATTTTTCTTGCTTCGAGCAATGTGACATTTAATCCGCGGTTGACAAGTTCATAAGCAATGGAGATTCCAGCGATTCCACCTCCGACAATACAGACATCCGTTTCAATGTCTTCTTTGAGGGGTGAAAACTCAGGGTGTTTGGAGTATGGAACTTGGTGAACCCATACCGGATCTTTCTCGCCGGAGGTGTTGAGAAATTGGGCAACTGACGACATAGTAGCAGCTGCTGGTTTAATATTGGATAGATGATTGGGTATCGGGAACTGCTTCAAATGATCGGGCTTGTGGTGTGCTTTCGGTCGCGCAGTACTGAGCTTCGCGATTGAATGGAGAGTCGAGAGAGGAGCAACGTATATGACCCTGTTCAAGCAAGGCTTCAATAAGCGTGTTTGTGGTCTTAGAGTGCACAACATGAGCTCTGTAAGAATTAATATTGTCTGCAAAATGCGAGCTTCATCTGTCACCACTCATGGGGTTTTTATTATTCATTCTCATCTTTGTAGGTATGGTTGATGACGTACAAAACTGTCATTATCATTGGCGTTACAAACTCAACCTGGAAATGAAACAGTTGACGCCTTGGACAAACTGGTATACTATGTGTAAGTAGATCAAGTTAGTTCAAATTTATGAAGGAAATGGCAATTGAGGATTCAGGGTGACATCATGGAAGAATCTAGGTGAGGCCGAACAGCCCTGGAGGTATGCCCAGCCTACTTAAACAGGCTATACACCTCTGAAGTACCTTGGTTCCTATGTGTTCTACAGGTCTACAATCGCGGGGTAATCGAGTCACGCCTCGAATATCCATCATGAATTGGGCCATGATATCATAACGATGCGACTTGCTCTGTTAAGGGTGCGAATTATATACTATAAGGATATATCAATGTTGTTTATATGTTTTATAGATGACTTATCAACTATTGTGGCCACTGTCTAGCTAGACTGGTACAGTCTTGGAACATATGGGTTGATTATTGCAGATGGAGTTGAAACGACCTTCACTGTCGAGGTAATTGCATGATTTATTCTTATAGACTCACTTAAATATATTCTTTGCAGCATCCCAACCGGGTAAGGTGTCCGGACCCCCAGGTTTTCGCTCCATGAAACTATGATCTTCAGTTGCACAAGTTGGCTCCCCACTGTTCGTAGGTTCGACATCATTGGCTGCCAAATCTGCACGTTCCAAGTACTTGTGCTCGGCGCGTCCCGTCTGATCCTCCAGTCCAAGGAATTTGCCAGTTGTGCTCGCAGGATTGTTAGCCTGGCATTCAATTCAATTAGCTTCATGATCTAAACGACTCTTTCAAAGTAATGGTAAACACTGTCACTTACAGCAACATGGCCTAGTCCTAATCCTGTATCTGCTTTCTCAGTCGTTCCGCCTTTGACAAAACCGGGATCGCCCCAGCCAGATCCTCCACCGGCATTATTTGCAGGTGTGGGTTTGGCACTGGCACCTCCGGAGGTAGAAGTGGTGGGATGATTATTACTGCTGTTTGTGCCGTCTGTCATTTTGATAGAGTTGGGTGTGGACTGGAAAATGATCAAATAAGTCAGCTGTGAGAAGGGGACATGTCGAGAATATGATTATAGGCCGGCAAGTGGGTTTAGGCGTAGAAAGGCAATATGAAGTGCTGGTAAAAGTGATGGGGTTTTTACTTACAAGTTAGATGAAGAGATGGGTAGTTTAGTAATTGTTGAGAAAGAGAGAGATAAAAATTCAGGAGCATAACACTTTTATTCCTTTTGAGAATGAATCTTGCCACCCCTTGCTACTTCTACTTTACTTCATTTGTCGACCACGCACGACGTCATAAGCCATCTGATAACCCTTGGTTGCAATTGAGTTGGTGATCTTCTAGGTACAGTTCCTTGCTTTCCTTGTTAACACTGCACTTAACCTGTCTAAACTTGTCTATATCTTGAAAATTAAATTATAATCTGGAACATTACGATCTATTGGTGACCAATACCATGTCTTGACCGGTCCTTTCTTGAAATTCAGATTGGTTCATTACATTGAAATGATTTGCTTGACTTAATCCTTTGTCCATCAATGATGACATCTGCCAAGATTTACAACACGTTAAAATAAGTTTGGATTTCTTTTCCATTACATCCAACGAATACAAATGAATACAGATTCATATAGGATTCTAGAAGGAACAGAAAATAACTTGCTCAATTATTGATCGAGAAAAAAAAATGACCCCCTTTGCTCAGAACCAGCCGAGACTTTTGATTGCCTCAAACCGCCTTCCACTTTCCGTCAAGCTCAAGGACGGCAGTTATGAGGCAGTTCCATCTAGCGGGGGATTGGTGACCGCTCTTAAGGGGTTGAGTTTTTCTGACTATCTGTGGTTAGGCTGGCCCGGGGTCGAGATAAATGAACGGGACAGAGAAAGTGTGGATAAAGCCTTAGCCAAAGAAAATGCCGCCGGAATATACTTAGATGAGAGCTTAGCTCAGAGTCATTACAATGGATTCTCCAGTACGTGACCTATATTTTGGCTCTATTCACCACGCTGACCAGATATACATAGATGGTGTTTTGTGGCCCACATTACATTATCAGTCGGAAATGTCTTTCGGTAATGAGACGTGGGACGCGTACCAGCGTGTTAATGAGATCTTCGCTGATCGGATCAGTGAGGAGGCAGCGGATGGTGACTTAATATGGGTACACGATTATCACCTACTCCTCCTGCCACGTCTGCTGCGTGAGCGCCTACATGCGCAGAATAAAAGATGTCCTATAGGATTCTTTTTGCACACCCCTTTCCCAGCAGATGACTTTTGGAGAGGCCTCCCCGTCCAGAAACAGTTGCTTGATGGAGTCCTGGGTAGCGACGTCATTGGATTCCATACAGATGAGTATAAGGCGAACTTCGCTGGTGCCTGCAGTTCTCACATGTAATGTCCGAGGAGTACCGTTCAAATGGCAAGTGACTAACTATTTTACTAGTGGGGCAGATATTGAAGGCGACAAGATCCACTATAACGACCGTACGATCACCATTGATAAATATGTCGTGGGGATTGACTGCCAGAGATTTGCTTCTGCAATCGAGGATCCTGGGGTTCAGGCTAAAATCCAGGAGCTCGAGGCCCAGTACAAGGATAAAACGATCATAATTGGCGTGGACCGCATGGATTATACGAAAGGATTGCCTGAGAAATTGGAGGGCTTCCGTTTCTTCCTTGATCAACATCCTGAATGGAGCGAAAAAGTGGTGTTAATACAGATCGCCATTCCGAGTCGTGAAGATGTCAAGAAGTACCAGGACCTGGAGGAAGAAGTGAACAAGCTTGTGGGCCAGATCACTGGAAAATATGGTAAGTGTCTTCAGAAATTCATCCTGCTGCATGTCCACTTCTGGTACAGGGGCGTGGCAGATCTACAAATTTCATACTAAGGACTAAGCAGCTACTCCCAAATCGACACCCTTGCTCTACATCCACCGCTCGGTTTCTTTTGCGGAGCTTACAGCTCTGTATTCAGTGTCTGATGTCTGTCTCCTCACTTCACGCCGGGACGGGATGAACCTAGTTGCTTCTGAGTATGTCGCCTGCCAAGAGGCACGACACGGTGTGTTGGTGCTCTCTGAGTTTACCGGTGCAGCAGTCTTCCTGAAGCATGGCAGTCTATTGTTTAATCCTGCTAATGCAGAAGGCCTATCAAATGCACTTTATGAGGCTCTTACAATGGAGAAGAAGGAAAGGAAGAAATTGTATGAAAAGTTGCGGAGTTTTGTCACCACGAACACCAGGTTAGTTGTCATCTTCTCTATCATCCTTCCACCTCAAGTTCCTCCTGTCCTACCAGAGGTCCGCCAAAATTCGTAATTAGCAAAGCTAACACCCATTTTCAGTGCGAAATGGACGGAGACGTTCGTTGGAGAGCTGAATAAATTTCAGAAATAGATTAGGTAGCTTTAAGTAGTTCCAATGTTCTTTTGACATGGCAACTATTCTGGGTACAACCAAATCCAATAGTTATGCTCTTTTTATTATTACATATAGTCTCAGTACGGAGTAGATGATATGGGAACTTTCAATAGATGGGCGGCAAGGGGAGCTTTGTTGACCTAATTAGGAAAATGGACCTGATATTTCCAGTAGGGGTTGTGTATATCAGCGCCCCAGTAATAATTGGAATCTTGGCCCCTAACTATTGTAGGCAGTTCCTAGACAAGAAGCGTCAAATCAACACGCGACTCGGTCAAATTCAGCGCATACCGCTAGGACTAGTTTCCTTCAGCTATATTAGCTTCATTTTTACCCACGCCATTCTATTGGTTTGTGTAGGTCTAAGAGTGTTACAATCTACCTAAATCTCATCCCCTTATCTAAGAATATATGAGAGCTAAGACCATACGCTTTTGCCGCTCTCTGTAAGGCGAGTCTTCAATATGGCCAATGGAGTACGTGTGTTAGATTTGTACATACTGGCTCCAATCCTTTAGAGTGTCTACCTAAACCAGTTCATTGTAATCTGCACCCCAGCCGTGCTTTTGGGAACACCCAGGTGGGCCAAGGATCCTGCTTATGACCCATTGCGGAATATGGATAATGTTCCCATCACTCGTATAATATATGATAAGGGATGCTCAGCACAAAAATCCCAAAGAATGAATGTATGCAGCCCCTCCACAATGCACGCATTGTGCTTTGGAGTATATAAGCCTAGTAGCAGCCGGAACAAAAAGACTTTGGGTTCAAAAAGTCTGCCTCTTGAATCAACCAGTTGCCAATCATGGCCAACACATACTCGGGGAGGTCTGTGCCATTGATATTTTATCTTTTCACTCTTTTATCTTTTACCACGGGGGTTATCAGTTCTCCGTTATCCATAACGCCAGCACTGGGGAATTCCTCCAATCCTATCCAAATCTGTTCTTTAATACAACCTGCACGTACTGGGCTGTTTAAGAGAGAGGATAAATTAATTGAACTGAGAATCCTATCTCTTGGGGCCTCAATTACCTGGGGTGTTAACTCTGAGGATGGCAATGGCTATCGCAAGTACCTCCGTGATCAGCTTTGGGTTGATGGATGGTCAGTTGATATGGTGGGCACCAAGCATCATGGTAACATGCAAGACAATGTTCGTCAGTAAACGCATTTGGATATATGAATGATGCTAATCTATTATACTTCCATAGGCCGTTGAAGCGACTCCCGGGGATGTGATCACTGAAGTTCAACTAGCCGCCCGGGGTTCCTTCCCTTATAGACCAAACGTGGTCCTCATCAATGCCGGAGCAAATGATTGCATACTTCAGCTTGACATCCCTAATGCCGGTGCGCGCATGCGAGCCATGATCGAAGAAATTGTGCATTATGATGGCATGGAGAAGACAACCATCATCTTGTCAACTCTCATCCCATCTTTCCAAGCAGAGATTGCTACCAATATCCTCGCAGTCAATGAACAGTACCGAGAGTTGGTGACCGCAATGCGGAAGGAGGGCGTGTCAATCTCGTTGGCAGAGATGAATCCTCCATCGTCTGTTAAAGAAGACACCTTGATTTCGTGGCCGGTTGATTATACCGTGGGTGGCAAAGCTGACCCCATGCATCCAAACAATTGTGGCTACAGCAAGATGGCCAGAGTTTGGTACAGTGCCATAACGGATGCATACAACCAAAATCTTATTGTAGAGGCTAGTATTATGGCGGCCTCGGAACCCTGTGAGGATGGCAGTTGTAATGGGGCAGGGGAAGTGTATGCTAGACATTGATTAGTGCAAGATCCCAAATTCTGAGGGATTAATATATGATAATATTGATTTGAGACAGGTAAATCCACGATGCTCTAGATTATTGTAGTTACTGAAGCCACAATGGCCTGATATGAAAGGAAGTAAATATTTTTCCTAAAAAGGAAATAACCGTTGATATCAGATAATATCAGGTGACTATCGGCACCCCGCGCCAACCAATCGCCCAAAAAGAGTCTGGACCCGATTTTCCTCTCGGCCTATGTGACCACAATAATTTTCTGAACTACCCAATGAACATTGTCTATACCAAAATAAGTGGGGAATTTACATGGACGCCAGGTTTTCTGACACTTCACGTGCGATACCCGCCCATGGGGAATTTGAATCTTGATTTATGAAACCCTTCTTTTTCAACGCGACTTGGTGACTAGTTATGAGCCAGTAACTATTATGACTTCTGCAGGCGTAAGTGCCTTTCATACCCCCGAAGAAGATCCGGAGCGTCAGCGCATCCGTGATTTGTCGAGGTTTGTGGCGTTCGGTCTTTCTGTCCCACTGATCATCACTGATAATTGCCATAATAGATATTACTGTACAGTGGTTCAAGCATTCCCGGCACCTGATGGTACAAACTCTGAGGAGGAAGAGACCCCCGCAGCACCGACAGGAGATGAACAGCCCGCAGGTTGTGAGTTAGCAAAGGATATTACACTCAATGCACTCGCCCAGCTCGGCGTCCTCCGCTTCAATGCCAATCGCTGCTTCGTGTCCATAATTGACGGAGAAACCCAACATATCATTGCCGAAACGACAGGCTCAGTATCGCTGCGAGATAAGAACCGCCACAAACCAGGAGATGGTATCTATCTCGGAGCACGGTCGCTGGACCTGGTGTGGGGTGTATGTCCTCACACCGTCCGTTTGTTCACAGGCCGTGCGACGGAAAATATCGATACCAGCAATGTGACCGCCAATCGCACGCGTTACATTATCCGAGATTTCACCCTAGAGGATTGTTTCAAGGACCGACCTTACGTTCGAGACTGGCCGCACATGCGATTTTATGCTGAAGTTCCCCTATTCAGTGCATCTGGATACGTTCTGGGCTCTTATTGCATTGTCGACAACAAACCATGGACAGAATTCGGAGATGATCAGGTCAATGACCTCCAGGAAGTGGCAGATGCCATCGGATTACACTTGGAGAACGTGCGGATGAGGCAGGCTCATATCCGAACTGAGAAATTGGTCAAGGGCTTGACCAATTTTGTCAAGGATCATGTAGACTTTGATCCAGCAGAGGCCTCTAACCATGGCCGTCTTCAGTCTAGCGTCAATGCAGCGAATCTCGTACCACATGACATTGCCGCCACCACTGTGGACGCCAGCGACGACTCCGACACCACCCCGGTTCTTGATGCGCCATTGTGTCCCGCTGTTCAATGTGTTTCCCATGAATCCGGAAAATCAATTTCCTCGACCCTCGCCGGGGAAGAATCTATGTTCTTCTTGCAGGATCAGCACACCACAACTGAGCCTTCATCTCTGTACTCGGGTTTCTCAGATCAACCGATGGTACTGAGCCCCGGCGAAGAAAAGTCTCAGGGCGAAGCATTGAAGTCGGGAGAGACCACTGCATCTCAGGGTATCGATCAAAGCTTCTCGCAGTTATCATTGACGGAGAGCAAGCCCATATACGAGGGCATTTCGTCTATCTATTCGCGTGCAAGTGCGTTGCTCCGGGACTCTATGGATCTGGACGGGGTTGCATTTCTCGATGCCTGTCCAACTAATTTTGCCTTGTGAGTACCCCACTCTAGCTACCGAGTGGCATTTAATAACATTTGTTTCATCAGTGTACCTGAACAGCCCGAAACCTACGAGCCATTGACGGTTGCCGATCCCAGTTTCCCTGCTGCACCATTGCCTAGTCCCCTCGGAATGCCTCGGGTTGCGTCACAGGAATTCGACCTTCCATGTGATACTCTGAGTTGTGCGCTAAAGTTGCCATTTAAAGGGAATTCTGATCCGAATAATAAACCTAGCATACCACAGGGATTGCTTCAGCAAATGATTAAGGCCTTCCCCCAAGGTCAGATCCTGAGCCTAGATGAGACTATTGACGAGAGTGATTATCTCTCAACTGATCACAACACCCACACTTGTGCAAAATATCTTGCACGATGTCTTCCCGGTGCTAAATCCGCCCTTTTCCTTCCATTGTGGGATTGGAATAAGTCTCGCTGGCTTTCCGGGGTGTTGGTATGGACGACAAGCAGCTTCCGAGCGCTTGGGCTCGAAGAGTTGCACTATTTTAAAGTCTTTGGTGATTCTTTGATTTCTGAAGTTTCCCGAATTCATTGGGCAAGTACTGAGAGATCAAAATTCGATTTCATATCCTCTGTCAGCCACGAGCTTCGTTCACCACTGCACGGGATACTGGCGAGTGCTGAATTATTACATGCCACCACTCTTAGTCGATCACAAGAAGAGATGGTGACGATGATTGAGAAATCTGGATTGACCTTGCTGGACACAACGAATCATATGTCAGTTGACCCCAGTAAGCTTCTTGGATCTAGAAATTGTACTAATATGTTCTAGGTTGGAATTCTGCAAAGTCAACAACTTGAGACACTCGAATACCCTTAATGAACTTACCTCGGAAAATGACACGGCCAACCTTGTTTCCGATTTTAACATTAGCCATTTGGTGGAAGAAGTTGCAGACATATTGTACACCGGTCAGCGAGCACCTGAGCAGGTGAGCCAGCTCGCTAAAAGGATGTCATCCAACAAAGAAGCAACCGATTCAATCACCAAGGATTCCAGCGCACACAGCCAGATGTCTATTGTCATACGAGTCGACCAAACGGACACTTGGATGATTCGGTCCTTTCCAGGTGCCTGGAGAAGAATCGTGATGAACCTTCTCGGCAACGCGATGAAGTGGACAACAGCTGGCTTCATCGAAATCGCTTTATCAAAGGCGAGGGACAGATCAGACTCCCAATCCCCCCTTGTTCGCCTTTCAGTCACTGATACCGGCCGCGGAATCGCGCCCGATTTCATCAAGCACAAGCTATTTGCCCCATTCTCGCAAGAAGACCCGCTGTCTGAAGGTGTCGGGCTGGGCTTGAGCACGGTACAGCAATTGGTTATGTCGCTCGGGGGGCATGTGAATGTGAGGAGTGAATTGCGCGTTGGGACTCAGGCCGATGTCTACATCCCCGTTCAATACCTACCGGCTAGTCTTGGTCCGGAGGATAGCCCGGCTCCATCAACTACTCAGCCAGGAACCACCCCGATGCATGCATGCCTAGTAGGCTTCAATGGTTACCCTGATCTTACCGAGGCACCCACTGGAATACTCACTGTCGAAGGGAAACGAAACCTTTCCATTCAGAGTGCACTGGCAAACATCTTCATGACAAAGATGAAGTGGAATATCTCTCTGGCTAACTCTATCGAGGAGGCTCGTGGCCAGGTCATTGTCATTGAGCAAGAGCTACTCAGACGAGCTATGGATGAAAATAACCAACGTATCTCCGAACTTGCGGCTCAAAATGGCATTGACTTCTTCATTGTGCTAAGTGGCAATGTCCCAATCATATTGGACAGTCTCTCTGTCAACATAATCCGCGTCGCCCAACCGTAAGTTGCAATTTATCAATTCTTTTGGAATGAAAACTAATTTTTTCTGCAGGTTCGGACCACAGAAAATTTACAATGCTGTTGAAACAATCATGAAGTGGCGCGAAATCCAAATACCAACCGCGTCACCTACACCCAATCGTACTTCCTCCCCCATGCCTCCTCAGACGCGAACGGAAAATAGCTCAGACTCGGGTTCAGGTTCATATATCCCCGAGAAAGGGATTCCCGAGCCTTCGAATGAATCAATGAGCTCATCCAAAGAAGTGGACATCACCACACCTCGATCTCCCAGCAAGGAAGCACTGGCTCATGTACTCATTGTGGACGATAATGAAATTAATGTCAAGGTACTGTCCCACGCCGCTTCCCAGGTCCGAAGTCCACTAACACATACAATAGATTATGGCCACCTTCATGCGCAAAATCAACTGCAGCTACGACACAGCCCACAACGGCCTCGTTGCACTGGAGAAATACAAATCCTCCAACTTTCACTACGACTTCATCTTAATGGATATCTCAATGCCGGTGATGGACGGTCTCGTCTCTACGAGCAAGATTCGCGAATTCGAACGCGAACATCGTCTCAACCCCTCTTGCATCATGGCTGTCACTGGAGTTTCCTCCACTGGCTTCCAGGACCAGGCTGCTACGGCTGGTATCAATAACTATCTCATTAAACCCCTCTCCCTTCGCGCTCTTAAAACTCTTATGAACCTTGCATGATACCATTTGAATTTCGGATGGCTGGTCCTATACCCTCCTTGCATAGCATGGTGTTGGGTGCTCTTTTTCAATTTTCAGATCTGTATTCGATTAACGGGAATACATTTCGATTCTCAGTTTTAATACATATTTTGACTGATTTGTCCTCAAGCTGCTCCAGACCCCTACCACGTACATAACGTAATTTGATAAATGTGACACATGCCAAGGATCCCCGGATTTCTATACGGACAATCTTGGAATAATCCCTGTAGTTCTGTGCAAATCATATCCCTCGGATGTCTCTGCTCCGTCTTGGCCTTGCCAATACTTACCCCTCTCTCGTTAGTCGTGCATGTTGTGTATGTTGTACATTATCAAGAAAAGCTCAAAATGAACTACATACTTGCTTCAATAGCAGGTTCATGAAGTCGGGAGCAGTGTTGTATAAACGCATTCAGAGGACTCCCCCAAATATAACGATATAATTTGATTTATTTTGTTGTCATTTATTAATTTAAGTATAGCTCTAAGAATAAGAAACGTCTTCCACGTAGCTAAAGTGGAGCCTGTCGCAGTGTTGCATTGGGCTAGGGTGTTGAAGTCCCATTATAGTCGCATTGGGGGAGTTGAAAACCCATCAATCGTGTTGCAAGGGGCTGTGAGTCGCTCGGGCTTTGCGTCGCATGGGTGATGTTCAGGAATCAAATCTTCTCTAGAATGAGCAGCACTGCCTTGTCGCCGTGTCCCTTTACATAATCTATAAGTTCCTCAGTGACGACCTTCACCAGGCCCTCCGCCACCAACTTCTCAACCTCAGCTTTAAACCCAGCAGGCACCCAGATCTCTTCCAGGATCGTTGAGACAACAACGCCCTGAGTCTTGGTGACCCGCACAAGTTCCCGCAAAGCAGGGTCCGGTCCGACATGACCGAGAGTGAAAGTTCCCACGCAAGACACGAGATCATATGTTCCGTCCGTCTTTCCAATCGGTCGGTTCATGTCCGCAACTGTGAGGTCTCGATAGATGCCAGTCTTTCTTGCGACGGAGAGCATAGCGGGTGATAGGTCGATGCCATCGATTGCTTTGGCATTGGCCATTGCAAGAGCCACTCCCACTAGTCCGGTCCCGCATCCGGCATCGAGTATCACGCTGTTTGAGGCGCCGCCTGAGAGCCCGTATTTGATGGCGGCTTGGGCGACAAGGACGGGGGCAACGTAGTCTTGAGCACTGTCTCCGACTTCATCGTCATATGAGGCTGCCCATTTTTCGTATAGAGCCATGCAATCTTCGGTGCTGCTGCTGGCACGGGCTTGACTGAGGTATAGTTCGCTGGCGGAGCTTGAGGCCTTGGCCTGGATTGGGGTTGGGGCTAGCATCGTGAGGAATCGAGGTTTATCAGGGGGGTTGGATGTTGCGTTTTCTTGGGAAGGGTTGGGAATTTTCGGTCTAAGAGATTAGAATTGAGTGAGTAGTTGTCTGGTTCTAACCCTCTGCCGTCTGCCTTCTTATAGTGGATGTCAGTGCGGACATGGCATAGACATAGGACATGGTCCGGGATTAATGGCGTGATGCGGGGTTAGTGAATGGGCCCCAAAAGAGTGATGTTTTGTCGATCGATGATGTCGGTGGAATATAAGTTTCAAGTGAGCTGAGCCTAGGCCTGGGCATGATGCATGTTCCTGCGGTAAATATGTACCCCTCTAGACTGCTGGTTTGCTCCCGAGGTAATCAAAATACCTCTATTTTAATCAATTTATCCCTAGATTGAAGATATAGCATCCGGATTGAAGCAGCGGTTATGGCCTTCGATTCGAAGCAGTAACTTAAGCCGTACGAAAAGACCGGGTAAATTCCATGAAGTAAATACAAGTCTCACGACCCTCTTTGAAACACTTTCCAGTCATACCATGCCAAGGGAGAGTTTGCTTGGCCAATCATCAGATTTAGTCTAAGCATGCAGTCTGTTCTCATCCAGATATCCCCAATCAATCAAGATTAGATTGACATGGATGAGGCCCCACCAGGTTGACCACTAGGGTGTCGATCCATTCCTATATAGGATAAGTTTCATCTTAGCCTCAATTTATCCCAAGCCCAAGTGATGGGGTAAATGTAGAATGATCAACCTCATTTCTTTTCCCGTATTTGCGTGTAATGCATCTTTGCCTAGTTACCATTGGATGTTACTTTCTCTAAGTTTGAAGTTTGCATTGCATCTTGTTTAATCCAATAATAGTGAACCCATGAATCCGTGATTCGGAGTGAGAATAATAATTTGCCGCGGTAGCCAGTGAAGATATATGCTCAGTGACGATTCCAGTCTGTCGGACTCCGCATAAGCCCTATTTGTCGATTGGCAGATCACGTGACATTAGTTAACTACATGCCAATGTTGGTTAGTTGTATGACATTCTCCTACGTGACCTTGATTATAAGGCTTCATGGCTTTCCTACCTTTTCTGGAAACTAGTTATTTGCCAAACATCCCCCTCTTTCTTCATAAAAAATCTAGATTGGGACCAAGAACTCAGAGAATGACTATGCATGCTATGTGAATGCACATGTGATGGATCATGCCCTGATATTGAACGGCGTTGACGACCAGTAGCTTTTCTAAGCTAGAAAGCACATAGCAATCAGCAGACTGTGGGTGTGGTGAGGGATGAATGGAGGTGATATGGCATGTATTTTGCGCTTTACGCGTCTACTACCTAATTAGCCTGTCCCTGGGATAATTCTTTTATGGGCAAACATTTCTAGTTTTTGAAATCTTCAAATCCTCGTCTATGATACACTCCCATTACAAAACACTAATGACCACTAAACTTTCCTTACGGATATGACCAGTTTGGAAGTCTTTCTGCCTACCTGGCGGTCTTACCAAGGTACAAACGGACAAGGGCTTTGACGCTATATGGCATATTAGGGGGCTAAAAGCGGAAAAGAACGTGTACAGATAAAGTACATTCTATGGAGTAAAGTCTAGACACCGCAGGTAAGTTCGCTCGATATTTTACCGTCTCGTTGAGTGCTGGTCAACAAATAAACGACACCATTTTCTTCACCCTGCCTTTTATTCGTTTCTTTAGATTCTAGTGCAGATCAAAAGGCGAGGGGTACGAAGATGTGTCGATTTTGTGGAATCTTCACTGGCCGAAATTTGAGGAAGAGTGACCCTTTAAACAATATCTAAAATGACCCCGAAGCCTCATTATCCAATGAGACTAATGGAGCCAACTTTCTAGCTGGGAACTTGTAGCATCTAGCTCCATGCTGTAGCCAGGTAGCTGATATTGTACCCCCAAAGTGTTGGCTCTTGGCTGAAATTCGAATGGAGCATTCACGACTTGGTAGCCTTGGTTGTCGGTCCCTTCGGTAGGAAAAGCTGCCCTTGCCCTTTGGGCATCACTGGTTGGGAAATGCTCGGGTGTCGGGAAGATCGGGGAGGGGGGACTCTCATTATCGAACCAAAGTTCGTTACCGTCAAGGTAATTGTTGATGTCTAGGTCTGTAACGTGACCGCCCATCAACCCCTCTGGCTTTCTTGTTGCCTTGGTCTCGACGAACTTCCTGGCAACGTCGCACAAAGCGTTCAGGATTTGCAGTTGCTTACTGCAAGTGGAGTAGCGCTGGGACCGTGCCATCGACTGCAGGTTATCGACCAATCTTTGTAGGTGATCCAGGTGACTTAGGTCGGAGGTCTCAATAACATTGCAAAATAGGATCATAAATGGCATGAAGGGTGCTAGGAAGATTATCTCGCTAATCCATCGGTCGAGACTGGGGGACTGCAATTCCATGTCTCCCAGCATGGCGATGCACAGTTCCACCTCCTTGATGGCAAGTATCGCAGACGAGATACATTCTGGACAAAGTGCCAAGCGGGAGGATTGCCCCGATGGAACGCCTCTATAAATGCAAGCCAAGATTGAGTAATCCGTAGCTTGATAGGCATGCGTGATAAACCTACATAGAGCAGGATTTATCACCTGGCTAGTCCACTGACTTGGCCGTTTCTGGGGAATATTAGCCCAAGCTTCGAGGTAGGGATCAAATTTTGAATGTTTGCCGTTATCAAATGGACAATAGAGATGGGGATGGCTTACATAGAGCTCTGACCTCATCGTCATTATACCCTCAAACTCGGTAGCCAAGGACCTGGCATGAGATGCTCTAATGGAACTTGGCTGCGCCAGCGCATTCGGGCTAAATATATTGTCATACACTCGTCCGTATAGACTGGCCACATCAATCCAGTCAGGCAGCCTGTGGTATATCAAGGAAGTCATCTTGCGGTCAAGGATTAACCGAGGTACCGTGATATCGTGGTCTCTGATGGTAGAAGACCGACCAAGGCGTAGTGCCATTTCCTTCTCAATGGTATAAAGTGCCCAAAACAGACGTGTCTTGCGAGCCGTTTCCTCTGCTGATTCGTATAGGATAGCATAATTGCTATGCAAGCCAAGGGCCTGGCTCATAAGGGAAGCCTTGGATATGAATGCCCACGCCGCAAATGGTTTGCCTTGGTAGAGGCAGTAAAGAGTCTATTTGATTTAGAATTGCGAATCAGAGCTGATGTAAAACGAAATAAAGGAAAATTGGTGGTTAAACATACCGCCATGTACATAGCACAAACAGAGTCTTTGTTCGTAGTGATGTGGAAGGATAGGTTAGATAGGATTATTTCGAGAGAATCCCTGCAGATGAGAGCCTGTGTCTCGTGGTCCTGCTTGGCTATATCATCAACAGCGACAGTAGCACACTCAGTGAAGAGACAATTGAGACCATAATGAACGATGATCAGCTCCATGTCCGTCACTGGTCCGGGCGAGCACGCCTTGACGACGTATTGGGTGAAGTCTCCCAGAGATCCAAACTCAAAGGGCCAATAAAATTGGGTGGACAACCGTTCTTTCGAGGATTTAGTGAGAAAAGCGCAAATCTAGGGTCATATATAGCGCACTAACCTTGAGCGGCCCTTAGGCATGCGAGGATTCGATCCATAGAAGGTATAGGTAGATCCCTAAGATCGAGACCCGGAGGAATCGGCTTTGAGAATGGGGGTAAATCTTCTACTGCCTCATTATGCTGCTTTTGAATGCTAACCATGCTCCGCAGGGCATCCAGCGCCGGGCTCATTTCGGCGGCATCGTTCGAGTGCGGGTCAACTGCTACAGTTTCTTGTAAAAACCTGGTCGCAAATATAACATGAGCAAATAACGTAGACTCGACGCCTTTGATTTCATCGAAGGGCTGATGGCGCTTTGCGGAGGCTGGTCTGTTGTCACTGCCAGCAACTCGCGATTGGCGAGACTGAAGCTGGGGGTTTGATGGCGGTCTCAATCCAACAGGAGCCACAACCCCATTTTTGCTCCAGCATTCATGGCTTAACCGCCTCATCATCTCGCTGAGATCATCAATTTTGTCTGAAATATGCTCTATTCTATTTTCGCTGCCGATTTCGTAAATCAATGATTTAGTAATTCAACAAACAGACATGAGTAGAAGACTCATAATTAGATGTGTGGTATGAACTCACTATACACTTGAGATGAGAATCCGTTGCCGCTTTTCTCTGACCTTCTGGCCTAGCTGGTAAGTACATTGCCATCCTGTTTTGATGCAATGAGAACATGGGTGGACCCGATCACACTTGATCTGCAGCAAGAAGAGAAGAGAAAGTCAGCAGCAAGATCACTGGGCATTCCTAGATGAACCCTTCTTGTATCACTAATTCAGCTTATAAAAACATACCTTTCGCTGACGGCAACGATCACACTATAGCAGATATCAGCACTAAAACACCGCGGAAGATCATATATAATGGAAGGAAAAGAGAGCCCTACAGACAATTTCTCGGGTACCGCAATCTGAGTCTCTTCTCGACCATTTTGCCTTGAAGATCCGTCCTCCTCTAGCACGAGATCGTCATTATCATCTTCTTCTCTTGGCGCCGGATCTGTGGGGCTCTCGCTGTTGGCAGCGTATGACATCACGAGCAGATTCGTAAAATCCGCCAACGCGATGTTGGAAGACGGAATGGAAGCTGATCAATGGTGTAGAAAATAGCGCGGAGATATCGGGAAGGTAAATTCCCGACAGTTGGAATGAAAAGAAAAAAAGGAACCAGACTGTGACGGAGGTGCGGAACGCCAAGATTCCGCCTACCGCGTTCGCTTTCCTATCAACATCCATCTCTTCATATTATCGTAATGGCCTAGGTTTATCTGTGCTTTCTTTCATCCTGCTAGGATGTCCGGGTTTGGGATTTCTAATGCAATGTGGAGTTTTCCTGTAATAATTGAGATATATATCGCTAATTCCCAGCAGGCCTCAGGGCTGCCTCTTCTTATCACACTGCTTCCTACTTTCTCCCATTTTCCCTCTTTCTATATGCCAATTTTCCTCTAAACACGTTTTATGGGCTTCGACCAACTTCTCTTGAGCATTGGAACTAAGGCGCCATGAAGTATCGCGGCGTTGTGTATGATGTGGGCCTGAAGTTCAGCGAGGAAGGATTTTCCGTCGAGCCCTTCGATACTGACCAGGTATCGTATGACATGCGTGTTATTTCAAAGGAACTGCATGCCAATGCGGTCCGGATTGAGGGGGAGGATATCCATCGACTTGAAATTGCAACACGGCTTGCCCATTCGATGGGGCTCACAGTGTTCTTCAATCCATGGAAAATGAACGACGGAATAGACGGGACGCGATCCTATCTTCAAGACGCTGCGAAAACGGCAGAGCGCCTACGAAAAGAAGGCATCGATATGGTGTTTGTTGCAGGTTGCGAGTACACGATATTCAGTAAGGGTGTCTTTCCCGGCGAATCATTCATGGAGCGTGCAATGTGGCTGGGTAGCCATCTCGGGGGTAGTCATATATCGGGAGATGTCCCCACAGCCCTAGGCGAGAAGTCCCGACAACTAAACAGAGTCCTGCGGTCTTTCGTCGAAGAGGTTCGTGCCAATTTCGGTGGGCTGCTCACGTATTCGGCCGGTACCTGGGAAGGGGTAGACTGGGACATGTTTGATATTGTTGGTATCGATTACTATCGCCGAGGTGAGACCGAAGAGCAATATGTCACAGGCCTCGATCGTCACAGGGTCGGCAAGCCACTCGCCGTGATGGAGGTTGGTTGCTGCGCCTATGAGGGAGCCGCCGAGCGCGGCGATGGTGGCTTCATGCTTCTGAAGGGGACGAATTCAGACGGTAGTGGCATTTTTGAAGATGGCATAGTTCCAACACGGAGTGAGCGAGAACAAGCGGACTATCTCAGCACACAGCTCAATCTCCTCGCTACTTCGGGTGTCCACGCGGTTTTCGTTTATGTGTTTTCTTTCCCATGTATGCGAAAGGGGGAAGGAGCGAGTGACCTTGACATGATGTGTTTCTCCTTGGTCAAACACTACCCCGACCGGGAGCCGAGGTCTAATTCTATGCCGCCTTGGGAACCCAAGGAATCTTTCCACCAAGTCGCTGATTTCTTTCAGTCCCTGGCGGAGCCACTGTCCTCCGCTCAACCCACACACATTTAGTACATCTCTAGCTCCTGTCGTGGCGTGTGAATATGGTATATGGTGCTATGTACGGAAAAGTCTGGCTAAACTGTCAAACATCAATTTATCGCTGTCTATATACAGCTCCTTTCCGGGCTAGTAAATCCATCTCAGCTATGCAATGAAAATTCCAAGATACCTACAGTAATTTTCAAGGTCTATCCTCGCAACATGAGTGGAGAATAACCGACTTTTATACCCCGCTCGATGCACAACTCCGAGCAAACTGCCTCCACCAAGATGACGATGTCTGGCTCAGATCCTGTTTCTGTTGCATATCGGCATCAAACTCTACATTTGGTGGAGCTGAAAGGAACATGATCATCACCAAAGCAGCCATGCATCCAGGCTCCCGCGATAGAAAAAGTTAACGAGGTATAACTAAGAGTATCAATTTCATCAAAGATTATAATTCGTCACAAGTTGGGGTAGAATCCCACAAGTTATCTGACTGATCGGATGTTCTCTGAAGTTGCTTCAGCTACAGTGGATCTGGCGGGGAAATGCGGTGTGATTGTGTCGTTCATGCAGCTATGCAATCAAATTACGCCTAGCTCCAAGTTAAGAACTTTGATTTTATCAAGGCAGTAGGGGTTTTGGTCTCAATTATGTAGAGGGGGACCAAACAGCTTCAGCTTCACACTGTCTTGTGGGTCAATTGATCTCTTCAGACCCACTGATCTGCATCGGATCTATCGAATAGTGCTAAATTTCTCAGCTGAGGTTTGGAGTAGGTAAAAATTCTTTCTTTTCTTCATTATAAAGGTCCAGTCCAGTCCCCTCGTACATTTTACTTTGAGCCCATCTCTAACAGATAAAAATTGAATCTTGGACACTCACATCTTCAATATTTGCATTATGTCTGGAAGTGAAGATGTCCTGTTCAACGTCTGGACCTGTGACAAGGCTGGAAAGACAAATATCACCAACCGTATCTCCGTCAAAGCACCCGTCGACATAGATAATACTGCGACATTGGAGACGATTCGAGCTCTCCTTATCAAGGATAATAAGCTTGACTCCAAAAAGTGAGTTATTTACCCATCTGCTGGTGAAGTTCATGTTCTGACAGTCAAAACATCACAGAGCCAGGTTACCGTTCTGCACCAAGGATGGTGCCCGCATAGGAGATGATGCTAAATGGACCCTTTATAAGGACCTGGTCGCGGAGCAGCCTAAAGCCGTAAGGGCTCATCCGATGAATGTAAACAAACGCTGCTAACTCGCATCTCAGGACACAGAAGAAGGTGCTGGTGGCAATGAAAAGAGTCCGGCTCAAGGTCCCACTGGTCATGACGTATACTTCGAGTTATCTGAAGAGGAAACCAAGCGGTCCAAATATGTTGATCTCAGCGACACCGTCAAAAAGTTCCTGGAAACTCCGTTGGACATGAACTTCAAAGTATGTTGAATACTTATGCTTGGTATCGTTCGAGCTGACAACCGGAGTCAGAAAGACAAAGTGGACTTGCTCACCGCGAACATCAGGGACTTTAACTTGGGTGGTTATGATCATTCAGAGTTCAAGTCGAAGGCTACAGCCGATGCAATGTGAGTACAGTACAGCAGTTTTTACAAATTTCTTAAGATGCTCATAACTGATCGTGCATAGCTCGGCGGGTTCCCTGTCGGACGAAGATTGGGACATGGTCTGCCGAACCACTCACTTCTTGAATGGTCAGCGACTGGTTTTTTCCAAGAATAACCATAACGTTACAAGGACTTTCCAAAGGATGGATAAAGCGCCATATTCCTGTATGTACACATTTCACGTGCCCATTCGAACGGCATTAATCTCTCTGGTGAAGGCTTTTCTATTAAACCGAGAGACCTCAGTGAGTTGGGAACAGCTGGTCCCAACATCAAGCTTCCTAAGAATGCGGTAAGATACCATACTTAACTCTTTTCCTTTTCAGGTCTAACAATAAGGAGGCCATACACAAGTATCCTCTGTACATTGTCACAGATGATTCCTATGTCAACGTGTTTGAAACCGCCAATGCGCTCTCTACCAGTCTTGCATCCAGTAACTTTTCACAGACTGATATTGAAGCTTCAATGTGGGTCAACTGCAACCTTTGTGTACAATAAGCTAAACATTTGCAGCGGAGGAAACCTGTTTGGGATAAGTGCTGGCGCTCAGGCTGGGTACAGTGAGAACCACAATGATGCCGTCGCTAGCGCCACCGAAAGGAAACATCGGACCATGAACATCACATACAACGTAGGTAGATTCACCCTCCTATTTGTCTCAAAACTAACAAGTTAGCATAGTTTCCGAGAGTGGTACTACATTTGGACAACAGGAGTTTAGAGTTGACTCCTAACTGCAAGAAAGCCTTGGCACATGTTGAAAAACAGAAGACTGAGGAATCTTTGATAGAATTCTACCAGAGTTTTGGTTTGTCTCAATTTCCTAATTCGCTTCTATATTTCTGGAGAAGCTGCTGACACGTGTGATAGGTCACTTCTTTGCCACCAATGTGGAACTGGGTGGGAAGTTGTTTGCTACAGAGCAATTCACCTCAAAAGATACGGCAAGCACATCCGAGAAGGCAAATGCGATGAAAGCCAGCGCCGCTCTATCCTTTTCCTCTTCCTGGGTCCAGGGCTCCTTTAGTTACAGCAAGGAAACCCAGCACGCGGAAAGTTCAAGCACGCAGACCAGCAACATGAGCAAGGCACTTTCCTGGGAAGCCGTGGGCGGTGATACGACACTTTGCAACAAGTGAGCAGTTGTTAACCAGGGTTTGAAACAGACTTGCTAATTTATTGCTTAGCCCCCCAGCATGGTGTTCCACAGTCAAGCCCTTCAGGAACTGGAGAGTCATTAACGTGAGTTTGCTTCTCTATGCACACCCCAGCTTCTGGGGATTTCGTTAGCTGACTATGTCTATAGCAAAAGGACGTCATGCCAATTGGAGAATTCATCGGGACATTCGAGACATATGGCCATATCCCCGGTCTTTTTGAGCAAATTATGAATGATTCCAACAAGATAGTCATTTCCCGGTTCCGGCTGCGTGCCGATGAGGGCGCGGATGGAAAGATAGATGGAACGCAATATTACGGCCTGCGCTGCAATCCCGCCTACGAGAAGAACAGTATATTGAACCCTATCAATGAGCGAAAAGAATTGATGGCGCTAACTATGGGGCAGTTGGTTTATTCGAGGCGCTAAAACGCCGTTTACTCAACAGCCGCGAAACGCTTTACAACCACACGGCGGAACACATTGTGGCCGAGATCAACAAGGCCGAAAAGAAATTTGAGTCGGCAGGATATACAGTCAACTGGCATGAGTACATCGGAATTGACCTGGAAAATGAGCGCTCGAAACCAGGTGGCTGTGATTTTGAGGTCAGGGTTTCGACCCAACTACATCAGCCGGCATGGGTATGTGCTTTTTAGTACCGACAAGTGCAATGCGTAACTGACGTGGGACAGCTACAATACGATAGGCCATATCCGCTATACAACAGGGCCTTCAACGCTTATGTGGCAGCAGACACGACTACCCATATTGCCGGCACGGACCTCGGGCTCTTATACTTTACTACAATGCGCGAACATATCGCGTATTTCAAGTTCTTGAAAGCCAGAGATCAACATGCCACGGGGAGAATTGGCGACGGAGATCATGTGGAACTTCACTTGTGCGACAAGCACTACAGACGCATTGGACAGGTGAAGCGGTTTAGCGGGGACTGGGCAACCCTGGCCATCGAGCTATATACATCCATCATGCCGGATCTCTTGGTGTCCAACAATGCCTACATGGATTATTATAGCAACTAGAGTATAGATGATCGAGGATGAATCGGTTGGAGGGCAAGCGGGAGTTTCAGAATCAGAATAAAATACCAAAACAAAACAAAAACATACAACAGCCAAAAGTATGGCCGTGTTCACCTAGCGCCCTGCTGAATCTCCCTAGTGTCACATGACGTTTCTTCCCATCTAGTACTACCCTTCCTTTCCATCTGATAGTTTACACACATCTCACATAGTACAATACATTGTACAGTCTTTTCATGATCTCTCTTACGTTGTAGATCTTATCACGCCCATCGTTCGGCGCTGGGCGACTCGCCGCTTAATCCAGGTGGCCTTTAGGCGGCTTCAGGCGGCATCACCCACCTGAATATTCTTCACCCGAGAACCGACCAGGGTGAAGGGCGGGCTGGCAAAAGGCGTTTTTGCACATTTTGCCACAGGGAAAGATTTCGCGAACGTCTGACATGAGGAGCGACGGTGGAGGAATTATAAGCACGCGCTAGGAGCGTCTAGCAGCGGTCTCCCACTAGCCTCCCCTTATACCTTGTCCCTCTAATCCAACAATCAATATTTACCCTTATAATGACTAAGAGCAAGGACCAAACCGCCAACTTCACTTTCGTCGTGGATTTCGATAACCATGATAATTCAGAAATCTTATGTACCGTTCTTCTGAGAACTAAAGAAGACTACCGGCGTATACTTTGTATCTATGATAAGTGAGTGCCTCTCAACAACGCTTCGTCTTTAAGCAGCCACTTTTCTAGGTCTCTAATTGCTTCTGTCAGATTCCTCTCACTATACCTAAAGGCGGTGAATCCGCCTAATATTTAACCCTTTTAAGGCCGTTTATAGAGTTTGCGGTATGTAGAATGAAAGGTCGAGTCACATTAAAGCCGACTTTCTCAACCGTGGACGGATTTTAGGGAAATTTTGAGGTAGGTATAGTGTTTTATCGTGGGCAAAAATTCGCTAAAGAGACATCTACAGCAATTAGATAGGTATAATAGCTATAATTCTTCACGGAAGGAGTTCTAATCTCTCTCTAGTAGATTCTATAAGAGCTAAAGCCTATACTGAAATTGCCGTCCGCTAAGATAGACAAGGACGGAACTATCGCCAAATGACCTAACGGTACTTATGACTCAACTCTGGTGTAGGGACTTCTACGAATATCGCGGTTAGCCTACGGATCGAACGCGTGTACAGCTTAGTGTAGTCATACTGCTATACTGTTTCACCTCTGTATAAACGGGAGAACTTCACGAGTGAATTGTGCAATAAGCTAGAGCTTAAGGGGGCCCAGAAGAGGAGTCTGATGAGGCACTAGAAGCCTATATTATGGTAAGCTGTTATAAGGTATGTATGATAATCTCTTGATATAGAGAACAATATACTAACATTCGCTTAAGCATTTTATTCTTACTATTAAACGTGTGGAAGGGTTACCTATACTTGTCCTCACCTATCAGCGGGAGTTCACAAAGGGCCATTGGAGAAAAACTGAAGAGCACTTAGGGAGTATCTACGAACAAACCCTTTTCTACTACCGACGAAGGATTATGCCACAGAGAGACATCCTCGCCGAGTTACTTCCGGGAGACTTGGGTTGCGGCACCTAGACGGTCGGAACTCTCTGGCGGCTTTCCTTGCTCTTTGTGAAGAGACAGACTTTAGAGCTTATCGAAACTACCCCCGGCCACATAATGGAAAATGCTTGCTTGGAAAACCAATTGCAGAGTTCGTCTTAAACTGCCGGAACAAAATATCTATGAAAGCTAACGTTCCTTTACAAATAGGCTCGTGGCTTATAGAAGGTGGCTGCACCTCTACCGATATTATAAAGCGCGTTAACAACTCGTCGATAAGATAAGATTTGCCGAAATGTGCTTCGAGTGTGATCAATACTTTACTAAGTCTTGGGAATGGGAGGATCATTGCAGAGAGCATCTCGATTATCCAGAGGCACTTCTTCGATATGACCCGTTGGTATTCCGCAATGCCCCTATTAAAGTAGGATTTTGTCCGTTCTGCTTAGGAAACAAAAAATTATTTCCATCGAAAAGAATGGTTCAGTTTTTATAGCCCACTAGAGTGGAATGATCGTGTTAAAGCCCATTTGAGTCAATTGGACGGCAACTTTAAGTGTGGGTATTCCACTTTCTTGGTGGATTTTGAAAGGATGGAGGAATTGACATATCACCTTATTGATACCCACTATTGGCGGCCTCGACGTGAATCGCCTAAAAAGAGGAAGTATAAAGTTGAAGAGACTCCTTGACTGGGTTTTACTGGGGAAGTTTCGATCGTGTACGGGGCTAGGATTGCTTCTTTGTCTTGGTTTACTGTGCCTATCTTTCCTATGGATATCCTTGGAGTATTGTGACACAAGTCCAGTTACAGTGACGCCTGACTTCGCCTTCTATATCAGAAACAGAGATGCTCTTTTGAATCCTAATCACGCGATACATGAAAAATAACATGTAATGATCCGTAATAATGACCAGATACTTCTTTAGATTGTAAGACGGATGCAAGAGAACGGGCAAATTGTCAAAATCTTCCTTCTGCATCTCACAGTTGCTTTACTGCAGGGATTTTGGTGCTTCCTAGCGGTCTATCTGGGGTCAAGGTGATGGGCAAGGCTCAATAGTAAGGTTTTGTTTCAGAATCTCCACCAGAGCTTATCATCATGAGGTAAGCTATTTTGGTAGATGCGGTCTTCCAAATGACATCTAGAGGTAAAGTAGATCGGTTGGTGATATTGATGATGTACGATAGTAATGTGTGGATAGAGATGGGAAATACAAATGTTGTGTGGTATCAGCCATGGAGGGGGAAGAACACTTACGGGCGACTAAGTATGCCACGCTGGACATAACTCTTGTTGGTTAATATTGCCTGGCAGGATTTTAGTTTTTAGTAATATTGATATCTACAGATGCCTGAATGCTTCGATATTCGCACCTATACAAATCTGGAATTGTAATATTTCTCAGTATTGAACAGTTCCTACTATATAAAATCGGATACTAGTGGAGAAGCACCCTCCTATAGTGTTCAATACCGCTAATTTCAAGATATACCTACTTCTGTCTCTATGAAATACATATATATATATATATATCTGTACTTTAATAATCTGTTACCTATTGAACCCCTGTATAAGGCTAGATCAGGGTAGGCTGAAGTTCTGAGGTAACCTGAAGGCTAGAATATATGTAAAAAATAAGTATTAATTAGTAGGGCTATAAGCGCTAAGACTATATTTATATATAGAAATAGGGCTCCGACTAATGGGCTTGGTTAGGCTTCGAAGGTAGGGCGTATAGCCTACTGTTGGTGCGGCTATAGGCCTAAGCTCCGGCCTAACCCGGCCTATTGCGGAGGTCTAGTATAGAGTATCGCGTTTGAAGAAGATACGTTGGCTTAAAGAAGAGATATGATTCTATCTTTATAAGTATTAAGATCAATTATAATACAACATGTATATAGGTATAGAAATAAAGGAGAAGTTGAAATCATTAAAATTGTATATAGGTTTAGAGAAGGCGGCGAGATTCACGGTGAGGCATTATCCAATGAAAGAGTTATGTCCAGCGTGGCATGTCGCCCGCAAACACTGAACGGCCGGGGAATGAGGATATAGGTCAGGTGACATGCAAACAATCGAAGTTAAGCATGCAGTTATAACTATTCGAAATCAGATCTACTATTGCTCTTCGACATTGATCCAGGCTACTTTGAATGGAAATATATCTAGGAAAAACATCTTCAAAGATTTTCTACCCGATTTGTGGTCAGTCCCTTTTCGCACACGCCGTCTTCTGCACGTGATGGGCCCAAATCTCGTATTCCACCGAGATTGGGCCACTGGCCACCTGGACTCAATTATTCCATCGTGACTCTCACTGAAAACGGCACTTAACATGGGCCGCTGGTGGGGACTCCCGCTTCCCCCAGAGATCGTTTTGGAACTATTTGAGTATTTGAAACCCTCAGATGTCGTGGCTCTCGCGTAAGCCGCGGAGGGGTTCGCCTAGCTCGCTGTCTCGGCGTTTTCATCTAGTCTCCGCGAACATGGACGAACGATATTATTTTCTGCAGTTGTATGTGGACATACAAGTATTGTCGAGTATTATCTGGAAGCAGGAGCCGATCCCTACATGGCTGATGATGAGGGAAATACGCCACTGCACTGGGCCACTGCTTTCGGTCATTGTAACGTGGCGTCTTTGCTCGTTAATGTGGGAGCTGATATCAATGCACGTCATAAGAATAGGCTTAGTCCACTGGATTATGCCATTATAACGGGAAATGATCCCGTTGTGGAGGTTCTTTTGAATAAAGGAGCCATCATTACGGATGTAAGGATCGGCTAGGCTTAAAGGACGACTCTACATGCGGTTGCTATCAAGGGATATAGCCAGATTACAGAGATGCTGCTAAGCCACCGAGCTCCTATTGATGTCAAGGATGCCCATGGTCATACGCCTCTTCATTTAGCTGTTTCGGAAGGGTATCTTAAGATAGTTCGGGCACTGCTTTATACTGGAGCAACCGTCGACATTCAAGATGAGATAGGCGACTCGCCACTGCACCTCGCTGCCGGAAACGGTTATATTTCTATCGTACAGGAGCTTCTGAATAAGGGAGCAGACCCTTCTCTGCAAGGTCACGAAAATGCTACGCCATTGCACCGGGCATCTTTACTAGGTTTCGTTGACATTGTCTAGTGTCTCCTAAAAGCTGGGGCGAATGTATCTGCTCAAAGCTTAGATAGACAGACCCCTCTTCTTCAAGCTAGTGGCGCCGGCGAGGTCGCAACCGTGCGGCTGCTTCTAGATGCCGGAAGCGGACCTTCAATTCTAGATAAGAGTGGGGCCACGCCACTATACCACGCCGTCCTTTCGGGGAAAGCCACAATTGCAGATATGCTAATAATCGCTGGGGCGCATGTCGATAGCATAAATGACAAGGAACAGACCCCTTTACATTAGGTAGCAAAAGGACATGAAGAGGTAGTTTCTACTTTGTTGAATCATAAGGCTGATATACATGCTCTCAGTCATACAGAGTAGGCTCCGCTACATTAGGCAGCTAACGAGGGTTATGTTGGTATAACGACAGCTTTACTGGAAGCGGGGGCCCTCGACCAGATTCAAAATTAACATAGGGAATCGGCGCTGCACTTGGCCGCTCAAAATGGTCATAGAGCTGTCGTTCAATTGCTTATCCAATGGGGCAGTAATCCGCATCTTACCGACAATAAACTTCGCACAGCGCTACATCATACAGCTGCGGAAGGATATGAGGATATAGTAAAAATGTTGCTCAGTCTCAAAGTTAGATCAGACGTTAGAGATATCGATAGTCGGACTCCTTTATACTATGCAGTACTCCATGGGTATGTGACGATCGTAAATATACTTCTTAACCGCGGTGCCACCCTTGATAAGACCGTCAAGGAAGCCTTTTTAGAAACTGCGGAAGCTAGGCACGAATTGATGGTTCTACTTCTCATCGTACATAGAATTGACCTGTCGTTTAACGATTCAAGCGGATACACAGCGTTACACCGAGCCGTTCTGGGGAGTTAAGTTAAAGTCCTTGGTCTTCTCCTCAGAAAAGAGGCTGATAGGTCTGCCCGGGATAATAAGGGAAAGACGGCATTGCATCTTGCTGCCCAGGTGGGCGAGGACGAAATTGCCAAGATTCTTTTGGGAGATAGTGGAATAAGGAATCTTCAGGATTATAATGGCTGGACGGCTCTGCATTGGGCGGTTGACAACGAACATGAAAACACCGTCCGGACTCTCTTAGATGCTGGTGTTGATCCTAGTATTCATTCCTTCGACGCATGCACGCCGCTTGATATAGCAGAAGTTGGGGGCCTAGAAACAATGGAGCAGATGCTGCGAGAGGCATTAGCAGCGAGAAATAGACCAACTGTCGGTGGCGCGCCTTCATAAGAATTTCAATGCATTCAATTGTGTTGAGGATCCGGTACATTACCACCACAAGCACCATGACTGCAAAGCTGCAGACCAATATGTTTCGTTAAGATCACCGCATATTAATTACCACTTGTTATTACCTACTAATAACCCCATATTCTTGCGTACGTTAGCAATAGAACGCTCGCTACAGTTTACCAGCTTGGCCATTTGTGAGGTAGGGAGCTTGTTACTGCTACTTATCATCAATACATATCTCGCACCCGTCGAGGACCTGAGTGATAAAGAGATAGACCAATTAGCTAGATTATGTGAACATACGCGGTCATAGCGGTTGAGACCTGGCGGATATGGTGTTCATAAGGCCATTCCTTCGTAGTCATACGCCAAACAACAGATTCAACCCAAACCTCGGTCTCTAACGTTTCGCAAAATTTTAAACTGAACTCGTCAGTCACGTCATTATCGCATCCTATAACTCCTTAATTCCTCGACTCAAGCTTATAAGTCTCTAAGGTTCAAATTTCGGATAGTTTTCATCAACTACTTCATGATACTTAGCTATGGCCTCAAAAATCGCGATCTAACGCTAGTATTTCCCTAGTATCTACCCTATTCATCCAACCGCTCATAATATTTCGTTACCATCATAGATCCAGATTCCGCACCTCTTCAACATAAAACCTCAAATTTCTTTGAGACCGAGAGATCATCTATGCCACGACCAATCAAGATTAAGCGACTAGTACGAGGATCTATCCCGCAGGCACGGGACGATGGCAGCTACAGCTTACTGTCTGATGATAACAAAGCATTCTTCAATTCCGCTGTTCAAGCATCTCGGGAACTACTAGCTCATCTCTCATATGAAGGGTGCGATTTGGGAGGACGAGGTATGTCGCTATCGAGCAACCATTCCAAAGCGTAGGGGATTAGCTGGTAAGCCAAAGCCTGGTTCCATCCGCTAGGGTCTGTGTCGTTGTGCTCAAGCATCCTAACCTTCTGTATCTTCGTCATTGCGATCTCACGTAGACCATGTCCTTGGTGAGAGGGTTTCGTGTCGTTACTATCGCTGTCATCGTCATCGACGTTGGTGAAACGAATCGGATTGTTCAATGATGGGATCGGATCATTTCGTGATTGAGAGTCATTCGCAGTATTCGCCTGCGAAGCGGGGTTTGCTGTTGTGTCGAGAGGATGAGGGTTGGCGTCCCCCTCATTGTCCGTTTCGACGTCAGCCATGGTTGATTAAAGCTAAACGGAGCTTTTGCCGGCGGGTTCGAAGATTCCTGGATTTGATTGGTCTGATCCGGGTCCGTGCAGAGTTTGCACAAAAGTGGGGTTTTCACTGTGGGGACGGGATCGACGACGTGGTCCGGATAAAAGCTTCAGAAAAATGAGTTGCTAGTGGTCCAGCTAGCAGAGAGAGGCTCATAACCTCATGGCGATACAATACAATGTAGAATCAATAGAGAAAACAATGTATGTATTGTGTTGGACGGAGAGGAGAGAGAGGGAGAGAGAGAGCTATGGGGTTTCTATCTACATGTGATTCCTCAGGCACCCAGGCATCCAACACATGTCATGAAGCCAAAAACTGGATTCAATCAGAATTTATTTCGCCGAGTCATAATTTGAAGGCTTGTCTGACCTGCATTTCCTCCAAGCAACACTATTTTCCGTTAAAAAGGTCCGCTATTCAGTCACTGCGCCCATTGAGCTGTTGGGCGAACCCCTTGGTATCATCAATAGTAGCCTGTCCACTCTGTATGAGGGATGTCAGTTCATTCGCCAGTGAAGGTGCGCGCTCCGCCTCTGGTATTTCTCCTTCATTGACTACCACGGCGTGGAAGTCTAACACTATGCCTTCTATCTGGTTATCAATTTTTTCTTGTAGTGATTTGAGGCTTTCGGCCATGATTCCACCGTAGACATTCTTGGCATGTGTAGAGTATTTGGAAAATAACCTGGAGTTTCTCAAGTGGTCTTCCATGTGACTCTTTCGTCGTTTGTCACAACCTGGTCCTGATGTAGGGTTAATATCTAAAGATGATGTTACCAAGATGAATTTCTGCGTACCTCCCTCACTGTTACAATGATTATAACATGGCTCCATGAGCATCGAGATAAATGAATCAGTGTGATGCTCTAGCATGTCTCGCTTGGTAATCCTGAGAGATTGTTAGAGCCGTTGCTTCACTCTATGTTCAGGTGAGGTTTGCCATACTGTGTCTTCAGGAGGAGGTTTCTCATCTCATTCTTGATGTGTGTATTGATATTCTCTCGTCTATGTCCCATGTTGACAATGATATTGTGCAGTGCGTGGGGTGCAAGATGGCGATGCTCTGTAAATATGTAGAATATTAGAACGAAACCTTAAAAATTGAGTGTTTTCAAAAGAAAATAACGACTTGCCTTGGATCTCGAAACGTAGTAGTTGAAACGACATGTCAACCCCATCAGTCAAAATTTTAATTCCTGACTCCAGCCAATCCATTATGTCTTCCCATGCGGGATCCAATGCTTCACGGGTTCGCTGCATGAATTGCTCATTCCAGGGCCGCTCTTTTCCTTGTGCTCCCGTGCTCCACGTACCATAGTGTCGACAGAATGCAGCGTATGAGCTGACGTGCCACTAAAAGATCATTCAGTAATGTGCGACATATTTTTCAATATCTGTCAAAAGGTGAGAATTACGTTTACCCAGCGTTGACTGACGTTGAGGCTTTCTTGTTTCCACTGAGCTCGAGACGAATCTGTTTTATGAAGATGTCAGAGCTAGCGAAGGTAAGGCGAGGTGATTCTCCTCACCGATACAGAAGATAATAGAATTGTCAAAACGCTCTCTCAAGTCTCGAAACATGCAAGCTACATGGCCTTCCGACGATTGAAAATCCTGTTAAATATCAGTAAAACAAGCCCGAGTCACTCAAAGCATCCTTGATTCTAGGCATACCCGACGAAGAGCATCTTGAGAATCACTCAGAACACGGCGAAGTTGGGCGGCCTTTTCTGCAGTGACCGAGTCTGTACCAGAAAGCGCCCATTGACGAATTGAGCCCACCATTGCCGGGACTTCATCTTCTAGGAACGCTGTTGTTGCGCGCATTTGAGCTTCAGCCGGGACTAGCTGGCAATACCGGCGCAGCTCTCGTATACCAGTCAGCTCGAGATACCTATCTGCCTGGGTTGGGTCGCTGTTCTGATGCTCAGAGTATAGTGTGTTACTGATACAGAATACCTGGATGTCGTCATATTTCCTGCGAAGCTCGCGTGAAACGTTGAGGTTTCGCCGGTTGATGAGGAAACGCCTAATTCTGCGTTGCAAGTTAGTGTTAAAGTTGGCATGGTTGATGATCAAGGCATTGACTTACTCAAAGTCCAATTCGTCTACCTGGTCACTGTCCTGGAGTCAACATAGGTCATGGAAATGAAGGAAAGCGATATTCACCTGAGTTCCGACTCCTTCAGTGACCATTGGAGCCGATCATCTCCCTTTGATTTTATTCTTTGCGACTTAGCCTTCATCTTTTGGGCATTGACCATCTCGAGCTCTTTGTTCATTCCCCGGACGCGTCGGCCGTCTGGTCCTTGCTCACGGGAGACCTCTTCTGGTGAAACATCCTATAGATACAGTCAGAAGGACTTGTGCAGGAATAAATGGGTGAGCTTAGAACAACTATACACACCTCTGAGTTTGTGCAAATAATTCTTCGAGGCTGACTCTGTCTACATCTTCTCATGATGTCACCAACTGATTCGTCAGTCCCAACTCGAGAGATATTTGCCACAATAAAAACCTCATCACATTGATGAGCAAGGTATCTCTCAGTTGCTCGCACTCTTGCAAAATTGAGATCTCGGAGTCCTATAACGCATTAGTCAAGGCCAATGTGTGAACCTCTATATAGTTTCAACACATACCAGGCAGATCAGTCAAAACCAATCCAGTCCTTAAAATAGGTGAACTGAGATATACCCTGTCAAAGCATCAGATCAAAGCTTGTTATAGAAGCCAATGCTCAACGAACCTAATTAACTTTATAAAAGGCCATAATGCAGGGCCACCGCCCTCCGGGTGATCAGCAGCAAGATGGTCGAGAATAGATTTACATTCTTCAACGTCACCGGCAATGACTGAGTATTCGAGCGCATCAGACCCACCTTGTCGGTTTATCAAGCCGGCGTATGCCCAGCCTTCCAGCAGCGCAAGGATCTCAGAGTGTGCATCCTCAGACTCATCTGATAAGAACTCAATTGTAAGTCTTGGCTGAGACTTGAAAAGCGAGTGAAGTGTTTCCCATGATTTAACAGCTGCATCTTGGCATTTTCGTTGTTCCTCGATTGTCTGAAGCTCCCTGTAGATGGAACTAACATAGTATTTTCGGAAGTCTAGCAGGAGATGCGCAAGTAAGTTTCCTCTTTCCTCTTTGTTCATGAACTCTGCTTCGATGCTAAATGGACCGGTATGGTCTTGATCGGTGTGTCGGAATTCCGTCACCACACAGGTGCAGGCAGATCCCTCTCTGCTCTGAAATTAGGTGTCAGTGAAAGGAATTTCAGGATAAACGAACAACTGAAATGAGAGCATTCACATACGGATCGTGCTATCTTCTGGTCAAGTAGTGAGTTGATCAGCGAACTCTTGCCTGTAACAACATCAGAGACGGAACCCAAATATGAGAATGCCTGAAAATTTCCATACCAACTCCAGAGTCTCCAATAAAGCCCACAGTACGTGTGACCGGATACTGGAATCTGCTCATCTCTTCAGTACGCTTATACAGAGTGTACAAGCTCGTCGATTGATCTTGTGTCAATTCCGAAAGACGCATTGCGCTGGCAAGACTGGCCAGGTGGCCCTTAACGGCTTTCAATCCATTCTGAAGCCTAATATTGTAGATTGGGGCTGGGGGAAGAGATTCGTCCCGGATATCATTGGATATCATCTCGTTCTCGTCCTCATTCTCATAAGATTGATTAACCGCTGAAGTACTGCCACTACCTGCTGGAAAGGTTCTGGGAACTTGTACGTCTCCGGTATGCACAGAAGCAGCTACAGATTGTAGGCTTGAGCTATTCAATCCCCTACCGAATTGGCTGGTACTTAATGACCGAGAGGCGTTTTCTCCGGTAGTTCGGCTCGGACGGCAAGGGTGTATGCGTCTCGGCCTTGGACTTGGGGAGGCATTGTGTTGATCAGCATACGTGGATGACGACCGACTAGGACTCAATCGTGAATTTGGTGAGCTTCGTCGAGGGGTAGTGATGGATGATGTTTGATCTGGTTGCAGGTTTTGAAAGAGACTTATCGGTGGTTGAACTATGGGCAAGTTTCTGAGTACGCTCGAGGTTTGCCGAATTGGCAAACTTCTCTCACTGCCACTGCCGTCGTGAGACGAGGTGGGTGTGAGTATTCTTTCTGACCCAGAGGCAGTGTAGAAGGTGTCTCCCGATGAAGGGATACTCATTTTAATTGAAATTGGTTGAGTCTCTTGTCAACTACGTTCTTGGGATCCTGTGGTCTATTAGGGGAAATCTTTGTGATAAGGCTAGCATCCCCTGGCGCCTATTTCCAGTACTTGTAACACTGGTGCCCCGCCCCCTCCCCCTTTATGCACGATGCTGCGCCCTCGGTTGGCGCTATTTTAGTCGCGGATCACAATATTCAGCTACTATAGGCCTAGGGCTTCACTTGAACTTGGGCCCTTCTTAAGATAATCAAAACGGAGAGCCATATTTAGTTTAGTAATTTCGCGTAGCGAACAGGTGCTATAATCGGTTCCATAGATTTGTCGGTCCCTTGGGCCACTTTTAGCCCCCACGAGTTGGCTCGCGCGCGCGCAGTTCATCCCTGTAACAAAAGGCCGCGAACTCTTACGTGCATTGCTAGTAACCAATGGAACCCATGAAACTTCAAACATAAGGTCTCTTAGCTGTTGGCCCACCAATCAGGGAGCAAACTGCTGCTGATCTCAAGTTAATGTGGAAATTGGAGTTTTCAGGTTACCTCAAATGCGCATTCATACCCCCACTATAGCGACGCTAAGCTATATACCAGTAGACATTGTTTCCTTTTGGAGGCGATATAGATGCATGATTGGCCGTGTTGTATTTTAAAACCTTGGCGATTTCAACCTGGCCCATTACTGAGTCTTTGAGAAAGAAAACGAGTGTGTCCAAGGGCAATTTGGTTTCAAATACCTCCTTACGACCTCTCATTACAGAAAAACATGTACTTCCGCTCGACGTGTTTTGACTTAGCCAGCGTAATACTGGTTCTGTACTACTTTTGATCGAAGAAGTAAAGCTACAGTTTTGCGCCGCCGGATGGCCGGGAACACCCGGAAGGGGATTCTCTTTCCGAAATCAGCTTAGAGGGAGAGGGGAGGGGAAGGACACGTCAGCGGTTCAGGGGTGTGCAGGATATTCAGGTCTAGAATAGTGGTGTTCAGGGCATTTAGGTGAATGGGCTGAAGGGGCTGAGAGGAGGGCGGCAAAAGGGGACTTTCCAAATGAACCAAAATAATTTTTTAAAACAAAAACATACAACAGTGAGGATTCGCTGGTGGTCACCCACCCAACTACTAACTCACCGGCGTGTGGCTTAAGTACGGCTGAGCGGACGGGAAGCCCTGTTTTCCACACCCTATGGTCGTATGTGCTTGTTATTACACTAGGAAGAATGATAGAATGTAACTGGTAGTTTCAATAAGAGGGTGAGAAGTGTGGTGAATTAGGGCGACGAGGGGTGGGCACGAAGACTTATATACCTTAGCTGCCAAAACCCCATTTTGATAATTGGTTGGCTGATCGTAGAACTTGACGTAAGTAATACTTTAGTTGATCTAGACGATTTCTGAGACTGACTAGAATAGCCCGTACCAGGCCTCTCCTCCATCGACTAGGGTTTGCCCCCGCCTCACTATCTTCTCGGCTTCTGCGCTATCAAGACACAGGAAGAACCAGATAGCTAAGACGGTCAGCAGCTTCAAAAAGCTACTGATTACAGGCCTCCCTGCGTCGGTTACCACTGCCAGGATTGCTTTAATTCGCTCTCTCAAAGGATGCGCAGCGTACTAATATCGATACTCTAGCAGAACGGTCGAGACCGTCATGCCTCGTTGTGGGCTGGTGGGCAAGGGCCGACCCTCGAGAGATATCCCCGACCCATCTGTTACATCCTGAGTGCAGATGTGCGATGAACTGTGGAGTTTCCGAGGGTCTGTAACCCATCCCATCTGACGATGGGGTAGTAGGTTCACGTCCGATTAGGCTCGGAGCAATGACTGTGTTAATAACCTCGGCAATCTTCAACGACTATGAATGATCGTACTTAGTGTGGAAAATCATTGTGTCATTGTTCTATCGACCAACCATTCTCCATATATCACGCTTCTGATTCTCTCGAGCTGATACCTTTGGTGCACGAGGAACTGAATTGCTGCCTCTAGCGGCAAAGGTGAATTAGATTAGTGCTGATTTGCATTGACGGGGCTCATCAAAACTCAGGCGGATTTTATTAATTCACATTCTTCCACGTAGATTCTCCGGCGAGTGTTTGTTCTGGACCTTCCGCGTAGTGAGCAGCTCAACCTGCTCATAACTTGGAGCTGGTATTTGGTAACGGTCAGCTGGTTTTCCTAGTCATCTGTGTGTTTGACAGGCGAAGGATGGAGCGCCGAGGGAAAAGGGTGGATTTCACTGCTCAGACCATAAGTTGGGCTATAATTGGTAGGATTTGATCATATTCCCAAACCTGGAGCTGAAAAAAAGAAAGTGTATGTTAGTAACGTAGTTTGTTAGGTCGTTGTTATGGGGAAATGGCCATACCTTGGGTGGGTGAAATTATGAGGTTTCAGAAAGAGAAAGAGGTGTAGGAATATCGAAGGTGGAAGAACACAGGTAAATATGGAAGATCTTAAGTAGGAATTGAATTGAGCTCACCTTTGCGAGGATCACGTATATCTCAACGGGGGAGACGGAGTAAAGCCTAGGTGAACCCCAGGGCCCTAGTGAGTGCTTGTGTAATAAATACAAACGACCCTCATTAGTTTCATATACTCATGAACTCTAACTTATATGTAGAAAGATAGTAAGCTATCAAGCTATTATAAAATTTAGTAGTTGATCAGAACACGATGTGAATGAAAAGTGAGAAAGAGACGTGATGATGCTTAGGCAGTTTGTACCCTATAACTGGCTTTCGAAACCAGCTGACAGGGCTTAATATTGATTATCAGATCTATGTTTGTTCATCCTATCCAGAGTCAGTGTTTGCTTGCCCGTGTCACTTAAACATTCAAGGCCTCTATCCTTATTTTCAGTATGTGGGCAGAGAGCTACACCACAGTTGTTCGGATTCTAACTGTTCTTCCTCCAATTATCCCGTTCTTGGCTTTATGATGTTACTACTATCGACAAGATGCAAATCTGATTGAGTTACGGGCTTCCTCGCGTATACAGTTTCCTTGCCTGAAATCTATATTTCTAGGATCGCGGCAAATTTATGAATAGTGACGAATCGAATTTATATAATTTCCACTTGATGTATCAACATACTATAACCAAGCTGACTGCTGCCTACACGCTATATATCTGTTATTGCAATGGTCCATCCAGTTCTTTCTTTCACTTGATCAGTCTCGCAGACCATCGCTCATCTTCAGCTATCCCTCTCCCCTCCTTCCTTTATCCATCATATTGTTACCGCGGTGAGAGAAATGTCATCGCACAGTCGCCTTAGTCTGCCCATGGCCTTGGTAAGTTATTGTCATATTTGATGAAGCCCCTGGGCCTCAGGCCACACTGATATTTACCCATTTAATACAAAGCAAGCCGAGCGCACTGTAGCAGTCTACCTTGGGTTTGACAATATTATCGACCTCCAGTGGTTCGCCATCATGTGGCCATGTCTTGATGCCATGCGACTGTTGTCTTCTCTGCCCGGCCTGACCAGCGAGAGTTTTCTGTTTCGGTGCACGACTGATGGCATCCGAGTACTGCAATGCAACAACCCAGCTGGTCTCGTCGGTCCACATATCCAACAATGCTGGATGGCATCCGTGTTGATCGTTCTGCGACACAATATCGGAGTCTACCAAACTAACACCTTTGAGCAAAACCGAATTCGAACCATTGCAGCTATCGACAACATGACATCTCGCTTTTGGATTCCGGACCACATTATGGAGGAAGAGGAGGAGGTGCGATTACCTCTGTACCCAATACTTCGGCCGACAATACGGTTTAACAAGCCAGACACTATTATTCTTCACCGCTGCCTTTGTCTTCTCCAATACCTCGAACTGTTCTATGGCTCAGAGTCCAGGCGGGAAAGATACCTAGATACCCGCATGCACTGTTTTGGTGAAGATTTTGAGGTTACTGAGCAATATATCCCTTGGTGGATGCGACTATCTACGTAGGAGAAGGAACGGAAACCCATCCAAGTAAGAAGATACACATCAATCTCAAGTACTGGCGGGGGGTTCAGCTGCGACTCGTAATGTTATGCGGTCTTATTTGGCTACTTTGTAGATATTGTATACTACCCTCGTAGATTAAACTTCGTCTCTCATGTCCATCGTGGGTCATTGCGTAAAGACTTTATTTGATATACATTTATCTGCTATGCAAAGTGTGCCGTCCGGGCATAATCACTCGGCCGATCCTCTACCGTCACAGCAACTCCATAATTAACCATAATATTCCTCCTGTCACTGGGATGCGCCAATTTTTCCTGACTGCTTGACGGACTGGTAGACCGGTATGCACTGGCCGACTGGTACGACTCATCCTTTCCCCCAAAGCTATTCAAAGCAATACCTCCCCCGTACGCACCCGAGCGGTGCGATGGCATACCACTAGCTCCACGCCCCCGCAAGTTGTAGGAATCATACGGATAGGATGTCTTGGAGGGCGAGATGGCGGTTTTAACCACGCGATAGAGGCCGGGGCAACAACCGATCATGACGGCTAGAAGAATGATAGTCAGTAAAATCGATCAATATGCAAGTGGGGATACCGGCAAATATAATCATACCAATTGAGGCTTCGATAGTTCCCCATAGCGCTAGCCAGGATGGGGCAGGCACGCCGTTCTCAGTCTCACCTAGCTGGACGACGCGAATGGTGGAAATGATAATGCAAACCCAGCCAAAGCAAAAGAGCCCTCCAATGCTCAGCTTTTGGCGCGGTTTCATCTGCAGGTTCCAGATGAGGCGGATGGGGAGAATCATGACTTGGTGGGGTATTAGGTTAATTATTTTGAACGAAGGAGCACGATACGTACTTGCTAGATCAGTGACTATGTCCACCGCGTATGAGTAGTATAAACTGATGACAGCCGCCCGATGATCGCGTGGAGTGCTGCATTTGCCTACAGTAAACCAGTTGTGGAAGCTCGAGCATGAGAGCCATGATGAGAGAATGCAACCAATAATAAACTGAGCCGAACGTTGTCAGTTAAACGTTCGCACTCAGATAGAAAATCCATACCAGGACACAGAATCCCATAATAACCCACCAGGCGATGAGGTATTTTCTTCCAACCAACAATCGCTTATACATCGCCATGAGCGAAAACTTGATCATCCACAAACAAATCCATAACGAAGATGTCGTGACAAAGAAAACAGTCTGTAATTTGAGTCCATCGTCCGGGAGGGTGGCATAGGGAGGAATCGTTCCAGCAGAGACCTCTGCTATCCGCAAGATGACGGGGGAGATGTAGATGTAGAGAATGGTCAATTCCAAGAAGAATATGTAAGCGACAATTAGAAGGTAGTCCTCAGCCTTAAGGTCCTTGAAACTTCGAATAGAACCAGCAAAGCGAGTGCCGAGAACCAGAGAGGTGAGTACAATCAAGGCAATGCCAGTACCTTTGATGGTACCATGCCCAAAAGTGCCTGTAGCATCTCCCATTCCTTCGTGTGAGACTGAATTTTAGGAACCAGGAGCCGCGTGGGGCCACTTCATCCATATAAAGTCATGCCAGAATGTCCTCCACATGGCAGCCCATTTTCTTTAGCGGCAGATGAGAACCTGCAGCCACCACCTAGTCGTGCATGTTTTAAGGTAAGCAGGGATTGTAAAACTTCCAGGGCAATCTACACACTCGTCTTACTTACTGCAGGAATTACTGAGATGCAGCCCCCACCTGACTTAGACCAATCGCTGACGAGATATATAGTACCCAGTGGAGTGGTTGACCCGCTCCTCACCCCAGTTCTTTCATATTGTTCTCCCAATGGGCCACGGAAGCCGATAGCGGGCCAGGGCACACATCCATGGATGGAGAGATCTTGGAAGAAAAAAAAATATTGAAGGGTCAAGACATGCGAACAATATCCATTGAAATACCCGATCAGTCGATAAAAGGGGCAAAAAATTCCCCGCAAAAACAAAAGTCACGGTAGATTTAGTGAATGCCGGTGAAAAGTACGGAGTACCTAGGCTGATATTGTGAATTGAGTTTTGGCCTTGTGTCTCAAACTAAACCGACGCCTGCATGAGCCTCGGACCTCCGGAGCCATCGGCTTTTACGTGGCGTTCTGAATAGCGTGCTCGCTTAGGAAATTCCTCATGTCACCCCTTTTTCGAGAATATGTCTGGCTGAAGACTCGAGGAAAAGAGAGTGTTTGTAGCCGAAAGGAAGAACTTTATCTAATAATAATATTGGGGAGCGAACAAGCGCTGGCGCTACTGAGAGTCTAGACGGCAAAACCACAAGGCCATTGTTATGAGCTACATCACTAGCTCAATCTATCGGGCTGCGCCGCTTCGCTTAGATTCAGAAGCGAAATTGTTTTACGCGTTTACGAAAACGAACAGTATCTTCAAGGGTTTGAAGGTACTTAATACCATAATATACTCCAATTATACGACCCCCTTAATTACAACTAAGAACCCGACACCAGGGACCATCCCCGGAACCTCATCGGACTAGAGATTTTGATCAGCTAACGCCGGAGAAAGTTAAAAGACAGTAATTCTCCTTTTGTTTTCTTTTTTTTTCCCTTCCAAGTCTTTACATTTGTCCAGACCTCAAATTTGTTTGTATTTTGGTTTGCTTATCTAAGTTTTGGATCATGCATTTCTCAACCCTCATTGGCGGGTTATCCGCGATTGGCGGGCTGTCCCTGGCCCACGCCGCTGTGGCCAACACGATTGAAGCCGACAATTTCAATGTCACCGCCGCATTGGAGGACCTCGGTGTGGATGTGTCGAAAATCCCCGCATTAGATTCATATGCCGACATTGAGACACGGTCAACTGAGAAGGCCTGTGCAGCTGCTGTAAGTGAAACACTGATATCAATAGCAAAATTGGCTTCGAGCAATGGCTGATTCTAATTTACTCTTAGTGCGCAAGTTTGAGCTTCGTGTTTGGCGCCAAAGTCTCTGCCCAAAACTCTGATGGGTACAACACCTTTACTAGCTCATTCTGGTCGGTGCAGCAAGAAGAGGTCCTGCCTCATTGTGTTTTCCGTCCTACCAAGAACGTTGAGGTCAGCACTGCAGTTTTACTTGCCCGTTTGACTGGTTGCGAGTTTGCTGTTCGCAGTGGCGGTCATGCTGCCTTTACCGGTGCTTCTAGTGCCCCCGGTGGAATCAGCATTTGGTTCAAGGATATGAAGGCCGTTACACTTAACGAGGATAAGACTGTCGCTTCTATTGGACCTGGAAACAACTGGCTCACTACCTACTCTGCCCTCGAGCCCTACGGCCTGGCTGTTGTTGGAGGTCGTGCCTCTAGCATTGGTATTGGTGGTTTTGTTTTGGGTGGTGGAATCTCCTACCACTCCAACCTGTACGGTTGGTCTAACGACAATGTTCAGAGCTTTGAGGTACGATTCTACGATCGTCATACCCCCCAGAAAATGAATACTAACAATTCCTATGTAGGTCGTCACCGCGAGCGGTTTGATTGTAACTGCAAGTGCAACTCACTTCCCTGACCTGTACTGGGCTCTGCGCGGTGGCGGTAGCAACTTCGGTCTTGTCACCAAGTACAATCTATACACCATCCCCTCTGAAAAGATGTACGGTGGTGCCAGAATCTTCCTTCAGACCGAGTTCCCCGCTGTTATCAATGCCTTTGTCAATGTCGTCAACAATGCCACCGTCGACCCCAACGCCCAGCAATTCGTCGCCTTCGTCTCTAGCCAAGGAATGAACCTTGCCACCGCCGAGCTGACCTACCTTAAGAACGACCCCAACCCCGAGATCTTCAAGCAATACAAGAACATCTCGGCCATCTCCGACACAGCCAGTGCCAAGACTCTTGTTGAGTACGTCAAGTACCTCGAGACCGAGAACCCCTTCCACCACCGCGAGGTATACTGGCCCATCAGCGCTGCTCTCGACGAGAAATTCGCCAACTGGGTCGTGGAGCTCTTCTTCTCCCTGACCCCCCAGATGGCCAATGTTGCCGGCGCCCAGCCTGTGCTCATCTACCAGGCCATCACCGAGCCCATGTTGAAGAAGATGAACAACTACGGCGGCAACCCCCTTGGACTTGCTGACGCCACTGGCCCGGTTCACCTCTTGCACGTTGCCTTCATGTGGGATAAGGCGTCTGACGATAACACCGTCTATGCATTTGTCAACGGTTTCCTGGAGAAGGTCATTGCCGAGGCTAAGGTCCGTGGCCTCTTCAACGAGTACATCTACATGAACTACGCCAGCATGTTCCAGGATGTTGTCTCTGGATATGGTGCTGCCAACAAGGCTCAGCTGAAGAAGATCGCCAAAAAGTACGACCCCAGGGGAGTTTACCAGACTCTCCAGCCTGGCTACTTCAAGCTTGATGGTGCTCCCGTCACTCGCGCTTTCTAGGCATACTTTGATATAAAGATGTCATCTACCACTGTATTTAAACTATATGTACAAAATTTCTAGGTAATAGCAAATTATCTACATCATAATTTGTGAATTATATTTTATTGGATCCATTGTGCTTGAAGGATGTTGTAGAAATAAGAAGTGGTCTGAACATAACCCAACCACGTGGTTCAATCACAGTTTATTCCATGGATACGTGCCAGTTTCCACCCATGTATAGTCCTAAGTTTATCGACAACCATTTCCATATTACATCATCCACCAAATCTGACCTTCAAGTTCTCAGGCCCGACTTTTATACTATATATTTGCACCAAGTCGAGTGTTCAACTGTATAGCTAGGAGACATTGGACAGAGGACCCAAATATACCTACCTTGTGCATACCTGCCATGTGACATATTTTGTGGGGACGGGCCAATATATCAACATCGCCAGATGATATAAGAGCTTCTCGTCTTATTAAGCTAACAGTTGTATCTTGACTGAGCTTTCATATCCACCGCTACCTATAACTATGGGAGAAATATCTGTTGAGAAAGCTGAGTTTCGTATCATGCAGAGTACCGAAATTATGCACGATACATCACACCGCGAGTATCGCATTGCCAACTGGACTGAGCATGCGGACAACCATAGAACATCTACGGATGAATGTTGACCGTCATAATCAAAAGTTCCTGAATCCTCTTTTCTTTGCATCCAGATTGTCATATATTGTTACCTCTACATTACATAGTACAAAAACCATAAATCTCGCAATTTATACTTCATCGTTCTGGTATACATCCTCAGTAGCATTCGTCAATTTTCACTATAGCCACGGATGAACGGCATACAAAGCCTAGCATGGCACACTTCACTAACAACTGACGTAAGGCCCTCCTGCATTATAAATAGCTTTCCCAACACAATTAGTCGCCTGCAATGGTAGTTTAAACCGTATAACGTAGGTGTACAGTGGCAGACCTCCTTTCTCGTCATGGTAATCCAAGTCGACCTTCCAGTCAGTGACAATACCACAGTCGTCAGCACCAGCTCTTAAATCATCTTCATTACCGTTGGGGAAGGACTCGGTCCAGATTGTGAACGAATCATGCCAGACTTCGTATTTCCTCTCACAGACATGTGCGTATGGGTTTGGAACGAGATCCAGCGCGGGCTGGGTGCAGCATCCGATGGCTTTGTCTAGACGACATCAGTATATGGTCTGTTAATAGATAGAACGCATAAGTGTGGGGTGGATACCTTCACCGTCATAGAGGCAGTCGTCCCCTTTGAAGTAAACATCGCCATAGAAGGACGGCCAGCTAGCAGTGAGTTCACAGCCAGGTCGGATGAATTTGTGCTCCAAATTACTGCCATCAAACTTTGCGTATATCTTCACTGTAGTAGTGTCCGAATCGGTGCGTATGGTGGCTTTTTTTGGCTAGTTAGCTGGTCTGTCCCCGGTTTGTGAAGGTTAAAACTAGTGGATACTCACACTGTGTCCAGCCGTTGCATAGAATTTGTTGGTTGACAGAGATACAACCGACCTCGTTGTGCTACAATTCGAGTTAGCTTTCTCATATGTATGCAGGGGGGACACCTACGATAGTGGTTCCATTTCCTCTGGCGTTCACAGTGGTAAGAGAAACCTCGGGCGTAGCAGCAGGCATTTCTGTGGTTGTGGTGGTTGCCGAGCTTGTGGTGGTTGCCGAGCTTGTGGTGGCTGCCGAGCTTGTGGTGGTTACCAAGCTTGTGGTGGTTACCAAGCTTGTGGTGGTTACCAAGCTTGTGGTGGTTACCAAGCTTGTGGCGATTGACGAGCTTCTGATAACTGATGAGCTCCCTGCGGCTATCGAGCTTCTGATGCTTGACGAGCTTGTGGTAGATGCCAAGCTTGTAGCAAAAGAACTGGGAGTGCGCGTCGACAGAGTCGCAGTTGGTGTTTGGGTGGGTTCGATTGAACCAGATTGAACGTAGGACATACAAAGGCGCATCTTAGAAGAGGGGGTAGTAGTTGGAGTTGCAGTCGGTGTCTGAGTGGGTTCCATTGAACCAGCTTGAACGTAGGACATGCAAAGACGCATCTTAGAGGAGGGGGTGGTAGTCGGTGTTGCAGTCGGTGTCTGGGTGGGCTCTATTGAACCCTCTTGAATATAGGACATGCAAAGCCGCATCGTAGGGGTCGGGGTGCCGCTTGTACTGGAGGTCGTAGTTGTGGTTGTGGATATGGTTGTCGACGTGGTAGTGTCACCAACCGGGGGTTCGAATAGTTCAGGGGGAGGGACTGGACCACCAGGTGAAAGAGGGACTGGGCCACCTGGTAGAAGAGGATTTGTAACTGGTATCCATCCACCGATGAGACCCCAGCCAGCGACTAATGGACAAAGCAGGGGAACATCACAGACACCACAAATGTCATCTGAAGCACAGCCCCATGCAGCCGTGGGCTCCGAATTATCTGCGGTAACAACCTCGGTGGCTGTGAAAACGGCCGTGCTAGTTTCATGGCCCCTAGTAATTGGCACGATCTGAAAAGTGCGTTAGTTTCTTATCACGGTAAATAACAATCAATCTGCTATGCAGCTACTCACTGTTGTTTGAGAATCAAGCACAGCCGCACTTGTAGTATGTCCACCACCAATAATGGGAACTATAGACGCGGACCTGCTTGATGAATAGGTGCTCGAAGGTGGACGAGTAACAGTAGCGATTGGCCAGGTTGTCTGCTCTGAAGTCATTGAAGACGTAGTGGAGTCCGATGTAGTGCCTCCTTGGGAGCGATTAGGAGGTGTGCTTGTCTCAGAAGGACCCGGTTGGTGTGAATGGGATGTACTTGTAGTATGCCCACCACCAATGATAGGAACTACAGACGAGGACTTGCTTGCTGAATAGGAGGTGAAAGGTGAACGAGTAACAGTAGCGCTTGGCCAGTCTGTCTGCTTCGATGTCATTGAAGAAGTAGTAGAGTCCAATGTAGTGCCCCCTTGGGAGCGCCTAGGAGGCGAGCTTGTATTGGATAAGCCACCAGACTTTGAGGTACGCGACTTGGATGAGCTAGTAGTGGGAGTCCCAGACTGACCCGGTTGCTTCGAATGGGTTGGCCTCAATGAGACTACTGTGTTTGGAGGGTGAGATCGAGTGTTGGAATTAGACTGATTCGAGCTATATTTTCCAGCCTCTGTCGATGTCTTGGATTGACCACCTTTTTTTGTAGTAGTGGAGGGCCGTGTTGAGGGATCTTCTTCTTTGGATGCCTCTGAGGACCGAGGACGTTGGGTGATCTTTGGATGCTTGGTAGTCCGACCGATACTGGCAGAAGATGTAGCTGTCGTAGAAAACCCACTACTAGTCCAAACGACCGGGGTTGTAGTGCCTTTGTGAGAGATCACATCGTCCTGAGAGCTGCTGGCTTCATTGACGACGTGAACTGGAAGAGAGATGTTACTATGCGTTCAGGGCGGCCTAGTACAAAGAACTAACCTATATTGCGTCTATCCAACAAAACATTCCTTGCTTGGATAGGATAAGTCAAGGCAAGCGTTGCCACCAAGATGGTAAGAGACAACTTCATGGTTTACGCTGTTGACATTAGCTCTCGGAGGGGGCTCTAGTGGGATCTCTTATATGCCACGTATACGAGCTCAAACTATTCTAGATTGTATTACGAAGATATTAATAAAATTTTCAATAACCCTTTCAAGCAAGTCAATTTCTCCCAAGTATTGCTGTTTACGAAAATAATTGGGAGGTTTGAAGTAAGATGATGCTCTTCACCATCCCGGATATCCCGCATGTTACCCGTACCTGTATCCACATTCCAATTTTGGAATAACGTTGATACCACACGATAGTCAGCCTGATGTATAAACCTTTAAAAAACCAAAAAAAGTACCATTTACCATTTATGTACTCCATAGCTCCTAGTACATCGTCTGATACATATTTGCATATTTAGCGTTATATGTAGGGGCGGAATGTGTCATTTATTTCCCGGGTAGACATGTGATTCCTTGCGAGTTTCATAGTGTGCCTTAAATAGCAATTTAACTATAGATATACTTCGCAAGTCGTTATATCCATCGCATAGACAAGCAATGAAAGGCTAGAAGGACGAGATATCTGTCTCTACTTTCATGATCATAATCTACCTATTGTCACGGAGCTCGTTAAATAGCTTCATGGGGACAAAAGGACGAGGGGAAAGAGGTCCGACAGCTTCTCTAAACGGTAAAATAGCAATGTATAAACTTATTCATAAGTATTAATGTCTTAGGAAAGTCCACTCCGCAAAGATGTACAATATAAGTTCGATATATCGTATACTACGCCAAGGGACTTACAACTGCAATGAAAAATCATCTTATGATCTTACCACATTAATTTGGCAGAGCCATTGGCCTATATAGGCAATTAATACACAAGTAATACTACCTAGGACCATGGGCGCATAGATATTGGGGGCTGATATCCATGCAATGGCTGAAATGAACGAAACAGCCTGGAATAACCCGAAAGAGTAGCATGGCTTTCTGAATGTCCAATGTGCTTGCAAATACTCCTGGAATAGCAACTCATCTAGATATTTAAACGACCGTTTGTCTCCCAAGCCATCACAGAGTACTTGACAACAACTACTCGAGCACACTGACTCGATCTTCACTCTGAAACGTTCTTTGGCATAATTGGCTATCTCATTTTACATCCTCACCTCCATCCCAACTATCCTGCCGAGGTCTTACCGTCATGTTTCAAAAGATTTTCCTATCATTTCTCTTCCTCCTAGCATTGCTAGACAGTACTCTGGCAGTACCCTCCCTTGGGATCGCCAAAGACGAATCAGTGGAAAGCAGCAACTTGGTATTTAACTCGAAGTGCACCTTCGAAAAACCACCAACAGACAACGAGTTCCTCAGCATGATTCAGGCTGCCTACGCTGAAATGCGTCGTGATAGTGTTGTGAAAAATCCTGCAAAGCCAGCCGCGATGATTGGCCTCTCTATCGGCAATGAAGTCTACTTCTCTTCTTCCGCGAAGGGGCGAAGACAAATTATCTACGAACATGCGTCTTGGGCTGGTGGTGAAGGAACATTCAATCCCAAACTCGACGCAAGATTTAATGAGGTCACGGAGGCTTTAAACAGTTGTGCCACTCAAGAGAGCAAGCAGCACAGGAACCAAGCATCATGTGGGGAGATTATGTCAACCCTTTTATGGATGGTGGACCATCCGAATGAATCCCCAAAAGATCACAACCCCAGGGTTGCTGCGTGGAATAGGAAAGGCTATCTTCCCCCCTGCTCAGCGGATAATGAGGATGATGTGAGATGGGGATGCGCTTCGTGGACGGAAGAAATGGGCTTGACCGTTGTGCAAAATATAGAAAACCTTCCGGAAGATTTCCCTGCAGGAAACTGTGAGACAGTCAGGTTAGAAACCTGCATGATTGTGGAAGCTGAAGCTGATGAGGGCCAAGTCCAGGCGAACTGAGGAGATATTTGGGTGTCTATCAGTGGGGGTGAAGATTTCACAGAATAATTTATGGAAAGACATGTATATAAATTGTTCAATGTTTACAGGTGGTGCTTATATCACAGGTCCTGACTAGCTGGAACTCAATTCGGTTAACTACTAGTATCATTTTAATTGAATTTGGTTTAAAGTCCGTTAAAAAATATAAAATATAATATGAATATATGAATTTTCCCAAAATATACAATCCTCACAGGGGGCACCTTGGCCCCCAACTCCACGTGGCTGGAATGGCAGAAAATCAGGATACGCTCTAATGATCTCCCTACTTATATGAATAGAATTCCCTTAACTCTTCGCTTTTCCCTCTTGCAAATATCCACCTCGATAACACTTTCGCCAGTTGGCACTGCTATACAGAAATTCACTATAACACCAATGAAGTGGGTCCTTCCTTATATTAGATAATACCTCTAGCTAAACCACCATAGGGCCTTGAATATCCTCCCACAAGACTGCTGGGTGCAGATTCTGGATGAAATATCATCCTCAGACACTGCATCCGTAGTGGCCACATCTCGAGGCTTACAGGTCTCCTCAGAGACCTCGTTATATCGCCGAGTCGATATTGACTGGACTAGACCTCCCCTCAAGCGGGTCCTAAGTCTATTCCGTGTTATTCAAAAACGTCCCGATCTGGCTGCGCTCATTCACCATGTGAGCATAGTATCCTCAAAACTGGTGTATCCAGCAGACGACCAGGAAGACGAGTGGGAGTTGCCTCAAATCGATGGAGACTGGAGTCAGCTCTCATCCTTATTTCAGGATGAGGTAAACGCGGCAAAAGATATTATCACTAAAGCGCAATTTCCCTCATCAGAGAAGTGGATCCCTGCCCTGGAAAATGGCGACCCTTACGCATTCGTGGCTATTCTTCTTTCTCAACTTCATAATCTACGGTCGCTGCAACTTGATTACACTTTTGTGTGGCAAACTGGGTTCCCAGGATTGATGATGAGACATGCTCTTCTCACTGCGCCTGGGAATACATTATCTCGATTTTCTGATCTCTCTGTTGTCGAATATGGCCTGAATGTTCCAGGTCCTAGATTGTTCAACGAAACAATGTGGGATTTCATTGACGCATTTCCCATTTGTAACCCGGAACAATTTGCAGGCTGGTTTTATCTGCCTTCTTTGAGATCTCTGGAAATCTGGATCCAAAGTTTCGAAGGTGTTAGTGACGAGTTGTCCAAGCCTGTTGTATCAAGCAAGCTAGCGCATCTGGCCCAGCTTGAAAGGCTTGTCTTGACAGAATCCTCCGTTGAGGAAGATGAGGTCAGAAATCTTTTGTTGCACCTGTCTTCGTTGAAGAGTCTTCACCTGGGCCTCGTCTACCTATCACAAGATAGAGAACTCGGCTATAACTGTTGTTCTCCACAACCTCCTCTGAAAAAGCGAGGCGTGCTTCATGAAGGGCTAATGAGTGTCAAGGACACCGTTGAACATCTTTCTATTGGCATGGAGCTTTGTCCACTTTATTGGCCTAGTGTTTGGGGCGCATTAGAACGTAACAATGGAACTCCACGAGAAAGCTTCGAGCCTTTCAAAGGAATCTTGAAGCAGTTCCCGCGTCTTCGAACCGCAGAGCTACCAGCAGTCATGCTTTTCGGATGGGATCATGAAAACTCTCCAGCTTTGTCTGAGCTACTACCACCAACACTCCAGAAGCTCGCCATTCGAGATAACTTGAGTCTAGAGCAGGATTTCGAGTGGAAGACAGATAAGGTGGCAGAAGCAATTCAACAATTTCTTGAATTTGCCCAGTCCGCCACTCCTTCGTTGAACACAATTACAATTCGAACCTTCGATATCGAGACCGAGTCAATGGACACAGACGATAGCACGGGGCCTAGAATAGTGTGTGAATCGCTGGGGCTGGATATAGACATTGGTATGTTCACTGATACTCTCTCGCCGGGACTTTGGACGACGCACAGAGAACTTCAAGAAGGATCTCGGAAGGACCATAGAGATATGCATAACTGATGCTGAGCTGAATAATTGATATCTCGCGGAGGCGTATGAGAAAGAACAGACCTCTCTTGATGTAACGGCAATAGAATCACCACCGGAGTCTAGGTCACTGTTCTCGTCATTACGGAGTATATCTCCTTATAGTTTTTTACGTAGGGCACTACACCATATTTCCTCTCCTTAAACAATTTATTCGCTGGTACGGCGATTTCGCAAGGAATGTAAAAATGGCGACTAGCAATGACATTCTTGTGCTGAAAGGCTGGGATTGAAGAATTGCAAATCAAAAGTTATACATAGAAAAGTTGTTTTCGTATAAGCCCGTCGAAAAGCTACTAGTAAGCTCAACTCGTCTGAGAACCTGACAACCTACACTTTTCGTAAGGTCGAAGTTCAAGTTCCATACATAATCCAAGTTCACCCAGACTAGACTAAGCGGTACCAAGTCATCGCTTACATCGACGTACATCGACTCCTATTCTATATTCTCTCAACTCCTTCCCTCTACTTGACTTATTTCCACCTTCTTCTAACTCATTCCCAGCCTTTTTCTCCCCCTCATCATATCCAGATTCAGGATCCCATTTGTTTCGGCGAGTCGCTTGAACTCATTCAATGGTGACATCTCCACCGAGCTCCAGTTTGGGTCAACCCTAGTTAATAAAGCCAATTCTGAATTTGGTTAATTTCATTTCTTCCCACAAATTGGCTGATACATACGACCATAGGGTGTGGAAAACAGGGCTTCCCGTCCGCTCAGCCGTACTTAAGCCACACGCCGGTGAGTTAGTAGTTGGGTGGGTGACCACCAGCGAATCCTCACTGTTGTATGTTTTTGCTTTTTGCTGCTTTTAACAATGGTCAGGATCATGAGAGTGGACAGAAATGGGTGGTGTATTGGGACCAGCAGATTCATGAAGTGCCAAAGCAGGGCCAGTTGTGGATCTGTTTTTAAAATGACTGGAATGGATGGTAAAGGTTAAGCTGTTAATTTGTAGTGTGGTCTCGGAAGACTGAGAAATTCAGTAGAGTGAGGCATAACGTTAAGATTGTTGTCCCAGCGAAAAGCTACCACCGAACCTTGTCATAAAGCGTATGTATGGTTAGATTTGATTGACTGGAGAGAATTAAGAGAATTAGGCGCACAACTTGAACTTAATTTGTATATTTTTTGGATTAGAAAAACACAAACATACAATAGTGCGGATTCACTAGTAGTATCACACACCCAACTACTAACTAGCCGGCGGGGGGGATATCTGCGGCTAGTAGTTGGGTGCCACCGGGGTGCGCCTGAGTGAGAGGCGCTTCAGCGTTGTGCCACCAGGGCTGAGAGAGGTGCGAATCAGGGCGAGAATCAGCCTTGGTCGTCCGACGGCCGCACTGAACCCCCTTATGTGACAAGGACTGTGATATGACTAGGGTTCAAATTGACAAAGTGTTCAACTATTATGGGCGTGATAACTTCATTTGACGGTTCACGTCCTTGTAGAGCAGGTAGCGGAATTTGCCAGGGCCACCGGCGTAACAGGCCTGTGGGCAAAAGGCGCGCAGCCACATGAAATCACCGGCTTCCACCTCGACCCAGTCCTGATTGAGCCTGTACACGGCTTTACCTTCTAGTACGTAAAGACCATGTTCCATGACATGAGTCTCAGCGAAAGGGATCAGACCGCCGGGCTCGAAGGTGACAATGGTGACATGCATATCGTGGCGCAGATCGGTTGGGTCAACGAATCGAGTGGTCGCCCAAGCACCGTTGGTGTTTGGCATGGGGGTGGGTGGAATCTCCTTTTCATTCAGGAAAAGCGGTTCAGGCTGGTCGAGTCCCTCGACATATTCGTAGGCCTTGCGTATCCAATGGAAACGGGCGGTGGTCGCGCCTGTGTTGTGTAGGGTCCAGCCGCTCTTGGGTGGTAGATAGGCATAGCCGCCCTCGGCAAGCGTGTGTTTCTGGCTTCCCAGGGTAATTGTCACTTCACCCTCGACAACGAATACGACACCTTGCGCAGTGTCATCTGTTTCACCGCGGTCGCTGCCACCCCCGGGTTGCACTTCCATAATGTATTGCGAAAATGTTTCGGCAAAGCCCGATAACGGACGGGCAATCACCCATAACCGCGTCTTATCCCAGAACGGCAGGAAGCTCGTCACGATGTCGCTGAAGGTGCCCTTCGGAATTACCGCGTATGCTTCGGTGAACATGGCACGATCGGTGAGGATCTGTGTCTGTGGTGGCAATCCGCCTGTGGGTGCATAATAGGCACCGAGCTTCTGGTCGTTACCCATGGTTGCCAGATGTGTAGGTAGGGAATTGGTATATTTTTTTGAAGTAATTGTCAGAGAAGAAGGAATTGAAAAGCAATTGAAAATCTGAAGTTCTTCCCCGCCCCCGCACAATTTTCCTTATCGATCGGGGAGTTCCGATGACGGAGTTGCGTCGGTTCAGACGGTGCCGGCCGACTCCAGGGCTACGATTGTCAGTTTTCAATTATAATGTCTTATTACCTGAGTAGTCTCCTTTGCTGTTTTTTGAAATTGGTCAACTGCTGAGCCTAATTAAGTCAAAGAGGGGAATATAGTATACGGTATTGAGAGGGGCATAATTGGCATTAAGCAGAGATGATGAAAAATAAAATAAAATGACATGCATACAGATATGTGGACTATGGCGATGCTTAGTGTCCATCTCGCTTTACGCGGAGTCGGCCTTGAGACGAGTTCGGGCGGTTTCGGCAGTTTTCCCCGGGGCCGAGTTACTTGATTACGTCAGCACTGAACCAGTTCTCGGGTTTTGACCTTTCGGACTTGCCGTCTTTTATCCTTCGATATAATCAGGAAACTTGAATGCCACTCGCTTAAACGGCTTTCACTTACTTGAATTCCACCGCCTTTCCCCTACTCTAGCAGACCCTTACACCATGCTCTATCTAACTAAATCTCTACGCTTTGCCTTACCCTCTACGGAGGAGTTATTTAGTGACTGAATGTCTCAACAACCGCGAAAGCTTCAACGCGTCTCCGTAGCGTGTATGTTCCCCAATGTTCGATATGTTTGTTCTGGAATATTCTACCCTTTAGCTTGGCCGTCTGAACCCCGGGCATGAGGTTTGCATTTGCTAAGTACACAAAATCTAATGTAGGCGACTTTTGCAACAGACGCAGCATCAAATGTAGCGAAGGCGGGGACCCCCTAGGCCGCTGTCAAAACTGTATGGACTTCGATGTGCCATGCACATTTGATCGCCCCATGAAACGCCGAGGCATCAAGACTGGCACTCGGGCGAGTGGTCCCAACCCTCAGTTTGTGAGAGCACCGGTCAATCATACTATTCCTACAGCGGCATCGATTGCAAGTGGCAGAAGAGCCTCTGGCTCCTCGACTTCTCACAGTCAGTATCGCGCATCAGTCTCCGCTGACTATAGTTGGTCCGCAACCGAGCTTGATGCCGATGTCAGGGTCCTGCACAATTCCTGGAAGGCATTTGCAATTGCCTGTGACCTCCGAATAAAGAATTTGGTCCAAGTCTATTTTGAAATCGTCTATCCAATGTATCATGTGTCCTTAAATCCTTCTCGCTGATTGCGCTGACTGAGCATAACACCACTAGATTTCCCTTGTTTCATATGCCGTCATTTATAGAGCAGGTGAATAGCAAGAAGCACCTCTATGATCAAGGGCTCTTCGCCTCCACGATGGCTGTGTGCTCTTTGGTCGCCGGTCGCGCACGTGACGGTGCGTTGTATTCTAATCGGTGGGACCGAGAAGAGCTTATAGATCCACCGTCCGAGACTTTCTTTATAGCGGCTGAAAACTCGATTCCTCGGGACCTTGTCTCAGCTAAAGGTATTCACTATATGCAGGCATGTGCAATACTTGCTATCGCTAGCATTCAAAATGGCCAGATCAAAAATATGCAGAAATACTCCGGCTTATACCACACCTTGACTTCGATGGATGGCCTTTATGACGAGAAGCTCTGGCCAAGCAACATAACTCCAGTCGAGACAGAGGAGCGGCGGCGACTTGTATGGAATATACTATTCATCTGTTATCACCTTACTGACTATATCCATAGTTCTGGTCTATCTATACGTTCGACCTCTATTCGACTATTGTATGGGGCGGCGTTATTCGATATCGTGAAGCTCATTCCTTAGTGCGCTACCCTACCGAATTAGATGATGAATTCATCACACACTGCGGTTATGGCGTGCCGTCTGTATCCCTGGAATTGAAATCCCTTCCAACGGGCAATGTGACTGTCGCCTCCCAGCCTACACCCTGGCTTCGTGGATGGAACTTCACCACAGACCTTTACCGCATTCTTGAGCATGTACTCGATGGCAGTAGACGCTCTTCGGCTAATAATATGACACAATTTGGGTCACTGTTTAATCCGTTATCTATATCAGAGCCGGCAGTCATGGATCAAGTCCTTACTATGTACTTAGCTCTTCCATCACAGTTTCGGGAAACGCCGCCAACTACAGGAGACATGTCTAAGGATTTATTCGGGTTCCAGTCAGCCAATATCCAAGCGACGCTACAGCTCCTCCGAATGATGCTCTTGTCTACAGAGGAGATTGGCGTGGAACGAAAATGCGATGTAGCGGGCGAACTGCTGAGCGTTTTCTCGAATGTACCCATCGAATACTTGAAAGCTATCAGCTCCCCTTTAGTATGTGCCGTCTCTATACTTCTTGGATTCTATACTGATAAATCCTAGCTTCACCACCTCGGCGGGATTGGGTACATTCTTGGCTCTGTCATGGAAGGAAATTTGTCTGAAGTCTCCTACACACGAGCTCGCACATTACTGTACGTTATCCCCATTCCGTGACACTTGAGGTCTAGCTGATATATCTGCATACAGACTTGAAATGGCAGACCTCTTACAACGTCTCGAAATGGGCCTACACCGTGCCTCTGGTGTCGGCGAACGACTGCGATCCCAGGTTGAACGAATAGAGGGCTACATGCGTACCTCATTCCGCTATCGAGCTCCACCGAGTAACGCAACGCAGGTAATTGACTCAAATCCCGAACTTGCTGTCCCAGAATGTGCACAGGGTATTCCCTCCCTCAGAGCCTCACCTGATGCTGGTCTCGACCAGATGCCCCTGTTTCAGCTGCCACCAGAACTCCTCTCAGATTGGCCGTGGCCGTTGGAATCTCATCATGCCGAGGGGTTTCTTCGTCTAGCGTTTGAATTTCATTCTAGCTCTACCGATGATGAGATATAGCAGACACTACTCGCCATGGCGACGTTGTTCGGGGAAATCTACGCGGCGTTGCGTGCGGGAACCTTATGTGGAGGCGGCCGGATAGGCTAGTAGTGAAAAAAAAACTTGATTAGATTGATCAGGGCAAACAGTGACGAAGGAATTATGAAAGGTGCGGTCGAGAAACCAATGATTGAGGAAGGGGATATTAAAAATCATTATGGTATTAAGAATCCAACCCGTTGGAAATGCTGCAGTGAGAAATTGTGTGTCGAGAACCCCGAAAATAGTCGGATCTGGAAAAGAAGAGAATAGTATTCCAAGGATTTGAGATACTGGGGAGCTGATGAAGATGAGACTTGATACAGATTCAATCAAGGATGCATATGGATGTAAAGCGATGCAAAGGCTGCTATGTAAGACCAGTGAGGCAAGAGAGTCTTGTGTAGAAGAAAACCGCGTTGGGGGATAGCAAGATAAGGCAAACAAACATCACCTTGGATCCCAAAATAGTGGCTGTTCTTCCTGGTGAAATAATATCTGGACTACCCAGGTTCGACAACAGCAACAAGCTGTAAGCTGGAAATTGAAGCTATTCACAGACCCTAAAAAGGGAATCCTCCGGGCTTAATGGAGGTGTGTATATTCGAATTCTTGTACCGGCGCGATGGACTTTTTAACTGGCTCATACAACGTAGTAGAAGACCTCTGTGCATAACTACCAAGCATATTAGTCCAATTTTTAGATCGGATGACGAGTCCCCGGGCTCATAACATGTTAAAGTCGGCTGCGAAGTAGATGAGAAAATGGAAGTACGATGTCGTTGCATTGATATAAAAAGCTATGGAAGTTATGTACATAAAGACAGGAAAGTAACATGATCTATAAGGTTCAAACAGCCCATAGCGCCAAAAATGTTAAATGGTCGGCTAAGTGGAAGAATGGACGGTTAGACGGGAAAACGGTAACACGGTAACACGCTTATTATTTCACGCCCTCGAGGCCGAGTGGATGCCGAGGCCGACAAGACAGGCATGAAATTACTCGATGCCATGGCTTCTATCACGCGGCTTCTATAACACAGCTTCCATGGCACGGCTACGCGCCTGAATGAGGATTGGATTTATTTCGCCCCGCGTTTCTCCAGGATTATGTAGCGCCATTCCGATCAACCGGGGGCAAATGCTCCACTTTATAAAAGAGGCGTGAGCCCCCATGTTTTCAATGTAGGGCAAAGAAATCACGAAGCATGAGCTATACAACGTTCTGGAAGCGGCTCTCGCCGCGGCAGCTAAATGTGGCCATCCAGGCCTTCTCGCTTATCTCTATATTCTTCGAAGGATATGACCAGGGCGTCATGGGAGGTGTCAATTCCGCGCCCAGGTACGTGACCGAGGTCGGCATTGGGAAGTCAGATGGAACCGTGACGGATACCACACACCAGGGCGGTATTGTCAGTGTCTACTACCTAGGTGCCATCTTCGGCTGCTTTGCTGGAGGGTGGTTGGCAGATCGATTTGGTCGGATCAATGGCCTGCTGGCGGGAGCATTGTTTGCCTTGGTGGGCGGCGCATTACAGGCAGCTGCTCAGAATTCAAACTTCATGATTTGTGCTCGAGTGTTGACGGGAATTGGCACTGGAGGTGAGTTCTTTGTACGGTGGTGGATCTTTCTAACTTCTTCTAACTCGTGGCAGCCTTGACTGGAATCACTCCTGTCCTGGTATCGGAAACATCTTCTGCAGATCACCGCGGCGGGTTTCTGGGATACGTCTTTATTGCAAACTGTAAGGAGTCCGGAGACATTTCAATTGTCTTGCTAATACCTTCCAGATCTCGGGATATCAGTCGCATACTGGATATCTTTCGGCCTCGCCTTCATCGATAACGGATACTCGGACGTGCGATGGCGATTCCTACTCGCCTTCCAATGTTTCCCAGCCTTACTTCTTGCCTGCTTTATCAAGATGCTACCGGATAGTCCTCGGTATCTTGCTTCAGTTGGTCGGAAAGAAGAGGCGTATGACCTATTAAAGCGTATTCGCAAGCACAGAGCCAGCTCAGAGGAGGTTGACCGGGAATATTTGGAGATTGTTACCTTGGCAGAGGAAAGTCAACTCAGCTCACCTATCCAATTTGTCAAAATATTGCTCGGGAAGGCTGGGAAACGGCATCCGAATTTGGGCAGGCGAGCTTGGCTATGTATATGGCTTCAGATCATGGCCTCTTGGACAGGTATTACGGTAAGTACATCCCAATCAGCATCATTCGCTCTATAACTATCTCTAATATAGATGGATACAGGCTGTCACTGCATATTCTCCAGTCCTCTTGCACCAGGCTGGATATAGCACTATCACACAAAACGGCCTAGCTGGGGGGCTCAACACGGTTGGCATTGTTGGTACAATTATAAGTGCCCAGATCGTCGATCGTCTAGGTCGCCGTGTTTGTCTCATGGGTGGAGCAGCAATGCTATTTGCTGTCAATCTTATTGTATGTCTCTACTTCCACGGAAATTACGGTGTTTTTTTCTAATTAAACGCCAGGCTGGAGCTGTCTACGAGGGTTCATTGCAGAATCCCAGTAATGCTGCTCATTATGCTCCTGCGGCCGTTACCATGTTGTTCTTGTTCAATATCGGGTTAGTGCACCGTTTTCGATTTTCAGCTTGTCCTACATTAATCTGACATCTTCTCACAGCTACGCTGCTACCTGGGGTACAGTCGCGTTTTTGGTGCCTACAGAGATCTTTCCCTCTGACTTGCGTGCCCAAGGTAATGGCTTTGGCATCACTGGGTGGGCAATCGGTGTGGGCATGACTACTTTGGTTAATCCGATTATGTTCGACACTATGAAGGTAAGAGCAACTTATCCTGTTGTGAATGAAGCTGACTACTATTTCCCAGAGCCGCACCTACTTCCTCTTCGCCGGCCTTAATTTAATTTGGATCCCCACCGTTTACCTCTGTACGTTCTTACTGCCACAAGGACCACGGAAAGAGCGGAGCTAATAACAGTTATAGTCTACCCTGAAACCCGCGGGCGCTCCCTGGAATCGATTGAAGCACTCTTTTCCACCCCGAGTCCCTTCTTTTGGAAAATGGAGCAGGCATATGCTCTTCACGGTGATGTCTTGGTGGAACGCGGAGTCAGTAAGAGCGATGTTCTCGATGTTACCAATAACTAGTTGACATCATATGAGAAAGCGGAGGCGCAGAGAATTGTCTAAAACTCTGAATCTCTTGTACAACTTATTCAATCAAGAGCTCACCAATATAATGCTTTGATCTAAGGCAATAGCATCTCCATCAGACAACAATCCTAGCGGACGAGATAGATTTGGTACGATATCTTCACTAACACAGAGGGTCGCTCTAGACGAAGTCATATTAGATCTGAAATTGAACTTTTCGTCAAATATGCCATATATGACCACGTATACAACATCTAGGGATCGGCTAGCGGTAAGATATTTAAATTAAGTAGTGTATATTATGAGAAAGCGAAGTGGTAATACCACCGCAGAGCTGATACCGCGGGAAATGAGAAAGCAGAAGCGTCACCGCGAATCAAAAAGGTCAATATTGGAATCACTACAATACCTATAAGATCCCGGCTTATTATATCGATTCGAAAGAGCAAGAGCGAGATGTATGCAAATAGCGTACGCTAATTAATAAAGTAGATGTACGGGGGAAGGGCAACGAAAATATAGCGCGGTAATGCTACCGCAGAGTTGATACCGCGCAAAATGAAAAAGTAGAAGCGTCACCGCGAATTATAAAGGTCAATGGTCGAACGACTACAACTCCTATAAGATCCTCGTTAATCATATCGATTAGGCAGCTCGAAAGCAAGATAGAAGTACATAGAGAACGCTGGTCAATGAAGTAGATATACGAAGAAATGATAATGAAAAGAGGGCGCGGTAATACTACAGCAGCGTTGATACCGTGCAGAGTTGTTACCGCGGAAAATGAGAAAGCAGAAGTCTCACCGCGAATCATAAATATCAATAGTCAATCTGCTACCTTATCTATAAGATCCATGCTTATTATACTGATTCGATAGGTCGAGGGTAAGACAAAATTATATAGGGAAGACTAGTTAATCAAGTAGATACGTGGAGAAAGAATAATGAAAAGAGAGCGCGGTGATATACCCGCTCAAGAGTTGCCGCGGAGATTTTACCAAACTGTATAAAAGAGCATAGCTTACAAATATCTCCGAAAGATTCCCTTTAATATGTTATGTATAACGCAATAGATGTATATTGTAGCGAGAATAATCCCCGGCACCGAAATCCTATGTAGTATAAGAACGCGAAGCGGTAATACCACCGCAGGGTTAATACCGCGGAAATTAAGAAAACATAAGCGTCACCGCGAATTATAAAGGTTAATACTCGAACGACTATAATATCTATAGGATTCCTGCTTATTATATCGATTACGCAGGTCGAGGGTAAGACGGAAGCATATAGAGAACACTGGTAAATAAAGTAGATACATGCAGAAAGGAGACCGAAAAGGGAGCGCGGTGACATTCCCGCTCAAGAGTTACAGGAGATAATTATCGAGGCTTCAACAACAGAGGTAACCAAGACAGTACAATAGAATGAAGAAGGAAACCAGGGCGAGAAATATAGATATATGACGACAATTCACCAACTACTCGTACCCGAATCTCAAGGGTGGTACGACTTAGCGACGAAGGACCAGACTTCGCCAGCATTCTCAATCGGCATCCCCAGCAGCTGAAAGATGGGTCCGCGTCATTTACGAACTGGTCGCACAAAACAGCCATCAAATAGTGTCAAGACCAAACTCAGACCAGGAAAGTTGTCGTCCGCTGAGCTTATCCATAGGCTGCTTTTAGAAATTGAAAGACCCGGAAACTCTTCGTTGCCTAGAAAGAGCTAGTTGAATGATATGGGATTTAAATTCAGGTGTTTGAGCTCTATGCACATCTTTATGGATTAATTAATGTAATTTAATTTGAAGTACTCCATCTTGTGGGCCTGAGACTGAGCAATATCTATGGATAGCCTTTTCCCCAGAAACCATCCACACAACTACTCTTCTCGCAGTCTAATTCATATTAACCACTCACATTTAACAGTAAAACTGGCATATAACAACAATGCAAAAAACATAAAAAACATACAACAGTGAGGATTCGCTGGTGGTCACCCACCCAACTACTAACTCACCGGCGTGTGGCTTAAGTACGGCTGAGCGGACGGGAAGCCCTGTTTTCCACACCCTATGGTCGTATGTGATTGATATTACACGGCGGAGGATTATATGTAAAAGCTGATATGTCTGTCGAGGCCAAGTCTTCGTTCTGTAACACTGGTGCCATATGTTCATGAACGCCGATCACTGTCACATTGGAACAACGATCCTCCGAAACTTAATTGGATTTGCGATAAACAAAACAGTTCAGTCCCCCTCTACTGTACTTACTTTACCTACGCTGTATCAGTTGCAACTGAATATCTCCAAACAACGGAAAACGAAAAGTTGGGGTGAACCTGGAGACTGTCCCACAAGAGAGAGGTCCCAACCATGAAGAACTTTATCGGCGCCACACTGGTGACAGTTGTTACAGCTACAGCGACTAGCACTTCTGCTCCTGCATCGGCCCCCACTGGATCTAGCTATGCATCTGGTTTTGACATGACCAAAAGCTGGGCCAATCTCAGCCCCTATAAGGACGCAGATAGCTTCGGCATTCCTAGTGGTGTACCGCAAGGATGTGAGCTGTCTCAGGTGCATGTTCTGCATCGCCATGCGCAGCGATTCCCCACGGATTACCCGCTGGATGGAGAGGGAATGACCAACTTTGCCGCCAAGTTGACCAATTACAGCAAGGCTCACCCAGACAAGACCATGGCGGTGGGTCCTTTGAAGTTCCTGAACAACTGGGACTATGTTCTTGGCGAGGACACTCTTATGGAGAATGGTGCTGCTACCGAGGCTACATCCGGTGCCAACTTTTGGGTCAAGTACGGAAGGCTGCTTTACCGCGCCGGACGTGAGAATGTCGCTGCTTGGAGTTCATCTCTTAACGTTTACGCCAACGGCACCAACCGCCCAACGCCGGTGTTTCGCACTACCTCCCAGGCACGTATTCTGGAAAGCGCACGTTGGTGGCTCAGTGAGTCGAACTCTCATCTCATTCATGAGTCCCGGATAGATAGCTAACATATTCGACTAGGCGGCTTCTTTGGCAACAGTGGAGGCAACAGCTCTTACGACCAGTATAATCTTGTCGTGATTCCTGAGCAGGCCGATTTCAACAACACACTCGCTTCTTACGAAACATGCACGTTTGATTATTCTGAAGGGTGAGCGAAAATTACTCCCACGATGAATACTTAATCATGAAACTGTATTAACGGACTTCACAGCGACAACGCTGCTGAGGTCTTCATTTCTCGGTACACAAAGAATGCTCGCACCCGTCTGTCCTCTTACTTCCCTTCCGACTTCAACCTGACCAGCATGGACGTGCTCGCCATGCAGAACCTCTGTGTATACGAATACACCAGTCTCGGTGGTTCATCATTCTGCTCTCTTTTCACTGAGCAAGAGTGGAAGGACTTCGAATACAACATCGACGTGCAGTACTATGGAGACTACGCCTACGGCTCGCCCAGTGGTCGCGCCCAGGGCATCGGCTACGTTCTAGAGCTAGCCGCTCGCCTCGAGCAAAAGCTCATCAACTCAAGCGATACAAGCATCAACTACACTTACACTAATAACGAAGCCCAGTTTCCATTTGGCCAGCCCTTCTACATGGACATGTCTCATGATGATATCATCTTGTCCGTGATCAACGCTCTTGGTTTCGGCTACTTCAGGTACGGTCCCAAGGGATTACCCGTTCACCTTGACCATGCGCCTGAGCGCACCTTCTCTCTCAGCCAGATGACACCCTTTGGTGCCCGATTTATTTCTGAGATCTGGACTTGCCCTCGTGATGTGTCATTCGATGATCTGAATCCTGTTCTCTACACCAACCCTACCGTCAAGTCGACTGCCAATACCACCGAGTACATTCGTTTTGTGCTGAATAATGCCCCTCTCCCACAAGATGGACTGATCGGTTGTGAGAATTCCAGAAATGGTTTCTGCCGGCTCGATAAGTTCTTGCATGGCGTGCCCGCTTTGAAGGAAAAGGCACAGTTCCAGAAGGCATGTTTTGGTAACTATACCACCGGAAACCAGGTTGGGGATGGTGCTCCTGAATCATAGATAACTAAGAGGGCGGTCTCTACGTATGTCCTTCTTAACATGCTCTTGTACATATATCGTCGCACTATACTAGATGGATGTTAAGGCCTGATTCCTCGGGTGTCAGCCCTGCCACAGTTCTATATATATCTAGTAGCTTAGGAGGCTTACTGGTTTGTTGAGGGAGAGCCCTAGGGTCCAGCCACCACCTCAGTATTGTTGATTCACTTAGCTTCCAGGGATGGTTTCTTCTTATAATCATACATATATCACTGGTTTCTTCCATCCTCCCCTCTCGTTGGCATATATCATGTTACTTATGGGATAGAATTATGGAAAGATAAGTACAGTATTGATCGAAATTCAGTACAGTACCCATAGCCAGCGATCTTCTTTTGAGGAAGTGTAGGTTAACTTATAATCGCTGTTTTATATATATATATATATATATAAATTTATCGACCGACGTACTTGAGCTTTAGGTATCTTGCCGTTAGTTAAGCCAAAGCAGTCACAACGAATCAGTCCTTTCATATATTCTACAATATTTTCTGCCCTTGTTTTTATTACAGAGCTGCATTTGTGGATCTGAAATACCCCCTATTGTCACCACCAATTTACATTCTATAATTCTTCCTAGTGTCATATCAAGCACATACGACCATAGGGTGTGGAAAACAGGGCTTCCCGTCCGCTCAGCCGTACTTAAGCCACACGCCGGTGAGTTAGTAGTTGGGTGGGTGACCACCAGCGAATCCTCACTGTTGTATGTTTTTGTTTTTTGCCCCTTTCGGGAAGTTCCTCTTGTTGCGCTGCTCTTATACGGCACGCAAGTCCCTGGGCGTATACCTCGTGGTCGTACAATATCTTTAAGACCACATTGGGTCCTCGCATGTACTTTGCGTTCTACGTCCCTCTAGCAGTGGATGAATCTCCATCGTATTATATCAGCCTTGTCTGTCTTCATAGGTTCAGTATATTGTGCAATCCGTAAGTCTAAATATCTATACAATGTCTATATTACAATCAAAACATGTCTATCCTGTCTATCTCTATATATACACACACCATGCAAAGCATCAATGTCTAAACACTGCATGAAAAGGGTCCTCCAACGGTACCATTGTCATATGATTTGATCTATTCGGGTAAGTATTCGCACAAGCAAAGGGGAAGGGTTTGATCAAGCTTACAATATCAACCACGCTGGAATATGTTCCAGCACCTAGAATAATTAGGCCAATGATCAGGATGCACACGTTGAGTACGCCGAAAACCATTTTCTTGCCGGTTGAGGTTTCGTCGCCGCGGATGAACATAAACCACATTATAGCCGGGAAATAGAATGTGAAACCGGAGATAAATAGCGATGAAATAAGGGACAACAGGTCATTAAAGAATGGGATGACCTGTGCAACGATGAATTCAAGGATTGTCAGAACTGTGACGAGACCCAGCCAGGTTATCCATCCCATCTTTGTGTTGATGAAGCGGATGTTGGAATTTTTGAATACGCGGCCGTGTACCAGTCGACCCAGTACGACCGTGTTGATTGAACCACTGATGAAAATAACCGGCAAGGCGATACCGAAGGCAATTCGACTGAGAAGGCTACCGGCAGACAACAGGGCGGGGCTCTGAACGTCCTGGCCGACAAAGGCATACACAAGTGCACCAGTCACAGTGTAAATGAAGATCTCAGTCAGACCAAGGGCCCAAACGGACTTGGGGAAATCAGTGGGTGTGTGCATCTCATCCATGAAGGAGAACTGGCACAGAGCGAAGCTGTATGCAAAAATGATATTGGAGAGGGCGATGAATGCTTCGGAGAAGGTAAGGTTATCCTTCGGCCAAGCCGACCAATTCACAGCCTGGAGACCGGTAGAATTGCTGGCCTCCACACCAGTTCCGATAATGGTAATTCCGATGGCGATAATGATCGAGGCGAAATCGATGTAACCGAGAATAGCCATATCAGAGAAAGTCGGTGGCACAGCGAATAGTAACAAAATGATAGCCGAGATGAAACCGAAAATCACGGAACAAAGGTTGCTCCCTGTGATATTTGTGAATGCGATTGCTCCAGTTAGACAGTGGGATCCAGCAGACAACAGCAATTCCAAACACAGCATCATGAAGAGAACTTCATATCCCCATCGACCGAACATCTGTCTACCAGCCTCAGGGTAGTCCGAAATATGCGGGAACTTCACCTTGACCTGACCGATGACATAGCTAGTGTAGACAGCGATGAGACCGAGGCCAATACAGCAGATCACACCCGCCACCATTCCGAGGGTCGCAAACGTAGAAGGGATAGACAGAGAGCCCAGTGCCACAGCCTCCACGATCAAAACGATCGTGAGGCGCTTCCATCCCAGCTGACTGAACTTCTGGACACCTGCTTTATAAATCTCCTGATCCCGATCACACATTTCGGTCAATTCCCCGTCGCCGGGGAACATCTTCTCGACATCTTTCTTGACTGACATTTAATAGCGGTGGAGTGCGAACAGACAATTAGGAAAGAAATGAAAAAAGTGGAGGTGTCCAGATTAGATATATTTCTGTGTAAACCTAAGACACGGGAAGAAAAAAAAAAATGGTCCCGAATTTCGGATAGATCCCGAATCTCGGACATTCATTACCTTATTGGACATAAGTTTGGAACAAACTCCCAACAACTTCCTATAACATTCACCCAATGCCCCACTGGTTCCTAGACGATCAGGCCATCTAGGAATATGGCCTTTCCTCTTTCGTTTTTTAACCAAGTTAAGCAGTCGAATGTAGAGAGCAGTTGTGGATAAGGCTGTCATTTGCTTGTGATTTGTTCGTAGGAAGACCGCTCTGTTAAGCTTAATAACCTAATTTTTGCCTCTGCAGGCGCTAGGAACCTTGGAACTCTCAAACGGTTGAAGGCGGGTCACTACACTATGAGAACCTATGCAGATTATCTATTTTGAAAACATTGATGCTAATGTAGGCTCAATCAAATGTATTTCACCTTTATCTAGGCTGAATAATTGATTTTGAAAAATGGTGTGTGTTATGGCAGCTGCACGAAAAAAAATTCGAGGTGGGTCTTAAGGTTTGGTCCACGTGCCATTGCTGACTCATCTAACAAATAATGCAAACATCTTTTCAAGGTTAGAAGCTTCGATGTGAATGTGTGAATATTCTAAGATTGCCTAAATAGGAAGTTAACCGCCCCTTAATTTTTTATGAAAATCTGGTAAACGAGGGTTCGCCACCACCCAGATGCGACCTTTTACTAGGCGGACCATACTATATTATTGGTTCTTCTCAACCATTTTATATTGACAACCCTTAGTATACCTCATAACATACGATAATATTATAATATTCTCTATATAGTATTGTGAATTAAAATATAACTCACTATCGCGCTTAACATGAAATATTTAACTATCAAGGCGTCCTTGAAAATTGCTATAGAAATTTAAGAAGAGCATTAGCATAGCATTTCTACAAATAAAACTAGTTAATATAAAATGGTCGAGAAAAACTAAGATGTATGTATGTACCTTTTGTATGGTCCGCCTAGTAAAAGGTACGATTGCACATGGGTGGCGAACCCTCGCAAGCGAGGCTCTCTAATTTTTGCAATAAGTCAAGGACCGGTTAGTATGTAATGCCATAAACGTTAATAAAAAAAACTCTGCTTGATAATTGCCCTTATAACTCTGTTACACCATCCCGTAGACCAATATGTATTCCGATTGACTCTAAGTCCCAAACTCTGCCTTCGCTAGTAGGGCTGAGTGCCAGACGGGGCAGACGAGGAAATTGTGAAGGTAAATGGGCTGATGAATTCCTGGGATGTCTGGTGAAATGTGTTTTCCTTTTTTAATTTAAGTCCTAAATAGGTAGGATTCTGCTTGGCAAACATTTAGGATATAGCAATTTATGGTCACAATCCGAAATAAGTCCGAGAAGCATAATAAAATTAAGAAGAACCGTGCGCAGTAGGCCCAGGCATGGTTATTGCCACTTTCAGGGCACCATGCTTGGAAGATGCCTCGAATGCTTCGTAGGCGTGGTGAATATCATCGAATGCGAAACCTGCCACCATGATTAGCATTCGTAAGGGCAAGGGATTCTATCAGACGGACTGTGCGAAACCAAAAAGTTAGGATCGATGCCACCGGCCTCCACCATTCTAATAATATCAGGAGTGCTAACAGCGTCAACAAGTCGAGTCCTCAAACCTAGCGAAAAAAAGATCGTCAGTGATGATCAGCGCAGGAGTGGTATATGGGGGCTTTACAGATATTGCGATTCCATAGCTTTTCCAAGTGCAACTCGCACGACTCGCCAAAGACACCCAGAGAAGCAATGGTGCCCCCAGCGCCTACCAGAGCTTGCGCAGTCTTGAAAGACTCTGGCGTTCCCACCGCTTCAATAACCACATCAAACCCGCGTTCCTTGGTTACTGCTAGGGCTGAAGATACCGCGGTATCATGTCCATCGATCATACTGAACGTATGATCGGCGCCCATTGACTTGGCCATCACGAGTCTAGGAGCACCTCTCCCCACCATCGCCGTTATCGACGGACCGAACAGATTCTTCGCCATCTGAAGGATCATTAAGCCAATCGGGCCTGAACCTATGATTGCGACAGTAGCCCCAGGCTGAATCCCACCGTTTAGAATCCCACATTCGTAAGAAGTCGGGACGGTATCAGACAGGGTGACCGCAACTTTCTGCTCAATATTCTTCGGTAACAAATGTAGCGAGAACTGGGCGTGAGGAACGCGGACATACTCGGCCTGGGTGCCGTCGATCGTGTGTCCGAGTATCCAGCCACCCCTTTCACATTGAGAGGACATCTTCCTGCGGCAGTAGTGACAGGACCCGCAGCTGGTGATGCAAGAGATGATTACCACTTGGCCGATAGAGAAATTTGTAACAGCGGCACCCACAGTCTCAATTATTCCGACTCCTTCATGGCCGATGATGCGACCTGGTTTACATGTTGGAACGTGGCCCTGTAGAATGTGCAGGTCTGTTCCGCATATCGTGGTATGAAGCACCCTGATGATAGCATCGGTGGGCTCCAAAATGACCGGTTTTTCACGATCTTCGACTACAATCTTGTTGTCACCGGTGTAGATAGCGGCTTTCATATTTGCAGACCTTTTACACACGAGTTGGCTAGGAAACGTTCAAGGACTTGGGACGATCCCGGATGATCGAGAGTAAGTTCAGAGGAATAAGAAAAGAAAAACCAAAATGGATAAAATAAGCAACCTGGCTGGGCTCTGTATTTATAGACGCTTCACAGGCCAAAGAGGGAAAAAAAAAAGCCAGGTAAGCATGATTGAACGACGGCCTCGAATAAGTGAGCAGAAGTGACTAGTAACTAGTGACTAGCGACTAGTTGCGTTTACAGGCATTGTAACCAATAGGCAGAGGAGCAATGTCTGACGTGGGGTAATGACAGACATGTAAAAACTATACATGAGGGCCACGTATGGATCGCTATGCAGCTTACTGTTTAGAATAGGTGTTGATAGCCGATGAGCTTGGAGTGAACTACTAGATGATTCTGTGGGGTTGGAAGGCTCGATACTCAGCACCCAAAAGCAGAATTGTTATAGTGAGGATCCCAGTTATTAATTCAGTGTGGGATCAGAGAAATTGGTGATTATATCTATTCAAGCAAAGTTGCAATGTTATGAGTCTGCCCAGGTGGGGGATATATACTTTATCAAGCGCCAAGGCCCTACTCTATCGCTCCCATCGATTGGCAGTTCGAGCTGGAATGTAACACATTTAACATTCATTCGTTAATATATATGTAATGTATGTATATATATATATATATATATATATATTATACTTTGTATTCAATAGAAAAGCAAACATGATTGTAGTACCTCAGATTTGTAAGTTGACCTCTGCATTTTGGTCAGACCTCGGGACCTCCCAACCTTCTTTGGCTAGCGCTGTAAATGCACTAAGGAAATTCGGACCTGAAGTGAAACATCGCCTATACCTCGTCTAGAATGACCGTGTTCATAATGCCAGCCATTTTTTGCCCCTCTTATTAGTTATCTGTGTTACCACGATGTAATCTGATCGTGCCAAGCCTCCAGCATAGGATTTCTCTGTGTAACACCGGGTGTGGTGTTGCTTGGTACGATCACCCGTTGTTATCTGTCCCTGTCCATTTTCGGATGTATGTCGCATTCTTGAGATCGTGGAGATGATTATTGTTCCACACTACGGGATTAGACGGGTGAAAGGGGATATTCGATAACACTAAACTCCCTAACGCTAGGCTTATGACTTCGCAGGACTCTTGTTCTCACCTTCACATACCATCTTTACACCATATAAGTCCCTCCCGCTCTATATCAAGCACATACGACCACAGGGTGTGGAAAACAGGGCTTCCCGTCCGCTCAGCCGTACTTAAGCCACACGCCGGTGAGTTAGTAGTTGGGTGGGTGACCACCAGCGAATCCTCACTGTTGTATGTTTTTGTCTTTTTGTCCTTGTTTTCAGAATTCTATATTTTACATGAATTGGTTGCGATTCACTCCCTGGGAAAACTAAAGTTTGCATCGCAAATTCCTCTTCCTCCGTAATCTCATTGGAGCAGCATACATAGCCTGCACATCACTAGTCTATCCATGTACCGGGCATAACTTCCTCTTTCTTTTCTATCATTTCCCAAAACTCCCCCGCCATTTCATCCATTGGATTGGATATCCACACCTTCCAATCTCCAGGATCGGGGCTATATTCAAGAGATGATAGAAAATGGAAATGTAGAAACCCACCAAGACGAGGATTATATGCCGGGCCGGACCTTTCAAGGCCAACATATATCCATTGGTCTGGATCCACAACACCGGATGTCCATAAGGCTTTTTCCTTCGCTCCGTAAGTGACCAGGTCAACACCTGCCAATTTGAGCTCTGATGCCCATAGCTGAACAATGGGATTAAAATTATATCGAGCTCGCCTAATTTCAGCCCAGTTTTTGGTGAAAAAGAACAGGAACTGTACGAAAGGGGTAAAAGCTCTTCCCAGACGGAAGATTAAGTGGCAGGGATCTGCAGAGGCTGCAATTGCATCAGAAAGAAGCTGACGCCATTGATGAATATTGTTGGTTCTCTTGGAAGAGAAATCAACCGCCATACCCGTCACAATATGATAAAGGAGGGTCTCTCCATCATCGTTTTTGAGAAGAAATGCAGCTGGGTCGATGTGATCACCGCCCATCGCAATTCGGAGTGTAGTTGGGGATGCACAGCGCACCCACCAAGTATCAAGGGTCATTGCTCGTTTAAATCGAAAATCAAGAGGTAACTCCGAGTAAGACCTGAACGAGTACTCTTGTATTAAAGATAGAGCTTGAGGGGGGCCTTGAAAGCCGGAGGTCTCTCCGATTCTCTTATCAAGGTCTTCGAATAGCTCGTCTCCAAAATCACGAGCAAATAATCGATATAGTTCGAGGGTGAGAGAAACTGTCTCTGGATGATCTATCCAATCTCTTGCACTGGTATTGACTACCCCGAAAGGGGTACTATAGTGCATCAGCTGGCATTCTTGGGATAAAATAATTGTTAGGATTTAGGAAACGTACGCTCCCCAATTGTCCCTTTGACCTGGATTGGCACCATTGTCCAATAGCATTTGACACACGCCCAGTTGACGATGCTGAGCCGCTACCTGAACAATTTTAATAAGATAAAAATTAAAATAATAGCCCTGGATTTAGGTTGTACTTACGTGTAACAAACTTTCGCCATAGGAATTGCAGTCGAAAGGAGATGCGAGACGATTTGTGAACAAGTTTTGGATCTCTGCAATGTTGCCAGATTGACAATGAAGAAATATTGGCGATCTCGATGGTAAGACATTATTTGCTTGAATACTGAAAGCAAAATTTGAAAAGCCACGACATATATCAATAGTCCACAATTTGTCCATGAAAGCTAGTGGGGTTCGAAAACGGAATGTTCTTCTATTGAGCCCGCGTTGTCGCGATGATGGGTATTTTGCGCTTTGTAGGCTTTTTTTTAGAAGTTAGAATTCGCGACATAATAGTGATAGGTTTTTAATGACTACACTTACCACTTTTCTTGATCTATGCACGGCTCAGATGTAGTGGAATTTTTCGATGGGATCGATGAATCAATCTTGAGGGTGAGGTCGCGTAGAGAAGTACTAATCGCATAGTAAAGGATATTAGTTTTGTGAAGAGAGGATTTTTGCTTGTAGAGTAGATACTTCGACTGAGGAAAGGCGGAAATTGTATATCACATGAAAGGAAATACCAGCAATATATACTCACCTATAGTACGCTTGTTGAAGAAGCAGAAGCGTGCCCTTCATACGCTCCAACTCCTGTTTGTGAGCTTGCAGCGATTCCTTTTTTAGGGCAAGCTTTATGGTTCCAAGCTTTCCCTTCGTGGTTTGATGTTTATATTTCTGTATGGTAGATACTACCGATTCTAGGGTGTTTTGAAAGGCACGCAAACGCCGCTCCGTAGATGGAAGATTGAGAGATCCCAGCATCTCTGGCTCCAGGCTGGTCAAAATAACCTGTATCATTTCAATTTCATCAATAAGATTTTGAAATTCTGTGGGAGCAGATTTGACAAATGCACGTAGACCTTTCAACTTGTCAATGCTGTCAACGATCTGTTCCACCAAGGAGAGACAACCGAGAGCGACTCCCAGTACTTCAGCCATATTGGATGCACTAGGGTAGCTGAAGTTGAACAATTAATGTTGATTCCATAAATATTCATGGAATAGATACCGAGAGTTTAAAGCTGGACGGTATTAGATGAAGGATATCTGAAGAACAATTGAGGGGGGGCAGTGTTCTTTGGGGGCTGAGCCCCTCTTACCCTGTCTCGTATCCCATCTCTACACAGTAGATTTATCATATCACCACCACCCTAAGAGGATTCAACATTGGTTTAAAAAATATAATGGACCCCAAAGGCATTGTATTTTAGCCACAAGCCACATGGTGAGTTGGTAGTTGAGTGCCGAGTGAATTATTGTATGTTTTTGCTCTGTATTTCTTCCATACATTCTATAGATACGGAGTGCATATCATACATAGTATGTATTGGTTAATGATACCAATGTAAGATGATACCGTATTTTGCTTACGAGGTACATGACTTGCCTACATATGAGGAGAGAAGTAAGAAAATCAGTTCTAAGGTTGAAATTCAGCCTCATGTTTACTAGTACCTAGTGTTTATATCTGAAAGCTTTAGCTAAGCGTAAACCAGATTATAGGATTAGACGGGATATAGAAAAAGAGACAAAATAATCATATTATACCACCCTTGTAAGTCAGATTTTGACCTCGCTGCAAAAAAAGACACGAAATCTGTGCCAAACTGCAAATATGTAAAACAATTCTCACTCGCTATCTTACAAAAGGCCTCCCAACATAATTCTCCCCGAGGCAGCCACACCTTATTTGTGCCATATCCCATTCTTCTTCCACCTTTTTTTTTCATATAATCCACACGTCGCTCGTCCAAAAGACAAGGTCATATATGAACCGTGCTAGGCATTCTTGCCAACCGGCATTGACTAAACTTCGAGAACAACTGAATGGTAGTGATCAGTTTCTCCAAAAGGAACTCAACGCTGCGTTGATCCATGGTCTCTTCAGTAGCTGTGATCATGAGCTCAAGCTGAGATCCGTGTTCTACGGAAATGATACCTAGCTGACCATGCGCCAACTTAGAGCTGGCCCAATCACAACTAGACGACGAGCGAACACCACCCATTTCGAAGGGTTCCATGACTTCTTCGCTCTGATGGTGAACAAGGCAAGCCATTTTCGAGCCTGGTTGCCACCCTGTGCAAGATTCTGCAATAGCATCAAATGATGCCTCATCATGTGCAGTGATTTCTAGCTGCTGTACCTGAACATGATCCAAGAAATCTTCCACCGTCCACTCAGGCTCAATCCTGATTCGAACAGGCAGGTGATTCAAGCATGGCCCAATGGCAGTATTGGCATCCAAAAAGGAACTTCCGCGTCCGTGGACCACCTGGCCTAAAATGATATCTGATTGCGTGGTTTTCTCAAACAGGATCCACGAGAAAGCTGCTTTCACGAGCGTGGACATGGTAATATCGGGTGGGAGAGTGGGAATTGCCATTTGCCGCTTTTCGACTATGTCATTGTCCGAAACTCGTGCCTTCCCAGTTTGACGAAGGGGATCGAGAGCAGTGGATGGAGCACCTTGGAGGTATCTTCGCCAGAATGAAATCTCGGCTTTGTTCAGATCGCCCATTCGCTTATAAGCGACATCTTTGAATTGCACGGCCTGATGAAGAGGCTCCTCATGATAGGCTTTTGTGATTGCCTTCCACAGCAATGGTATAGAGGCTCCATCATACTGTGCATGGGATATGTGAAGAATCAATGCAGAGCACTGCTTGATGGGGCTAGTGACGATAGTAAAGCTGACTGGCATTATACCCTGGGCTGTACAGGGTGGAACCTTCTGTTCGGACTCTCGAGCAACATATGCCTCTGGATCATCACATTGAACAAGATTCAGCACAGGCTCAACTTCCCGGAGGATCACCTGGAGGAATCGCCCATTTGTCTCCACAAAGACTGTGCGCAAGATGCTGTGGTGAGCCACAACCTTGTTGCAGGCGATTCTCAGTCTATCGATGTCCAGGACCACTGGCAATATTTGTGCCATCGAGACTGGCGACGCATGGGTTATGTAGAAGACTTGGAATGGTAGCGCCGGTATAATATCTTCCACATTCTCTTTGACCACCGAATGTCCCCGTGGGAAGTGAGAGACGAAGAGCTCTGTACGCTCGTGATCCGTAACCAGGGAGTAGGGTCTATGGGACCACAAGGAAGAATCTGCAGTCTGTATTCCATCCATGATATCGGCGGAGTCCACGGTGGTAGCATGTTTGGCAACACCCATCAATGTTTTCCACTGGAACAAACTCTCCACTGAATGCGCAATTCCAGCCGCCCGAGCCCTCGATGCGACTTTGAGAGCCGAGATGGAATCACCTCCCAGCTGGAAGAAGCTGTCTTCAGCACCAATCTGGTCGATTGCGATATTGAGTACCTGTGCCCAGATGTGCTGCAAATCCCGCTCTGGCCCCACGGCGGGCACTCGCTTATGTGAAGGGGCTTCGGCAAACAATGACTCCAGCTGTACTCGCGTTGCGCCCGCCGCCGAGTCTCTCAACCGCTTTCGGTCAACCTTGCCACTAGGTGTGTGAGGTGCCCGTCGAATCGGGATGAAAGCAGACGGTATCATATACTCCGGAAGGACATCACGGAGTTGACGTTTGACACTTGATATCTGGGCCGCAAAGTTGGTCGGGGCGACAATTTCCAGGGACGGGATCGCTGAGGTGGATAGCAATGAAGCTGTCTCAGCCGATTTTGAAGAGACAAAGACAACCAAGCATTTGGAGTTCGTTGAAGCCATTGGAGTCACAATCTCAGCCACAATGTCTGTCAGATCCTCGGGCCAGATCTTCTGCAGTCGCTCCTCAACTTCGGCAAGCTCAAACCGCTGACCTCGTAGCTTGACCTGGAGGTCTTTTCGTCCTATGAATGAGAGAGATCCGTCCTCCTCATAACGTACAAGGTCACCTGTTCGATAAACCCGGCCTTCCTTTAGACCATCAGTGAAGCCGAAACGTCGCATCCATACTGGAGCTGAGATGTAGCTTGCAGCTGTTTGATCGGGACTGTTCAAATATCCGCGACCTACTAGAGGGCCTTGAAGAAGAAGCTCACCCACTGCACCAATAGGAGCGATTCGTTGGGGGTTTCGTGGGTCGACCACCCAACAGGCGCCTGCAATCGGTTTTCCGATATTACCACCCTGTGACTTAGAGTCAATTGAGGACTGCACAGTAAACGCTACTGTGCATTCTGCTGGACCGTACACGGGCATAATCCGTGCATGTGGAACCCACTGCTTAATATCGCTTGACCGAAGGGGTTCTCCACCAAGCATCAGCGTTCGGAGTGATCCCAACTCGCTTGGCTTTATTGCGCGCAGCACACTTGGTGTTAAATGGGCATGGGTAGGCCGTAGCACTTGCAATGCCTCGGTGAGCCGGCCTCTGCGCTCAGACTCCGTCAGAACGCAGACGCAAGCCCCTGCAAGCAATGTACCGAGTATTTCCAAAATGCTGACGTCAAAGGCATAGGAAGAGAAGTTCAGGACCCGATCACCTGGGCAAACACCCATCAGGTGGTTAATTTGTGTGGACATAGTCATAAAGGAACCATCCTCAATGACCACACCCTTTGGTTTACCAGTTGAACCAGAGGTGAACACCGCATAAAGAGCACGGTCTGTGCCCAAACGGGTCGTCTTGTGAACGGGCACCGATGCGGACTCGGAGTCGATCCTTCGAGGCATGACCACAGCATTGTGGAACAGTGCCTCGGCTTCATGACGATGCTCGGGCAATGTCAGTATGAAAAGAGGCTTCACCTCTTCACAGATGGTCCGAAGCCGCTCTTTTGGATGCGTGGTGTCTAGAAGAACGAAGGATGCCCCTGCCTTGAGCACAGCTAACACTGCTACCACAGTCCAGCACGACCGATCCAAGTATATTGGAACAAAGACCTCCGATGTGGCTCCCTGTAAACGCAAGAGGCTAACCACATGAGTAGAAAGAATGTCTAATTCTTTATACGTGAGGTCGAAGTCGGAAGACGAGACGGCTAGACCCGATGGTTGCCTGTCACAATGCCGAGAAATCACATCAGTGACCGACTCCGAACGTCGTTCAGGGAATCCAGTGTTCCAGGCTTGCAGCTGCTGGATATCCTTGTCATTGAGAGTAACAATTTCGTGCACTGGCCTTTCTGGATGACGGTGCACCTGCTGCAAAATGTGGCTAAATTGGTCTAGCAGATGTTCAACTTGCCATGTTGGAATGACAAACTCATCATTGGAAACTGCAACAGTCACCGTATTTGGATTGAGCATAACGGCGATTTGGATGGCGTAGGTATTTGATGCAGCGTCTCCAGATGATGTTCCCATGGGTTCCATAGGGTGATCATCTCCGGTGCCCAAGTCTTCAACCTCTCCTCTCCCCTCCACGAGCAGTGTTTGGAAAGAACAGGCCTGCTTGGCCTCTGGTCCAAGAGCAGAAATTTCAGGTAGTCCAACCTGTTCGAATGGAATGAGCTGTATTGTCCGCTCTTGCAGATTTCTGAGGCCCTGTGAGACGGTCGCATTACCATCGATTTGCACGCGCAAAGGAAGCGTGGCAATTGTTGGACCAGCCATTCCTTCAATACCATCGACGGATGCTGTTCGGCCAGGGGACACAATACCGAATACCACATCGTCATTACTCTGGTAGTGAGACTGAACAAGAGCCCATGCAAAACGAATGGCAGTGGTTCGACTGACACATTCATCCATGACTGGGCCTGTCTCAATTGTTCGTACCGTCTGTTTTGAAGCCTGCGGCCGATATGATGGAGAAGGAAGTGCAGGGAATGGCTCAGCGGTGAGCTCTTGGAATTCACGACGCCAGTGTTCGAGCGCGTTCTTTTGTTGGGACAAGGAGTGTTTGATGAATTCCTTGAACGGAGTCATCTCGGAGGGTACCAACGCCTGGCCCCGGTAGGCTTGTCTTGCACGGTGCACAAGCAGAGGTAGTGACCAAGAGTCATACAGAGCATGATGAATGGTGATAAGCAGGTCAAGTTGCTGAGATATCTTGGAGTCCTCACTTAAGACTGGGATGACTTCGAACTGCACTAGTGGCTGGCCTAGAAGAACGTTCCACTGTAACCTTTTGTCTTTCTTCATGCCCGGCGAGATCCAGTGAAGCTCGCTGTTCTGTACCAGGACCTGCATGAAGCCAGACTCCGTGTGAATGAACCGGGTGTGCAGAATTCCGTTGTTTTTTGCCACCATCTCCCAAGCAGTCTTTAATAAAGACAGATCTGTATCTGTCCCTAGACGGAAACGATGGTATGCGATGTATGACCCAGGGCGCTCTGCTGTCAAAGCTACCATACCAGCCTGTAATGCGGTACAGGGGTATATATCCGCGATATTATCTATCGGGAGATTGCATTGCTCCATTGCCTGTGATATGAATTCTTCCTTGTCATTTGTCGGGAGCATCGAGAACGCCGGCACGAAGTCCTCTAACAATTTTGATTCTGAGGTTGGCAATTCCTTCGGTTCTGGCATTGCGCAATTTAGTGCGAGATCGCTAAGCTTAGGGTTTAAGAAGATATCAGCAACACCCAGCTGAATACCCTGTTCGCTGGCCCTTGTGGCTAGCCTCATTGCTGCGATCGAGTCTCCGCCCAAGCGGAAGAAGTTGTCATCAGGTCCAATTGTCTCAGCAGGGCGAGCCAGGACTTCAGCCCAACATTTTTGCAATGTGAGTTCACCCTTTGTCAATTCTCTTAACTCTCGCAGGTGGCTTTTGGTAGCGCCTTGAGCAATCTGTTCTCGTAGCCCTTGAGCAGCTGCATCCCGCACTTTCTTCCGATCAATCTTTCCATTCACCAATCGTGGTACCTGGTATACAGGAATAAATGCAGAGGGAATAAGATAAGCTGGAACGTCTGCCCGAAGACGTGATTGCATCTGCTCCACGGCCGCTTCGAAGGCTTCAATATCGCTGTCTTCTGGTTGAACAATGGAGGCTACCAATTGCGCATCTTTTGTACCATTTGGTGAGATCAAATCTACAAAGACTTCAGGGTCGTTGATAGGGAAGCACTGCTGAACATGGTGCTCAACTTCAGCAAGTTCAATACGTTGTCCGCGCAACTTGACTTGTCGATCTTTTCGACCGAGATATTGTATAGAGCCATCCACAAGACGCCTCACAAGGTCACCTGTTCGGTATAAGACGCCATTTTGGGAACCACGGATCTTGCATAACCAAATGGAATACGGAACAAATGCTGCTGCCATGGCCTCCGGACGATTGACGTAGCCACGACCGACAATAGGACCCTCGATCAGAAGTTCTCCGACAGAACCCACAGGCACGAGCTTCTCTGGGCTGCTTGGATGCGCCACCCATGCGACACAGCCAACAGGGTGTCCGATATTTGATTCATCCTGTGCGAGGTATTGTGGCGATGGCTGGGCTGTGGAAATGACAGAACATTCCGAAGGGCCGTAAGCATTCATCAAGCGTACATGAGGTGACCAGCGACGAACATCGTCCCTAGTCATGCCCTCTCCGCCGAGAACAAGTGTTTCCAAGGTTGACACATCCTGTGGATTTAGAATGCGTGCCACAGAAGGGGTCAGTAGTGTCCAGTTCACCTGCATCTCGCGGATTGCATGGCCTAATCTTTGATTTCGGTCTCTATCGGACGGGATGCAGATGCAGCCACCTACCAAAAGCGTGTCAATCATTTCCACAATACTAGCGTCAAACGCATAAGAGGCAAATTGAATGACTCGGGAGTTTTTATGAAGACGAAGTGCCTTGGTATGTGCGGCTGACGCTGACAGGAAGGACTGGTGCTCGATGACGCTTGCCTTGGGCCTACCGGTTGACCCAGACGTAAAAACAGCATATGCGGATGAATTTGGACTAGTCACTGATGGGATAATGACTTTTCGAATCTCTAAATGGCCTCGGTCTTCCGGGATAATGGTTCTCGGTGCCAGGCTGGATGCAAGTTCAAGGTATTTCGATGAGGTAATGATAACTGGACACTGGAAGTTCATTTGAACCATCTCTTGCAGTCTCTCTGGTGGGTGCGACGGGTCAAGTAAGATGAATGCTCCACCTGCCTTCATAATGGCGAGTATGGCGACAACTGTCCATCGGGATGTTTCACGGCATACTGGCACAAATACCTCAGGACCCACACCAAGCCGGGCCAGGTCCTTTGCCAGTAGCGACGAAAGAAGGTCAAGGGCTTCATATGTGAATTGGCCATCCCAGGCATGGACGGCAGGGGATGTGGGTTGCGTAGTTGTGATTCGCTCTATGTCAGTGTGAATACAAGACCGTACTGTTTGCGGTAGGTTGTAATTGAAACGGAGCATGTGGCTCTCATTCATTCCCATTGACAGATTGATGTCGCTCAGATTGATGATAGCGGGATCAATAAGTTGGAGAACAATGTGATGAAAGGTGTCAGCAACCAATTCAGCCTGAGCTTCAGCCACAGTGTGCGTCCAGTATGTCAAATCACCATCAATGGTCTCGTCACGAGAAGTGATATTGATGGTCAAGTCATACTGTGATTTGGTAAGTCATAGAAATACAAAAAGAACATTTCAGCCACTATTCCGCACATACCTCAGTTGAGTCAATCCCGTCTTCTGGTTGCAACTTGATCCTTTCGGACTGATCAGAGAACAGACTGCCGGGGTCCTTTTGTAATGACATCGCTGTATTGAACAAAGGTTGACCGGAGAGATTTAAAGAATGCATGACCTCTGCCAAAGAGCAATGTTGGTGATCAAGACTTTGAGCGTAGGCCGAATGATTTTCGGCAAGCGTCGAGAGAACCGATAATTCATCAGCTAGATGTAGGCGGCAAATCAAAAGATTGATCAAAGGCCCAGAGATATCATGCGCATCTCGCACTGGAATATCGCGGCAAGCATTGAGATATCCGAAGCATACAGACTCACTTCCTGTGTATACACGGAGAACAATACCCCAAGCGACTTGTAGCAAACTGGAAATAGTGATGCTATGATTCCGGCAGAAGGAGCTGAGATCTTTCCCGACACTCATGGAGAAGGGTACGGATTTTAGAGAGCTTGGTGCGGTCCTGTGCTCTTTCAATCCAATAGACGGGAAAATAGACGGGTGAACATTAGTCAAGTATTCCTTCCAGTAAGATTCTGAGGCCTTATTGTCCCGCGTTTGCAGATACCCGAGATACCTGCTATAGCAGCCGGCAGGCTTCTCGTCCAGTGTACCATTGAATGCTTGGTGCAATTCCGACAACAATCTTTGCTCTGTGATACCGTCAACAAGGATGTGGTGGATAGCCAGCTGGCAGTAAGCTCCACCATCAGGCTCAATTGCCACAGTAAGCTGATGGGGAGGGCGGCCCTTCGTGTTTGACGACTTTGAATTCAAAAGGAACTCGTCTGAAAGCGACGGAACTTGGTCTTCTGCACGCAATTCAGATCCCGAGGATGTCTTGATGTTTGCCTCGCAATTTCTCAGGACTACTTGGACAGGATGACCGTGCCCTGTGACGCCATCAGTGAAGACAGTGCGCAAGATGGGTTGACGATCAACAACCTTCTGCCATGCTTCTTTGATTTCTGTGATATCGATTGGCTTGGAAATTGTTGGGTACAGAGACCACCGAATATGAGACCAGTATACTTGAGGGTTTCTCAATTGGCTCAGCCACATGCCGAGTTGAATAGGTGAGCAAGGGAACATGTCCTGGATTCCAGACGGGGACACATCGAATCGACCTGAGACCTGATGGAGTAGGCTGTGAAGCTGTTCCTCGCTTGCAAGTGACAGCAACGGGAAATCGACGGCGGAGAGTCGCTGTTCCTGCTGCAGCTCCATGGGGAGTTCCTCAAGTGTTTGTAGGCAATTGTTGATCCATTGATCTAGCCGATCCTGATTCTGTAGTCGTTTGTTATAGATGAAAGACAAGTTGAGCGAGCCGTTCATGACGGTTGCGTTCACATCAATCAGGGCCATGCGCGGCAAATCAGCTGCCATGGGGAGCAGGGTATCGTCTTGGACTGATGTTATCTGAAGGAGGGCACCCGGGCGTTCAAATTGTTGAAAAAGTCCGGTGTAGTTGAAAAGAATCTCCATTGGCGAATGACCCTGGAACCTTTTCGGTCCGTCGGGGTGGAGGAATCGCGATGCAAAGTATGCCCATCCGTTGGTGGATATTCCGCGGCGACCGGCTTTAGTCAACTGCAAGATCCTTCTGACGCTGTCTTCCTTCTTAACATCCAAAAACAAGGGCGCAATAGTGGTGAACCATCCAACTGTCCGGGAGATTTCAATATCTGCGTCCCATGGTTCTCTTCCATGCCCTTCGCTGAACATGGTGGGTGCAGGTCGATTGTCAAATGCCTGAACAAAAGCATAAAGTACGGCTGCTTGAATGATTTCCACTGGCTGGGTGTGGAATGCGCCATTTGCAGCACCGATTATTGCCTCGGTTGTTTCTTTCGATACTGTTATGGTCCGTCGTGTTGCATCCGCCCAAGTATTCTCACTTAGGATAGCCTCTGAACCCCAGTAGTAGATTGGGGGGCGTGGAATTTCTGTTTTCAGAGTTTCACTGGGATTAAGGGATTCTCTGGCATAGCCTTGTTGCAGTCGACACCATTGTTGGAATGAGATGGAGAGAGGTTGTATGGTACGTCCCGTGCTGAGGATATCTTCTAGGTCTTGCAGAATGATGCGCCATGACACTAAATCAATCACAAGGTGATGGGCCATCATGCCCAAAAACTGCTCCCCGCTGTCTGTAGTGATAACGTCAACAACAATCATCACTCCCTGGACAATATCAAGGGTATTCTGGCTGGTTGACAAAATATTCTGCAGGGCTTTACGGTCATTCATAGATGACACCTGATGCTGTCTAAATCGAAGACCTCTAGACACATCAGGACTAATGAGCTGGCCCCATTGACCATCTCGTTGTTCGAAGCGGGCACGGAGCATTGAATGGGTGGCAACAATCTTCTCAATAGCTCGTTTAATCTCCGGAGGTGGAAGGGGCTTCCCAAGTCGGAGAATAAACTCGAGAGTGAACTTGTTGTGACCATTGGGCACTCGCTCAAAGAAGAGCTTCTGGATCGGGGAAAGTTCAAACCAGACATCTGTTAGATCGTCCTCCCCGGCTGGGGCAAAAGCGACAGAGCCGGAATCCTGAATCCTTTCCGCCAGTTGCCTGATTGTTGGAAAACGAAAAATATCGGCAACAGCTACTTTCAGCCCGACGGTACGACAGCCTGCAGCGACTTGCATCGCGCTGACCGAATCACCTCCCAGACGAAAGAAACTTTCTGTGGTGCCGATTTCCTCAACAGTTCGATTTAGTGTCTTCGCCCAAATTTCTTGAAGCTTTTCCTCGCGGGAACTTGATGGTGCCTCCGGTTTTGATTGCACAGCTCGATAAGCCTTCATCTCCTCCAGCGACAGTTTATTGGCCTGCTCCTGGATGTAACGTCGATTGGTCTTCCCAGATGGCGTTAGGGGTATACGGGATAGGGGTAGGAAAAACCGTGGAATCATGAAAGATGGTAGGACATCCGACATGCTGGCCTCTGCTGCAGCACAAGCTTCACGAAACTCGTCGGTTGGAGGAAGGAACTCGGCTTGATGTGTACCTTCATTTGAAGGAGATGCAGGGAGACATATAAACGCTACCAACAAAGCCTCTGGTCGATGATCGTTGATACCTTTTTGAGCAGATGACCGGAGAACTTCTGCAAGGGTTTGGCGGGCTTTCGGAAATGCTTTGTGGAGGTGGTACTCAATGTCTGCCAGTTCTAAACGCTGCCCGTGTAGCTTGACCTGAGTATCCTTCCGTCCAAAATAGCGGAAACTACCATCTCCGGTTTCTTGCACCAAATCCCCGCTTTTGTACAATTTTCCGGATGGAACAGATCCAAATTGGAGACGCCAGGGGGGTGCTTCAACGAAGGACCGAGCCGTTTGCTCGGGCATCGATAGATAACCCTTGCCAACGATTGGTCCTTCTATTAATAGTTCTCCAGCACATCCCAGTGGCATCAGCACCCGATGATCTTCTGGGTGAACAACCCATCCACACCCTCCTGTGCTGAACCCTATGTTCACTGGATCGTTGCTCTTGAGATTTGGTTGGACACTGAACACCGCGGAGCACTCCGCTGGACCGTATGCATTTCCAACATGTACAAAAGGCTCCCAGCGGACAACGTCGCTAGCCAGAACTGCCTCTCCAACAAATACCAATACCTTCAGGGACTTAACACTTTCAGGACTAATGATCCGAGTGACACTGGGCGTCAGACAGGCAACAGTCACTGAAAATCGGTTCATAGATTCAACAAGGCGACTATGACAGTCGTCTATTGACGGGATGCAAACACAGCCACCCTGAATCAGAGTACTGATATGTTCGATAATGCAAGAATCAAAGGCTGGAGATGCAAATTGTAACACACGCGAATCAGGTGTGAAGTGGTATGGCTTGCCGTGCGCCACAGAACTTGACGCAAATCCTTCGTGATGAACAATTACACCTTTTGGAGTACCCGTGGATCCAGAGGTAAATGTCAAATAGACGGGATCCTGTGGGCTGACCGAGGACCTCTTCGTTGAGATATTGAAGTGGAGCTGTTCTGAGTCGAAGGTATCCACGTTGAGTAACACTGGAACCCCAATCTGGGCCGCCAGTTCAATATGTAAACCACACGTCAATACCAGGGGAGCTCCAACGGTTTCACACATAGTCCCTAGTCGGGACTGTGGGTGTGATGGATCTAACAGCACAAAGGCAGCGCCGGCTTTCATCACAGCAAGCATGGCGACCGCCATCCACTTGGTCTTTCCCAAGAGAAGAGGTACAAATGACCCGCGGCCAATATGATGCGAGGAAAGATGGTCAGCCAATGCCGAAGACAGGTTATCAAGGGCTAGATATGAATAGTTGCCATCCCAGCCGTTGATAGCCAAGGCATGAGGTTGTTGTTGCGTGCGTCTTTCAATTAGAGTATGAACACACGGCATATCTGCAGAAGGCTTCGTTGAGATATTCTGGCGACGGAAAACACTCAGATCTTCTGGGCTCACGACACTAATATCAAGCAGGGTGAGGCTCGGCTCTGTGTCGATCTGCTCATAGATATGAATGAATTGGGAGAGTATTCGTTCCATTTGACTGGGTTCGGTTGCTGCTGGGTCAAAAGAAGCCTCAATGGTCATCGTGGTGGTCGAAGGGCGGCATCGTAGGATCAAAGGATACATGTCATACGTCATTTGGGTCGATCGACTCTGGGAGAATATGTCGGGAAGTTGATGGCCATCTCGAGGCTCGACGGAAATAAGGGTCTGGAAATGACACGCTGCTGCTGGACCGGGTCCAAGACGAAGCAGATTTTGCAATCCAACATGTTCGAATTCCATGGATTCTGCCCATTCGTCCTGTACTGCAACCAATGCTTCTGCAACAGTATTCTGCCGACACAGCTTGATACGCACTGGTACACTGGCTAGGGCAGGTCCGCTCAGTTCCTGCACTCCCGCAACTGATACTGCTCGACCCGCGTTGACTGCTCCAAATAATGTGTCATCAGAGCTAGTGTAGACCGATTGCAGGAGTGCCCATGCTAAGCGAATCTTGGTTCCGACAGTGCTCGAAGAAGTTTTGGCGTCTTGGATTCTAAAGGATCTCTCTATTCGCTCGGTTGGTCTGGCAGAATGACCCACTGTGGGTAGTTGAGGAAATACCATCATCGTGGCCTCGTGTGCGTCTCCGAATTTAGATTTCCAGAAAGCATTAGATTTGTCTTGAGTCCGCTGTACATGATCCACGAGAGGCCGAAATGGGTTTGAAGGCAGTTCCTCGCCTCTGTAGGCGGCAGCGGCCTGGCGCAACAACAATGCGATAGACCAATGGTCACAGATGGAATGATGGATTGTCACTTTGAGCTTATGCTCGGTGACATTGAAGAAGAAATACACCAGTGGAGCGCCAGCTCGCCAGGAAGGATTGGTTATCTCACCATGTATGCCATCGTCGGTCTCCTGAACCTGCCATGGAATTGATCCTCGTACCACTGCCTGTACACAGCCGCGCTGGCTTGTTGGAATCATGCGAGTCCTCAATATCGGGTTGGCTTGGGCTGTGCTCATCCAGGCTTCCTTTAGCTTATCGTGGTCAATCTCTCGTGGAAGACGGTACTCGTGTTCGATGGTGTATGCTCTTGGGTCTTTGAAAGTGAGGGCTATCATCGCTTCTTGGAGGGCGGTACAGGCATATACGTCTTCAATCTCGTCCAGAGAGCAATTGCATTGATCCGCCACTTGTTGCCAAAGTTCATCCATTGAATCCTCGCTCTCAGTTGATGGACTAGGAGGTTCTTTGTTGAAAGAGCTCAATGTTTCCTCCAATGAGCCTCTCGACTCCATTGACTCCTCCGGTGGAGTGATGGCCCCTGTGGCAGGGATATCTATTGAGCGTCTCATACTGAAGTCGGGGTGCTCTGGCACCATGAGCTCAACTTCTTTGCTCTTCACTCGATTAGAAACTATACCTGTGTTCCGGGGTTTGATATTAACAAACCTGTGCCACTCAATAGTGTCTGGTGTCGTTCCCTTTTTATTCAACACTCGACCAATCCTACCAGCAGCATTGTCATCTGCTACGAGAATAGCTAAGAGATATTGAAATGAAGTTTATACGAGAATATCGGTGACATTCCATAGTACCTAGGGCTACGGCCCGGATAAACATTATGCGCCCTGATCCAAGAAAAAAAATCATCGTATAAACTGTGGTATACGTACGCGGCAATGTAACATAAAGCTTCCTTGACGCATGCTGGAAACTCTGTATCAGCAGAAATAGACACCGTGCACAAGTATTTTCTCCCTTTCCGGCGTTTTGCGAATCTTTTTTTCGTTCTACCAAACATTTCGCCATGGCAATTCATCATCGATCGTGGCTTGTATTAAGCTTTTTTGAAAAATGTTACTGAGGAAGAATTATGTTCCGAAACCGGGGGATTTGGTACCTGAACTATTGCGTGGATTGCTAGTTGTCTCCGGAATAAGAAATTAAATTTTAAGGTTACGTCCGGAGCGGAACCCGTGTGCTTGCAGAGCGCATATTGACCCACATTTGGACCCACTTGACATCATATCTCCCATTTTGGTTAATAAGAGAATCCAAATGCAGCGATTTTGAATCTATCTATGGTACGGCCGAATGATTTTTGCTTGATGACAAGGAGCCGGTGGCTGAGGTAGCCTTCGATGGAAATTATAGGTCACGTGGCAACGGTCTCAGGGCGCCAAGGTCTCCGTCGGCTGATTTCGTTTGAAAGAGCGTCATCTTACTTACACACGAACCCAGAACCACAATGGTGCAGAACTCCACCTTGTTCGACAAAGAATCAGCCGTCATCGAAACTCGGTTCTCTGTCAGCTTCCCCACAGCGTGTTGAAGCGCACATGCCGACATCGCGAGAGAGTAACTCCATCATCAGTTCCGACATGGTCGCTCGTTCAGCGAAGTCAAAGGACGAAGAACCCAAACCAGCAAGTCTCGGAAGCTATGCGGTAGGTTCTAATCTATTGATGGTTTTTTTATCTACCTGCTATTGCTCACACATTGTCTAGAGAATTCTATCATATGGTGCCGCTCATGGGGGCATTTATATTATGATCCTAGGGCTAGTTTGTGCCATGGCCTCAGGAGTTGTACGTTATAGCAAACCTCGAGCTGCACTAAGGGCCAACTAACAAAACTTCAGGCTCTTCCCTTGATGAACATTGTCTTTGGCCAACTGGTGGGAACCTTCAATTCGTACTTTGTGCCGGGATCGGGTATTACAGAGCAAGCATTCAAGTCCTCAGTCAACCAAGATAGGTAAGCATCGCACTTTATCCCTCATAGTAGCGAAGAACTTACCATATTCTTTTAGCTTGTACATTGTGTATTTGTTCATCGGGAAGTTCTGTCTCACATACACGTCCATGGTAACTATGATTCTCTGTCGCCGTACCTCTGTCGTTACTAATACAGGACAGCTTTGTTTTCGATTGATCAGCCTCCGAGCCTCAGGGGCTTTGCGTCTAGAGTATACCCAAGCTCTCTTTTCTCTTCCAGTGAGCAAGCTGGACGAGATGTCAGTCGGAACTGTCACACATGCGATTACAGCGCTGTCAAATACGATCCAGCAAAGTGTTTCTGATCGACTCGCCATTCTGTTCCAGTCGCTTGCCTTGCTCATCGCAGCTTATGCAATTGCCTTCCGTTATTCCTGGGCACTAACGCTCGTCGTCAGTGCGGCAATTTTATTTGTGATCCTTGGATTTAGCCTGACAATGCCCTTTTTGGTAAAGGCACAGCAGGGTGTGGACCAGGCAGATGAGAAGCATGCTGCTCTCGCTTCAGAAGTATTTGGTTCTATTCGGACAGTGCTCGCCCTGGGTGCTGAGCAACCACTCTTCAAAAAGTATACACGGTGGGTCGAGGAATCACGAAAACGTGGCCTGGGTATGTCTTTGGTCAGTGGACTTCACCTTGGAATGCTCTTCTTTGCCATGTATGTCAGCTTCTCTCTTGCCTTCTGGTTTGGATTGAAGCTGTATCGCGAAGGCCACATTGCCAATATTAACACCGTGATCACGTATGATTATCCCATCTTTTGAATACTGGTGATGATGTGTCTTGACAATTGTTTAGGGTATTCTTTTCCGTGCTCCTGGTGGTCACTATCTTGGGAGGCATTGCGGGGCCATTGATGGCTATCACGAAGGCCATAGGTGCATCAGGTGCATTTTTCGGTGTCATCGATTCAAAGCGGGAGAGTGTGCCTGGAATTCGAGATTCGGAGTTATCCCATGCTGATATAGTGTTTCAAAACGTGATGTTTGCCTATCCCACACGAAAAGAGATGACCGTGCTCAAGGGATTCAATGCACGATTTGAACGAAATAAAACCACCGCCCTGGTTGGATCCTCCGGTTCGGGGAAAAGCACTATTGTAGCTTTGATCGAGCGATGGTATCAACTTCAGTCCGAAGAAGCAGACGGACAATCGTCTACACCGGGTCAAATCTGCGTGGGAGCTCACAACATCAATGACTTGGACGTGAAGTGGTGGCGATCCCAGATTGGACTTGTTCAGCAAGAGCCGTTCTTGTTTAATGACACAATATACAATAACGTTGCATTTGGTTTGATCGGATCACAGTGGGAGGATGATACAGATTCCATGAAGATGGAGCTCATCACCGAAGCCTGCAAGCAAGCCTTTGCAGATGAATTTATCGACCGTCTTCCCATGGTATTGTTTCACCTTTTCGCTGCCTTTTTAGTTACCCACATTTATCTGATTATTCTATTTATAGGGTTACTCAACTATTGTCGGGGAAGGTGGAATCGCATTGAGTGGAGGACAGCGCCAAAGAATTGCCATCGCGCGAAGCATCGTCAACCAACCCCAGATTCTCGTTCTTGATGAAGCAACCAGCTCGATAGATGTTCAAGGAGAAAAGATTGTGCAAGCAGCTCTCGATCGCGTGTCCAAGGATCGCACTACAATTATGATCGCTCATCGCTTGTCCACTGTCCGCCGCGCGGACAAGATCATCGTCATGAAAGACGGCAAAGATATTGAAGAAGGTTCTCACGAAGAGTTACTACTCAAAGAAGGAGTATATCATAGCTTGGTTCATGCGCAACAACTGGAGCCACTGACAGATATGATGGAAGCCGATGTTCCGGGTTCAATTTCTCCGCAGAAAGAAGCAGCCATGCCTGAAGATTACACCAACAAAGAAGGGAGCGATCAAGATTGCCAGGATACACCCGAGCCTGAAAAGAACTTTGGCTTTTTTCATAGCTTCGGGGTGCTCATTTATGAAAATCGTAGCCATTGGATGCTATATGCACTGACGCTGATCGGGGCTGTAGGGGCAGGCTGTAAGAATGCACCATCCTCTCCGATAAATTTCCAGATATAAGCTTACATATTCCAATAGCCGGATTTTCCCTACAAAGTTGGCTGTTTGCCAAACTTGTAGAGGTTTTCCAGTTCACTGGCCAGAAGCTTGTGGATGCTGCAAACTTCTGGGCATTGATGTTTTTCATCCTCGCCCTTGCCATGGCTGCTTTCTATTTTATGCTAGGATTTGCGTCAAATTCAATATCACAGGTGAGTACAAACGCCCACAGACTTCAAGCAAGGCTAAAATGTTCAGTTTGTCGTCTCCGCTGCTCGGATGGATTATTTCTACAACCTCTTATCCAAACCCGTGTCGTACTATGATGGCGAGAATAATTCCTCGGGTAGTCTGGTGTCCAGACTCTCCACTGATTCAAAACAGTTGCAGGAGATGTTTGGTCCTACTGGTGTTTTTCCTCTCATCTCGATCTTCAACATAGTGGGATGCGTCGCAATCTCCTTCGCCTTCGGATGGAAACTGGCGGCTGTCACATTTTTTGCCGCTATGCCATTCATATTCCTATCTGCCTTTATGCGTATTCGATACGAGATCAAATTCGAGGCCTTAAATGCGGCAGTCTATGCCGATAGCTCCAAGTTTGCAACCGAGGCAGTCGGGGCCTTCCGAACGGTCACTGCTTTGACTATGGAAGACTCAATTTTGAAAAGATATTCAACCCTGCTGAAGGATCAGCGTCAAAAGGCTATCCGGAAGGCATGGTACGCAACGTTGATATTTGCGTTTTCCGACAGTGTTGAACTATGCGCCATGGCGCTTGCCTTCTGGTACGGCGGCCAGCTCCTCGCATCCCACGAATATGATCCAGTTGTATTTTTCGTGGTCTACGTTGCCATTATTCAAGGCGGACAATCTGCTGGCCAGTTCTTCAGTTTTGGTCCAAATATTGCACAGGCTAAGGCATCTGCCAATCGCATATTGGCTGCGCGACTACCTGCCACGGGACAGATTCAGCATGTCCCGACGGGGCCGCTCTCTTCGGGGGATACCTCAAGTTCCTCGGTTGAACTCAAAAATGTCTCTTTCCAGTATTCTTCTCGCGAGGTACCAACGTTCGTTAATCTAAATCTCTCTATCGAGAGTGGTCAATTCGTAGCATTTGTCGGGCCTTCAGGCTGTGGAAAATCCACGCTTGTCTCGCTACTCGAGCGCTTCTATGACTGCACTCAGGGAACAATCCTATTTGGTGGTCGAGACATTCGTTCCATTGAAATGTCCTCTTACAGAAGTGCCTTGTCGCTCGTCTCCCAGGAGCCGAAACTCTTCGAAGGAACCATACGTGAGAATCTCCTTCTTGGTCTGGAAGCCCCTAATAACCCTACTACCGAGGATCAAATGATTCAAGCATGCAAGGACGCCGAGATTTACGACTTCATAGTGTCGCTACCAGATGGCTTCTTGACAGAACTTGGCGTCAACGCTCAGACCTCGATGAGTGGTGGGCAAAAACAGCGTATTTGCATTGCGCGGGCCCTAATCCGAAAACCGCAACTTCTCCTTCTTGATGAGGCTACATCCAGTTTGGACTCTCAGTCAGAAAGTCTTGTACAAGGGGCTATGGAGAGACTGGCCAGCAAGCGAGACATGACTATTATTGCTGTTGCGCACAGACTAGCAACGATTCAAAAAGCGGATGCAATTTTTGTTTTTGGAGAAGGGGCGGCAGGGCAGGGATCGAGGATTATTGAATATGGGACACATCATGAGTTGTTGCGCAGAAAGGGGGCTTATTGGTTGATGGTATATTTTCCTGCCCTGCCCTATCAATTTCTTATAACTAACGAGATTATAGTGTCAAGCGCAAGCTCTAGACCGGTGATGGATGCTTTCAAGCACGCTTTTATTACCTTCTCCTATGTCATACTTATCTATGGAGTATTCTGTATATTTCCAAAAAATAGTGCAAAACACGCTGATTCCTCGGCTTGCCCTTCCACCTAAAATACCGAGAAAGGTGAAAATGCCTACATACATATATTTAGGGTAAGAGTGGCGAGTCTAATAATGATACACATCCTACCACGACTGCTCGGCCGAGAAGAGACCGCTTATTTACTCCAGTAACAACTACCGTATCTTTCAAATGAATACAATCAAGTAAGAAAAGGCGTGAGCCACATACTGGTACATATGTGAGCAATATTAATTATTGGGTATTGGTATCATAAGCAAAAAAGAAGCGGGGGGTAGACGTGACTCATTGAATCGGGACATTATCGCCCTATAGGGATACGGGCGACTAAGTACAGAGTACATACGGAGTACTTCATAATCAGATCGACATGAGGTCTCCTCGTTTGGGATCGTCGTATTTTGGGTCGGGTATCTCCGATAAAGTGGATAGATCTATTGTCGATCTCTTCGAGATCATGCACACCTTTTATGCAAATCCCCACTTCCAATTCAGCTGAACTCTCACGTTCCAAAATTGACAGTTGTTTTTTATTTTCGATTACAACGCTTTGTTGGTCTCATCTATGGCCACATTCCCCAGCTCCTGGTTACATAGATCTCCCCTTATCTATATATGCTTTGACCCCCAGTGGTCATTATCGTCGGCCTATGTCCCTGTACTCGATACGGAGTACCTGGATGGGTCTTCACCAAACACCCTGTGATATTGAGAATATCTCGTATGCTAATTATCTCGCGCCAAGAGGCTAATGGCGCCAAGGAACTTTAAATTCATGCCGAAACGAGAACTCGCAAACGGAGCCCTGGAGATTCCACCTCGACCAGCAAGCATCAAATATACAATATCAATATCATCAGTAACATAACAAGTACATACGACCATAGGGTGTGGAAAACAGGGCTTCCCGTCCGCTCAGCCGTACTTAAGCCACACGCCGGTGAGTTAGTAGTTGGGTGGGTGACCACCAGCGAATCTTCACTGTTGTATGTTTTTGTGTTTTTATTGTTTTATTTTCTCGCGAATCTGTGTTTGTAAGGTCTTCCACGCTGAGAATAATAGTAGAGGGGTTGTGTCGAAGGTGCGCGGGAGTGAGAATCCTCTAGGCAAATAGTAACTATAAAGCTCTAATTATTTCAGTTACGGCTCAAGTATACATTGCATCTAAAACGGCAAAACCACAAAATCAAACCACCTCAAACCGCAATTGAGCCGAGTTTGGGACGAGTTCCAGGTTTGATTTGAACAGTTGTAACAACGTAAGTCAAGGATATATAAGACCACAATATACACAATGATTGATATAGGTCTTGAATTTAGAACCGAAATGTCTAATAGTTTCATGTGACATTTACCTAGAGCTCCTGGTTTATCAAGTAGTCAGCTAGACCCTCAACAACTAGACTTGCTTCCTGCCCCTGAACAGGGCTCTCATATAATGCCACAAGTATAGCCTGACGAGTTTTCACAAGGACAGCCCCATTTGCACCCTAGATCGAATCATTGAATCAGTTACATGAACAGTAAGATAACTGATAATGCATTTGCTGTCTGCTCGGGCCCCTACCTTCTTCAGGTTTATTGTGCGAGGGTCTGCTTGAAGGCAGAAATATTTTTCCCCGCCCAGGATACATCCGCTAGCCTTCGCGTGGTCAATATTTTGGTATATAACTGCCACAACCTTTTGCTCCGAAGATGATAGCTGTGGAAACTGATTAGTTCAGGCGGCCCAATTGAAATGGTATCAAAAGTTGAATTCTCACCTGAAATCCGTCGCTGGTTGCCAAAACATCACTATTCTGACCGACTATGGCGGCCTTTGTCACTTTGCCGGAATTAATCAGGCTATCAACGTAGCCTGGCTAGATGTTAGCAAATTATCTAGAATAGACTAGGCACTAGGGCTTGATATACTTTGCCAAGACGCCATTTCTGGTAGAAATTGGAAGTATATGGAATAATTGTTTTATAGGTGACTATGTTCTTCTGATCGGAAGGGAATAAGGTCCCTCTTATACCTGTGGCCGAACACACCTAACCTTAATAGACACCTTGACCCACATGTATTCGCCTGCAGTAGGTAAGATTGATCTCCAGAGTGACTTTCCGCAATGGACTTCGCTAAGTTGTCGATCGGAGATTCATCCAGAAAGTATGATTTCTGCCCGCATGTTGGATGTGATATACACAAACTTAACTTCCTCGATGTCCATACCCGGCGCACGAATCAAAGCCCCGAAAGTACAGACAATCAAAAATAGATAAATAGACCTGTAGTATCTGGTTTAGTACCTTTTGTACTTGAGCAATTTATTTTAAAACTTCAAATTCGCCTTCACCCTAACCCCCCAAATATTCAGGTTCCTATGGCGGAATATTCCAGATGGACAATTTGGTTTGAATCAATCTCGCTACGTTTCAGTAGAAAAATGCATTTGAAATTACTACTACGGAGTACCTAAAGCCAGGTTGATCCGCTAGCTGAGCCACTCGTTTGTAAAATATAATATATAGTCCAGGGATGCTAACCAACTCAACTCGGGTTATCTAGCAAAATTTCCTCGCCACTTAAAAAGAAAAACAGATTGAGTACTCTGTAGATCAGTGTGACTTACTCCGTACAACGTACATAGGATCTGGATTTTTTTTAAAAAAAAAAAAAAAAAAAAAACATACAACAGTGAGGATTCGCTGGTGGTCACCCACCCAACTACTAACTCACCGGCGTGTGGCTTAAGTACGGCTGAGCGGACGGGAAGCCCTGTTTTCCACACCCTATGGTCGTATGTATCAGTTTACGTGTGAGGAGAAATCATAACATGTAGAGTTTTAGTTGGTGGTAGAGATGTGGAATGGCGAGAAAGCCGAGTGTGATATGGGACAAGCATGGCCACTGTGGCGGATAAGTCTGGAGCAAAAGACTAATTACTTTATATGGATCTGACTCAACTATCGTACATTTCTAATCAGGGAGGCTTAATGTAAATGATTGATCCTAACCTATGTAGTGATAAGACTAATCTAGAGGGTGGATTAGCTAACGCTACTATGTTGAGGCTGATCTAGCTCGAAATTTAGAAATTGAAGAGAGGAGAATTTGATGTTGGAAATATTTAAGTCGGACAAACATTCTAGTGGTGAAGTCAGGACGTATATAATTTGAATCATGGTTTGAAATTGTTCAGTTATCAAGCGGCCGAGTCTAGTGGCGATATATCATGCACTCGCTATACACCATACATTTAGTTTAGATTATACACTAGACCTCTAAGAGCTATACCCGTGGTAGGCTTATTATTATAGCCGTAGAATAATGTGGACTTTAGAGTTATACACACTGCTGGCTTGCTAAACAGAAGGAGATCGGGTTATGAGTAAATAAAGGGTTGTATATATATACTTCTATAGAGTAATAAAAGTTATTTAGACTTATTTAACATCTAACTGGTATATAAAATAGTCAAATAGCCATATTGGATAATTAATAGCAAAAGGGAAAGAAGATTATATTCATTAAAAGGCCCTGTGGCAAGTACTACCTTACTAGATTCGACGTGGGACTCTCTTAGGCCTGCCCTAATTATGACTCTGGCATTATACATTAAGTTCGAGCTTCTCGGAGTCCCCTATGACATTCATACGGACAAGAACAACTATAGCTAGAAGAGTAGCAAGAACCCTTACTACAGCGCCGCCATAGATCATAGCACCAGACGGAGCTCCCCATAAAGGCAGATTCGCGCCGCTATTGCCGATGATGACGAAGACGACGACGACGAGCTTTGATGTCGCCCGCTTTCCAAACAGTCAAAAGATCCTTGTTTACTGACCCCAAACAGGTTCACAGAATATTCGATCAATTCGCCGCGAGGGGAACAAGAAGAGGGGTTACCACATTTCTTAAACGCTCTATTTTAAGCATTTATCTACATCCACTAACCTTCTCGAACATCCTGGCTTATACTGGTTGATACTCGAGTATATCACTCCTTCGATTCTTCTGTTTTCTGTGTTCTGCTTACAATTGTTCTATGCAACTGATACGTTTAAGTGCTAGATAGAATGGCCTTCAGTTGCATTCAGCCTTTCTATGTCCCTCCAAATGCTTTCCACAGATCCTCTCCCCCTAATGTATTTTTTCATCATTTCAAAGCCCTCTAACCCGATGTACTACTGCGTACTGCATGTCACAAATCATTCGCATTTAGGATCTTAGGAGGTTTCATAGCTGCCGGTGCTGACAACAATAACTTTGATAGAAACGAGAGACTTGCGCAAATGGGAACTTAGCCTATCTGATATCATGTCATCTGGATGAGATACATCAGTGATCACAAGGATAAGCTATCGAGATTAAAAAGGCCAAGGTATACCACATTTGATCTACTCCAACAACGCGGATTCAAGAGATGGTAGCCAAGCTCAATAGCATCAACCAATACATTAAGTGCCGCCCCGATGGAAGACATCCGGTAAGTATTCTTGCTTAAGTAGTGAGCCTTCTTCTAGCCCTTTTGCACCATGAAACCAATGACCGCTTAGACTAAGGGTTATTAACCGATAACTGCATAGGGAAATTAGCCCTAAGTGACTAGTGATGTCCTATGTATTTTTGCTCCGAACGTTAATTGGTACGCCCAAGAGATTCCATTCACCTCGACCAACAAGCATCAGCTACACAATATGGTCCTTCGCCATACACAAACTGATACATACGACCATAGGGTGTGGAAAACAGGGCTTCCCGTCCGCTCAGCCGTACTTAAGCCACACGCCGGTGAGTTAGTAGTTGGGTGGGTGACCACCAGCGAATCCTCACTGTTGTATGTTTTTGCTTTTGTTTTTTGTCTATGGTCGAGTACGATGGTGAAATACAGGGTATTGAAACCCGACAAATCTACGGACCGCCATGATGGCTCGCTCCATATAAATTGCATACATTGTTTGATTAGTTTTGCCCTAGATTGGGAAAAGAGCAGATTCTGGTTAGAGTCATTTATATCTCATGCATAACGTATGTTGTATTATCTTTACTAATTTCTTACAGGCGCTTTTCAAAAAAGCCAAGAGCTAATATATGGTCTCAAACTTTCGGTAAAATGAAGATTAGCGTAAAAAGTTGGACGCCATTTATTTAGCATATTTGGCTTTTCGACTATGATAGCCCAGTCTAATAGAAATGCATTAGATAGGTCGTTACAAATATATTCAACGACACGAGGGGAAAACAGAGACAGAAGTGAGATTGTGATCGAGCAAAACTAAAGATACACTGCGTCACACGGTAGATGGCAGAATTCGCATTTTATTCAACAATGCGAGCCCTTTTGATAATATCCTGTACGACCGCAATAATACTCCTGTAATTTGCATCGTATTTGTCGGAAAATTTGACAAGGAAGGAATGTGCGACGGTAAGGCCATGTGATGGACGCCCTGGCCATGTAGCTGAATCTTTATCGACTGTCTATAAACAATATTAGTGCGTGAGATCTCATATAAACAGGCATTGGCTTACGATAAAAGAAAGTAAGGGAAGGAAACGTGGGCTGTATGAAGTTGGCTCAAGTTCATAGAAGCAGTGTATCTTTTCAATATTCCCCTTGTCTTTGACAAAAGGCACCTTGAGAAATTCTTCATCGAGCTTGGTCAGGACACCCGAATCTATCTCAAGAACAGACCTTATATCACTGGAAGCTGGCAGCCACCACCACTTAGAAGCGTTCGCCAACCTCGTGCCTTTATGTGGAGTCCCGAGAAAGATCAAGCCAATGATTGATTCATAGAGATGTGAATATTGGGCATCAGTAGAAGCAATTATAACGGCCTTCGAAGAAGAGTCAGAAAGACATATGTGCATAGAAATGAGCGCCAGATCACCTACCTGTTTGATGACCAACCCACCAAAACTGTGCCCAATTAAGATGGTAGGGGTATTTTTCTCATTCTAGATTTAAATGAGTTTACCTCCCAGCTGTGATGATGTGGATCGAGCAACACACCTTTGCCATCAATTCTTTGAGGAGCAATAACGCCTGAATCTCTATCTCAGTTGCTGGGGTAGTGCGAAGGTTAACCAGGTACTTTGCTAAAAACTGAAGACAGCGTAAACTGCTTATGAATAACGCTGATAGTATCGCTAGGAATCGCAGTGATGGGACAATTAACCCAAGCACAATAAGGCATGTAGAGATGACAAGCCAGAATTTGAATGGGGCTTTGTAAACCAACGAAGAATAGTTTTCGCGTTCGAGAGTCGGTCCAAATGAATAAATTCTGGCATTGGAAATATCAGATGGCAGCAAATCAGCCAGCCAAGAGACCCCATTTTTCATCCAGGTGTATTTTGGATGGGCCCAGAGACCTTGTACCGCGACGATGCTTGGAGAAATATTTAGCTGTTATTTCCCAGTTCGCATACCAAGACCAAACTCACTTTACTACTGGTTTATGAGGCGTGGAACACGAATTTAAGTGGTAGGAACTCATTGATTCCTATATGTATGGCATCCGAGGTCACGAAGGTGGTTGTAGAGACCTCAGAAAAGCCAGATCTGATCGGCCCGGTAAAGCGTAGTCAGTAAAGCGTAGTAAGCCCCTACCGCCCAATTATTTCAGGCCTAGTTTTCTATTGCAGTACTCAGTGGACCTATCACTTCCAAATTTAAGGTGGTGGCTTTGCCATAATCATGTGATACATTGGGCAGCTGTTGGGTAAATCTCACTAAAACCAGTCCACATTCACTTTGTCAGGAATAAAGTATAACTCTAGACTTCACGAAGGATGGCTATCATTAATATCCCGAGTGCTTGAAACTGACTTTGTTTAATAAAGGATCCTCTACTCATCATGTCAGCAACCGTCCTATGTCCCTCCTGGACCCCGGCATTGGCGAGGCAGCCGGATCTTGACACGAACCTTTTCAGAAAGCTCAAGACAGTGGAAAAATACTACAATTTTGCCGGGTTTCCAGGCAACTTTCATTCTTTGTCACAGCTCAAGATATATCGGAGAGATATCATTCGCGTTGATGACCTCGGTCTCCACCTGATTTGGAACGAAAGCCCTGTTTCCACCCATTTTATCATGCCTCTACCCGGAGTCTACGCAAACAATGATGGAACCCCCAAATGGAAGTGGGCGGAGCTGACACCGCACTCCCGGGCTCTCATTTATTCCTACTCGAAGCTTATCCAAAGTCAGCTAGATTTCAGCATTGCGCTAGAGAATTCCCTCCTCGACGAGCCTTTCACCCAGGATGGGGGATGGCAAAATTGGCAACATTTTATTGAATATGCGCGACAGAATTATCAGAACATGCCCACCAGCGTCGAAAGCCGATTTCGGTTCGGCGATCTGCGCCTAAACCGACTGAATTGGATTTTCTGGTTCACTTATTTAGGGAGCCATTATTACCATACAAGGGCTCCTATTCTGTCATTCTGGCATGGTTATGGCAAGTGGGTTATCATTGGTTTTGCGTACATATCGACAATGCTTACCGCTATGCAAGTCGCTATAGCGGCGAGTATATTTCCTACTTGGTTGACACTTGTATTTAAATGGGTCTCTTATATGGTGGTCTGCTTCATCGTCCTACAGATTCCTTTTGTTTGTTTCTTCTTCTTTTGCCTTGGGATCATCAGAATATTTGGATGGCTCAGGAAGAAGTGAGGATGTAGATTTCAATCCGTTCAGGTCCACATTCACCTTCAACCGTCAATTTGACACAGCTATTGTGCCAGAACATAACTGCAAGAGGTAGTATTTATATAGGGTGCGAAGCCGAGATGGTTTGCTATTAATAGATCATCAAATCACAAACTCGTCATGCTCAGTAAATCCGCGTACTTCTGACTCCTTGTTATGAGCTAGTTTGAAGTCATCAACAGGATTTTCTGGGAAAACATGTGTTCTCCATTTTCTCACTAGGATTTTCTCAGCAAAGAAGAGAGATATTTGCAAGCTGGTCCGACCCGCCGTTTCTCCAACGCAGTACCAAGTCCAAAGCAGAGCGAGACAGGTGGTGCCTGCATAAACAAACCCAACCATTGGCCCAAGCCCAGCATCATAGTAGAGGTAAGGCGCGGTGAAAGAGATCAACCATGTGGTAAAATAAAAGACAACAATGCTCGTTGACATGATCTTATTTTGATTGACGCCAACTGCCATCTCTCGTGCGACAGTATAGGCCAAGGGACCCATGCCGAAGTTAAATCCAATGACAACAACAAATGAGAAGACAACAATCACGTATTGTGTTGCAGTTGTCAAGGGTTTTGTGCCGATACCTCCAATCACAAGGAAAGCCACTAGCATCATGCAGTTGGTAACCATAAGATTGACACGCCGGCGAGCCTTGTTACCAGTAATAACGGAAGCACCAACAGCAACGATTTGGACCACGTTAATGACGATCTGCACAAGGAATGGGTCTTGGACTCCGATTTCCTGCACAAACACCACACCATAGACGTAGAAAAATAGGATACCGCAAACTTGTTGGCTGAACATCGCACCTGCTGAAAACAAGACTTTTCTTCTCTCAACCGGATCTGTGACCAACGATTTCCACGAAGAAAACTCGGAGTGTTGCTCTTCAATACGCTTGGTGTTATCAGCTTGGGCCAGATCAGCAGTTGGGTCATAGTCAGCTTGACTCCGGTTGATCTTTCGAAAGCTCTGTTCGGCATCTTCCCGGCGATTCTTGAACATATACCAGGTGGGACTCTCCGGGATGAGTGGTAAGAGAGCGAACATAATTAATGGCAGCACAATAAGGCCACCCATGGGGATTTTGTATGACAGGGAATTATTATCGAGGTTTTCGGTGCCTTGGTTGATGCACGAGGCAACCAATTGTGACCAAGACTGAAGGAATTGGAACATCATCAGAGCTGGGCCACGGATTTCTGAGGGTGCAACTTCGCCAATGTATAGCAAGGATGTGACAGTGAATTGACCGACTCCGAGACCCATAAGAATGCGCCCAACGGTGACGATCGCTTCCACATAAATCGTATCCGCGACTTGGCAGATACCGCCGATCAAGATACAGAAAGAAGCCAGCCAAAATGTGGCTTTCCGGCCCCATCGATCATTGACAGGTGCAGCAATGATTGCACCTAGCAAATCCCCGATATAGATAGCCGAGGCGGTCACGGCCTGAAAAGAGGAGGACAATTCAAGGTCGCCACTTGTATTGCGTTGCGTTCCGTAGTCATCTTTGAATTGTTGCATTGCCAGGACGCCATTGAAGTAAGTATTATCGTAGCCGTAGCAAAGAGCACCAATTGCTGATACACCACAGTAGAAGATTGCCCACCCGTGGCGTTTCCAATCAAATTTCAAGAATTGAAACATATTGAATATGTATAATATCGTTAACAATGCATCTATCCAACAAAATATGGAAACTTAAAGTATGTTATATACTCCGAGGGCGGAGAAATAAAGGACAGGGGAGGGGGGTAGCGAGGGGGCGTGGGGGCAATATCTGGGGAAGCAATCTGGGGAAGAGGAGTAGATGCCAGAAAAGGAAAGGCCCGTGGGGGGTATGAAGTCACGGATTACCATAAAAGAATGTTCCGACCTGGCCAAGAATGTTTACAATCCTAAACTGGCTGTGATCAGCACGTATACGATCACTACGGACTTTCAATTTGACGCTTTAACGCGAAAGGCGTTTCACGGCCCAGAAGTTGGCTACAGGTCATTAGTATCTAGATTGATATGTACAAAGCCTTCTGCCAAGTCTCAAATACACTATTTCGCTTGAATTCGATCCCAAAAAGCCTTCAGAAATGCCGAGGCTTCATTGCCATTGGCAAATCCCCTGGTTTGGGGCTAACAACTCCTGTGTTTCTAGTTAGAAGTCCTGTTTGAAACCGTACATATGTCGAGATCCACGACTAGGAGGCTATGGCCCAACCGCAATGTTGTTTGATGTTCACCATTTTCTTCACGACAACCAAGCAGACTGCATGAAGGAGCGAAAGAGAAACAATTCAAGTTGAAACTTGGTTTTGAACTCACCTTCGTCAAGAATTGACTGAATGCAATGGATCCGAGATAAGCACGCATCTAGCAAGACTCCAGGGCTGCTTGGACGTGATAAGCAGACAATATCATCAGAGAATGTTCGTAAAAATTCTTGTAAAGGAACAATTGACAGACTATTATTCAGCATGCTTCCTCTATTTAGTATTGACAAAACCCAGTATGGATTTCCTGGCTCCTCGGGGATCGCTTGATAAACGCGGCCAAGAAAGTTGTAGTTCATGGTGAACTAAAATGGTGCTTTACTTGGCGTTATGGCAGCTGCTTGGGGGCGTCTTGATGACGGTTGCCCGCAATTGAACCTTTTTTATTGAAGTCATTAACAGTATCATCCTGATAGTGAGTCGGTACTCTCTGTACCGTCCATCATGACAGATCATTTTGGTTCACCTCCGGATGATTTTAATGGGATTATCGCACAAAAGCTTGAAAGCTGAGGGAATCTGCATTTTGAGTCGTTATTGAGGTTTATTGCAATCTGAACTCGACGGGATGTTGACAATAAATCCACTGTAGATAATTGACTGCGAGATAGTTAGTCACCTAACTACACGTTAACTATGTGCAGAATATAGGTGGATGTAGTGTGAAGTGGCTAATGATACAAGATTTGATATTTAATCACGTGATTACATCCGTACCTGGCTTATCGATAAGAGTGCCAAGCCATCAGCAACCCAAAACTTTTCCGCTCAATCGATATTTTTACCCCAAGTCATTCTGCCGATCATTCACTACAAAATGTTGAGAGAAGTGTAAGTTATGGCAATCCATCGAGATTGTCATCAGAATCTAATACCCTGCCCTACAGAAAAGCCAAGAACCCGCGCACTGCGCGTATCCTGAAAGCGCGGGAGCCGCAACTCATCGAACCTCCCAAGAAGACCCTGATTTTCCACGGCGCAAAATGCCCTCAGACACTGGACACCGTGCTGAAGACCTTCCATGCTTTGACAAAGCCTCACAACATTCTTTTCCACAAGAAGAACGAGAACTTGCACCCATATGAGAACTCGGAGAGTTTGGAATTCTTGGCGAACAAGAACGAGTGTGGACTCGTAGCATTCGGAAGCCACAACAAGAAACGACCCAACTGCGTTACATTGGCTCGTATTTACAACTCAGAGTTGCTCGACCTCGTCGAGATAATGCTACTCCCCCCCAGAGATGGTGAGACCATCCCGCCTATCAACGAACTTGTTATGGACGTCGGTCTCGGCCTGCGCCCTATGATGCTATTCTCGGGTAGTCCCTGGGACGATCCTACATCTACTGCGCACACTATCCTTAAGAGCACTCTTCTCGACATGTTCAAGGGCGAAGAGACGACCCAGGTCGACGTCGAGGGTCTGCAGTACGTGATGATGGTTGGTGCGGAGGAGCCCCAGGATGGTCTCTCGCCCGTCATTCACATGCGCTGGTACAGAGTCATCACCAAGCGCAGCGGTCACAAGCTTCCCCGCGTGGAGTTGCAGGAGGTCGGTCCCAAGTTCGACTTCAAGGTCGGCCGCACACGCCAGGCTGCTCCTGAGGTGCAGAAGGAGGCCATGAAGCAGGGCAAGCGTCCCAACGAGGAAGCCCGAACCAAGAAGAACATTACCATGGACTCTATGGGTGACAAGATTGGTCGTGTTCACCTTGGCAAGCAGGATCTGTCTGACATGCAGACCCGTAAGATGAAGGGTCTCAAGCGTCGGGCGGGTATGGAATCATCGGACGAGGAGGAGGAGCCATCTGCCGACATGATGGAGGAGGATATCATCTCATCTGATGAGGAGATGGAGGAGAAGGAGAGCCACAAGAAGGCACGGAAGAACTAAGATCGATTTGTATGATTTCTTTTGCTAAGGAGTTTGGGCCGGACGGGATTTCGTTTTCTGCGCCTGTATGAGCAGTCTTACGGCATATGAAAAGTTATTTTAAAAACCTCTAAATTTAATAGAGACATTTCCTCCATCCATTACTTTATACTAGACTCAACAAAAAGTCGCCGATAATGCTCGTAGTGAAGGTCTTAGATACTGCCACGTGACCATGACGTCGGCTGTGTTCTCACATGCCGAGGCCCTTCTCATTGCGGGAACCGATAGAAAGTGCCGTCCCCTCCCCTAACCTCTCCCGTCTTAGGAAACCCTTATTCTTACATTGTCTCCTCCCCATGATTCGTGACGGTCTCCCGGTCTCTACTCGTTGCCTATCGCCCCTATAACCTCCCCGAAACGAGCCAGACCTCTTACCGAGGCCCAGAGACGCCATGGATACACTACTCGTGAGTTCCGCAGCACCTCCGACCATACGCAACAGTATTGACAGGTCCCTCCGCAGTCCCAACTCGACGCGCTCGTTCTCAAACCCGAACTCGCACCGCTACTGTCATTAGTGAAGGGTGCACGCAATGGAATCGTCTACGGATCGAAAGTCCGCTTTCCACATGCGCTGGTGTATGTTGGACCTCGGACAGCCGCAAACCCCGCTACAAGGCACAGCTGACCGATACGGACTGCTTCTAGAATGATATTCCTGTTCAGATCTGGAACGTATGTCACTCCCCACGCCCGACGCTAGCTCCTCGCAGAACGAAACTGATCGCTTCGTCATCTAGAATACGCGAAAAGACAAAACTCGTTTTGAAAGCAACCCGCCAGCATGCGCGGAATCTCTCTGTATTCGCCATCATCTACAAGGCCTCGATGATCCTTCTCCGGAATATACCAGGTGGCGCCGGGAAAGAGGGCCGATATGATACTTTCTTTGCAGGCCTGCTGGGCGGGTATGCAGTTTTCGGACGACAGCCAGGCAGTATTAGCCAGCAGGTATGTGATTTGGAGAATTCCCTGATTGTGGGAACGATTCAACAACCTTCGACTCCCGAATACACTCCGGATTTTCTGCAGAGCTAACTCGAATCCAGATCGTCATTTATGTCTTCGCGCGTGTGATGCTCGCTCTTGCCAAGCTCGCCGTCCAACCCAACATGCACCCCCTCTCCTCCCTCATCACATCCGATGCACGCACCAAGATCACGAATAATGCCTACCCCGTTTTCGCCAGTATGACATGGGCAATGGTCATGTACATTTTCCGGTGGCACCCGGAGACGCTGGCGTCGAGTCTGCGCAGTAGCATGGTATATATGTATGTTTTTCTCACCTTATATGATTCTCATCTCACTTCCTGTGTCTCGGAAGCTTGGAGGAGTTACTTTACCCAATGCTAACCTTCATCTCAACTACAGTTACGGCGACTCAGACCATTGGGATTCCCTCCGCACTCTGCTTGTACACAACAAATGAGATATCAGTGGGACAGGTTGGTTCTCTAGCTTTTGTGTGCGTTACGGCGTATAGAGCGGTTGTTTTTTGGAGGGTGTTTTTGCAGGACGCATTTGAGATGTGCACTATTCCAGGCCCTGCTCATTATTACCTTTTTATCCTGTATTATGAGGTATGGGATTTCCTTTTTTTCGAATATTTTCGATCACAATATAAATCTTCAAGACTTTACTGTGTGGATACCTGCATAATTAGCAATATGATAGCTCAATTTAAACTTGCCTTGAACTGCTTGAATGGATGATTGGGCAGACAGTATTCGGGTGTCTTATGCTTGCCTTAGGAAAGACGTTTGCTTCCAACGAGCTGTTCAATCTCATGTTGCAAGGTTGTAGCTTAGGAGGCTAAACATATTCTGAGCATTGAGTAAAATTATGGGGGAGCTGGAGCATATATATATATCAACTGAGTATTCCCACAAGGAAAGCTCTCAGCTCTTTTCTACAGGCCAAGAAGAATCTGATATATTTATCAGGTCACTGTGGTGAGAGTTGGAGACTTAGAGAGTCAGTTTAGGTGAGACAGCAGAAGCGTGGGAGTTGAATAGCCTCATGGATGGGCCTAGAATCAGCCTTGGGAAGGAAAGAGATCAATTAAGCATCAGAGAAAACAAAGGAAGAGCATGGTAGAATAGACTGACCTCTGAAGATAAGATAAGTATACATAAGAGAGAAGGTGTATAGGTGCATGTGACCAGAAACCAACCGCCAGAAGACAAATCAACAAGTGAAGGATATAGACAATAATGACATCAAAAGAAATCCAAAAAAAGGCCCCTCTACAACCTGGGCACTCTGCTCCCGACGGGGTGTGAGTGGCGGTCACATCGGGCAATGACTTACATGCACCCTGAGTCTCCCCTTAAGTTGATCAAGTTCAAGGGTGAGGGTTGAACCCAGGACCACTTCCCTGCATCTACGTTTCGTTACGCGAAACAGTTTCGGACGCGAAGGGACGAAGGTGGTTCCCACTAGGTTACCTGGGCGAGGCCTTTGACATATTTGCTTGAATTTCCAATTTATGGGAGAATATTGTTCCCAATTAGGACTAGTGCCATCCTTATTATTTTTGCCCCACTTTTAATTCCAAGGTTGTTACCTGCACAAAATTCACAAAGGTTTGACTGACTAAGACGTACATTATACAATTATGCAGATTAAATGTAGATTGAAATGGTTCTTTAAATTGAGGGTATAACGTTACAACTTATTCAAAATAGAAACAACAGGGATATGGGAGTCAGAAAAAGAAGAGAAAACAACACTACTGCCCATCTCCTTCATCAACCTCAACAAGAACCTTCAATTCCCCGTCCATCCAGTCAACAGCATCAGCCGAAAGTACTGCAATAGTCCAATCCTTCTGGTTCTGAACAGGAACCAGTCCATCGGATAACCAGACCTTGACCTTCCACCCATCCACAACAGCAGATTCGCGAGATTCATGCGCAGCACCCTGGAACCCCGGCAAACCAGGGATTTGACCAGGGTATCGTCGAAGGATTGCCTGCTTGACCGTGTCGATGTTGGGACACTGAGCCGCCGGCAGGTCAAATCTGGGAAGAATGCGCTTGCCGTTTTGCAGGATATTAATGCGAAGGGAGGTTTGGCCTTGGCAGTGAGAGGGTGTGGTTGTGTTGGCTGGTGTGGATTCAGGGAGAGGAGTGAAGGGTTGGTGGAAGTGAGGGTCGGGGTTTTGAGCAGGTTGGCCATGTCGGGCGGCGATGTTCTCGCGGATAATGCGAGACACGTCGCGGGTGATGCTGCTTGCGCTATGGGGTTGTTAGTTGGTATTCTGCATATGGTTGGAAAGGATGTTTTACAATTCGTCTCGGGCTGGGAGGTTGCGGGCTCCGCCAATGCGCCATTGGAGATTTGAAGTGGTATCTGCGTGGATGATGCGGTTGATATTTGCATCTTCGCAATTCGATGGGCAGTTGTAATCTCCGTTATGGACGACCTGGTAATGGCTGTCGACTGCGGCGACGAGTCCTCGCCAGTCGGGTTGCTGGAGACCGGAGAGAGACCAAAGGTTATCGAGCTCGTAGCTCTCATTGTACGTATCGTAGTAACGCGCGATCTCTTCCCAATTGACTGTGTATCCGTCTATTAAGAGGTCCGTTAGACCGAGCTCCATAGGCTGGGCCGGATCAATTGCTGATTGCTGAATCGGCTGTGGAGGAGGCGGCATTGACTGCGAGAGATCATCGCGATGGGAAGTCTGGTTTTGCATTTGGAGATGCTGCTCCGGAGAGAATCGCGGGCTATTCAAATTCGAGAAATCTTCCGTTTTACGACGGCGGCGTTCTTCAGCACCACCTCCTTTGCGGGTCTCGATTGCGTATTGGCGTTGCCTTTCGTTGGTGACCATCCGTCTAAGCAAAGGAATGACCAATGAGATGATCTTGTGTTGATCACGCGGCCAGATGTAGGTTCTCGGGCCCATGCCCTCATTGACCACATTCTCTCCGAAAAACCGTTCACCATTTCCCTCAGCTTCGAGGAATTGACGAACGCAGTTCCAAAGGCGGAGCTTGACCATTTCTGTATCTCCTTTTCCACGCTGACCAACACAATCCCGTCTTTCAGGGTGGTCATCATTCAGCATGTAATTCTTCGCAGCAGCCTGGAGATGCAAAAAGTTCTCCGGTGAGATCTCAAGAGACGAAAACATCTTCGAGATAGGAGGTCGTGTGTACTTCTTATTGCTAGAAGGCTGGCGGAATAGCGCCGCCGCAGAATGGATACCCACTGCACGGGCATCCGACAGGGATTGCTGCTGCTCGGGGCGAATGTCCATACTCTCTCCGGTATAGCCATGTGGGGTTTGCTGTGCGGAGTGCGACTGGTGCTGCCCAGCAGAGAGACCCGCACCAGCCAGCGCCGGGTCGAGATTATCGTCATTTCGCTTGCGTTTCTTCGTCGCGGTTCGTGTAAGCCCGGAGGATTGGGGGTGGTCCGTGTGGCTTGGTACTCTCATATGTCTTCCACCGCCCATCCCAGTTCCGAAGTTCGCGTCGCCGAATCCGTTCTCCGAGAGATCGATGTCTGTGTATGAATCCATCTGGTGGTGATGACCGGCTGCACCGGCTGCTGCAGCAACTGCAGCGGCGGCGGCCCATTGCGAAACATCTTGGTCTGCGGCGGCCGTGGCAGCTTCGACTAATCCCGCGAGCTGGTTGTCGTTGGGTGCATATCCGCTGTTGGCCAGCTGCGCGTTCGGGTCTAGATGCGAGGCGGTCGCTGTCTGCTGGGGAGGTAGATCGGAGGAGGTGGTAGGAATATGTTGGTTGGTGGAAGAGCTCATGGCGTCGGTCGAGCGCTAAGTGCTACAGACACCAAGTTCGATAAGCTGATAGTGTTGGAAAGTTGTGAGGATTTGATTTAATGAAGAGCGCGAGAATTCTGACGAGAGCGAATTCGAGAAAATAGGCAACCGCGCTCAAGATGTCCAATCTTCACTAGAAGAGTACGTCTCCCAAGTTGAAGCTCTTATCTAGATGTCGCAGAGAGCCTGATGAATAGGAATAGCTTCACCCATTAGCAATGCTCGGATAGAACAGAGGTGTCCTAGCGCGCCACACCCAAGAGGGTGAGAAGCGTGTCGCAGTAAAAATGCGGCCAAAGTAAAATAATTTAAAAAAAAGCTCGACAGCTTTAGTTCGAGTTGGCTGATAAGAGGCGCGACGGTTGGAATGATGTTTGTGTAGTTTGAAGAAACAACAGACAGTGCAAACTGAAAACTTCGAGGCTGTCACGTGATCCTGATTTTTCACATCATACGTAGACTATGATGGTCACATCTTTTTATACAGAATCTATATTACATGTCTGACTCTAATCTAAGAATATGAATTGTTTAATGATCATTTCTACCCATCTCTATTTTTAATACAGCCCTATTTCAAAAACCCCGAGTTGGAAAAGGTAGAACCTTTCTATAAGTACATAAGTACATCCAAATAAAAAATTAGTCACCAAAGAGTACAAACATCAAAAACAGTGCAGATAACCACGGCATAATACATGACCTGTCAAGTATAAGTGTGAGAGTGTTGACAGATGGCAAACCATATGTCCAAAAACAGATCTCCAGGGAGGAAATGGTAAATAGATGGCATAAAGATCGCTGACCACTAAACTTTTGCAGTGGCAGGGTAACAAGGCAACCGAGGGAAAGCTGTACTTGATCCAGTCAAGATAACTCAGAACCCATCACCCTCTTTCCAAGGACGACCGGCCTCCTGGGCACGGTACTGCGGATTCTTGCCACGCTCCATAGCAGCGGCCAGAATATCAATGACCTCCTGCTGCTTCTCCTGGAGTTGATTGAAAAGGGCATCACCTGCCTCACTCCCAAGGTCATCCGGTCCAATAGAGTCATCAAACCCAATGCCGTCAGACAACCACATCCAGTTATCCAATTGCTGCTGGATCTCATTCTTCTTTGCTTCAACTTCTCGGTAAGTATTGAATTCCTCGTTTCCGCCAAAACAAAACCCGTACCCGTCACACAGACACACATTCTCATCAACGCAGAGAACAGGCTCCCCAGTGAAGATAAACTGCCACAAATACTCCCAGATGCGACCAGCGATATAATCACTCAGATCCGTCGACAGCAGCCAATCGCGATAGAAAACAAACCGGGCCCGCGGAATGGATTGAATGCGATCACGCGACAGGGCGAATTGCGCACAGCATGGTTGCGACAGGACAGACGGAATCGGCTGGTCGGGGAATAACTCCCCCCACGCGCGGGCCAGCATGATCTCTTCCTGCTTCGACTCATCTTCTTCGACCGCGCCAGGGTGCATCCAGGCTGGACAGCCCGGGCCGAACCCGCAGCGAGTATTCATATAACCCTCACGGATGACACGGTTCAGATTGAGGCGGCGAAGCAGGTCCGCTGCGTTTCCGGCAAAGAGGTTATCGTTGTGCCAGGCGAATTGGTGCGAGTGCATGAACACCGCCACGTCTGGGAGCTTGTCGTAGTGATCAATGATGTATGTGAGGTAGATCATGACCTCGTGGCCTTTATTCTTGGGCGGGTGGAGGGGCGCTGTTGGATCGTCTGCGACGTAGATGGCGTGATCCCAATCTGGCAATTCCTGGCCGATCCAGCTGGTGTCTTCCCCCTTGGTTCGGGTCACGACAATGGTCTTGGAGTATTTGTAGCCCGGGGGTTTGGGGATCCCCGGGAGGAAGACCAGCGGCGGGGCATAGAGGTCATTGGTTGTATGACTGCGGGTCGTGTTCCAGCTTCCTGTTGTATTTGATGACGAGTAGACCAGGTCACCCAGGCCGATGACTTGGGGTACGTCACGCCATGGTCGTGAGAGGCTCCGGGATATGAGGAGCAAGACGAAGAAGAAGCAGACGCCGACGAAGATGGCTGCTCGACGTGGGAGAAGCATGGACGGAGGGTTGAACAATCGTACAGGGAATTATTATCTGCGCGATATGCTGGTTAGCTGCAATGTCACACTGTATATCGCTGTGTGTGCATAGGGGTTAGAGTGCCGTAGACTGCATAAGTGCAGAAGCCTCGGAATTGATTGGAGACACAATTACTTACATAGAAGGTATCATTGCCCCGAGAGTGTAAGGGGTTGAAAGGAGAAGAATCCCGATCTTCATAGATTCAAGGGTCTTGGGTGACCCTGGGGGAGTTGGACAAATCAGATGCAAGTGGAGTCGGGGGCTATGCCGCTATGACGAAGCTTCTTTCAATGCGACGTTATACCTATGCGCTGTGTTGTAGAAAGAACATAAAATATATGAGACCATTGAAGAGTATAATAAATAATAGTCTAAAATGAAGCAAATGTAAAAAATATCACAAAAGTAGTAGATGCCTCATATTAAATTGTCACGGGAAGGATGAAGGTCCAAGAAGTCCAGAGTTCAGCCACGCGGCCTGTCTCAGCCGCAAGCCACATACATGCTTTTAGCCTCTACGTTGGGACTTGAACTTGGGCACTTGCACATTTTCCTTTTCAGGTAATCATTGAGAGAAACATTTGAAATACCATGAGATTCAACTGTGGTATAAAAATCGTGAAAAGAAATCTGGGTATGATCTTTTACTCGCGAACAACGCCATGCAGAAACGCTGGTGTAAATAGCTGGGGACCGGAAAGGGCTGAGCAGACCCGGAGGGAAAAAAAAATACACAGGGGGTTATCAAAAGAGGAGTATAGGATCAAACTTCTTCATCGGGTGTTTCTTCAACCGATGCAGTCCGGCGTTTGCCATTGGACGTGGACTCGGGGTGAGTCTCGGATTGACCAGAAACACTATTTGCTAATTCCCCATTGCTACCCCATGTAGTAGGAATCGAGGAAGCTGGTTTGGCCTCAAAGGACTCTCTAGGTGCAACGTCGGTCCATTCTTGAGATGGGGATTCTGCACGATGATCCACCGAAGGGACGGTGGGCGTGGGCTGCAATACTGGTGGACTAGAGGCTCCATTTGCAGGAGGGAGATTGTCGCTCGTTTGATCCTGAGCTGGCACGGGGAGTGTGGGGATCTGAGAAGTTATAGCACTGGCCACGACCGGCGCAGCTGGGGATGCCACTGTAGTGGTAGGCGTGGGCTGTACTGTCTGTGCCACACCATTGGCACCATCATCCAATCGTTGGAGGGGTAGAAGAGTCCAACCAGGGGGAAGGGTAAGTCCCTCCGGAAGACGAGGGTCTCCAGAGTTCAAAACATCAGTGCCCGGGTTTGCGCCGTACTGGTGACCCGTTACGAAGACGGAAGATCCTGGAATTGCGTTGGGAGGTGGGACTTGTGGCCCGGCACCTTCTTGGCCGGCAGCTTCTTGATTAACAGCTCTTGCCTGAGCAAGCAACCGCTCTAATTCCAACCGAAGCTGGCGCACATGGTTTAAATGCGCCGCGGCAACTCGAAGACTGGAAATCTCATGATTGAGCCGTTGCTCGATCTGCAACAACTGATCATTGATTTCAGCAGCGATCGATCCTGGCTGGGCCGCACCTTGTGGGGCGGGAGCGGGGGCGGGGGCCTGGGGACGGCGTCCAAACCCAAATCCAAACCCAATTTGTCCTCCAGGCGCATTGGCAGGAGGGTTTACCCCAGCCTGTGGCGCGTGGCCTTGCTCGCCTCGTGGGTGAAGATTGTTGAACAAATCCCCACGTACAGCTCCAAAGCCGATACGGAATGGCCCAAATTGATAGACCCGAGCGCGTGGCTGTGCATCTGCACCTTGTTGGCCTGGCTGGATGCCACCATCTTGACCTCCACGTGCGTTGTTTCCACCGACTCCAGCAGCTCCACGAGTTCGCGTGGGCGCTACAACAGGACGTCGACATGTCGGGCAGTTTTGTTGTCTCTCAAGCCAGCTTCGGAGGCACGAAAAGTGCAAAATATGGCCACATGGTAGCTTTTTTGGACGTAGACGGTCAGGAACACGCTGGCTTCCAGCAGCGGGCTGCGGTGCCGGCTGCGGTGCCGGCTCTCCAGCAGCATTAGCCGCCGGTTGCGGTTGCGCCGGTTGAATGGGGATCATTTCCTCGCGGCAGATGATACAGACATCTTCCCGGGAGACCTCGTCTGCCGTTGCATCTGGATACCTTTGGTGCATATCCCTTGTCGCATTTCGGTAACGCATGAAGTCCATAATGCGGCGGGCAAACGAGCGGATGGTCACAACAACATCCCGCAGAATGTGGATGGGGAGGCCATAGAATGTGAGCAGAATAGCAAAGAAGCTTAAATAAATCACAAGTTTCAACAAATCGGTCAAAAGATCCAGGTAGAAGACCCAACGGCCCTTTTCCTCCCACCCGGGCACGTCAATCTCCATCTCATTGACATCGTTTTCGTCGGGCAGATCGGCAGGAGGGGAGGTAGCTCCTGCGCGGGCATGCTCTCGAATCGCCTCGACACGCGCGACACGGATCTCGTCCCGACGTTCCTGCATCTTGGCCTTGATTTGCTGGCGGGTTATAGAGATCTCGGTCAACGCAATAACGTATCGCAGGAGGGTGGAGGTCGAGAGAATCGTCAAGATGGCGAATTCGAATCCAAACATAACCATCATATCCGGCCGTGCCTGCGTAATTACGGTCCTCACACAGTACCGTAACATGAAGGAGTTAAATAACACCGTCAGCACGAGAGATACCGCTAGCCGAGCATGGAACAGCCGGGGATTAGCCGGCGGCTGTTGCTCCAAGAACTCAACGCGGCCTTCGCCAATCCAACCCCAGACCTTGCCGACCAGCAGCGAAATGAACATGACCAGAAACCAGCCTCCAAGCTCGCCTCGGAAGATGGTCATGGCCAGACATGTCTCTGTGACGGCGAACCAAGCGCGCTCGTATAGTTGCTCGGTCTCGATTGGTCGCAAGGGTCCGTAGAGAAGTCGCTGGAGCCAAAATAGTACAAAACCGGTGACGAGAAGACATAAATTCGTGAGTATCTAGAGATAGAATGATGAGTGAGGGACTATGATGACCAAGCGCAATAAGCCAAACTGGACAACTTACCATAAGATTCGCACTACTCTGAGAGAGATAGACGCATGCCGAATAGAAATTGGACCTCTGATGAAGAGCTTTTAGAAACACACCAGTGGCTAGAACCACTGAGGCCTGTAGATGGGGTTTCAAGGTTAGCAGGTGTCTCCCAACAACTGCGGCACTACTTACCCCAGCATATGCGGCCAGTCTCATGGCTATCGACTGGATCGGACAAGCCGAAGGTCATGGACCGAAGGAAGAGCAAAAAAAGCGGGCGTCTCAAGATAGCATTTGGCGGAGCAACTAAGTGAATGCCGTTTACTTGAGGAGTAAGTAGCTTGATCTGGACAGCTTTCCAGAATAACCCGTAGACGCCTCTCCGCATCTTACGTCAGCCACCAGCACGTGCCCGCCACCCAGATCTATATCAGTCTACAATACAGAGGACATGGGGAGATTGGATCTATAGTAAAGAATATTGTTCGTGAATCGTATATAATCTAGTATAATTTAGTTCTATTTAACCCCTTTAGACCTACTTTAAATGTCAGCTTATGCCCGTCGATCTTCAGTGTTTATCTGATCATCTCCGTCATGTGACGTCCCACATTGTCCGCCTTGGAAGAAGCAACCATTGTGACACCGTCCAGAGATCATATCTTCTCACCAATTTACATCGAACGAAGGGATATCATCATCCCTGGATCCTGTACTCATTCTTGCAATCTAAAAGCAATGAATTATATCCGGTGATGGCTTCATCACCGGCATTATTTACTGCCTCGCGCAGCCAAACATTAACATACCTCTTGGCGGTGTGCCCTTTCTCCATCGCCTTCCTAGTCTACATCAATTCATCCATCTCCTTCGTCGTAACCGATTTAATTGGGCTCCAGCATGGGGAGGGAGATGCAGTGGGAACTCTGGGGTTCGCGGATGAACTCCTTGCTCTGGTTGCCTGCCCACTTTGGGGTGTTCTCTCGGACCGAATCGGAGTCCGCCATGTAAGCTTTCTACTGGCCCATATCGGGGTGATACGCAATGATATTGACGTTAGATAGGTATGTACTGCAGGCTATGCTATTGTGGCACTCGCGCTAGTGGTCTTTGTGCAAGCCACAAATATCTACCCCCAGCTTCTCTTGGGAAGATTGCTTTTCAGTGTCGGTGGTTCAGCGGTGTCGACCATGGTCACTGCAGTTTTGCCGACTGTCACTGGCACAGCCTTTAATGCCCGGGCATATCGCGCATCTGTGTCTTCGGAGTTGACTATCACACCAGAGCGTGCCAGGAATGGTTATTCCATACATGTTGGTCCTTCCGGCGCATCGCCGTCTGCACGACTCTCCGGTTTTGTCGGCATGTGTGCTGGCTGTGGTGCGCTTGTGGCACTGGTCGTTTTCCTGCCGCTTGCAGCCCGGTTTGAGAAGATGGGATTGTCGCCATCGCAGGCAATTCAACGCAGCTATTATCTAGTTGCCGCCGTATCCCTTGTTATCAGCATTGTATGCTTCATTGGGCTCCGTGATCTTCCCGGGGAAAAGGGCAAAAGTTGGAGTGTCCTGTGGAAAACGTGCGATGAAGATGAGGATGACGATGAAGATGACGATGAAGATGACGATGATCTATCTATCCATGGCTCAAAATTGCCATACTGGAAGCAGTTGACCACTGCCCTTACACTTGGATTTCAAAACCGTAGCATTGGACTTGGCTATGTCGGAGGCTTCGTCGCTCGAGCTTCTTCTGTGGGGATATCATTGTTCATTCCCCTCGCTGTCAACCACTACTATCGGACATCAGGCCTCTGCAATGAGGAACATGAACCAGTTCCTGGGTCGGGATTAGGAGAGATCAAGAAAGCATGCCCACGTGCATACATCGTCGCATCCATACTGACCGGAGTGTCCCAATTGGTGGCGCTGATGGCAGCTCCAGCATTTGGGTACCTGACAGACAAATCACGGCGGTATAATTTCCCACTTCTTTTCGCAGCATTAGTGGGAGTTATCGGCTATATTATCTTCGCGATGCTCCCAACGCCTCTGTTCGAAAGACCGGACGGCAATCCGGGGGTGTTTGTTGTGATGGCTCTGCTTGGAATCAGTCAGATTGGAGCAATTGTCTGCAGCTTGGCTGTGCTGAGCAACGGTATTTTGAAAGTCAGCATCGACAATGAAACATTAAGAAAATTATATGAGGAGCGACGTGGCCGAGGGGACGAGAATGATGCAGAGCCTGACGAGGGCCAGCCTCTTCTTGCTGGGTCTGTCAACCGGCGATTGGAGCATCTGTCCCACCTCAAAGGCTCCATTGCCGGTGTCTATTCACTATATGGTGGGGCAGGCATCCTGCTGTTGACCAAAGTGGGTGGACTGCTATTCGACGTCCTATCATCGGGCACACCGTTCTATATCATGGCGGGTTTTAACGGTGTGCTGCTTGTCATAGGGATCGTGTGTGGGGGCATCAATCACTTCGGGCCCTCGACCGGACGGACTCGTTGATCAATTTCGGCTTTAATTTGAAAAATTCTCTCAAGTTGTAGGAACTTTTCGGGTTGGCCGTGAATATAATTTCATTCTCAGCCTGGTAAATGTCCTTGCATTATTGTGATTACTCGGCTGGCAGCTCCATCCCAAGGTTGCAATTTCAGTACTCCATAGGTACACGTGGTTTACAAGTGAAAGTGGATAAAAACAAATTAAACTATTCAAATGAAAAGTTCATAAGATTAATTAATTCGGGTGTTGCGCTTTTAGGCACGGGCTCTCTTTCGGTAATTTGAAGTCGTGGACGCTAGTCATCTGGGCAGGGGTCGGTGGCTGACCTGGGGAAATTACAACGACAAAAGAAGAAAGTGGCGGTTATCTCTGCATTTTTAACAGCGAAAATGGATATATGTATGAAGCATTTTGAAGGAAGTTGGATTTTCTTCAACATCTAATTATTCTGGACCTTGAAATTTGCATATTTCTTCTTTCCGAGGTCTCCGACTTAATGAAGAGCAACAAACAACCTTCCAAAATGGGAATACGACCCAGGGGTCGGTTCGGCCTCTAGTCCCGGATCGGCTTAGTTCCACCAAAAAAACTTCCACTAAAATTGCGCCTAATAAGTATTTGTCCCTTTAAGGCATTGGACTTGCAATACGGCTAATGGTCCTCCGTAAATTGCCCCTTTTCACTGGCGAACCCTCGAACCCCTGGGGCCTGTTCCCTATGTCGGGCAGATCCGCTTGGACCTCAATACGAGCCAATCCCTGTGCAAAATCCTTCTTGGCAACTGTCCACGGGCAATAATATGCCAAGTCAATATTATGCGCGCCTAACCCCCAGGTTGTCTCTCTTTCTACTTCTTCTTCACCTTCAGGCTCAAGCAGTCCGTCATTCACTCTTTCGTCGCTCGACAGTCTTTCGTTAAATCCAGTCCTTCGTTTTGAGCTATTGTTGATTATACTTCACTGTGTACTCTCATTCTTTGTGCGATTCCACCTTGATCACCAATTTCTCAATATAAACACCAATCTATTTCAAACATGCGTTTCTACACCATCGCTCTGTTGACTGGCGCTACCGCCGTCGCCGCCACTAAAAGTGCGACCCTTCTCCTGCCCGGATTTGCGGGTCAGGATCTCCAGGCTAGCGTTGTGGAAACCGTACGTACCAGATTCAGTTGCGCGACGCGCTTTTTCGCTTGAGCACTTCAACTAACAATTCATAGAACGGAGATGCGACTACCTACAAGGTCACCTGCCCCAAGACCGCTGATGTCTGTGGTATTGTCGGCGACGGCATGACCGCAATTGCCGCCCCCACCTCCGTTCAACTGATGAACATTGACCTCCAGGGAACGTAAGTACCAACCCAGACTACTCTTCCTCGCGCGAGCCGCATTCTGATATCAAACAGTGTTGGGACTGTTTCCTGCAATGTTGCTGGTACTACTTATGCCTCTTGCCATGCCTCCGCCGGCACTGCGACCCCGTCGGGCACTCTGGGCCCAGATGATCTGAACTGGATGCCCGTGGCTATTTCCACCACCCACACCCCGACATCAACCACCACTACCACTACCAAGGCCCCCACCAGCACTACCACCACCACTGAGGTGACCTCCACCTCCACCCCGACCATGACCTCTGCCCCGACCCCCAAGAAGTCTTCCTCGGCTCTTGTTTCGTCCACCGCTAGTGTCTCCTCCTCCACCCGTCTGGTGGCTGCTCCCAGCAACGGAACCGGTGCTCCTGCCGCTTCCTCTACTCCCTTCAACGCCGCCGGCCAGCTGGCAGGCAGTATCTGGACCGTTGGTGGTGCCTTCGCGGCTCTTGCCTGCGCTTTCGCCTAAGCTTGACGAGTGAGCTACCTTTTTCTCCTGTGTGGCTTTTTGATTGTGGGAGCTTTGTGCTCGATTTATTAATTCCGGGGTTTCTGACGTTGCTTCTTATGGATGTACTCATGTATCCTCATATATGTGTGCTTCTATTATTCTTTAATGATTTGATACCTTTCTCCACGACAGACTACGATCTAGCGTCTCCTTTACTTGTATCTTCAGCTATTGAATAAACTTTTTCCCGCCGCTGAGTCTTTTTCTTTCACATCCCGGACTGGGACCACCCCTGTACATTGTATCCACTCCTGAAAGATCTCCACATGCGCCTCTATGTCTCATTTTTGGGCATGCACTGGGGTACCCCACCAAGCACGGCCCCTGACTTCTACCGAGTATGCCACTGTGCACCAAATGCAAGATAAAGATTTCATACTCCCACCTGAGCTCAGACCGAATATCATTTACAAGGATTGAACTGTCACTGAGGATAGCGTGTTCAGCGCTGCGAGGCGCAGGAGTTAGGGCTAATGTCCTCCGTATTGCGAAGCTGTCTGACTAATACATATATTAAAGTCACAAGCTGTTTATATTCTTGCGACCTCTTTATGTCGACTAAATCTTCATATTACTATGCTATGCAGGCTCTATTAATTTGACTGTCCAACTACTAGATATGAAGATAATCATGCGATATATATGTTTGAACAATGCTAATTCGAAGTCTATTATTTTCTTTTTTTTTTTTACATGTATCCCAAAGGAAAGGTACCTAACATCAAACATGTGCATTAAACAATCAACACCAGTATGTACCTAAAGCAATTGGACCAAAAGCAGCAGATCATCTCAGCCTCACATCGTCCGGCCCCCGGGGCCAGCAGTCAATGACTAAGCATGCCAAGCCCGATGGGCTCGGGCCGGGGAATCTTTATCGGGGGCCATTCTGACTGACTCATGACCATCTGGCACAGTATATAGGGTTCAATTTCCTTCATATGTAATTGATAAGGTATAAAAATGCAGATACTATAGAATATAGAGATATCTACACTTTATACAATGCATTACAGGTAAGAACAAGCATTTAATGGTTGGTTTAACGGTTTAACGAATTACTCATTTTATACTCCGGTATGACCAATGCTAATATTTTGGCCTAGTACAAACCTTAGAAGTATGCCCAGGTGGATGCGCCCGGCGCGGACGGAGCATTATTAATACTTATTAAGCGGGGTAATAAAACCCGGCTGTTATTTTCAAAAAGTTTATATCAGTTTTTAGAAGAAGCAACAATTTATAAGACACATATCATGTCTACCATCTTGATTTCCGGTGCCAACAAAGGTAACCCACTAGATATTTGACCCCTCTCTCAATTCAATTTAACAATTTCAGGAATTGGCCGTGCTCTGGTTAGCAAATACCTAGCTCGCGATAATGTAACCGTGATCGCCGCTGTTCGCAATCCAAGCTCATCGGAGACAACACTCTCCAACCTTCCCACGGGCCAGGGTAGTCGATTGATCATTGTTAAAATCGACGCCAGCTCCGACCCCGATGCCAAAGCTGCAGTAGAGTCATTGGCCAGCCAGGGCGTGTCAGCATTAGACATCGTTATCGCCAATGCTGGAATTTTCGACCGGGCTGCTTTCACCACCGTTGCCGAGTCTAGCATTGAGCAGATTAAATCCCACCATGACGTGAACACTCTGGGACCTATTCGTCTATTCCAGGCTACTCTCCCTCTCCTCCAGAAATCATCGTCTGCTCGCTTCGTCCTAATCAGTACTCTAATGGCAACGATTGGAGATATGAAAAATGCTCCGTGGACTATTGCGCCTTACGGCGCCAGCAAGGCTGCCGCGAACTTCTTTGTTCGGAAAATCAACTTCGAGCACGACGATATTGCTACCTTGGCTGTTGACCCTGGGTATGGAGGCTTCGATTCTTTGTCTTGATTTGTTAACTAATATCTCGCTTAGGTCGGTCAAGACGGATTCTGGAAATGACGCTTGTCGCACTTTAGGCTACGACAGCGCATTTGTAGAGATTGAGGACAGTGTGAATGCCATTGTCACCAAAATCGATGGGTTGACCAAGGAGAATGGTGCGGGGGAGTTTTGGAGCATCGGCAATACCACTAATGCCTGGTAGATATTGGGGAGGGACTAGAAAGGGGAGGAATCCTTGTTTGATTTCTGAGTAGCACATTTCATCAGCATTGGTGTTATTAGATATATTGTAAAGGTAGTTACTCTGGCACTCGTATTCTTGAGGGATAATAGAACTGACTTTGACTCTCAAGCCGCCAGCTATTTAAAACTAGGCAGAGCATATAACAGGGGTTCATCTTATTTATTGACAATAAGAGATAGGTGACACTCAATTAATTAATGTTCTAATTGCTGATTGAACATGACGAACATTCTTTTGGTAGGGTAGCTTAGGAGCTGAGTGGCTTCAACAGAAAAGGCAACTGAACAATGTCATAACGAATTTTCGATATGCTTTTCTCAGTCACAATGAGGCGATCTGAGCCCTGCGCAAATCGCAGAAGACGACTCTCTAAAGATGAATGATTTGTGATAGCCCTCCGTGCAGCAATTTCCGAGCTGATCAAAAACTGCAAGTTAACAGGGCGACTCGAAATCACGACGACCAAGGTATCCATCACCGGCTGTCGTTTGGAAATATTGAGTGGCCATTTGACCTTGAGCCCCTCAAGCTTGGTCTTAGTACTGCCGATTGTATGAGACCATCCCGGGGGCAGATCGACACCATCTGGATTTTCCGTTACTGCATTGATCTGGCCATTCGCCTCCACTTCAAAAACAGACACGAACACACTATTGTGATCATCATGATTCTTTAGAGACATGAAGATGTTAGAGTTCTCAGTGATGGAATCTTCGCCAGTGGGATTGATGGTTCTTCCATGATGGCCATCTTCCACTAACCCAAGGTTGATTTCAAGATCATGCTGGAGATGTTCCTCCGGGCTGTCACATGTTTGAACCAGAAAGTGTTGTGCGCGAGCCACTCGATCTGCAATATCAATAGCTGCTTTGTATGTAGAAGGTGTAGGTTCCTTGCCATAAAATCGCTGCGAGAAAATCTCCACTCCATACTTGTTGGTCACAGTGAGTTTGCCTCCTTGCTGGCGAATTTCAACTAGAGGGCTCTTCTCGCCATCGTAGCTGCATCTGATGAGTCTGGATTGCTCCACCTGCTTCTGAAGCGCGGAAGCATCTGCTATAAGAGAAACTGGCCATTTGTAGAGAGCTTCTTCGACGAGAAAGGCCAGTGCGCCTCCATCAGGCAATCGAGACATCCCATTCCTCCAAGTAAGTGTTGCGACGGCATCAAACCCGCTAGCATCTGTGACTACAGCAGTAGCAATCTGAGTTTGAGGATTAACACATTCCGATCCAGGGGGCATAACCGCGTATGCGTTTTTCTCCCGGACTCCTGCAACCCTGCCAGCTTTGATTATAGCTATATTATTATCCTCCTGTTTTATCAGAAGGGAAGTGGAGTCCCGACCATCCAGAGAAAATAGAAAGCGACTGTGCGGTCCTTCTACTCGCGGATGCTGCTGCGGAAAGGACATGTTGACTAATTCCTGTACACGAAGCATCACCGTCCTCCAAGAGATGTGGTCACCATCTGATTCCTCAATCACGCGAACGAGAGCCTCAGTTAAAGCGCCGAGTTGCATCCCCGAATCATTTTCGTATTCATATGCGCTTTCCCAAGGTGCCGCGGCGGCAATCCGCACCGCATGAGGATTATCTCCCAGCAGTGTACGTTCTCGAAGCAATCCCTTCTCTTGCAGTGTCTGGATATGGGCAGCGATATTATCATAAATAGTCGTAGGGAGGTTTCTCCGTCTAGCATTCTTGACATAGCGAGAATCGCGCACCATGCGACCAGAATGACAACAGTCCAAGATGACGGTGACATTCTGCGTTTTTGCTGTGGTATCAAGAAGCCATTGCGACAGCTCCTCTTCTGAAATTCCGTGGAACTCACCAGGAACCTCCTTATAGCCCATTGGGACAATGAATTGGAGCCGTCGTGGCTGACCAGAATCTTGATCTGCAGCTTTTACCGAAAGGGCTTCCCCGCCATGTCCTGAATAGTAGATGACCACTGTATCATCTGCGGAAATTCGGGATATCAGGTCTTGCCAAGCAGAGCGAATGCCATCGCGAGTCGCTGCTGAACCACAACATTGATAGGCTTGGAATCCCCGCTTTTGGAGGACTTTGGAAATCATTTCAACGTCGTTTTCTGGGCCCTCGAGATCTCCAAAGGGACTTGCAATAAGTAGGGCATGCTTGGTGGAAAGCATAATGGATATGATATGCAGGGAAGAAGTTTTTAGATATATTTTGACAGAAGATAGATAGCGAACACCAAGTGCAACTAAACTACTGCGTGCTGTCCGTTCGGATTATGTGGCTTTGGTAGTAAGTATTATATACAAATAATTAATCTGTAATTACATTTTCAGTATTGCTGGACGTTGACTTGGCATGAAATACAACCAATAATGTACGAGAGAGGAAGGGCGCACTATACCCTCTTCCCAATGATAGTTGACAGCTAGCCCTAAATTGGATCTTGTAATAACGGGGTCACAGTCAAGAATGGGATAGAACCAACAAACCACAATATACTCCGTACTGCTCATGCAGATACATTTTTTTCCTTCTTCAACCTACTAGATTACAAGCCATGGATCAATCTGTTGATGTCGAATCTCACCCAATTCCTGCCGTTGACTTGAAAGAGCCGGGAACTGAAGTGGCAGATTTACCCCGCTATCCTCCACGAAGAGAGCCCACTCCAAAGGTAAGAAACTAATTCTCTTGTCCAAATTGTCACTCATATTATCTCCAGGGAATATTTGGAGCAGCTGTCCGTAAACTGAAAAATATCCCACCTTGTGTCTGGGTTGTCAATCAACACTCAGAAGAAATAACAGTCGTGGTTTCGAAATACAAACCAAATCGACTCCTAACAGGCATGGGAGTAAATGCTTCACCAACTGGAGTAGGATTAAACTTTGAGACTACGGTATAGTATACTATATAGCCCAATACATTTGCTAGGCTGACATTCAAAGACCTTTGCTGGACCAGCCTCACGGAAAACACTCGCAGCTCAAGATCAGGGTCGTGAAGAAAGTACGGCGGTATTCCCATTATGGACCCGCGATGAAGGATTTGGTGTAATCAGCGTGTTTAAAGGTCCCGAGAAAGTCTTGTATATTGAAAATGATATGGTGCCACTTGGGGCGACGGTTTACTTTGCGAATAAGCCGGATTTACGCATCGTGAAGTATCAGTCGGGTTCGATGCCTATTCAGAATTAGGAAAGGTAGTCAAGGTCGTTTTATTAATTTACTACATTTCAGATTTAACCTATTAACCACAAACTGCCTCACTGTCTCCGATGATTTCCGAAATACGAATCTCCTCGATGTAGTTCGCTAAATATAGATTACGGCTAAACGTGTACGGAGCATGCTGTCAGCCACGTCAATGGCCCCGCGATTAAAAAAATCATCTTAGCGTAAGCGAGTACTCCATTCGTACGTCGGCATAAAGCTCACCTGTATTAGCCTGGAAAGAAAATTATTGGGTTTCATAAAAGCGTTGAATCGATGAAATATCTCATTTATATAGACTTCTACAAACTGTAAGTTGAGCTTCCAGATATTATGTGCGATATGTATATTCCAATACGAGGTTTGAAGAGCAACCAAAGAATTAAACAAACTAACATTATCAAGGTAGTCAAACAAGAGTCTAAACAAAAGAAGGCGCCTAAAATGGATGAATTGCAAGAGGCTGTCCGCCTTGCTCAAACAGCTCTCGACGCTACCCCCAAAGACCACCCCGATCTGCCATTACGGTTAAGCTCTCTAGCCTATGCCCTCGCAGCTCAATATAATCGAAATGGAAACTTAGAGGATTTGCATGAGGCAATCCGGCTATCAAGAGCAGCCATCGACGCTACCCCAGATGACGACCCCGATCTACCACACTGGATCGGTGAACTAGGGGCGCACCTATTACCTCGATATCTTCGCACCGGAGATTTGAGTGATTTACAGGACGCAGTGGGCCATATGCGAAGATGCGTGGATGCGACCCCGAAAGATGACGAGTATCTAGCATTACGGTTAAATAATCTTGCCAGCGCCCTCTCAATGCGATATGATCGAACTGGAAATTTGGAAGATGTGCAAGAAGCAATCCCGCTAGCACAAAGGGCGGTCGACACTACCCCAGAAGATGACCCCGATCTACCACACTGGTTAAACCAACTAGGGATTGCCCTCTCATACCGATATGATCGAATTGGAAACTGGGATGATCTGCAGGAGGCAGTCCGCCTCCTCCGAAAGTCAGTCGACTTTACCGAAAAAGAGGACCCTGCTCTACCAAATCGACTCCTTAATCTGACGGGCAACCTATCAACCCAATACAGTCGAACTAGTAACTTGGAGGATTTAAATGAAGCAATCCGGCTGGCCGAAACAGCCGTCGACGTTACTCCAGAAGATCACCCAGATCTACCATCCCAGATAAATAATCTCGCAGAGCATCTCTCAAGCCGTTACAATCATACTGGAAACTCTGAGGATATACATAAAGCAATTCGGCTGGCCGAAACAGCGCTCGATGACACCCCAAAAGATCACCCAGAACTAGCGGCCCGGTTGAGTACTTTAGCGACTTACCTCTCAACCCGATATGAAGGAGAAGGAGATCCAGATGATTTGCAACGGGCAATTCTGGCTGGCCAAAGGTCCATCGATGTTACACCCAAAGACCACCCCGATCTAGCTTTCCGGTTCGGCAACCTCGCGGGCATTTACTCAACTGGTTATGAGCAAACTGGGAACTTCGAAGATTTGCAAGAAGCAGTCCGTCTTGGACAAATGTCACTTGACATTACCCCGAAAGACCATGTCAAGCTAGCAAGCCGATTAAATAACCTAGGAATCTATCTATCGACCCGATATGATCGGACAGGAGACTTGAGTGATTTACAGCAGGCAATTCGCTTGGGGAAAAGAGCAGTCTCTACTACTCCACGCGACAACCACCCTGATGTAGCACTTTTCTCAATTACTCTGGCTACCAACCTCTCAACCCGATATGACCGAACTGGAGACTTGGATGATTTGCACGAAGCAGTTCGGCTAGCAGAAGCAGCCATCGATATTATCCCAGATAACCATGCTGATGTAGAGCACTGGCTCCATAGTCTATCGGTCTTTCTCTCAACCCGGTATCATCGAACTGGAGACGTCAAAGATTTAGAGGAGGCAATCCGGCTGGCTAAAAGGGCCGTCGCCACTACTCCAGAAGGCTATCCCGATCTAGAAAATCGACTGATAAACCTGGCTAGCAACCTCGCAACCCGATTTGAGCAATCTGAAACCTCAGACTTGGATGATATACAGCAGGCGATTCAGCTTACCCAAAGGGCTGTCGATAGTACCCCGGAAGACAACCCAGATTCACCACATTGGTTGAACAACCTAGCCATTTACATCTCAAAACGATACAAACGAACTGGAAATTTGGCTGATTTACAGGAGGCAATCCCAGTTGCTCAAAAGGCCGTTGACAACACACCAGAAGATCATCCTGATCTGGCACCCTGGTTGAATAATCTAGCGATCTATCTTTCAATCCGATACGAACATACACATCAGCAGAATGATAAGGCCGCAGCTCTGAAACACTTCTCACAATCGCTCGATTCCAACAATGCAACTCCACGCCACCGCATCGAAGCTGCCCGTCGAGCGATCGATCTTCTTGTTCCAGATGGCGACTTTGATAGAGCTCAGTTGCTAGCCGGAAAAGCACTCGATCTCCTGCCTCTGGTATGCAGCCGCTACCTCTCTCGGGAGGACCAGCAGTATGCCATTCAGCAAATGTCAGGTCTAGCTGCCGATGCATCCTCTCTTCTCCTCCGAACAGACAACGATCCAGCTCGAGCTCTGGAGTACCTAGAGCATGGTCGGGGCCTCATAATTGGATATCTCATCGACAGTCGGGGTGACATCTCCGATCTATCCACCAAACATCCCAAAGAAGCGAATGAATTCGATCGGCTGCGCCACAAGGCGTTTATGCCTATTCAGCAAGAAGTCCAGCTTGAGGCTCGTCGACAATTGCTCGAAGAACGTGAAGATGCCGTAGCACGCTTAGAAAACTGTCTAGAGGATATCCGGAGACTAGAGGGATTTGATCGATTCCTTCTCCCCCCTTCTTCCGAAGCTTTACAAGCAAACGCAACCGATGGGCCGATTGTGGTGGTAAATGTCACATCCATCAGCAGTGATGCGTTGATTGTTCGTCCTTCCGGAATCAAGCACATTCCATTACCCAACTTTGATATCTCAAAAGCGAACCAATATCGATCCTGGGGACTCACCCGCAGCCCATCGAGATTGATTGAGCTGAAAGAGAAAGGAGGGCCGAGTACCTTTGAAAAACTGCTACGTGATCTGTGGTCCGACTGTGTCCGCTTAGTACTGGACGAGCTAGGCTTCCTCTATCCTACAAGCGACACACTCCCTCGCATTTGGTGGATCGGCACAGGCCTCGCCGCCTCCCTTCCCTTCCACGCAGCAGGCGATCATTCACCAGGCTCCCTCGAGAACGCCCTAAGCTGCGTCCTCTCCTCATACACACCATCAATCAAAATGCTCCAATTCGCAAGGGAAAAGACACGCACGCTAAACACACAGTCCGTGTTACTAGTCACAATGCCAAAAACCCCCGGCGAAGACGACCTCCCCGGCGTAATGGCAGAGAGCCAAGCAATCCAGGAAGCCGTCACAACACCGCATACAGTAAAATCATTAATCCAGCCCAGTGCCGAGAATGTTCTTCATGGACTCCAAGACTGTAGTATTGCACATTTCGCATGTCACGGATCATCAGATATGAACGATCCCTCGAACAGTTTCCTGGCTCTTCAAGGACAGGATTCCGTCGACCGTCTTACCGTGAAGAAAATCTCCGAGTCACATATGAAGCAGGCTTGGCTTGCGTACCTTTCTGCTTGTTCCACGGCGGAAAATCAGACATCTGCTTTGGCGGATGAAGCACTCCATCTTGCAAGTGGGTTTCAGGTTGCGGGCTTTGCGCATACGGTTGGGTCGATGTGGTCGTCGAACGATGAAATTTGTGTTCAGGTAGCTGCTATTTTTTATCGTGAGCTTATTGCTGAGGGGGGATTGGTTGAGGGTAATCGGGCTGTTGCAACGGCGTTGCATACGGCTGTTATGACTGTTCGGGAAGAGAATTTGGGGAGGCCATACCTTTGGGCGCAATATGTTCATTTTGGTGCTTAAATTGAATCAATAACAGGATATAAGCTTGGGAAATATGTATATTAATCAGTAACATTTTCAAGATACAATAATGTATCCAGCCATTTGCAGTTCACGAACCGAGATCAATAGGATCCCACTGCATTATCTCCCACGGGACTTCTTGCTTCGGACGCCAGGTCCATTGCCCAACATTTCGAAATCCAAGACTCTGATACAGCGGCACACCAGCTGGTGTCGCCGACAATCGAACAGGCAAGCCTTGACTCTCTGCCAAATTCAAGCCATCTTCTAACAAAAGTCGCGCAACCCCTCGGCGTTGAAATTTAGGGTCAACACCAATATCCAACACCCCGTAATATCTTTCAGGGGTTGAATACCCCTCAATAAAACTCCTTGAATTCTCATCTCTGCAATGTTCAGCCATTGCTTTAGCATGTGATGAGTTGATAATGGGATTCACGAAGTCCCGTAGACGGTCTGTAAGTTCGGTGTCAAGTATAGAGGTTTTGATCCCTAGGTTTATTAGCTTATTTTTACAACAGTAGATAGCCGCTTACATTCTCGAAGTGACCTTTTCTCTGAATGCGTTGATTCAGCTGTAGGTTCTTCCAGAAACCAGATGCAGAAGCCAACGATAGTTGGTAACCCATTCCAACCTTTATCGTCAGGGCCGAGAACAGCGACAGTCGGGATTGCTGTTAGATCATCCAAGCTGTCTCGGATAATGCTGGATTTTGCCTTGATATATTTGCTTGAATAAATGGATCGATGTTGGTAGAGATAGGTGTCTTGGGGATCGGTCATGTATGCGGCAGCTGCGACAACTGCCACTCCTTGGATATCATCGTGAGTGGCTTTGCGTATCAACATTGGGAGGTAAAACACCCCATAAAAAGGGAAAATGAATTTATATTCAATCCATTTCTCCTGAGTGAGTCACTGAAATTTTAAGGTTTCTTATACCGAGGCCGAACTGTTTCAGCTCGACCCACCGTCGATCTATAAATCGAACTGGAAATGAATACTCTTTGAAATATTCCTATTCTGCAAGCGACGGAGCCCTCTAATTAAAACGAGTGTCTTGATGAAAAAGACCCATACCTCCACTAAACTCTAGATTCAAGCCCACCGTCGCAATCCAAAAGATGCAAAAAAGACCAAACCAATCCCAATGAGTAATACCAAATAGCCAAGCCAAAAAGAAAAGGCCGACTCGAAGGCGAAGCAAACGTCGTAAATATCATAAACCCACACAAAACCATCGGTGCCCATTGAACGACCTGGACGCAGATGCATGTCATCTGCAAACCTCAAACCCTAACTCATCCCCATAGCTAGGAAAATAGTCATGGAATCCTAAGAACTCGATACACCCGCGTCGGGAAACCGGTCTTTCAGCGTAACCATGAGAGCCGGCTTATCCCAAAGGAAATAGGCTTTCTGGTCTGCCCAGTTGCTACTCTCCGGACATAGACTTATGTCAAAGTGGTAGAGTAGTTTACAGAGGATGAGGCGGATTTCACAGTTTGCTAGACTAAGAGGGGAGAACATGGTTAGTACTAATGGAGTAGGGGAATGGGAGGGAACGCACTGTTTCCCAAGGCAGCCGCGTGGACCGAGACTGAATGGCTGAAGGACATCTTTATTATCTTTCTCAAAGACCGGATCAGATCCTAACCAGCGCTCTGGCATGAACTTATCCGGGAAGGCGAAGTTGGACTCCGAGTGGTAGGAGGCATAGTGGTGACATGACACGGTTGTCTGGTCGGGATTAGTACGCAGGTTACGATTGTCACTTCGAAGACAAACACGTATACATACATCCTCAGGAATAAAATGGCCGTTCACAAGCGCTCCACCTTGCGGTACAAGGCGCAATAGATTCGTCACGAGGGGTGGGTAGATACGCAGCGACTCCTCAATGACAGCATTCATGTACTTTAGATCTTCCACGGCGCGGAAGGTCATATCCTTGTTCTGATTGAAAGTCGAGCGGATCTCGGCGACGAGTTGGCTCATGACGTGTGGAGTTGAACACAGATAGAAGATACAGCCAGATAATAGGGTTGCGGATGTTTCGCTACCCGCCACGATTAGACTGTTATTGTTTAGCATTAGCACAATATATCAATCCCTCGGAAAGGTGAAACATAAAAGAGAAAGGGAAAGTATTTGGACGTGAGGAAACCCACTCACATAAAACCATTAGAATGAATCTCCGCCCGTGTCATAATACGTTCGCTCTCGCGATACTGGCTCTTCTCCTCGCTAAGCCCATGCTTGAGAATAGCGGACATAAAGTCCGGACGAGACATATTTGACTCCAAGCGTCGGTCGACCTTCTGCGCACTCAGATCGAAGTGTTCCTGGCCGACACGTTTGACTTCTCGTGGAATAAAGAAGTCTAGGACACCCTTGAGCAAAGGGAACTGATTCGCAGATCCAATATAGGCAAGAGCTTTCATTGAGGTGAAGATCAACTTAATCCACGGGTGAAGCTGGCTGTTCTTCAGACAGTCAAAGGACTCGCCAAACATGAGATCACCGGTGATATCAAAAGTGGTGAAGTTCATCCAACTTTTGATATCGACGATGGATGTCCCCCGACGAACTTCAGACTGCAACTTCGTAATCAAGGTATCAACATAACCTGTGATGAGACCTTCCTGATCTCTCAAAGCCTTCTCTGAGAAAGCATGAGATAGCAGCCGTCTCTGTCTTGCGTGGGTTGCATTATCAACCGCACAGACCAAATGATCGACTCCATTTGCTGGGGCTACATAGCGGCTCCGATCTTTCGGGAAGCAACCGCCAGGTGTAGCCCCGTAGATATCGCGAAAGGCCTGTGCTGTACTGAAGGCCAGCTCATTGGGACCAAGACGCAGGATAGGACCGTACTTCTTGTGCAGCGCCAGAACGTCCAGGTGGTTATAGCCACGGAGGATGGAGACATTCAACGGGATACGAGATAGCGCCCATAGCTTTGGACCGGGGAAGTGACGCAGGGGCGACCAGAAAAACGTATAGATGATGCTGTAGGTAACCCAGAGGAGAAACTGTTGAGTACGTTCTGATTAGCGCGGGATTCTCTGCGAACGAGCCTGTCAGAGCGGATGGCCTTGATTGCATTGCTCAGAGCTGCTGTGTTTCCCCCGGAAGATATCTGGTAGAGGACTGGCTCTACTGCTTCCTGCATGAAACAGACGAGGGGAGTACGGGGAAATGCAACTTACCAGGGCTCCTGCAGCTCCCCAAAAGCCAGGACCTGTTGCCCAAGGCATGGTGAGATTGGAAGTAAAAGACGTCCAGAGGGTCATGCACGGCCCTGAAGCCATATTTAGTTCGGGGGCATTTGGCTTCCTTTCCTGGTGAGATTTTGACAAAAGTTTCTTTTCTCAAACTCCCAAGAGTGATTGGACGATCGACAGAGAAAAAAAGGACAAAGACTGTGCGTTGTGCCCAATGCGCTTGGCAGATGCAGGAAGATGAGGGGCATCACATCCGGACCAGACGGGAAGGAGGAAGTAAGGGAGTACAAACGAGAGACCTCATTACCACATTCCATACCAAATCTATCTACAATAACTCCGAGCATGCTCGGGAAGATCCTAGTCAAATTGTCAATTCGACTAGGACTGAGTCGGCTTCCGACCGTAAACGACATGCAGCTTGCAGTACGTATGCACGGCGGGATTCTTGATATCTCTGCGCACCCCGGCCAGGAAAACCTGAGTATCATTATTTGACCAACCCAACACACGAGTGAAAAGTGCTAGCGAGTAGGATTCCACCGCCATGAGAAGGGAGCATTGGTTGTACCGACCAATCTCCTTTTGTACGGGATCCCTAGCCCAAACACTCGATGGAACCTAGAAGAAAGTTAATTATGACGAAAAGAAGCAAACAAAATCCACTAGGAAGGGAGGACGGTGTCACACCTTGTACACCTCATCTCGAACATCTTCGAAACCAGCCTCAACCAGCCGCTGTCGGTGACCTTCGGCGATATTCATAGGTCGGTGAAACGCCTCGCTAGCCTGGGTCAGTCGTTCAAGAAACTCGCACAAAGCCGGCGCAAGACGAATCGAATCATCGTCTGACCGGAGCATTACTTCGAACTCCTGTAACTCAATCCATCCTCCAGGACGCAGATGTTCATAGCTCTGGTGCATCAGTCGCGGCCAGTCGGCGATAGCACCGCCCAGATCGCGGGCATGGATGAAATCAAATGGTTTGCTTGGACTGTACAGCCATTGCGATTCGGCGTCGTCCACCACGAAGCGGAGGTTAGGTGGGACCCATGATGGCTGGATGGGGCTGAGGTCGGTGCCAGTTACTTCGGCACCGGGGAAACTATCTGCGAAGTCGATGGCCCAGATTCCGGTTCCCGTGCCGATGTCGAGAGCGCGTTGGATGTTGTTGTCCAGCGGGGCTCGAAAGAGTCGCCCGTTTAGCACGAGATTCCGGACGTGGTGGAGGAGATCTTGTCGGTCTTGTTCTGGTTCGTCGTTGGGAAGGACGTAGTGGCCTTCGCGGTATGAGTGATAACGTCTTCCATTTTCGTAGGCGTAGTTCTTCACATCCGATAACAATGAGGCTGTGTAGCTGGATGTGTTGTCTGATTCTCCATCATCGATGACCGAGTCTGAATCATCGGCTGTTGATGGTGCGGATGACGTGTCTCCATTATCGTCGTTATTGTCTGGTGATAAAGGGGTTCCAGGTGGATCTGGCGTAGATGATTGAGTGAGATTAAAACCATCGTGACCCACTTCTGGGGCGGACATGGCAGTTGAGTTCATTCGACTCGGTGGCAAAGAATATGGCGTCGACAGATCCGTTGAGGTCGAGGATTCAACTCCAGTAAATGAGGAACTTGATCCACGCATCAATGGGTTTGGTTCCTCGTCGCCGTCCTCGGAGGTTTCCTCCGGAATTGGCGCCAGCAAAGGCGACGCGAAACTACTCTCTTTGCACTGATTGATATCCGATTCAAACGCAGAGTCTAACAATGGCAGTTCAGGTAGATCCGGTAAGCCAGATGCACGAATTATCGGTCCTGGAATTGGTGAAGTGGGCGATAATTGCCTAATGGGCTCCGAAGTATCTTCCATTGTAGACTCCGTTTGGTCGAAAGTCCGTTTTAACGGTATACAAGGGCCGGGCTCTGCCCCGGCCTCCGGAATCGGATGGTCTGACCCCATCTTCATGGGGTTTGGTACGTGCTCAGTTTGTGTCGACAAGTTTTTCGAAGAATCAGGATTCCCTGTCGAGGCTGGATATGTGTGAGAGGACAATACATCGGGTTCCAAGTCAGTTCTCGTGTTGCGTCGACGGTCGTCCAAGCACATGGGGTAAATACAAAGGAAGTCAATCATGTCGGGAAGAGGTAGCCCTAAGGAGTCGACCTATACAGCAAACGATGTCTAACCACAGTGAGCAATGGACTACTTAGGAAGGACCTAGGGAAGGAAAAGACTAATAAAGGACAAATTGGTTCAAACAAAGAACTTGACGTTTCATAGTATAGTCACCTTTCCCGGGGGTATCACAAGAAATACCAAAAAGGGTAAAATGCCGGAGTATATGGCCAATTCTAATATCTACCGCAGGAGTTTGCGACATACCACAATCGGGCTTTTTGCCAGATACGTAATATCTCTACTATTTCTGCGTTTGAAAGGCCAAAATTTTCATGTTCGATTCTATATCTCACTCCTCTAAGGAAGAAGCATACTATTAGGACTTGAGGATAAACCGAAGTGCAATCATGACCCAACATGTCCTCATCTTTCAATGCGAAGGAACGTGCGCTACCGAGAAAGGAGGAGCCGTGCAACGATGGTAGCTCAGGAATTTGGGAATCGGCACTTGTGTGTCTAATGTGGGTACGTTCATCAACCCAGCCAGACCTGAGGAACTGTAAGATATCAATTCCCATATTTGAGAGGTGGATTCTTGCACCGAGCGCTCGCTTTTCTTCCCTCCTCGAGGGGATCCAATGCCAGTGGAATTGTCATTTTACCAGCAGTACTGGACCTGATTTCTTTTGGCCAATTGGTAGGTTTCAATGCAAGCGCTGATGAAGACAACCAGTTGACAATTCGGTTTGCAGTTTATAAGATCTTGCCATTGGTTTGAACGAGATAACTCAACATTTTAGAGTCTATTGCCCATGCCGGGATGCTTGCTGCACTGACTCTGGTCAACTAATCAAGCAAGATATCAAAATCAGTTCGTTGATAATGACTATATATATGGCAGCAAGCCTAAATGATGAATGAAATGATAAAGAGAAGATGGTTGGTAGATGGAAAGTGATTATTTGTAGGCGTCAGACAAACAAAGAGCCTCTTTAGGGCGGTAGAAGGCGGTTATAGAATTTCCCGCTGGACATGCAGGAGGCCGAACCGTTCATATGGAAGGAGTTCAGTTGATGTTTAAATATTTTCTCAGATTGTCTTTACCTCCGTGGACATACTGTTGGGATGCCTTCTGGTAAAGGGCTCTATTTCTCACTCGAAGCTTGGTACTAGCCAGGTCGAGTTGCACGGACTACTAACTGGGTTGGATCGGGGGGATTGGTATCCTGTCGAGAGTCGGACAAGGTGAGAATAACATGTATTCAGCTACCTGATGACCCATCAAATAGCGCAATTTGTACGATTTTCATGTTGTTTAAGGGGTGCACTATTATTGGCGTAAAAGGAGACATGTACGTGTAGGAACTTTGAATGTCTCACTGAGAGTATGATTTGATTTCTGTAAACCATACGGGGTACAGTATTTGCATTGCAATCGCAATGGCAGCTGGAGCATCGGGGTATTATCTCATTCGTCATCATTCATATGCCCAGATCACCTAGAGTCGAGGCTTTCTCCATCAATTAATCCCTACCCGAGCCTCGAGGAAACCGTCCACCCTTTCCTGGCCCAGGTCCTTCTCCCTTTTCGGCCTTGACCTCTAATCCTGCATCAAGGACAGCGGCATGAAGAATCCGCCAATGGGCCTCCTCATTGAATTCGCGTAAGCTCTCCAGCGTGGTACGCTGCACCTCTGCACGCAGGTCGATCTGGTTCGACACCAACAACCCCTTCTCAAGGTCGATGCGAGCGTTCAGCACACCATCTTGAATGAGACCGATAAGCTCTTGCACAAACGGCGAGGAGATATCCGTGGGACGCGCTTCACCGCCAACGACAGTAGGGGCAAAGATCTTCGCCATGGAGTCGAGTGTGACACGGCTGAACGGAATCATGTACTGCTCGATGGATTTGGTGCGGATATATTTGTACAATTTGGAAATGTGACGCTGAAGGTGGATGTCGAGTAGGTAGTCAGGGCGATAAGCTTCGAGAATGTCAAGACATTGACGGAACTTGAAGTTGCAAAAGAAAGCGATTGCGCGGCGGATATGAGGTTCGAGTTCGAGGAAGGTGCGGAAGGTCTGGCTGTCAAGCACGTTTTTCTGCAGCTCGTCGCGGTTCATAGAGGCGAGAGCACATAGACCACCGTAGACGGCGACATCGTTGGGAGTGATGACTTCATTGTAGTTGTCGCCCAGGTCCGGCGGGATGGACAAGAAAGAGTTTGCTGCTTCAAGATATGAGGCTTGGTGCATCAGCGACAGAGCTGATGCGGCTGATATTTTAGAGAGGTTTTTGGCTGCGTCATCTGGCTTTGACTGAGAGTTGCGGAGTCGGTGCACGTTCGACTGCACAGACATCCAGTCACCGCGTTCAGTAGCGACGTTGACCATTTTGAAGAGCATGGAAGTTATGTGGTTCGGGGTGGTGCAGTAGTCTCGCATGCGAGAGTAAGCCTTGGAGGCAGCAGCCAGGTCACCAGTCTGATAATGATGATTGCCCAAATCCTCGTGGCCCATCTATTGAGGTCAGCGTCACGCATCTCCCATCACAATATATTCGCTCCTTACCCGAATGCTCTCTTTAATCAAATTGTTCTTATATCCTCGTAGCTCATGCTCCAATCGCTCAGTCTGGGTCTGTACGTATCGATTGGTTTCCTGGACCCAGGCGGCGTCAAGCGAAGCGTCAGGATCGTTCGGAGCTACGTCCGCCAATGCGCGGACCGCCCTCTCGTATCTCGAAACGTCTTTGTTAGTTCTAGCTTCGGCGATGGCCGCCTTGAGGGCGTCGGTCGAGAGCAATGGGGAGCATGTGCCAATGAGGTAAAGACGGTCGTAGCGGGTGCGCCCTAGCCATGAATTAGAACACGATAGTCTGACTAGAGACAAAAAAAGGCCACTCACCAGTATAGTTTGAAATGTAAGTGTCAAGGTCAAATTTGGGGGGCTCTACCAAATTAAGCATGTCAGCGTTATCTGAGCACAGCAACACAATCGCAGAGATAGCCCCGCTGAGGCCAACATACCTTCCACTTTCACTGGTGCTCTTGCTCGGGGTGTTGCAATAGCTGTAATAGCTTCCAGAGCTGCAGCATCCATATCTGCCCGAGAAGGACCGGAGTCATTTAGAAGTGTGGTGTCCATCTCGCCGAGCTGTTCAGACGATGCAGTGCGGGCAGACGTGAATGGCACTAGCAAATTATTTCGAGAAACTGGAGCTTGATCAACAGGCTAGTTTTATGGCGGAGGAAGATAGCAACTAATTGCAAGACTAAGAACAATATGATGTTTAGGCAGAGAAAGTATCAGAAGTGGGTGACAGGCACTAGGTCGATCATTGTGATGGTGATCGATTATCGGGCAGAATCCGACCGCCTAGTACACCGCCATTCACCAGTCCTTCTGTGAATATAACACGGGGTACGGAGTAGATATAGATCAATTTCTACATGAAGAGCGATAGGGCAGAGGAAATGTGATCTTCTGCAGTCACCTTAATCATTTGCCCTGAGATACCTTCTCGCATAGCACAAAAAGAACCAATAGGAGCATGGACGACCTAGCAAACTGGAACTAGCCATCGAATCACAAAAGTATGTGTTCATAGGGCAGCCTGGGTGGTCCAGATTTATACTTGAGAAGTTATTTGATCACCAGGAAGTTTATAGATCTATAGGCTTGGATATTTTGATTTAGATGTCTGAAGCGCCGAAGATCATCGGGCGCCGCCCGTGGACGTGGGCTACCTCGGAACTTGAGTAATCAAGAAATTAAGCATCAAATCAACCTGCCGGCCATATAAAACTGGCCCGAGACCCAATTATCTTGATTATAATTAACCTTTTGTTTGCCGACTGCATAAACAGATATATAATCGACAAAACTCGGCGTTCACTAATCACAACGACTAAAGTATATAACGAGCCTAATCCGGGTGCAGGACTTCAATCAACCCCTACTCACCGGACTTTCACAACATAACCGTACCACAACACTCACCAAAATCCTCAAAATGTCCCAAAAAAAGCAAGTCGCTCTAATCATAGGCGCATCGCGCGGTATTGGACGCCAGATCGCCCTCGACCTAGCAAAGAACGGCTACGCCGGTACAACCCATGCAATCCCACATATACCACCCAAACTGACCCCAAAGCGCAGTAATGCTATCCGCAAAAACAACATCGGATGCATCAACAGTAACACCCTTCCCACCAGACCCGAACTCATCGCAGTCTACCATCAACACAGTAGAGCGTGAGATTCGCGAAGCCGGTGGGCATGCCGCAACAGTCGTCGTTGACGTGCGCGACGCAGCGCAGATTCAGCATGCTGTCGAGGGGACGGTGCGCGTCTTCGGAAAGCTCGATGTACTTGTGTACAACTCCGGCGCGATCTGGTGGTCGTCTGTGGAGGATACGCCTCTCAAGCGGTTTAAGCTTATGCAGCAGGTGAACCCCGAAGGGCTGTACGCCACTGTTCAGGCTATTTTACCTTTTTTTGAGAAGGGTGGCTGGAAAGGGCGCATTGTTGTTGTTTCGCCGCCGATTTATTCAAGGTTCTTTAGGGGAAAAACTGCTTATGCGATGGGTAAGTTTGTCTTTGATCCGTGGCTGTTGAAGACTGGTGTCAACATAGAGTGTGTTTAAGTTAACTATGTGCTGATATGTGATGTGTTTGATGTAGGCAAGGTTGGAATGAGTGTTCTGGTCAAAGGTCTCGCCATGGACTTTGCGCGTCAAGGCCGAAATGAAATGGCGGTGACGAGTATCTGGCCTGCAGTGGTATGTATCATGGCCTTGATTTTATCCTGAGCTGGCGTCTGCGATGGGTGCTGACTGCATTACTTTTCAGTCGATTGAGTCAGCAGCTACAGAGTATAATAAGGGATCCGACAAATCCTACAAAAGGGATCTGAGAAAGCCGGTATGTCTATGTCTGCTGTTCTAATATCGATCTTCTCTGGTCTTTTCAATACTGACTCGCTGCAATAGACAATATTCTCAGATGCTGTTCTGGCCATGCTTCGTGCCCCACACAAAGTAGTGAACGGGCTCCTGGATACAGATGAGGACTTCCTACGGGAGAAGTGCGGAATCTCTGACTTTTCTAAATACTCTGTAATTCCAGGATCGACACCGCGGCGGATTATGCCGGCCAAGTTTCCAGTCCTGGAGGTTGCAGAGCAAGATGACGAAGGGCAGCTAATGGATAGCACGAAGTTGCGGGCAAAGATATAGGTTTGGTGAAGATGAGAGGTCAATTGAACCTGTCGCTCATCCAAACCTAGAAATGAATTTTGACATAGTATTTGGAAACTGGAGAATGTAAATAACTCATGTATGCATTAAATAGGGTTGAATAATGATCTATAGCAAGATAAACTACCAATGTAGGCAATTGTTAAAACAGGAAATAATGAACGGCCAGCAATAGTTTACTCCATAAACTCACGAGCAAGAAAAGAACAGTAAAAAAAAAAAACGCTCAATGCTAATGCAGCCAGAAAATGCAAACCCAAGAAACATGAGACTGGCAAATATTAGTAAAGTTTCGAGCAAGAACAGCCACAACTCCGAGTTTCATCCAAATAATCAACCAGACCCTTGAATCATACCCCTCAAGACCCAGACCCTTCTACTCTACAAGAGAGTAGCAAAGCCAGCAACAAACCCACCAACCAAAACACAAAGCCCATAGACATGACTCATATCAACTGAGGCCATGCGGGGAGCAGCACCAGTAGCTCCATTGCCATTGACAAGTGTATTGACAGGGGTCTCTGATGCAGTGGGGGTAGCAGCCTTGGCGGTAGTAGTCACATTAACACGCTTGGGATCCTGAGCTCCACATGGGTTCTTTACTCTGCAGTTATTCTGGCAAGAGGAGTCACCGTTGCACTTGAGGACGCATTGGTTATTAGATTCTGTGCAGGTGTAGTAGGGGATTGTCTGGGAATATTCGGTGGCGTTGGGGTTGACACCATTGCTGCATAGACAGTCGTAGTGTAGTGTGTCCTAGGGATTTGGTGTTAGTTTATTTCCCCCTAGAGAAATGGCTGCTATGCGGGAACTTACTGCTGAGCAGGTGTTTGATGTTGGTGAGCCCGACGCTCCTGATACTTGTAGGCAGAGAAGGGGACATGCGGATGTTTGGGAGTTACACCAGGCCTCTGAAGGAAGATATGTTAGTGTAATGATCTTCGTATAGGCGGGAGGATATGGAATATTGCCTGACCTCTTGTAGCATAGGGAACTGATGACGGGTCAAACTGGCTGTTGACTAGAGTGGCAGCCGAGGCGAGGATGAACATGGTTTTGGACAACATGGTGTCGGTTGAGGTTAATGATAATTCAAGAGACCGGAAAATGGCAGCGGGCACTACTAAATTTTAGTGTTAGCCTTTTTTTGTCTCAAGAATGCCAGTGACAGTCTGACACACGTTCTATAGGAAAACTATGAAGCAAGCGATAGCTACCTAGGGTAGATGGAATGAAGGGGGAAAGGTGTAATGGAAGTAGAACATGTCTTGAACCTACCGGGCTTGAATTCCTAGACTCTTTTGAGAAAAGGTGAGGAATGAAGAAGATGAATGGAGATGTTGATTGATGATCTAAAGCCAATAGCAAGAGGCTGTTGAAGATGTAAATATAGGGGTGCAGGTAACTTGAGAAAAAAAATTGTAGCCAGCAAGGGAGAAGTGGGAGTTCATAAAGGAGAAAAAGCAATCACAGGACTAAATATGCCTATGTATAGAATGTATCAGTTGGTTTGCATGGTGGCACGCACTAGTGCCACTCTCGCGGTTTGACCGCATCGAATGCTATTTTTTTAATATATTTTTTTGTGCAAGTCCGAGGTATTCTCAATGAGTTCAGCACACCATACGGAGTATAGACTAGTGAGACCCCTTTGGAACTGAGGTGTGGGTTTATCGAGGGGTCCGCTATAGGGGGTTTGCCCTTGAGATGTGTCAACCCGAGGATATGATCTTGGATAGGAACGTTTGTACCGGAAAGCTCACTTGTGTGACATCTGTCATCCGGGTCCCCGGTCCCCACCAAGTACATAGACAACGTGCTTTTCCCTTTCAAAGATAGGGAAGTAGGTATGTCTCAGTCTGAGTTGTAAGAATTAAAGATTAGAGGACATCAAGCAACGCTTACCATATTGGGATTAGTGTGCTTCGCTTTGGAGTAGTCGATGAAATTCCGAGAGACAAGTTCAACTTTAAAAAAACAGACCAGTTTGAGATTCTTGTGATATCTGAGATCTCATAGAAATACAATCAGAATGTGACAAATTGGAATTGAACATTTCCCCCAGGATCTCCCCTTGGGGACATTATGGATGAGATGTCCAGGTGGAGAGCAGTTCCCTTAGCTAAGCCACTAATCCCGAACCAGTGATAGCCCGTGACCACCGTTGTCTCATTTCGACTCCAATTGAATTTCTTTAGTTCTAACAACCACTTTTTACATTCTATCTTGCCACCACATACACTTACTAAGGTTAGTCTGTCTCACCTCGGATCGCTTGTACAACTCCGCCCAACTCCGGATCCTTGCATCGACCCCAGTGTCCAAATTACCCCGATTGAGTCCCCCCTAGCACTTTACACTTGCCACCCCGCACAAGCAGGGGTCCCCAAATCGAGCCACATCCATCCCGAACGCATTGAACAACAGCAAAGCTAACTAGAACCATTGTCGCATCGAATAGGCCAACACCTTCACCCCTCACAGTATCTAATGGATGGAGCCAGCACCTGAGGAGGCCGGATCGGCATCTAAGCCGCACCACCCCTCCTCCCCACACCCAGATATTCAACCCACCCCCGCACTCCGACCTGAGACCGATAACACCAATGACGATCCTAATTCAACCCCCAAGACAACCACACACAGCGGTCATGGCACGCCCCAGAGCTCAGCTTCCTCTACAACATCCCGCCCCGTCTCCGCCGTAGTGCCCCCCTACTGGCGCCGACACGAGCGCAATGCCTCACACGCCTCACAGTCATCGCTGCACGGCGCTGCTCGCATCACTCTGGAAGATAACACTGCCGACCCGAACTCGGAGACAAGTCGTGGGCTCTGGGCGAGTAGCGTTGCTATTGATGATCATGTTGTTGTGCGGGGTATGACTGGGGTGGGATCATATGTTGTCTGGAACTGTAGGATACAGACACTTGATGTGAGTTTTGGATTATGGGAGGGAATGCAGTTGGGATAATTGTCTAATACCGGTGTTACAGGGAGGTCCGATTGTTATCCGGATGAGGTGTGTTGCTTATTTCTTTTTTTTTTCATCTGTCTCGGTTTGAGAGGATGTTGAGCTAATTGGTTTGCTATAGATACTCCGAGTTCGATGACCTGCGCCAGCGGTTGGTTGATTCCTTCCCGCATGCGAGAAGTGCATTGCCTGCATTGCCGCCCAAGAGTGTTATCTGTATGCTTCTGTTCTCCTCTTCAGATTTATATTGTCGATTTGGCTAATAACCATTTCACAGATAAATTCCGACCCAAGTTCCTAGAATCAAGACGTGTGGGGCTGGAGTATTTCCTCAAGTCAGTATATCATCGCAGCTCCATTACTATTTCATTGTCTAGAACTATTTCTCACGCCCTCCCAGCTGTGTCCTTTTAAACCCGGAATTCTCGGGCTCCCCTATCGTCAAAGACTTCCTCTTCGGTCGCATGTGCTGATCAAATCATCCTATCTTCATTGGGTCATGGTGGGCATTTCCTTTACCATTTCGCATTGTATTGTACAATATTTATTCACATTTCGAGCTAATACCGACATTGAAACAAGCTCGAGTATGAAGTCTTGAAAATCCTCAGCACTGGACATGTCTCTTTCGAATATTCCAATTCACAGTGAAACATGCTACATAGAAAAGAACAAAACCTACATCATTATGGCAACAGCAAGCAAACGCCATGAGGGTACGGTTAAAACATAGACAGAAAGTTCAAAAGTACATAAATAATCTTCAAGAAAACAGAACAATGACGCCCACACTAAGGTACAAAGATCCCAGCAAGAACACGAGGCCGAGCAATTAGAACAAAACGCCTGTAGTATGCTGAAGTGTCCGCGCTGACATAGCAACAAAAGGGAGATGATTAACCCGCACAAGGAGAATAGTATACAACAAGTTCCTCGTCAAACCCCTTCCCCTTAGCCTGTTCCACAGAACCACCCTTCTTACGACGCGAGGTGACAACCCTACCACCAGCCTTGGTCTTCCGAGTTGAGACAAAAGCATGAACATCAGCCCGGAATATCTTCCTCAGGCTGATATTAGCCATATGCGTCATAGCCAGCACATGTCGGAGGCTGGGTATGCCAGAAGGGAAAACAAGATAAAGATCCGAGTCCTGACTAGCATCCGGATAGAATTTGTCATGATATGCCTTCTTTCCGCCGATGGGTAGACGGTGGAAAGCATGTCCGTACAATCCACGTGTAATCTTTTTACAGGGCGACGGCATGCCGCTGACATCTTCGAGGGTGAGTGATTGCAGCGGTTCGATACCAAGACCGAGGTATGAAACTCCTGCGCGTCGGAGGAGAGCCATTGCCATTATGAGGAGGAGGTCGCTTATTCCGGTTATGCTGCCTGGGGCTGCGATGCATGGATCGACATGGTAACCGCCAGAGCCGAGGCGTCGAAGACCGGCGAAACCGTTGACTTTTCCGTCTGGGGTGCGGGTGTAGATGAAGGTCATTAGAGCGGGGAGGGCGAAGGGGTCGTAGACGGTTATGAAGGCCTGGGGGCTGGCCGAGGCATTGCGCTCGGCTCGCCAGGCATCATAAAGACTGACTAGGTTGGATTCTAGTTGTTGGTTTGTGCCATGAACGGCGGGGGCGTAAACGCCCATGGTGATTCCGCCTTTCTTTTTGTTCGTGAGCTGACGGCTTTTCGTTAAGATGCGTCTTCCGTTGTTCTCGAGGATCACGTCGTTTGTCTGAGGATTGAGTACGCGTTCTGTGGCATAGCGAATTGTCGTCCAACCATTTGGTTTGGCGTGGTCTTTGAGGAAGGACTCGCTGACGCCCATGAATGCTATGCTCAAGTGATGTTTTTGTCGGTAGGTCGCAAATTCGGATAAGAGTTCGGTAATTTCGTCTTTATTGCATAAGGGATCTCCGCCGATGACTGCCACCCCGCTCCGGACCTTGAATGACAATGCTGCCGTTCTTGATTTGTTCACAAAGAATCGGTAGCTGTGATCGAGGATTCCCATCTGCGCAACTCCACCATGTCGTGCCGTGATTTGTTGGATGGCTGTTATTGTTTTGGCATCCTCCAGTTTGAATACCGCATCCTGTTCTGGGATTTCGATTTCCGCTTGAAGGGAATCGGTGCTTGGTTGGATAACATCGACCTTGCTTGTTACCTGCGACGGAATGATGAAGGGTACATGACTGTTCATACTCATCGCCGGGCTGGAGTCGGTTGCTGTGTGAAAGCTTTCTGAACTAGAAGAAGAAGGTATCGCAGCATGTGCTGTGATCTTGTTGCGCAAATGATCCATGAGGGCAATCGACGAGTCACCACTCTTGTCATCAATTTTACCGTTGGGATATTCGTAGAGTTGATCAACCAAGGCATCCCCTATCTCCTCCACGAGTAAGGTCTTCCTTTTGTTTGTTTTCACCGCGACAGGACCCGGGGTGTTCCCTTTGCATGCGCGGCGTGATCGCTTTTTCTTGACTGTTGCGAACGCTTCGTTAGATTCGGTAGCTGCGGTCATGGTGATGAAAGGGACGTGTCTGGTGTCAGAAACTGAAATCGTCAATGCAAGGCCATGTTGAAGACCATTATAACCAAAACAAACCAAAAATAGTGAATCAGAAATTTGTCGGGACTTTGTCGGGGCCGACATCAAAAACGGCGAGGACCAACCGTTGAGAGGTATGACATAGTACTTGCCTGAGGTACGCACGCAGGTACACATGTATAATCCATGGGATGTACATAATGCTCACCTCATCAGGCAGAGACATTTTCAACTGTTCCCTGGAATTCAGTGTTACCAGACTCTGTGTCCGAGTGTATAGATCAAGTTGACCAATCATTGTACAGTATTGTAATGATCTACCGGTACCAGCCTTGTGGATCAGCCGTTCATCCTATCACAATTTAACACGACGGGAGGTTTCCATGGTTGATAAAAAGCTTGAATAAAATGTTCAAGTTGTCCTTTTTATCTTCACAACGTGACCTTTAACCATGAAGAGCTTCAACGCACGTGGATCCCTCTAATTCTCGTTGCACGTGAATCAAAAGAAAATGATCACCCCCCTGAATATGCCAAATACGGTTAGGCCAATATACAAATATTACAAGCTAACGGCTTAGGTTCTAACTTGGAAGTTCAGTTACTGAACCGTAAGGAATATGGTAAAGAAGTTTTTACGAAAACAAAAATGACTGGATTATTTCAATTCCTGCAACACATCCATTGTCGTTGTCACTGTCACCATGCCCTTCATCCTAAGAAGCCCATATCATTGATCAAATCTGCATACCCTCCCCCTAAACATCCCTAAGCATTCGTTGGGTCTGGCGCTCCATATGCATGCCGACCTGCTGTTCCTAAATCTCTAAATTAGTATTCAAGTATCTAGAGTAGCATGTTTTGACTGCTCACAATCCGTTGCATCCAGGCTTGCGTGGGAGCTGGCTCTGGATTGTTCGACACGTCATGATCATTCGCGGTACGAGGCACAATGTAATCGCGCTGGTTGTTGTATCCCGTTGCAGAGCTGCTTCTGTCGTTGCCTGAGGCGGACGGCTGGGCTCCCTTCTTGGTGCTGCTGACTGTAATATTGACTGTGCTGCTGATGGTAATGGGATTTGCTCCGGTATTAGTGACGGTGATAATGTTGTCACTGGTGTTATCACCGGTGTGGTTGACTGTGGTATCACCAGTGCGCCTTTTAGCAGTGATGTTGTCTATACCCTCACTTTTGGGCTCGGTAGCAGGCTTGGCAGTTTGCTCCCCATAGTCCATAGTAGGGTCCACAGGGGCTGCGGTGTCGGGCTCGGTGGCATCCATGGTAGCAGCAGCGAGGGTCTGGGGCACGGTCAAGCGAGGGATTTCTTGCTTGATTTCCTTAGTATCGTCTGGGCAGTTTCTATCAGGTTTATGAGACCTTCGATTCGAAGCCATGATGGAATGTAGTGGCAGAACGAAATCACAAGTTGATGGATGAGGAGTGAGGAGACGTCAGAAAGTGGAAAACAAAAGAAGATAGTGAAAACATGGGAACACGATCAGATGAGCTATTAACTGAACTATATGAGTTCAGTTGGTTTGCTGGAAGCTGATTTCTTCCCAAATTTAGTACTTGCAGGGTAGGAAGATTGTAAATACCCAACGATTGCCACATTTTGATTACATTATACCCCTTCTCCGGTGCTTATAAAACTAACAGGCCTCGCTGTCGCTGTCGCAACACAATGTTTTATCTTTATACTGTTTGGCAGAGGAGCATATCCGCTAGGCTTGAAATGACTAGCGCACCCATTTACACGCTAATCTCTCTTGGGAAACTGACATCCCGCATCGATTTCGACATGTCTGCCCACTTCAGTGTCTCACGTCTCTTCGTTCGAACATTCATCTTTACTGTTTATATTCTTGTACATTACAATAACCCCAAAAATGATCACAAATCGTCCGGCTACCCTTTCTGATATCCCCCAAGTTCGGGATATCAACCACTGGTACATTGTTAACAGCTGTTCCACTTTTGCCACTACCCCACCACCGATATCCCACTATGAGGACATTCTTCGTGATTTGATGAGAAGAAACCTACCATTTTATGTGATTGTGTCTGACACGCGGAAGACACCAGACGGAGCAGATTTAATTCTTGGCTACGCTTACTTGTCTCCCTTCCGTGGTCATTTGTTGTCCTATGCACCGACCGTTGAGCTGTCTATCTTCATGCGCTATGATCAGCAGCAATATGGCTATGGAACCATTATTCTTAGAAAGCTCTTGCGTCTGGTGCAGGAGGGTGAAGTTGAGCACCGCTGCGAGGAAAGAGTGGGCGATATCCCACGGATCGGATTTGGTAGCTCCATGGGTGTCATGAAGACCTCTCTCGTTCAGAATGTCATTGCGATCATACCCTATGACACTGAAGATCCAGCTGATGGAGAGAGATTGAGGAAATGGTACATGAAATGGGGATTTGTCGAGAAAGGGCAACTGGAGAATGTTGGGAGAAAGATGGGTCATTGGTGAGTAACTTATCATACGGTTAGACTGATGGATTTGTTCAACTGATGGCTCTTTTTAGGATCGATACTGTGTATCTTCAATGGACAATTCCAGAGGAAACGGCATAATGACATGGAGTCAGCCAACATTATCTGAGTCAATGGACAACAAAACAGCTTGAACACAGATGAGAGTGAATATTCATATTCAGGGACTAGGGCAGCCTGTTTCTCAGATACCCCAAATGCATGACCCATGGCCAGCGTAGTTTCCCCATAAAAGCTCCATATAAATCAGCCCCATATTGACAGATCGATTATCCACTCACTTTCTTCGGCTTTAATCCCCTCGATCCAGACGAGGGGGAGGTCCGAAAGAACCGAGGGTAGTCACACTAGAAGGCAGAATGAGGCCACAAGGAATCCAAGAAGATGATATTGGGTCTCTGGGGATGGAAAAACGACGTATCAGTAATTGCATGGTATTCCTACAGGATACACTCTTTTCTTATCCACGCTCTACTATCTTTCCTTAGATTTGATGCCTTCGGGGGAGGGTCCTAAGCGACCCCCGGAGCACTCCCATTACCACGCTTTTGTAATAAACAAAGAAATTGAATAAAAAGTGAGAGGACAGTAAATGCGCAAAGATCGAGGAGAAAAAACAACCTACCAACCTTTTAGGAAGGGGCTGGTTACCCAAAGTCGCAAGAGCGGTCATCGAACTTCTCATAAGCATGCGAGATGTAGCATCACGTTTATCGTTCTGGTAGTTGATACAATGGCCTAGTCCGACATATGATCGGTCGTACCACGTTAGCCGGTGGCGGCTTTCGTAGTTCTTTGTGTGTCCAGTCCTTTTGAACGTGAAAGATCATTACACTGAAGCCTGCATCTTTAGATACGTCTATTTCAGCGTAAAATTGTTCGTTGTGTGTCAAAGCTTCTTTCATTGTTTTCCGCAGGTTTTGGAAACTAGTGAGCTCCTCTTGTGTAGGTGGGTTCAGCATCGTTCTCATGGCAAAGTTCCTTCGGGTAATCCCCTTGGATGGGCCATTTTTCAGGAGTGCTATCTTTCTAGCTTGAAGCGCTTTAGTGATCTGCGCGTGTCATAGAATGTAGTTCCTGAAATATCCTGCTAGGCCTAAATAAGTTTCCAGTTGTTTCAGATGATGGTGGCCAATGAGAGAAAAGAGGTTGAGATTTGAAAGAGCGAGCTATATATGGCTTTCCAGAATTTGGGGTCTGAGATCTCGGATAGCTTTTACGTGTTTATGATGGCGATTCAGAAGGAAAAATAAGAAAAATTATTTGAGTGAGGAACTGTGGTTGGAAGAGACGCGACATTATAAGACGATGCTAGACTGGCTTACTGCCTTTTCAAAATTCAATCATCGGACTTTCCATCGCCAATCACCACTGTTTCACTAGTTCCTTCTTCTTTGGCGCGCTGCACAGTCTCAGAATACTTTTTTCCAGCGATGAGCCACCAAGCAAGCTCAATGAATAAAAACCCGCCTACAACAACACATGTATAGTTCATGTTTGTAACTGTGTGAATGTTAGCACATGTCTTGGGCAAAAGATGAGAGAATCATGGAAGATTGCAGCACATACCGGTTACAGGCTTCTGGTACGGGAACGAGAAAAAGACGATGGCAAACACCAGCCACGCCAGGGAAACGATGTTCACGGTCATTCCCAACGTCTGACCCATGAAGAACGGACCACGGTGCATAGTTCGACGGAACAAGAGAACGTTCGTCAGAATTGGCACAAGGTAGGCAAAATTGTTGATTGTCCTATATCCATGTCAGTATTACGCCCATGCTACTTCTTGGTAGTACATGGAAAACCTACACGGCAGAACTCATCATTGCATTGAATGCTGTGCTTGATCCCAAGTAGATGCAGCCAAGAAGGCCGACGATCACGGTAACACAGAGCTGTGCATTGAATGGCGAGCCCAGCTTGGGGTGGACTCGGGCCCAGATCTTCGATAAAGGCAGGCCATCATCACGGGCAAATGCCCAGAATACTCGCCCAGTACCTATATGAGTCAGAATGGGATTGGACTTCAGGGATTGACAAGTACTACTTACTCAACTGTGAACCGATGACGCAGGGCCCAAGAGCAACCCACACCATGAATACCAGTGCGAAAGCTCCACCTCTTGTAGATGTTGCTTGCCAAAAGAGCTCAGCAAGAGGAAGACCAGTATGTGTGTTAGCCAAAGTGTCGTAATCCTGAACTGAATACATCAGGCTGAGCAGATATGATAGTCCGGTCACGAACGCAATTGACAAGGTTATAGCTATTGATTCATACAGTTAGCCAAGTTGTCGATGCAAGCAACCCGACCGGTGAACTAACCTAATCCCAGAGGGGCATTTCTTCCAGGCTATAAAAAACTGGTTAGTACAACACATAAGATTATGTGTCTCTGATCCGCCTTAACTTACATTGGGCATTTCTTCCGTGATGTGCTAAGGTATGGTTAGTTGATTCATTCACCTGGGCACCTGGCCAGTGGGTACGGCTTACCGAAATTCCATCGAGACCTCCAAGTGAGTACATTGGATTTACCAGTCCAGTGATAAAGCAGATAACATTGTTGTCCCAGCCAGTGTTGTTGATCCAGGTACGGAACACAAACTTGCTGTCATTGTGAACTGGGGCTTTCGCAGCCACAACCACCATGGTAACAAACCAGGCCAATTGCAGGTAGACCACTAACACCCGTTAATTGCTGAGTTAGACAGGGAAGAAAAAGCCGACGTACATGAAAACTTGTTGAGCGTCGGAATCAACCGATTTCCGAACATGACAACGCCTGCAGTCACGAGATTGAGGATTTGATATGCGACGAAAGTCATCCACGGGAGAACCACCAGGTTATCATGATAAAGAGCAATCAACGCCATGGTGGTTGTAGCATAAATCAAATTGGTTGATGCAGTTGTGAATATCCCTATGCTTCATCAGCTCCATGCCAAGACTTTTGATGTTGGGGCCGAACCCACATCCGAACACAGTGCACCAGCCAGTGGCAAAGCTGAGCAAGCTATTATATCGTTTGGGGGCAATCGCAGCAATCCAATGATACATTCCTCCTTCTGTGGGGTATGCCGATACAAATTCTGCTAGGGAAGCGCCGACGAAACATTGAAGGATAAAAACGAGGATGAAGCCATATATCACTAGAGCTCGGTTATTAACTAACTTCTTTGCGATCGGTATGGAATAGAAACTCACGGGCGCCAGGACCCCCTGCATTAATCGCAGTCATTAAACCCAAGCCGAGACCTATAATTATGTCAGTTGAGTGGTCAGCGATTGCAGGATCCCAACTCACCTGTCCATGAAATAGTACAATTCGCCGCCAGTCCAATCAAACTCCAAAGCGAGAAATGGCGCTGCAACTCCTGTTTATGCCCTGCGTCGCCATTAATATCATAATTCCCAGCACGGAATCCGAAGCCTACCCATCTGGGCCAACCGCAGCTCATCCTCATTCTGCACCTTGATAAACTCGGTTCTTTTCCTATCCCCATACTCGCCAACCGACGCCGAGGCAGCGGTAATTTCAGGACCGCTCATGATTGACACAGAATTGTATATCGCTCACGGCAGGTAAATGTCGCGAAAAGAGAAAACACGGGGTACATGCGACTAATAAATCCTCCGCAACGTAAGTACGGTCATGCTACTGCGTGACGATCCTCCAGGTCTTATCGCAGCCCGGGAAACCTGAAGGAATCCCGATTTCGCCGACGAGATAGCCGGGGAATGCGGGAGATACGACGTATCAGCGTGTAGAATTTCCGCCAAGACTCGTGGCGCCCCGCCGGTTATCGCGAGGTTTGCCGGTGCAGAGTGTGGGGGATGGCGGGAATCCGCTCTAATGTAGCTTTATGCACCATGCCGTTGCAACGCCATTTGTGCTTGGCGAATTATAAGCTTGCGCCAAGTTCATGTGACATGCTTGCGTTAGGGTGCTTTAGATTAACTGAAATTTATCTTTTTGGAATATGCCCGGCTTCCACCTCGGGAAAAGCTTACAGCTCTACAGGTGGAAGGTTGTGACCGCATAATCGATAATATAACGACAGTTACAGGGGTTACTGCGCAGTTTAGGAATGGCGTAGCACACGAGCAAGCTTAATGCCATGTGGTATGTGGTCCCACCTGTGGGCCCGACAATCTACGAGTAAGCGCGTAGTTCTCGCTGGACGATACTACCTACTCACGATAAGCGACGATATCGTTTAAAATATCCACCTTGGCATGGATGACTACTTCATGTACGAAATAGGTAAGCGCGCAATTTGCTTCCAATCGAGCTCGGAATTCCCCAGCCCCTGAAGTACGGAGTATATAAATGCGATTCCATGGTACATCCATGGTGCGATTATGGTACGATGGTGATATGTCCATGGTACAGATACAATTTACTTTCCGCCCAGTGTACAACTATAGGAACTACAAGTGTGTCTTGCGAATATGCTAGAATAACATATACGATAAGCTCATTGCTTTCTCAAATCACCCAAAAAAAGCCCGAGCTCCGACTCGATCTCGATTATGTGGACTCGTTGGAAATAATTAGGTTGGACCGCCAGTATCTGGCTAGCCTGCTATTAGAAGACCACCCACCCATGGGGCTGCAACGGCGCTCATTGCATAGATAATAGTGAGCAGTCTGTTCGCGAGCCCTCCACCGACCAGGGCCCCATTAAAGCCCATCTCGATGCTGACAAAGCGGCCACTGTAATTGCTCTATTACGGTCTTCCACTGATCGCATGAAGTTCAAACTCAAAATATCATTTCACAACAGCTGTATGGGTATAAATTTCTATTTTTAGGCGAAATCTGATCGGCGCAAGTCGAAACATTGCAGAAAATGTGAAATTTGATATCTTGGTATCAAATATATATTTGGGATTTGTATAGGAGGATTAGCACTTTTTAGGTACCTACATATAATTTCGAAGTCATTTAAAGCAACGCGGTTTTGCGTTTTGAAACGTGATATAGAAATGTAACTAGAAACCAAAGCCAAAACATTTGAATTAATAAAATATTACCTTAGGTATGATAGTAAGAAACGGTGCTAAACATAGGTAATTAAAAGAACTAAAAAAGGGGTTCAACTTTACTTGGCATCTCAATTTCTCGGCATATTTGTATTGTTTGGTGCCTATTGAAAGCCCATTGGGCTTTCCTTGGGCTTTGGGCTCTATAGGCTTTGCAGAGGTCTACTCGCTGGTCATCGCGTGCAGCGCTTGATTTGGGGTTTCTGGCTAGGGCCGAAATGATTCCTGGGAAGATGGTAGTTCCGCCTCAGGGCTACCAGAAGGCTCGTGAGATGTCCGCCAATCTGATTCCCTGTCCTAGCCCCTAAAGTCACCTGATGGTGAACCTGACGGGGTGAGCCTTTCAGCTCAGAATTGGAAGACTCTCCACCACAAGCTACTGACAACGCAGGCAACCATCACTATGGTATCAACGTCTTATTATGGGGTTGATGATGGAACACAAATCGGTAATAACCATGACAAAATCATGACACACTGTCATCTGTCCAAGCGACCAAAGACCTCCCAATATGACGGTTTGCCTGCCCCACGACACGATCAGTACACCATTGCTTGGATTTGCGCGTTGTACATAGAAATGGCCGCAGCTCGGGCTATGCTGGACGAGTTTCATGAAGCCTTGCCTACCCATGCGGACGATAAGAACACCTACGTATTAGGAGACATCAATCGGCATAATGTTGTCATTGCGTGTTTACCAGAAGGGCAGTATGGAACAAACAACGCAGCGATCGTCATGACCAACATGAAACAGACGTTCCCAGCGATCCGTGCATGTTTGATGGTTGGGATTGGCGGCGGTGTGCCAAGCAAGGCTGATGTACGCTTGGGTGATATTGTCGTCGGAACAAGAGTGATGCAGTGTGATCTTGGGAAAACTCTTGGAGATGGACAACTCCAACGAACGGCGATTCCTAGAATTCCTCATCAATTGCTCGGTACGGCTGTGTCTTCTGTCCGCTCGAAGCATGAACTAGGTCCTAGCCGAGTCTTATCTATCTTACAACAAAAGTTAGAAGGACAGCCCTCGTACTCTCGCCCGATCTCACCGGATCGTCTGTTTCATGCGACATATGATCATGAATCTCTAACTGGTAGCTGTGACGAGTGCGACCACTCAAAGCTGGTCCCACGAAGCAGCCGGGTTTCGGCCGAAGTAAAGATCCATTATGGCGCAATTGCCTCAGGTATCCAAGTCATGAGGAATGGCACAACACGGGACAAGTTTGCTCGACAGCTAGATGTCATATGTTTTGAGATGGAAAGTGCTGGTCTGATGGATATCCTCCCGTGTCTTCCAATTCGGGGAATCTGCGACTATTCAGACTCTCACAAAAGCAAAGAATGGCAGAGATATGCAGCAGCAACTGCTGCCGCATACGCAAGGGAATTGCTTGAGGAGTTACCGGTGACCGAATCGCATGCAAGCATTGCCTTCAAGACTGATTCTTGTAAGAATGCATACCAGTCTTAGGAAAATCCTTAAGACCACTGCTCACACTAGACTTATAGATCAATGTTTATCGCACGAACACCGGCAGCGCTTGTTAAATTCTTTCAAGTTCGAGCAAATGGATTCCCGAAGAATGACCATCAAACAAGAACAGAAAAAAACGTGTCGCTGGTTTCTCAAACATCCTTTTTATAAAGCATGGCTTGATCCCGCAAGTATGGCGCAACATCACGGTCTTTTGTGGATCAGTGGTAAGCCCGGTGCAGGTAAGTCGACAATAATGAAGTTTGCGTACTCAAGCATGAAGGCCAAGGCCGGTAATAAGCATGCCATCGCTGCTTCCTTGAAGTCTGCGTACTCAAGCATGAAGGCCAAGGCCCGTAATAAGCATGCCATCACTGCTTCCTTCTTCTTCAACGCTCGGGGTGATGGCTTGGAAAAGTCGATCTCTGGAATGTATCGATCATTACTGCTTCAATTGCTTGAAGGGTACCCCGACCTTCAGGCTGTTTTGGACGATTTTGATCTAGGTCCACCCCAAAAAGATGGTTGCCCTCCCTTGAATGTTCTGAAGGACCTATTTGCCAATGCGGTTTGCACTATCGGTCAACGCTCGTTTACCTGCTTTGTCGATGCTCTCGACGAGTGTGATGAACAACAAGTTGTGGAGATGGTCCAGTACTTCGAAGAGCTAGCCGAAAGATCTACGGCAAAGGGGGTCCAATTTAGGACCTGCTTTTCGAGTCGACACTATCCCTATATCGTCATTCATCGGGGTATCCAACTTACACTAGAGGATCAACCAGGCCATGCGGAAGACTTGGCAACCTACGTCACAAGCCGCCTCCTAATCAAAGAGCCCAGGCTTGTCAAAGAGCTACAACCGCAACTCCTCGGTAAAGCTGCTGGGGTTTTCATGTGGGTTGTCTTGGTTGTTGATATTCTCAACAAGGAGTACCGCCGCGGTGGAATGGCTCTTAGAATGAGACTCGCGGAAATACCGAGTGATCTCAGCGACCTATTCAAAGATATTTTAGGACGTGACAATGAAAATATAGAAGCCCTCCTGCTTTCTATTCTCTGGATTCTGTACGCAAAGGATCCTTTACGACCGCAGGAGTTCTATCATGCCCTCTGGTCTGGTTTGTCTCTGAAGGACTTAGTCAATAGTCAAATTCCGGACGTCACCGTCCTAGGTACTGGTGAGTCGGATGACACGGTTAGCAGATATGTCATTAGCTCCTCAAAAGGACTTGCCGAGATCACAAAATCTAGCCAGCCTCGAGTTCAATTCATCCATGAATCTGTCCAAGACTTCCTCATCAAGGACATCGGCCTGTCCAAATTGTGGCCTGAGCTTGCATTTGACTGCGAGAGCCTAGGTCATGAGAGACTCAAACAATGCTGCAGCCTCTATACGAATCATCCCTTGATCCGTACATATGTTGACAGGCTGCTGTCAGAGCCTGACTCCAACGACCGGAAGGAAATCTCAAATGATTACCCCTTCTTAGAGTATGCCAGTGAGAATATCCTCTACCATGCCAACGCAGCGGCGAAAGCTGTTCCCCAAGAGGCATTTCTGACCTCTTTCCCCGTCTCTAACTGGATCAAAACCAACAATCTCTTCGAAAAGTTCAACTATCGGAAATATACCATGAATGCGAGTCTATTTTATATTCTAGCAGATAAGGGATGCCCGGAGCTCATCCGGGCAAGGCTCAAAGAGGATTCGCAAATTCATGTTTTTGGGGAGAGACATAACTACCCATTCTTTGCTGCATTGGCTAATGGCCACAAAGACGCTGTTGCTGCTCTTTTAAACTCATCTAATGGTGTTGACATTACAGAGGGCCTCAATCATTGGAAGGATTTGAAAGAATACGGAAATCGAACACCCCTATCTTGGGCTGCCCAGAGTGGTCGCGCACCAATTGTCCAACTACTGATGCAATCGAGACCGAGCGTAGGTGAAATGGATAGAAGAGAGCGGACACCACTTTTACGTGCCTCGGTACATGGCCACGAGGCGGTGGTGAGGCTTCTTATCGAGAACGGAGCCAATGTCAACGCTAGCAACAAAGTTGAGCGGACACCACTTTCACAAGCCTCATCAAAAGGCCACGAGGCGGTGGTGAGGCTTCTCATCGAGAACGGAGCCAATGTTAACGTTGGCAACAAACATGGATGGATACCGCTTAAATGGGCTGCGTTTAATGGCCACGAGGCGGTGGTGAGGCTTCTTATCGAGAACGGAGCTAATGTTAACGTTAGCGACAAAGGTAGAGGGACACCGCTCGAATGGGCTTCGTTAGAGGGCCACGAGGCGGTGATGAGGCTTTTCATCGAGAAAGGAGCCAATGTCAACGTTGTCGATAAATTTGGACGGACACCGCTTTTACGTGCTTCATTAAAAGGCCACGAGGCGGCGGTGAAGCTTCTCATCGAGAACGGAGCCGATGTTAACCTTAGCGACAAAGATAGACGGACACCGCTTGAATGGGCTTCGTTAAAAGGCCACGAGGCGGTGGTGAGGCTTCTCATGGAAAACGGAGCTCAAGCCGAGCGGCAAACTAGTAAGCAGACTCAGACTTCCATTTTCACTCCCTCTTCTCTATCCTAGTCTCCCAGCCCCTATTCCCCGTCATTGGACATCTCGACTTTCCTTTATGAAAAGACATATATCTAACAGTTGAATTTGATAGTCTGATACTGGAAAGGATCTTGATCAAGATGGGATATAAGAACACCAAGTTGGACATCAAAAATTTTCGTGTGGAACCTCGATCGTCCATTGCAATATATATTGCCTTTCCTACGCTTAGCCATTTGGTCCATACCTGATTCTACCTTAAGATCCGTTGGCTGTCTATCATATCACGAATAAGATGTACATATGAGAGGGGAAACCTCGGTATCTAGATTTCTGAGGCCCATACCGCATCTAAATTAGCATGTTCCCTATGACTCAGGAGATAATCCAAAAGAGTACGGGGTGGTACGGACATTTCTCAGCATATTTGTATCGCTTGGTGCCTATTGGCCAATTTAGCCCCCATTGAAAGCCCAGTGTGCTTTTACCCTGTAACCAAAGCCCGCCGGTGTGGCCGAAGATAGGGCCCAAAACCCAGCCCATTAGTGGGTTGGGCTGTGCTAGGTTGTGGGCTTCATGGGATTTGTGGAGGTCTACTCGTACTTGTTAAAGCTCCCGTATTAGTTTTAATAAAGCTAGATCTTGTGTCTGGTTGATTTCGCGATAGAAATTGCAGCTACTTGTTGTTTTGATACATTTTGTACACAAGACGGGGACCTAGATACATAGGTGGAAACGCGCCGTATAAAAAGGGAAAGCAGTAAGAAAAGCAGTGAGGAAAGCGGCCAGGTAGGGAGTGGCTGTGTCAATTCCCTTTTTATATGATAGTATAGCTGCGAGTTTAATGATAGAGAGTGGTCGAAGTATGTACTGTCATATAGTCAAGGAAAGATGGCGAGAAGGCTCAGGACTCTTGCGAAGTACGGAGTATACGTGACTTAGTTAGAAATAACCCAGTCAAATAGACACAATTTGGAAATGGTTGGCCTGGTGCCTCGTTACTGTCGAAAGTATACTTATCGTCGCTGGCGTCGTTAATATGCATCGTTCCGCCTGATGTAGTGTACTTTATCATTGCACGGCACGTTTAGTTAGCGCTGTGTTGCAATCACATATAATCCCGCTCTATCCAGCTTGGTGGTGAACATGGTCTAGTGAACATGATAGTGATGTGACTGTTCTTGTGACCAATCATAGCCCACTGTTAACCGCTAGACTTGTGCGCCCTAACAGGGGCAGAGGACGCTAGGCAACTGACCGGCTCACGATGTTCTGCCATCACACAAAAGGTCCGAACCTCGCTCTTACACACGATTTTTCACTTTCTAAGGATATCAGCTCAGCAAAAATGATGAGGTTGAGAAATGGCCCTGCTCAAACGGTTGTCGCCCACCCAGCGGGCGCTCAGCGGCACGGACCGCAGCGACAGCCCACTTCTCAAGGAACCAGAAAGCCCCCGCTTAGGGCCACAGTTGCTAAACCACGATGAAGTTCCCTCGTGGTATGGCCACAATCCATATATACACACAAATTATAGGCCAGTGATACCGTCAATATCTCGGTGCATTAGCAGCCTGCTGTACCTTCACAACGAAACTGTGAATGTTTATTCCCATCTCATTCCGGCCATCATAGCCTTGCTGGGCAATGGTATACTCCATTTTTATTTCTCCACATCTTTTCCGGACGCGACCTGGGCCGATCGACTTGTTTTTCACATTTACTTGACAACTTCGGTCATTTGTTTTGGTATCTCATCGGTATACCATACATTTCTTTGTCATTCCGCCCATTTTACTGATCTATGGGGTCGCTTGGACTATGTTGCTATTATATTCCAAATACTTGGTTCGTTTATTTCAGGGATATATATTGGATTTTATTGTGAACCTCATTTACAAAGGGTTTATTGGTCAATGGTTTGTTGACAGTTCCCCAACCTCCCTCCCTCCATCGGTCAAACTAACTTTGTCATGTACAGATCGGCATTCTTGGCTTCTTGACTGGATTTGTGGTGGTGCATCCACAACTGCAAAGCCAAAAGTGGAGATTATTGCGATTATCGTCCTTTGTCGCGACGGGACTTTCAGCATTCGCTCCTATTATCCACGCTGCTAGTATCTTCCCTTATGAGCAACTGGATCAACAAGCCGGACTACGATATTACTATATCGAAGGGCTAGTCATCGTGATTGGAGTATTGTTTTACGCGGTGCGTTAATTTCCGTTAATTTCCCACAATGGGTTTATGGTGGATCTTGCTGATTGGTGGCAGACACATTTCCCGGAGTCTTGGAGACCGGGAAACTTTGACATTTGGGGGTCATCCCACCAAATATTCCACGTTTCTGTGGTAATTGGGGCAATTGTTCACTTGTATGGGATCTTGGTCGCTTTTCAGTGGAATTATGAGAATCAGCGATGCACAACTTGAGATATTATCAGGTATACACATATGTTGCATGACCTTCTAAATTTGCTAAGGAGGTCGGGTGTATCCGGCCATTGTTTCAACGGTGTACTTATGTCAAAGGGTATTATAGCTGATCAACTGCCAAATTTGGGACATACAGGCCGAGTGTCGGGAAGATCTGTCATTTCCACTTGCCACGTTTTTTCTCTTCTAGTCCAAAACCCAAAATGGAGGAGAAAATTGCTGTTGTGAGTTATTAAACTGCAGTTTGTAGTCTGATATCTAATACAATTGATAGGACGCAGATTTCTATGTTCTGACCCAGGACTGGGAACCCCAGGACTTTCAGTCGTGAGTTGTCATGATTCCCATGGCGTTCTGCCTTTTAACCGTCCTAGGGAGACCACATCTATCGCCTCGTCAATTGCGAAGGGTCGATTGGAAAATGGAAGACGGTGAGTAAATAGAAGCAGTGAATATGTGATTCTTACTAATAGTCCGCGCAGATACCAGTCTATGAAGGATCATGACTATTGGTCGGTCGCGATGCTTCAATGTGGGAGACTAGGGTCTAATGTCATGCAGGAGTCCTTCCGACGAGCAACAATTTGAGGCTTTTGAGATTGGGTAAATATCCCCCCTCCTCCCGTCTGGTCTCATAGCTGATGAGTGGTATCAGTCACATGGTGTTTCTAGTATTGGAAAATGAACGAGAAAACCCCCTCCATCACTCCCCTATCGGCAATTCTCCTAAGGTGAGAGAGCGATCTATATTTTGAATATTCATCGTTTACTAATAGTAAATTCCAGCACATTTTAGACATTGGGACCGGTAAAGGAACATGGGCTATGTAAGTTCCCACCCATTCTCTTCGGTGGAATATTGCTTACATCTACCTAGTGATATGGCGGACGCATATCCATCTGGTACATACCTATATTTCCCTCTCTCCTAATGTATTAGTCTAACAAATGTTAGCTACTGTCCGTGGCGTTGACGTCTTTCCCCCTCCCGTGACATGGATGCCACCCAACTGCCTACTGGAAGTTGACGATATCCTCCGCGACTGGACCTGGAGAGACCCATTCGACTTTATCCACATGCGTCTAATGCTAGGAGCATTCACAGGAGATGAATGGGATCAATTATACAAACAGTGCTATGAGTGAGTATCTGATCCGCCCTTTCCCCCTAACTCCCGAAAACAGGTTCTAACCATTACCCTTCTAGCGCTCTCACCCCAGGTGGCTGGATCGAACAGATCGAGCTAGACGTCCGAGTACACAGTGATGATGACACCCTGCAAAAAGACGGCGTTCTAGCTTCATGGGGAGATAATTTTATCGGCTGCTCCGAGCGAGCCGGCCGCTCCCTCCTAACGCAGGAGACAATGCGAGGCGCAATAGAGAAAGCTGGCTTTGTCGATGTGCAAGAAAAGCTATATAAGATTCCTTTGGGACCGTGGCCGAAAGATAAGGTTCTCAAGGAGGCTGGTCAGCTTCAATACGCTCACTGGGTTGCTGCCTTGGAGGGATGGGCTATGTGGCTGCTCACTAAGCATGGTGCGCCGACGCCTTGGACTCAGGCAGAGGTCCAGGTTTACTTGTCGAAGGTTCGGGCGGAGTTGAGGAACCCTCGTACACATGCTTATGAATATGCGTGAGTTTCTGATATGAGTGATAACCGAGAGTATGTTCGCTGATCGTGTTTAGTCGCCGAGTTTGGGCTAGGAAGCCTACTGTGGAGGAGGAAATGGCTAATCTGGTTATTAAGTCCGAGACGCCCTCGGTGGAGCTTGGATCAGCCGTGGCGTCTTGAATCGGGCCGTTGTGTACTTCTGCATTTACGAGTATTGCCTTTGTGATGGTTATGTTTTGACTTATGTGCACCTGTCTCTTTCGGTCCTGTTAAGCATTAGGCTATGACATGACTTTATACACGGAGAGAGAAGGCATGATTATGTTGCAATTTATGAATCAATTTTTTACACTCCAACCGGGGGTGTCTGCTTCACAACCATCTGAGCAGCTTTCTCAAACTCAGCTTCTACAACCAAGTTCTCCAGCCCTGATTGTTCGACCTGCAATTTGAATTAGTCAACGCTATAACAGACGAACTGGGTTACCAACCATCTTCAATCCCTTTTCAAAATTAGTACCCTGCAACCGAACCACAACCGGACATTTGAAACCACCCATCTCAGTAGCAGCAGAAACAATCGCCTCGGCAATCATATCACATCGCACGATTCCTAGTACCGATCAGCTGACTCATTCCTCCACCGTGTATATACTCACCACCATAGATATTAATCAAGATCCCCTTAACTCTCTGATCATTCTTCAAAATTTCAAGCCCCCTCGACAAAGCCTCCTTCGTCGCCCCACCCCCGACATCCAAAAAGTTCGCACATTTCCCTCCATACAAACTAATAAGATCATTAGTCGCCATCGCCAACCCAGCCCCATTAACAATATTCCCAATATTTCCCTCAAGCCGCACATAAGAAACACCCAGCTTCCCCAACTGATATTCCTCCTCTTCATCCGGCGATCTCTCCTCCAACGCAAATATCTCCTGCTGTCTATACCGCGCCGCATTATCAAACCCAAACTTAGCGTCCAAGCAAATAAACTCGCCATCTTCCGTGCGCACGAGCGGATTCAACTCAACCAGCGTAGCATCTTTCTCCTTGAACAATTTGAGCATCTGCACCAGAATCCGGTGTATATCCTTCATCTCTGTATCGGAGAAACCAAGCTCAGCTTGGATATATGCATCAATCTCATCGGTGATACCTGTCGAGATTCCGAACCGGAGTTTGTGTAGCTTATCCACGTTCGATTCGATGTTCGTTCCACCCGATGAGGAAATCAGTAGAACTGGTGATGTATGCTGGCGATCGAATGTCATCGCTAGATAGAATTCCCGTGCGATGGATACGGCTTTGTAGACGTAGAGCTTGTCGACGCGGAGTCCGTCTGCGGGGGTTTGCGCTGTTGTTAGGTTGTACCCGATCATGTTTGTGGCGCTGTTGAAGGCTTCGTTTGGTCTGGTGGTGTTAGGGTTGGGTTCGGTTGTGTTTTGGTTGGGGATCTTACGAGTTGACCATGCGGACGCCGCTTTTGCCGTCGCTGTTGAATTTGCCTTTTCCGCGTCCGCCGGCTAGGACTTGGGCTTTTATCACGGATGGTCCGTCTGGGGGGGATGTTAGTTTGGGTGGGATGGGGATTATGGAGGGGAGTGTGTGGACTTACTGATCTCGGAGACAATATCCTTCGCTTGCTCTGGGGTTGTAACCAGGAATCCCGGTGGAACTGGTAGTTTGAACTGTCTTTTATTAGTATTGGGGGTTACCTTCAAGAAGGGATGTCTTACTTCTTTGAGTAGATTGTATGAGTGATGTTCGAGTAGACTTAGGTGTCGAACTTGGGCTCTGAGGGGCGCATGGTTCTGCGATCGTCAATGTATCATTCTAAATCACTGCTAGGAGCACATACCCGTTGGAAGGTACGGGCAATCGAACGCCAGGTAATCATCGTAGGTTATACACTTTTCATGCTAGGATGTCCAACGAAGGGGGTTAAAGGTTAGATATGTACATGTCTTAGTGAGATGACATCAAGATATCGATTTTAGCTAATTCCTGGGGTTGACTTTCCGAAAAGTTTATTTGATATAAAGTTGTTGCGTGATGATTTATCACCCGTTCTGAATGGCAACACAATATCTTGTGAGGGCCATTGGCTTAACGTAGTATCTTGTTGAATTTCCAAGGCTTTTCAGAATGACAGTTCTTAGTGTCTACGTGGATGATCTAAATTCTAATTTCATCCTCACGGAAATGGAACCCGAGGAATGGATAGCTTCTTTCAATAACGCTGGGTAGCCACGAAGAATGCGTTCACAGTCCGCAGATGTCGTAAAGAAGCTCTGGGTTTTCACTGGAATTCACAAAAGATGAACTCTTTTATTTCTAGATACGGATTCAATACGAGAGGGTAATACCTATGGCGGCTTTGTTCTCTAAGACTGGGGACTGACAAGTATCCACCTCGCTTAACTTCACCCAAGTATTTATAAGGCCCGAACTCAGGGGCAAGAACCTTACTATCATATGACACCACTAACCCAAGTACGTCCTAGCCTCAAGATCCGAGTAGACTTAGTGCTTGCCAAGCCAACTAGACTAGCAATTCGCCTAACTAGCGAGAGGGACGGATGAGATTATCGACTGAGAGCCAAGCCCTTTAAGCCTCATTCGATCATCCACAGGGCCGCTACTATTGATAGTAATTTAACTATCCAAATTCAGTCTGTGGCTGAAAAGCCACAGGACGCTGCACTAAATGCGCGCTGGCTGCACGAATATTCTCTCCTGAGAGACCATTTCTTTTCAAACTCAACAAGAATCGGAACTTCAATCAATTTCGCCATCATGACTACCGCATCCGTCTTTCACGGATACTGGACCTTTGAGAACTATGGTCCCATAACAACAACATTCACCCCCGCGCCCAGCTGTACCGCGACGGATCGACTCTCCCTCGCCTATATCGATCCTGATAGGGGAACCGTAGTCGAATTCCAAGTTGGCTGTCCTACACCAACAAGCGACTGGGATTGTATGCCGCCTGGCACCACCACGTCGGCAACTGTCTACGATGAGATCAAGTGGGTTGGTTCTGCTGGATACTACTCCCCAGGATTGCACTGTCCTTCCGGCTGGGAGACGATTGGGATGGCCGCGCGCAATGATAAGTCCCTGACTACTTCCGGATTCTTGACTACATCGGAGGATAAGATTCCGTACTTTGAAGAGCCTGTGACACTTCTGGCGAGTTTGTTAGAGCCGAGTCAGACGCTGGCGCTGTGTTGCCCTAGGTAAGTCAGCATCGTTCTTTACAACGAACTTCGACTAATTTATCCTCTAGCGCTATGACACCAAATGGTATCGGTCAATGTGTCGCTCAAGTCCCAACCTACAAGCCAAGCGCCGCTTGCAATGTCTATGTAAGCAGTGACTATAGTTGGGATACGGTAACCAGGACGGAGGTGCATTCCGGCGTCACGGAGACGAACACCTACGATGTGAACGTATTTCTGAGCGCGACTACCTCGACTAAGTCTACATCTATTCCTCATGAATTCCAGGATTTCTTGACGGCTCTCTCTTCTGCTCCCATGATTACTATGGTCCATCATCAGTCTGATCTGGAGGCAGCTGGGGTTACAGGCGGGTCTGTCAGTGCCGACTCCACTGGGGATAAGAGTGGAACTGGCACTGCTAGCTCTGAGGCTACGGGAACTGCTGCTTCTTCGTCGAACGTTGCGTATCGACTTGGTGGCAGAGCATCTGTCATGGATGGATGTGGTGCGATTATTGGGGGTTTCGCTGCTGCGGTGGCACTGGGTGTGACTATGATTATCCTGTAATAGATTGTTGTTGAGTTGAAGTTATTGAGGTAGACATGGGGATTTTATGTTAGCCAACCACCTGATGATAGGGCTGAGGTTATTTAGCATGCGCGATGCTTGTCGAGGTCTGAGAAAACGAGGAATGCCTATATTTCACATCCAAATTACTTGAATATCGGCGTTAGGCACCTTGTATAAAGGTAAATCGGAGATATATTTTGTAAGTTTGGCGTCAGTAATGTATAGTTTCAAGGGGTGTATCGGAATGCGCCGTTTGCCCAGCTGGGCAATGATGGAGTAATTCAGGCAACTGGTGTGTAGCAAATTGGAATATCCTTCTCATAGAGGACGACTAAAGGCAATGAATTGACGATTGTTCTTCGATTGGTTACCTTTATCAGGTACCCCATTGCGGAGTACTGTATCTATCTAAAGATATTAAGTAGATCATAGCTGTGTCAAGCATCTCCGGGTCTCCGGGTGCCTGCAGGCTCGAGTACTGAGTCTCACATGTGAATCCAACAGATGTGACCTCGACCTAGTAACAGGAATACTGAATATTGTGACTGTAGGCCGAGCTAGTGAGCCCATATTCAATCAATGGATAATTTGATCAAAGAATCGACTTCCAAAAATAATTCGCAGTTCGACAATATCAATGCCAAGTACTCCGTATCCTTTGAACGTTTGGAAATGTTTCAGGTGCAATAAACCTAGTTCTTCGCGGGCGGATGCCCCTCGAATAAGCCCTTCAGTTGCCCGAAGCGATGGGCGCATCTTATTATGGATATGAGACATGTGTCTGATAGCTCCAGGCTACAGAATTGCGCTCAAATTCCAGATCCATGGAATCAAGGCTGAGTCAGCGGAAATGCACGTGGACTATATCAGGGGTTCAACATGGATCAATTTGTGCCATGGGTCGACGCCCTGGTGTATCAGGTATGTGCTATTTCCGCGGGCGCTCGGGCAGACAACTGGAATAAACCCTGTTGATTCGGGAGGACTATGCAAACAAGGACTCGAAGTCTTGGCATCTAGTGCAATAGTAGACTCGAGATGGTAAGGTTAAATCACGTCGGGGTACTCCGTACTCCCGTAAGGGAAATTGAACAACCGTGGAAGAATGTCAAACATGGAAATCATCAAACGTGGAATCCATGTGAGAAAAAGTCAAATCGAAGGCAAAACCCTTGGGAAAGGAAAAAGTTGATGTTTTTATAAGCTATACCCAAATGGGAATAGTATTGCTGTGCAACCAGCCTCCATTAAAATATCTTCCCATTTCTGCCCAATTCAGATATATTTCTCTATAATGAAGATACTATCAAACAAATAATGAAGTCACATTGACTAGTCTCAAAGATCGCCAGGAGGTATATAGCCAGTTTGGCTTTATCAAACTGAGGCTTAGATACTGTGATCGCCCCTGAGGCACCCAGCCACCCCCAAGTGGGCCTAAATTAGCTCACACTAAATCTAGCAAATCAAGAGGCTTAGGAAGCACATTTGATCACTCGAATCTGACGTTGAAATTTGTTAAATATAAGAAAATGGGGCTTCCCGGTTAATGTTCCTGCAAGCTCCCTCTACACAGTCATGCGGCAGTCGACGCCCATTTTCTGGGTTGTCCAGGCCTGTCTAATATGGCTGACACTGGTATCGGCGTCGCCTGTCATTTCTGATTTGGTGTCGGACTCCAATGTCTCTGCAATTCAGGCCCGTGACACAAAGCCGTTTCCGCTGAGAATTCTGCCGCTCGGCGCTTCTATTACTATGGGGTACACGTCGAAAGATGGAAATGGATATCGGAAATGGCTTCGAGAGCAATTGCGTTATGCTGGCTGGGAGGTTGATATGATTGGCACTATGAAGAATGGTACTATGCATGATAATGTGAGTTTCCCGGTTCTTGCTGTATGTCTTAGAAATGAAGAGTATATTGACTCTTCACCAGGACCATGATGGACATATCGGCTGGAGAATCGATCAAATAGCAGCTCACGCCAAGACGATCATCTCACAGCAACCTAATCTAATTCTTCTCAAGTGGGTCTACAATCGCTGCAGACATCGCCTTTTAACACTAACATATCCCCACAGCGCTGGTACAAATGACGCTCTACAAAATTACGAAGTAGATACCGCAGGCGAGCGGATGGACTCTCTCTTAACATACCTCTTCAACTCTATCCCCAACACAACCATCATCCTATCAACTCTCACATTCAATGGAAAAGCACCCGAATCAGCCACAGATATCAGCATGCAATATCTAAAACTTGCCGCAAAACGCCGAGCACAAAATGACAGACTAGTCGTAGCTGATATGAGCACTTTCATTCAGTGGGACCAACTCGTGGATAAAATTCACCCGACAGCCACTGGCTATAAGGAGATGGCATCAGTGTGGTGGGCAGCCATTCAAGATGCAGAGAAAGAAGGCTTTCTCGAGGCACCGAAGTCGACTTCTGCGTTAAATGGTACTATCAGCAAGACCGTTGAACATGAACTCGATGATAGTACTGCTAATCCAAGTCTGCCTGCATACACGGCCCCGCCTCAGCCTACCATAGCGGTTAGTAACGACTCGACTCGATCTGGGTGGCATCTCTGGGCTATTGGATTCCAGATCATTATGGGTATGTTCCCCGTTTCTCTCCTGTACAACTTGGGCAAGACTAACATTATCTAGTTTATATTGGGTTGTCTTATGTATGATATGATGGAAACAAGACATCAAAACAATCAAAAAAAAAATTAAAAATATACTATACCGTTCATCCCAAATCCCACTAGTCATGTATAAAGACTACGTGTGGGTCTCCAAATATAGACCGGGAGGGAATCGCATCACCCTGAACATTAAAGTCTATGTCTAACTTGACTCGGATTGGTTAATTGCATGTGGATGGTGCGATGTGTGAACATATTCAGACTTGAGACTGAGAGTAAGATGTGAGATAGCAATGGGTCAACCCTGAGGGGAGGAGGGTACCCGATGTTGTGTTTGTGTATTTGTTTGCATGCCTTGATATCGCATATATGGGTTAACCCTGGGGGGTATATACTACTGTGGAGAGGTGTTACTCCAAGAACTTCAACTTCCAAGCTGCTCCCGAACTGGACCACCATGACGTCACCATCCGAGCTACCAACTTGGAAACTATTTCAAGCGACAGCTTTGTACTTCTTGAAAACCTCCATTTTACAAATTTCTAAATCTCCTTCTCTTCCTATACACAACCCTAGTTCAAAATGTCCGAATCCTTCGCCATCCTCCGCCAACGCCGCTCCGACGAGCTAGCCAAGCTCGCCGATGAGCACATCCAACACGATCTCCAACCCGGAGACCGCGACAAGCTCAATGCAGCTGCATCTTCAATTTCCCTGTGGACAACAGTTGGCTCTGCAGTTGGTGTGAGTCTGGGTCTTCTTGCCGCTATCCGACTACGCGGTTCGCGTAAGGCATTCTTTTCTGCTATTCGGGCACAGGAGAAGCCTACGAAGGTTGTTTTTGCGGATGGGAGAACTGGTATGTTTTTTGTGAGGGTGGAGGTGTTTGAAATTTTGAAGAATGGTGTGGTTAATTTGTGTTTTTAGAGGCTATTCCTGACCTTACGCCGCTGTTGAAGCCTACTACATTGGGTGATGTCGCGACTTATTTCTTCGCCTCGGTCGGTGGATTGCTTTTGGGTGGAGAGCTTGGTAAGATTATCTTTGATTTTGCGATGGTTGGGGGGATTGTACTGACTACTTTGCGTAGGCTTTGCTGGTGGTGTGGCGAAAGGGACGAGGACTATCACTTCAGATCCCGAGAGCAAAAAGAGAATTGAAACTGCATTCGGGAGATTCCGGGCTGATGTACTGCGAAAGCAGGCTGATGCTTGGGAAAAAGGCGTACATGATTATGCTTTGATCTGAGAGAATACACAGTGATATTGCATAGATATCGAATGTTTGGGCGGAATACACCTTGTACGATTATTTATTTCATTGATATGTCACAGTAATGATATATATACAAGTTCAAACCTCCAAAGCCTTCAAGAATGCTGGGCTCTCATGGCCTTGGGTAACCTTCGAAATCGGCGCGAGATACGCCTCAGGAGATTCCTGGCTCTCTTGAATCTTGCGAACATAGAATTGCGCAACCTTGAGCCACATCGCCTTCTCGTTCGCGCTAGCTCCAGACCCCTGCCAAACCCAGAGTCTGTTCCCAGAGTCATAAAGGAAAACATCATTGCCATCCAATTCAGACCGATCAACCCGGCCTCCTTCCTTGACAAGATCAAAAGACATGTCTCCAGACGCATCACTGAGTCTGAAAAGCTTGCGCCGACGAGTACTATCATCCGCACCCCTCTTCGCAAACCGCCCAGGTCTCGGTGCTTCCAAGGTAGACGGAGCGACATCCCTCCCACCGAGTAAATCAACAAAGATCTTCGACCTAGACTCAAGCTGTGACAGAACCTCAACATCAACATGTTTCGCCAGCGTCATATCGTTAACCACCTGCGCCGCCTTAGCCTTCTCCATTGGGCTACACTTCTTCCCCTGCCAAACCCAGATCTTATTCCCCTTATCCAAAACAAAGACATCATTTTCATCGAGACTCTGCCAAGTCGGCTCGACCTCATGCACGATAAGAGAATCAACACGCGCAATACCTGGATGTTTAAAGACACGCAGAAGCGTCAACACCTCCGCCCGCATTTCCGGCTCAACGTGTGTGAATCCCGAGCGCACACCACCAGACCGGATCGAGTAGTTCCGGAACAGAGCGAGGAACTCGTCGGAGGGGTGTTGTTGCACCTCACGGTATTGTGTAGCGGCTCCGTGAAGGAACTCATCTAGCTCGACGGTCTTGTATGCTGCGACGCCTGCTTCATCTTGTGTTGTTTTGCTGCCGAGCCAGAAGAAGATATCGTGGCCGAGCTTGTCGTCGCCGACTTTGTAGGTGTGTAGGACGATGAAACTGTCGCCGTCGTAGAATTGCCCGTACTTTTCTTTTGGCCAGGGGATTACTTGGAAGTTTTCGATGCGCCAGATGGTGAGGCCTGGTGCTTGGCCGACGTTTTGCCAAGCGGGTTCAGTGAGGGCTGAGTTGTATTTCACGCGGTGATCGAGGTCGCTGCCGATTAGCTCCACGTTACTGTCTTTGATATCGTATTCTTTCGGGTGGACGAGGCCATCGTGCGGTGCCATGTTTGTGGATTGGTAAAGGATGTGTTTGTTCCATCTTCGGGAGGTTGCGAATGTCCAGCCCACCGGCTATGACGTAAATTCTGAGTGAATTTCCCTTTAAGGTTAGCTCTACCACTTTAGGGTTAGCGCTCTAATTTTAGTACTTGTGGTGTTTGCATGGTTTGCTCTGGATTCATTGGCTCCTAACGTCGACAGCCCTACTTGAATAATCGAAGAACAAAATGCAACACAGAGGTTTATCGTTTCCGATTTTTGCAAAGTCCCCCTGGTTGATTATCTCGTGTTGAAGGAACCAATTCCGATGCATGTCATACACTAGCCACAAATCGGGTTAACTGAAGAATATGTGACCTATTATTAATCTATTGTGGCGCACCCTAGTTACGGAGTAAAAGGTTTCAGAAAGCGCCTTTCTGCCACGTTTTTATGTTGCCTGGGTACCGCCCTGGAGGCTGATTGCCTGTTTCGTTGCTTGATGCCATTGCCATAGCTCTATTAATAAACATGGATAAAGCTAAGAGCTGGGGCTCCTGATTTAGCAGCTCAGACTGGATTCGGCACGCTCGATTCACGTTCTATTCGGGCCCCAACCGGATGTACAGCCTTCAACAGGATTTAGATCGACGTCGTGACTGCTAGACGCCCACTAAGCTCGCCAAGCGCACCCACGGCACACCGTCTCTGCACCTCAGCCAAATCTCTTACGGCCGAGAGCAGCGCTGTCATTGTCCGCTCCTTCAAGTTCCAGCACGCCACCAATGGAGAGACTACGCCGGCGCCGAAGACCGGCATTCTCGTGTCTGGAATGCAGGCGACGAAAGATAAAGTGCGATCGGAAAGATCCGTGCTCACATTGCGTCTCTGTCGCGATCCAGTGTGTGCACAAGGTCTTTCGAGATGCGCCCGAGACCTCCCCCGTCCAAAGCAGTATGCAGGGTCGGACAGTAGTCTCCTCACTAGATGACACCCCATCCTCCCGTACCCAGACCCGACAATCTGGCACGAATAGAATTGTAAACGAAAAGGGCAGCGTCACATCTAGGCCTCTCGTCGCCAGAGCGGATAAATCACAGTCCACACCAGCACTAACACTCGCGGGGCAGACAGAAGCCACCATAGCTCAAACCCCACCAACCATCCATGCCGAAGATGAGCAGCCAATTGTACATGCTCTTCTACAACGGATACAGCATCTCGAGGATTCTCTGGCAACGAGTCCCGTACCTGTGCACTCTGAGTCTGGAGGGGAATTGATTGATCGCCAACCGGTGCATCAAAATACACGGGTCAGCCTCTACAAGACGAGGACCTTAAGATGGAGCCACTGGGTGAGTATGGCTAATGAGGTATGACCAATAGTTACGTCCCTCTGCTACTTTGCACTGACTTCTACTTCAGTTTGACCTTATCGTGGCTTGCTATATCGCGGCTGGCGGCGGCCCCCCTGCCAGCTACGGCAACACAGACGACGATGATAAGCCGAACACCTTCCATGGGCCTGAGATTGAATCTTTGCTGAAAGAGATTGGTGACCTCCTGCGAAAGTCTAAAGTGCTCGCAAAACACCTTAAGACGGGCCGACCAAGCAAGTCTCTCGGAGGAGCTGGCTTTGATCTTCGTCCCCCCTCCCGCGAGCTGGCAGACACTATGGTCGATCTCTACTGTACCTCTTTCGAGTCGGTGTATCGGATCATTCACGTGCCTTCGTTCCGTTCCGAGTACCAGAGATACTGGGACAACCCAGAGAGTGCCACGGCCAGTCAGTGTCTCAAGATCCTCCTGGTAATAAGTATAGGGTCAAGTATACATGACCATGGGAATGCCACCACGGGTCTACGGCAAAAGGTACAACAATGGGTTCATGCCGCTCAGGCATGGCTTTCTGGCCCGCTGGAAAAAGATCGCCTGGATATCGGCGGGCTCCAGGTCTACTGCCTGGTGATCCTTGCACGACAGATCTTCTCAATCGGCGGCGACCTAGTTTGGGTGTCGATGGGGTCAGTAATTCGTATGGCCATGCAGATAGGGCTTCATCACGATCCCAAACACCTCCCGGCGATGTCGTTACTACAGGCTGAACTCCGACGGCGGTTATGGGCTACTGTGCTCGAGATGGCAATACAGTCGTCCCTAGACTCGGCGATGCCGCCCATAATCTCATTAGACCATTTTGATACCGAAGCACCTTCAAACTACAACGACGATGAGATTGATGAGTCAACCATTGAGCTGGTACCCCATCCGAGAAGCACCTATACAACTTCCTCAATACAGCTTATCCTTCTCGACTCGATGCCCACACGCCTCCGCATTCTCGAACTACTCAGCGGCCTTAAAACAGATTTATCTTACCAGGACGCGCTTTCACTGAGCTCGGAAGTGACCGAGTCATACTGCGCATACAGGAAATTCAGCCAAGAGAACGTCAACTCTGGCATGAGCGCATTCCACAGGAATCTGGTCGATTATTTCGTACGCCGATTTCTAATCCCCCTACACTGTATATTTGCCAGCAAGGCGCAGGCAAACCCATTGTTCTACTATTCTCTCAAAGTTAGCCTAGACGTTGCTATGGCCATCATCTCCCCCGAACCAGACGACGGCTTCTCACGAATAATGGCTACCGGAGGGGGGCTGTTCCGCGAGGGTTTCTGGTATGCAACATCTGTAATCGGCCGCGAGATTCTTTCACAAGTCTCAGTGCAGCATCGAGAGGGAACGCTCTATCGCAATGCGCAGCACCGACAGCTTCTCAAGCAAACTGTGAGGGATATGACCTCTTTGGCGGTGGCGAGGATACACCAAGGCGACACCAATGTCAAGATTCACATGTTTCTGAGTATGATATTGGCACAAACCGAAGCCACGGAAGAAGGTGTGCCATGTGAGCTCATGATTGCACAAGGAGCACGGGATAGCCTTCAGTTTTGTCATGAGCTACTGCAGACACAAGTCGGCACTGAGCCACTGCCGTACTACGACGACGCGGGCGTCACTTCCTCACTTTTGGATGGAGTGCCGGAAAACTCGCTTTGGGACTTTGACCTGGAATCCTTTCTGCCTGACCTGGGGATTTCATAGCCTACTAGGCATTCCGATATGCTATTATTATCGCATAGTTGAGCGGGAGGCTAAAAGTAGGTCCAAGGATGGGAACGTCCATAAATTCAAACCGAGCAATGCGGGACGAAATTATAAATAGAACTTAAATTAGACTAAAGCATCGTTCTTTGCAATTTTTACACCTGTTTTTTTCTTTTTTACGCGCATATAGGACCGGTTAGGTCCGTTACTATGTGGGTTTGTTAAACCCGCTCTGCTTACAGCCGCTTTAAGACCGCTTAGGCTTACGTCCGTCGCTAGCTCCGCGGCATACGTCCGTTGGCGAACGTATAAAGAGCACCACAAGGCGTTTGGCGATTGATGAGAAGAAATTATTTGTCTAATTCAACGCCCCTGCTGATTGCTCTTCCGCAATGCCTCTGAAAATTCTTATCAACGGTGCTGGCATCGCCGGTACAGCCCTCGCCAACTTCCTCCTGCGGTCCAAACAAGGTCACGACATCACTATAGTCGAGAGAGCATCCAATTTCCGTACCGGTGGAACACAGCTTGATTTGAAGTCACATGGTGCCCCACTGATGAAGAAGCTGGGACTGATCGATGCGGTCCGAGCAAGGAGCATACACGAGACAGCTTTCACTTTTGTTGACACGCAAGGCAGAGAGTGGGCGAGATTCAGCGTCAACGAGACTGGGAAAGGGTACAAAGGTGTGACGAGTGAATATGAGATCATGAGGGCGGACCTGGTAGCGGTGTTATATGAAGGGAGCAAAGCGATCGCTGCAAAAGCCTCAGCAGAAGAGTCGCAGAGGCTGCGGTACCTTTTCGGAAAGCATGCGATTGAGTTTACGCAGCTTGATTCCAAAGTCAACGTCGTATTCTCAGACGGCTCTTCAGACGATTACGATCTTGTTGTCGGTGCGGATGGCCAGAGCTCCCTGACGCGACGAATGCTATGGGAGCCCACGAAGGACTCCGATTCCACGCTCAAATATACGGGCTACTCGGTCGCATACTTCCATATGCCAAAATCAGAGGAAGAGTCCGACAGTACCTTATTCAAAAACTGTCTTCTACCAGGGCCCAAAGTGCTGTCCCTTCGCTGCGCGCACAAGGACTTTACACAAGCCATGCTCACGGTATCCACTACCGAGGAGTTAAAGGAGATGGTTGGACAGCCTGTTGAGAAACAGAAAGACCTATGGGAAACGTTATTCAAGGATTTCGGATGGGAAAGCAAACGAGTACTTGCCGAGATGCGGACTGCTGAGGACTTCTACACAACCTCGATTGCTCAGGTCAAAGTGGACACATTGGCCAAAGGCCGAGTTGTTCTGGTGGGCGATGCCGGATACTGCCCGAGTGTTTTGACTGGGCTTGGAACTACAGCATCACTAGTCGGAGCATACGTGCTTGCCGGCGAACTCGCGAGACATGGAGACAACGTCAGCGCAACGCTAGAATCTTATGAAAGGGTCCTACAACCTTACGTGGAAAAGGCCCAGCAACTTCCTCCCATGAATCTCGCTATCTTTCGTTCCAAGCTAGGGTTAAATATATCTTACTTTGCTCTGGCAATTCTGTCGAAGCTTAGGATAGATAGCCTAGTCAAGGCGCTGACGAAGGATGAGAAGGAAACCTGGGAGCTCCCACAATATCCAGAGCTGGAATTAGAGGAATGAGCATTGCATTTACCGCCGATATTCAGCTTTGTTGTGATCACCTCATGTGACCACATTTGTCAGGACTGCCAGCTGATAGCTTCTCTTCCTCTGTCCCCTTCTTTTCCCCGAATCAATTAATTATCTTGATCTCTTCTCCTTCCCCATCAAGCTTTGTGGCTGATACCAACCCAAATATGTTTATACCACTTTTCGTCTTATCTAAAACCTACAACATCTCATCACTTCATCTAAGCAGGTGTGGACATTGCTTCGCCTGTGACTAGAGGTGCTTAGACAGGTAAATGAGGGTACTCGGCCTTACTCATCGTATTATCTTAGTTTGCGAGGGTCATCATACCTTACTGCGAGAAATGATGTTGTAACTTACATGAGACTGCCTTGGCGCTTCTATACATCAGTGCCAATGCCATTGTAATTAGTTTTGGGATTAAAAGAGAACGGAATTTAGGGGAAAGAGCTGCCCTAACTGCGTCTACTAAAATGATGGTTCTTTTCTTGGTGGTAGGACTGATCTTCTAGCGGACTTTTTCCAAGCGCACTTCCCTAGTTACTAATTCGCACATCGCTGCATAGCTGATGTTGCAACTTGCGAGACACTATTACACGCTTCCATTGGGCTTTATCACCGGTCACCTAGCGCCACAATCACGCAGTGACGATGCGTAATACGTTCAAAATATGTCAAGAATACATCACATCACGCTGTTTTCGCTCACAGGCCGCTGTGGCTCTTCTAACCATTTTTACTGCTTATTAGCCAAGGCGGGAACTAGATCAATTCCATGGCAAGGTTCATCTTGTGTTCTATAAGTCTGGCAAGAAGTACTAGATTTCCTAGCGGAATAAATAACAAAAAACATACAACAGCATGTGTATGACTGTGGTCACCTAGCGCCCACGGTTCGGGCGTGGGCGGCTCGCCGCTCTATTCAGGGCACTCAGGGCAGATATTCACCCACCTGAATATTTTTCACCTGAATATTCAGCCCGCGCAGCAAAAGGTACATTTCTCATCATGACCAAAAAGCTACAAGTACCCTTCCTTCCCCCTCCATTTTCACCTTCTCCCCAGCCTCGCTTCGTCACTCCAACCCCTCTTTTTCACCTGCAAGATGCGTACCAAGCATAACCCAACTTTGAAATATATGGCCAATGTGGTGGATTTCGGGGAGCATAGCAACAATGAAATCCAGCGGACAGTGCTCCCACGAACGGAATCCGGTTATAGTGACACGTTACTTATTTTCGATAAGTAAGTCTTTACTGTAGGAGCAGAGAAGCAAGTCGCTAAAACGTATCTCTATCACTAGTTTTGTCACACTACATCCACAGGCTATAATCCCGCCGGATATTAGAACTTGCAGGGCTTTCCTCGAGTGGGTTGCAAGAGGAATGAACGGTCGGATCCAAGAACGGCCTACAGTCGAAACGATTCAAGGATTCTTTAGGAAATTCGCCACTGGTATGAAGAGAAAAAGAAAATTTGAATTCCCACCAGCCACAAGGACAACAATCAATGAGGTTTGTTATCGCTGTATTTTACATGAGTCAGTACTAATACTGGATAGTATATCGTGGGAGAATTAAAGATCAAGATCCCTCTCTCAACCGAGCAAATGAACAAAGATGGCGGTGTGTCCCCAAATGATTTGACTATATTGATGACTCAATTATGGTGTCGAGACCACCATGAGTATCGTGGGGACCCTGCCGACCGGGCCAGAGTTCAGCTAAGTGCCGCGATGCTCCTATATTGCTTTACCTCTGCGCGCACAGGGGAGGTTCATGAATCAACCGCTCGGAGACACGGAGCACGGGAGATCGGGGAGGAGAGCGACGACGCTGACTTAGAAGCCCGCGTGATGGCTGCCTGTTATAAGGTATGTTTATATAAGGAAAAGGAAGCTAATGCTTAAAGCTGACAATATTAGCATTTTGAGCTCACTATCGAGACTGTGGATGGTATGATAATGCTTGTACTTACCTACGAGCGTGAATTTGTGAAAGGCTATTGGCGAAAGACAAAATGGGAGATCCCAAAGCATGCATTCTACGAAGTATATGCCGAGGATATGCCTATATTTCTAAACTTTTTGACATTCTTTTTGCCGATGGCCGTCGCAGATAAAGCTTTCAGAGATTACGGTTCAGTGAGAGAGATCCTAGATGCTGTCGACTTATATGAGAAAGTCGGTCACTCCGAGGATAAGATCCTTGAGGTGATCTGTGTCCGGGAAGAGATGAGAAATCTACCGGTTTTCCGGCAATATCTTGAGCACCACGTGGAAAGCTCTAAAGGTAATGCCAGGGGGGCAGATTCCTTTGGCAAGGCCTTGGTAAGTCTAGGCCACAGAAGTGGCTATACACTGAACATTACTGTTCGGGCGTGTCGAAGATGGGCTTTACAGGAAGCAGGTATGGATTCATTTGATATATAGACTCGCAGGTTAGCTGATGATGTTAAATAGATAAGAAGTATTCCGAATCTGCAAGAATGAAGTTCGCTGGGCAAACCAACCGGAACACATACGGAAAGTCGTACGCACATCCTCTTAGTGAGGTTGATGGACCAGCAAACTACCTCGGAATTGCTAGCCGACAAGAGCATATCCAGAACCGGCGGGGAATGGGTCTTTACCGCAATTCCGCTTTATCACAGCTCCTTCCTGCCAAAGCCGAGTTTGAGTTTCTTGCCCGAGAAGATATTCACGCACTTGACCAAACTATGGCAAAGTTGAGCTCGCTACTCTTAAACGCCTTACCAGAAGAAAAACACGAAATTCGACTGAAGCAAAAACGGGCGTATAGTGAAAAGCGGAGCCTTTATAATGAAGAGCTCCGAAAGGTCCAGGCGCAATCAGGGAAGCAACATGGAAGTATTTACACAGAGACCATGTTCCATTATAGGAGGAAGGTAATGCCCCATAGAGACTTCTTGGCTCAGAAATTGCCTTGTAAGCTCAGCCTCCGCAGTTTAGATGGAAGAAGAATCCTACAGGCATTGGAGTCTCTTTGCAGCGAGAAAAATACCATTACATACCTCGATAGCCTCAGCCCCCTAGGCCAGGCTTGTGTCTGTGGAAGGTCTATGAAAGAGTATGTCACGCTAGCAATGGGAATATACGATGTTCCTATTACTGACTCAAAATAGATTCAAGGATCACCGAAAATGGTTACATCTCTACCGTTGCTACTCAAGGCATTACAGAACCACGCACGGGTTTGCAGAAATATGCTTCGAATGCGACCTATGGTTTACCAATGAATCGGAGTGGGGGACTCATTGCCAGGAGCATCTTGATAATCCAGGCAATCTGCTCCGTTGTGATCCGATGGTATTTCGGAACGCACCCATAAAGCCAGGGCTATGTCCGTTTTGTCTAGGTGCCAAGGGAAAGAAACCGGCAAAGAGAATGTTACAATTCGTCCTCTCACCACCAAAGTGGCACTCCCATATTGAAGATCATTTGAAAGAACTCAAGCTTGATTTCGACTGCAAGCATCCAGCGTGTACCACGCACTTTGAAAGCCTAGAGGAGCTTACCTATCATCTCGTTGACACGCATTGTTGGCGCCCTAGGCGGCAATCGCCCAAGAAACGAAAGTGGGCAGACTAATTTTGTTACACATAACTTTTCTTCACGTTTCAACCTACCTATTTGAATATTCTTTTGACTTAGCAATAAATATTTTATATGATAGGGCTGGTTTATTCCCACCAATCTAGCGCCACATTAAGCGCTAGCTTATCCCTCACCATATACTCTCTCCGCCTCCTCCTCTCATTTTCATTATATGTATGTTATTTTAAATTGCTCTTCTCATATTAAAGTAAACCCCTTTGACCATTTTCCAACTCCTTCGCCTGCTTTTCAATAGACGACGGTTCCTCCGGACCGATATTTCCTCCCTAGCAAAATGTCTACCGACTATAAATGAGTAGTCAATCGGTAAGATAGATAGTGTAGTAGGGAGACGCGTCAGGAAGATAGATCACAGAAGGACTGCACGATTCATATTGTTCTGATCTGTTCCTAGCTAGGGACACACTACCACTCTATCTCGCTCTCCCTAAGACCATCCATCCATCCATCCATGCCTACTGAAAACCACGGGGGAACGCGGGGAGTATCTGGCTTGGGAAACGGCGAAGCAAGGCAGCATAATCATCCTGGTGGATAGTGCCCCGAACACCATCCTCGATTATGCCGGTTACACTCTGGCGGAAGCTGCGAATCGCACCATACCAGTAGTGGACATGATCTTCCGTGTCAGCAGACTTGTGCTTCGAGGAGGAGAAGTCTGCAAATCTTTCAGGGCTGCCGTCAAGCTCGATAGCGCAGGGGATAGGTTGGCGACTGAGAAGCCAGTTCCGGTAGACGGCACGACGAGCCCGCTAGTATCAAGAAGCGAAAGGTTAGCGAGAGAAGCCTAAAAAAAAAAACTGAAAATAGGACATACCGAGCAAGTGCTGTGGATTCCATGCTCTTCAATGTGATTCTGGGCCAGGAGACGGAAGGACTGGCAAAGGTTGGCAATCTTAGCCCCAAGCTGGGCCAGTGCGTGGCCAGGCAAGATCCAGTTACGCTCAAAGCCGTCGAAATATGGTCTTGTGGGGTCATAAGATCCCCACATCAAGTTCACCCACGCGATTAAGGAGAGCAACTCATAACGGTGGCCCTCAATTCCAGCGGGAACCTAGATAGGAGACTAGGGTTTAGCAAGAGAGTCGGGATAGGGGAATTGAATAGGGTTACACTACCTGCTCACAAGTCTGATCCTCCTGGGCACAGTTCTGGCAGTCATTCGAGTTACCGGAGTCCTGGACGCAGCGAAACTCAAAGCGAGGCCCGAAACCATATTCGGTCCCTGCTTGCATCCAGCCGATGACATTGAGCTGGACACAAGTGAGACAAAAGAGGAACTGCGGAGCCGAGGTGGAGAGTTGTGCACGAACGTGCTGGCGGAAGGGGGTGCGGGGGGTGCGCTGGCGCTCAGACATGGTGACTGAGGATAAATGAAGAGGATGGGAGGATGTGGCGTCAACGAAGGGTGAACGAAACCGGAAAAGGAAAGAGTTCGAAGGCTTGAGGTTGAAAGAAGCTAAGTAGCGGAGACGAGAGAAACGGCTGGATGAAAGAACGTGTAGTAGTGCGGCGTTACTCGCGAGAAAGGCGATGAAAGAGCGATGAAAGAACACGCTGAGAAGTGGCGTCAAATTTAAGAAGAACGAGGAAAAGTGGATGAAAGGCAGTTTCCTTTTACCCTTAGAGGGAGGGTTCTTTTCGGCCGAAGAAAACTAGAGGCGAGGCTGGCTGCAAGAAAAGGAGGATTTATTCAAAGCGCCTGCTCCTCCTATCGACTCTCATATACTACTCAATTTGCCTAAGTTGCCACCTTGAACTAGCTATCGCCCTTGCGATCCAGAGATGGCCAGTCCCAGTCCCAGTCCCCGCCCAGACGGCCAGGACAGTACTACGGCCTATCTACGATAGAGAATATCTACACCCAGTCCCTGAAGGATTCGGAGCCTACCTTTCAGAAAGTCAAGCAACCTATCGAAGAGCTGTGAATCATGAGTTATTCCAGAGGCTTAGGAGACCGGGAAGGGGGCACCGCAGGACAAAGCACTTGATACAAGGTGATCTTGGGAATGCAGTCAGGCTGATACATACTGAGTATATGTCCCATACAAGCTTTAAGAGGCATAGCCTGAAGCTGGACCCTCACGGTTTCTTGGTGGAAGGCCAAGGTCTGCCATCCACAGATATCGCTCCCGCTGAACTTGAGCTTGGAGGGGATAACCGGGAGATACGAAACACGGTGTTGCAGAGAAGTGAGGACGACGATACGCAGGGGTCCGTGTCCTAGGGAAAAGCCTCGAGCTCCGGGGAGTTGCTTGCTACCCCGACGCCAAAGTAGGCGCGAGCCGAGTCCCAAAGGAGGTGCATTTGTGGACTACTGGAGTCATTGATACGCCAGTTCAGCGTACCCCTACCAAGTCCCACAGACCAGGCGAAGCTGATTCTACTAAGAAAGGTACCGCATACCCTAGGCATCCTTTCGGCCGAAAAGATATGTTTCGTGCACTCAAAGGCGCTAAGCGGGTACCTTGGGCTGTATACGCGACAGTTCAAGCACTCCGATCTACTCCAGCGTCTGGCTTACGCGATAAAGCAAATCGGCGGCTGGGAGAAGTTCGTTGAGAATAAGTCTGAATAGTTCAACTTGACGAATTTCCCCCAAGGAGTAGAGCGCAGCTCATTCTGATTCACGATAAGCACGCCTTCTCCGCGTATTGCAAGTTACACTGAGCTTGGGTTCGATCTTACGGATATCTGTACCTGCTCTCCGGTTGGTACCTTGTTGTATGTCGGAGAGGTCGGCAGCTGGTGGCTGCGGAAAGAATACTTCACAGAGGAGGTTAACTTTCTCCGTGTCGCTTTCTGCAGACCCCCCTCCGGCGGCCTTTAGTACTGGTATCGTACTACCTTGTTGCTGGCCTCTATTCCTGGCCCATTTAGCCACTCTCTACAGTCCCTGAGGGCCTTGGTCAACTGTCTCCTTGATGAAACTCCTAAAGCCTTGTCGGAGAGCAGCCTTGATTACCCTTCCCTTCTGGTTCCCCGCCAGTTTGTATACCTGCCAGTCCTCCTCACCGTGTGTCGCGAGATACTGACGAAATATGCGGCGAGAGTGCTTGACAGCTTCCCCGCACTCCTTGGTCCACGATGGATTGGCGAGGGGGCTTGGCCTGGCCTATGGTGTCGATTTGTGGACCCCTCGTTGTACGATGTCGATCAGGTGGTTAACTGCGTCGTCGATTTGTCGGGGTGTTGTTACTTGTGGCGGGGTCAGGCATGGGAGATTGTCAGCCACAAACATGTCGAATTCCTTAGTGTCTATGGCCTTCCAAAGCCTTCGTCTCTGCGCCCCCGCCGGCTTTGCATGTGTGTCTATGTCGATCAGTATACGGATCGGCAGGTGATCTGAATCTGCATGACAATCTAGGGCCAGCTCGCACACTACTAGTCTCTTAGTGAGATTCGGCGTACCGAAGAACAGATCAATCGTGGTCTGCTCCCCGTTCTGGTCCCTTGTGATCGTGCCAGGTACTAGCTATAGGTCCAGATCTGCTTTGTCACAGAGCTCAATAAACCTGTCAGAGCCTGTATCTTGGGTGGCCTCGATGCCTCCCTAGGCAGGGTGGTGGATATTGAAATCACCGGCAATCATTAGATGCTTCCGGCTGCGTTGTCGTTGATTGTTGCATAATAAGTCGTTGGGAAGGTCTACTGTGCCGGTGGTACCACATTCGTTATATATGTTGAAGAAGCAGATCTCGCCGAGGCCGGTCTGGAATCTCACTTCCTGGCAAAACTCACTATGCGCATAGTGCGTCCAGCTGGTGCCTACTCGCTTGGAGATGTATATACATACTCTTGCTCTCCCTCCGCCAGTTTCTGCGCTAGACGGGAAGAGCAGTTCATGTGTCTGTTTCAATGGGTGGTATGTCGTGTCGTTGTATGGGTTCTCCTACGGTTCTTGCACCGCAATAACGTCTGCCTGGACGACCCCCGGCTTTGCCAGGAAGTCCGCCATAACGACGTCTCTCGACCGGTGCGTGTTGTATTGGATGGTGGCGAGGGGTGTGTTATTCATTGATAGCTGGCGTCTCGGTGTGTTTCCTAGTGAATTGGCGAGTCCTCTTTTCCTGGAGATCTGTCTTGTTGGTGAACCTGACTTGATCGTCGAGTGTGCGCTTGTTCTTGCTCCGGGGGCCTGGCGTACGCACTGTGTTTTATCTTGGTATACTGGTTTTGAAGATAGTGTCCTGCTTGCCAGCCTTTTGCTTGCCGGTTGGCGCGCGCTTGTTTCCGCTGATTTGTGAGAGTATAGATGGTTGGTACTCACTTGCTGACGCCGCTGGCGCCGATGACGATGGTGGATCTGGTAGAATCGCCTCCTGGTCGGTGACGATGTATGTGTCGTCCCTTGCCCGTTTCGGTGCTGTGCCTGAGCTTACCCCGAGCACTGACCTGATTAGTCCTTTGCTCCTGGTTATAGCTGATGACGTTGTCGACGCCCGGCTAGGTGCCGAGCTAACTTCTTGATTAGGGTATGCTTTAGTGTTAAAATCGTGCGTTCTTGGATTGGACTTGTAGCTTAATACACGTGAGTTACCCTGCAAATGGGTAGCATCTCATATATCCTGTGAGAGGTGCTCTACAGATAGGACACACCACCGGTGTCTCAAGATCTCCTAGGCATGATATGCAAAACAAGTGCCCACACAAAAGAGTCACCCAGTGATCTGGCTGCATCCAGCAGATCCTGCATTCCAAAACAAGCCTGTTTCTTTCTCGGAAAAGTTCCCCCTCCACCTTTTGGCGCTCCTCCCTCTCCCGGCAAACTTCCTCCTCCAGCTTTCGGCACTCCTCCCTCTCCCGGCAAACTTCCTCCTCTAACCTTTGACGTTTCTCTTGCTCTCGACCGAGTTCTTCATGGAGCGTTTGGTTTTTATCTCGTAACAGTCGTATTTCATGGTCATCGTCAGGCGCTTTACCCCGGTGTAATCGTGGAGGTATGCTATTCGCAAAAGAGCAGGCGTATCTCCCACCTGGCGGATGAGTATATTTTAAATACTGATGGGAGTGTGAACGCGGTGGTTGCCTTGGATATCGATTACGAAGGCTCTAATAGAGCGACAATTACCGTATGGCGACCGGAATATGCAATAGTAGATGGTATGGAGGAGTTTCGGGCGAACGCAGTTATAGAAGCACAGGTACGGTCCGTTCCGGGTAAGACATCTAATACTTGGTACTAATTATTAAACAGCCCTTTCAGACAGACTCGGGACTTCCAACCGAAGGAACAGTGCTACGACTATCGCTTAAGGACTTCGCAACGGAGGAACTCGCACGAGGGCATGTAGGCCTTGACCGTGAGATTCTCATTACATCGAAGCAGCTTTGTGATTTTCTCTTAAGCGCTGAAGCACGACAGCAAGCACAGACGCAACAGCAAGGCTCAATCAATCGAATACGACCAGGCGCTTTAAAGCGGCGTCGACCTCAAACTCCCCCTGAACAACTAAGCTCAGAAGACGAGGGATCTATCGAGAGGAAAAGAGAAAGTAAACGTGGACGTCAAAGTAGTGACTATCGTCCAAGCTCTTCGTCTGTGGACTCGAAAGGTGACCTACCTTGAGCTTATATTGCGCAGAATGAGGGACTCAGCTGCCCTTCATTGAATGGGGGTGATTTCTGGTCCTACAATTATTTATGAAGGTCAACCGGGTTGTAAAATGGATGAACTTTCTGTGAGTGAAATGATATGTAATTCGTTAATAATTAAATAACATTGACCCAGTTTTGAACTGCAATGCTTCCTTTTCCTCGATGTTAGATGTGGCTTGTCCTGCAACTAGTTTTGTATTCTAATGTTTTATCGACGAGTCTGTTTCTAGATACTGTATACTCGACCCCTTTTCTCTAGGCAAGAGCTCGGGCAGAGTACTTTTCTTCGGCATTACGGGATTAGATGAGTGGCATGCGCTTTCCGGATAGAGGTTTAGATCTGAGAGAAAGGCTCCGGAAATAAGAAATTTAGGGAAATCAGTAAGGCCTAGGGACTCAGGGGAACCACTCAAGTTCTATTTGTTCTCCTAATACATCCTTGCTCGCAGTTCTCTTGTTTGCTAAAGATAGAGTCTTCCATAGCAAACAAAGAACCCAGCTAGGAGACCCACTCCCTAGGCATTCTCCACAATCCAATTGGCAGATCAGATCACCCCATCAGACGGAAGCATCGCTTCTCATTTGCTATATTATGACAACGAACCCATGACTAGACTGCGACATCGCCCATGGACGGGCGGGTGGGCAGTGCCCACGGGCCTTATGTAAGCGGGCGATGGGCACTATCAATACGCCCATGGACGGGCCCTACCCTTAGGGCCCATTGTCCATGGACACCGTGGGCGCCCGTGGGCCTTTTTAGTAAGCAAAATTAGCGCAACACGTGATTTTTATTGACAGATTTCAAAATATTTCAACTAAATTTATATTTTTTATATATTTACAATCATAATTCCGGATTTTTAATATAAATATATATACTATAATTTACTATATATCTAATTTTTATATATACTTAAGACAACTTTATATAATGGTGGGCATCGTGGGCATGCCCGCCGTGGGCATGCCCGTGGGCCTTGGGCGTTATGGACGGGCACTCGAAAATCCAAATAGCCCAAGGCCCACCGTGGACGGGCGATGTCGCAGTCTACCCATGACACTATGGCAGTCTGGCATAGCAAACAGCTCGATATCAATGGAGACAGCACAGCCAACCACTCTTATGTGTAGGTGACTATCGCACTAGTATTAAAGCTATATCATGAAAGATAAATTTGGTGGAAAACTGTAGTCATATTGAGGATGGTAGGATGATGCCTGCTGCTTAATTTGACTCAACACGGGGAAACTCACCAGGTCCAGACAAAATAAGGATTGACAGATTGAGAGCTCTTTCTTGATCTTTTGGATGGTGGTGCATGGCCGTTCTTAGTTGGTGGAGTGATTTGTCTGCTTAATTGCGATAACGAACGAGACCTCGGCCCTTAAATAGCCCGGTCCGCATCTGCGGGCCGGTTTCTAAGAAAAGACTGCATGCAAGCTTCCCGAGGCATGTCCGATACCTCAGGCTACTTTCACGGGTTCCACCACTACACTATGTACCACACTTCATACATCCACCTACATTGGAAATGAATCCCTCTGGAACTTGTCTGGGGCGAATTTTGGGACCAGCGCATGACAGCTCTAATCAGCCCGAATAGATTCCCATTCAAGCCTTCTGCATTTATCCTGGTTCATCGCAAAGATTGCGCCACGAGCTAATGTTGCTCTATCACAAACACATGACTCATTCGCTAGCGCTTCCCCGAGATAAAAAACCGAAAATAAAGCCCGAACTCTTCCCGGGCGGCGGGGATTTTGCACAGTTCTAAGAAAATATAACGGGTATGGTCTTCCACCGCAAGTCGCTCATAGGTCTGCAGGTCGTATTCAGCACCCATCGGCCCCTTCGAAGTGTTCACCAAGTCCGTCCAGCACAATCCGCGGCGGAAAAAGGCGTGGCGCATTTTCGTCTGGCTGGAGGTAGTGACGTACGGAGTTGTAAATGTCTTGCTGCTGGGCTGCACAGTCAACCCATCGCTCTAGTCGTGTCGGGCAGTGCTTCCCTTTGGGAATGGGAATTTCTCCTGTGGTCGAGTCGGAAGGTGTGCAAACTCGTAACGGTCGTGATAATACATTGTGGCAAAAGCGGAGGAACTCCACCAGAGTTGTATTTCGGTTGCGCTCTTTTTCCTGTCTCGCTCCCTCTTCCGCTTGCCTCCTCCGCTCTTTTTCCTGTAGAAAAAGCGACTTGTAATCTGTGGGGCTGTTTGTATCCATCTTTGAAAGAGAAGTGTGGAGAATCACCGTGGGTCACGCGTTGCTTATCCGCGTATCAGAACTTCGGCAAATCTCTCCAGCCTCGCTTTGTCACTACAACCTCACTTCGTCACTCCAACCCAACCTCGCATTGTCACGAGCAAAATGCGTACCAAGCATGACCCAACGTTGAAATATATGGCCAATATTGTGGATTTCGGGGAGCATAGTAACTATGAAATCCAGCGGGCAGTGCTGCCACGAACAGAATCTGGTTACAGTCACACGTTACTTATTTTCGACGAGTAAGTCTCAGCCCTGGGAGAAGTATGGATAAGGACAGGGGGGAAAGAAGGTAGTTAAGAGGTAGGTAGTTAGGGTAACGCAAGAGAAACATAGCCATACAGCGGATAAACAATACACTACGCACTATACAGGGCTGTATATTATTTGGTGTATGGTGTGTGGTTAGAATCAATGGCAGCTATGGAGACACGATCAACGGAGTTGCACCATGACCGCATGGCTTCTGATACGCAGGAAACCTATGATCCGTGAATCAGAACTGCAACAATTGTCTTGGAACCATACATTGCGCTTCACATCGGATCACTAACCTTGTTGCTGTCATCAAAAATATTGTAGTGGTTGGCATTAATATCCACAACCTCCCGGATCCATTCGTGTCGGCAACACTCCCACCCCAACATTCTATCATGCCGGTGGACGTCAACCACAGCAAAGGTTGCATCGTCTGTGACTGGTACTCGATCTGACGCCCGGACAAGTAGAGCAGGTGGCATATTGACAAGAGGCCTGCCTTCGGTCCCTCTGATAACAGCGAGCTCTGTGGGTATCTCCCAATTTTCGACCAGCCGCTCTGCCTCCTCGTATCGCCTCATTATATGCTTCCTGATCACCGGAGATACCTTCGCGGGTAAATCCGAGGATACTACCGCGGTGGATGACCGGAGAGCTTTCCAGTCCCCAGGATAGGGCGTGTCGAGCAGGATCAGGCCTACGACTGAGGCATCGAATTTCGCCCGCATCGCGCGTGCAACTTCTATGCAGAGGATTCCCCCCAGAGACCAGCCTAAATGATGTCAGTTGTCTTATTGATTGATATATTCGCACTTTTCGCTTATACCTCCTAATAAGACCGGTCTCTGTGTAAACTCAGCCCAAATGCTTGATGCGTATGCCTCTGCCATCTGTCGTATTCCGCCAGTCCAGCTATTGATAGTCGCAAAATATGGGTCTGCAATTCCGTACACATCTCTGTTCAGGTCACCCAAAAGGTAATAACTAAAGACGGTCCCCCCACCGTCATGGAAGAGTATTAGAGGTGCTGCGTTTGCACTGCGATGTGAACTTGACTGGATTTCTTCAATCTCGACCTCCACATATTCAGATTGGTGCGACATTGAGGGTGGCGCTCTTGGGGAAACTCAGCAATGCAGGCTGGGAGCCTAGCAACGGAGGGGATTAGAGGCAGCGTTAGCCAGCGTGGATCCACGGAGCAGTATGCTGTGCTATGCACCTTGTGCCGCACTGCTGGATGCGGAGAGATAATACAGTTAGCGATCAGTAGCGAGTAGCAGAGATAACTGAGGGGTAGGAATGGAACCAGCAGGTCAATTGACATACTAAAACAGTAAATATATGCTACTTCTATACAAAGAAGCCCCTTACTAGTGGAATATAGTCAGGGTATAACGACAAGGCGAATGGCTGGCTTCGGCTCTCAGACAGGTGAGAAAATGAAGCGCCGAGGAACCCCCGGCCTTGTTGGGCACCGTCGGTTTCTGATTGGCAGGCGGCGTACTTTGTATCATATCCCAGTCACTTGTAATAGACTAGTAGGTCCGCGGCAGTAGAACCTGCGTGTGCAGTGGAACGTGGAACGGAGAAAGGGCCGGTTATGTGCTATCTCCGTGCTCCACCCAAGAAGATGATGTTGGCCGGCCGAGTTAGTTGAATCTAGCACCCTAATGGGCTGACCCGATGTAACAATGTTGCATGGATACGTATATATAGATTCAAGAGGGATCATAAGAGTTGAGCATAGAAGATAGGGTATGAAATATCATTGTACTGAAACCTATCTTCCTTGCTTTCGCAGCATGTATCATCTATATTGACATCCATGTTATTTGTGGCGATGTATTGACTAAGCCAGCTGGACAATTGACCATGATAAGCTGAAGTGATCCACACTTTTGCCGTTCTGCTCTCGCACCATACCTATTGTAGCAAGAAGATTGGTCTAGCATATTGATTGTTACGTCCGAGCTAGCCGCCAACGCTAACGCGGGTCAACACTAACCGGGTTAGGGCCGACCTTTTTTGACTAGGGTTACATGGTATACGATTGGTCTAAAAGGTACTGCTCCACGGGATCAGGCAATCAGGATTGGGTGTCCGATGTCAGCATGCAGGGGAGGAGGTTTGGGATGATGGGACGTTGCTAATAGGTAGAACTCTCGTGGTAATTTACAGCAGCTTCTGACAAACTGCAACTTTCTTCTGAAAAACTGCAACTTTCTTGTGACAAGAAGGAACAAGCTTCTGTGAAATAGTAAGTAGACAAGCATCAACTCACAAATAGCTATATCTCGGTGTTAGATGTATAGCACTATGAAAAATGGCGAGGTTGCTCAGGGTCCAATTCCGAAGAGGGAGCATCGTGGACCTGTGGGCTTGTCATATGCCCAAGGCCGCCTCTGGTTCATGGAACAATTGGTCCGGGGATCTTCGTGGTATGTAATGCCATTTGCGGCAAGATTGCTTGGGCCGCTGAAACTCGATGCGCTCGATGCTGCGCTGCGTGCACTGGAGCAGCGACATGAGACCCTCCGAACAACCTTCGAGGAAACGGATGGTGTAGGCGTGCAAATCGTGCACACGCGCTTCTTTGAGGGTCTCAGAATCATAGATGTGGCAGCCGAGAAGGATGGCAGCTACGTCCAGCCTTTACAGCGGGAGCAGGAGACACCTTTCAATTTAGCATCTGAGGCGGGGGTGAGGGTGTGTCTGCTACGGCTGGGACAGGATGACCACATCCTATCGTTTGTACTGCACCACATCATCTCAGATGGATGGTCCATCGACGTCCTGCGGAAGGAGCTGGGCCAGTTCTACGCGGCTGCGCTAAGAGGCGAAGACCCTCTGTTGCGAGTGAACCCACTTCCGATCCAGTACCGCGACTTTGCTGTGTGGCAGAAACAGGAGGATCAGCTGGCCGAGCAGCAGAAGCAGCTGGAGTACTGGATGAAGCAGCTCGAGGGCAGCTCGCCTGCCGAGCTCTTCACTGACCGGACCCGACCGGAGGTGCTGTCCGGCGAGGCGAGTGCTGTGCCCTTCACAATCGATGTTGAGTTGTACGAGAGCCTTCGTGCATTCTGCAAGACCCACAAGGTCACCACCTTTGTGGTGCTGCTTGCCGCGTTCCGTGCCACTCACTATCGGCTCACAGGGGCGGAGGACGCATGCATTGGGACACCAATTGCCAACCGCAATCGACCAGAACTGAAGAACCTTGTCGGGTTCTTTGTTAATACTCAGTGCATGCGTATTACCGTTGAAGACGACACGTTTGAGGGGTTAGTCCAACAAGTGCATATGACTAAGCTTGCCGCCATCGCAAATCAGGATGTCCCCTTCGAGCGTATAGTGTCAGCCCTCCTCCCAGGTTCGAGGGATACATCAAGAAACCCGCTGGTGCAGATAATGCTTGTTGTCCACTCTCAAATGGACATCGGTCGGATACAATTAGAAGGACTCAAGGATAAGCTCGTCCCGCGGGTGGCAACGACCAGATTCGATGTAGAATTTCATTTCGTCAAAAGGTCAGACAGCCTCAGCGGTACCCTTCTTTTTTCGACGCAGCTATTTGACGCTGAGTCTATTCATGGCCTCCTTGCCGTCTTCCATGAGACCCTACGCCGGGGGCTTGAGGACCCTCACACGCCGATTGCCACCATGCAGCTGACCGACGGATTGGGGGAGCTTCGCACCAAGGGACATCTCCAGATCGACAGAACTGAGTATCCCCGGGAGTCGAGTGTGGTCGACATCTTCCGCGAGCAGGTGGCCGCGTTCCCAGATGCAATCGCAGTTAAAGACTCCTCATCGCAGTTAACGTACGCGGAGCTGGACCGTCAATCCGACGAGCTTGCTGCCTGGCTACAGCAGCGGCGCCTTCCCGCAGAGTCGCTCGTTGCCGTCTTGTCGCCGCGATGCTGCCAGACGATTACAGCCTTCCTCGGTATCTTGAAGGCCAATCTAGCATATCTGCCGCTCGACGTGAACGTGCCTGCTTCCCGGATTAACGCAATATTGGCGGCCGTTGAGGGTCTCAAACTGGTCTTCCTCGGGCCTGACGTGCCTCCTCCGGTACT